TTCAACCAAATTGACGAACGAGCGAAAACAAACCGACGCTGCCGCGGTACCTCGATTCGCTGGGCACAAAATGACGTACGATATGCACCATTGCACTCGGTGTCTCCACTTGGTTTATAGTCACTTTGCGTGTACCTAGCTCTTAGTTCTATCAGAAGCAGAAACTAGTAGGCTTAGTGGTTGGTTTGACGACATATATTAATTCCATTGTATTCTTGTGTTGCCAGCAGCTTACCATTAGCTTTCTTGACGATACCAATACTAACACCTTAATTCGCACTGATTGCAGCAATGAGCAAAACCATTCGCTGCAAAAGAAAAGGAGATGACTCGTGAATTTAAGGACAAGTGACTTTATTGAATGGAAGCAGAAGCCCTTATGCTTGGTTTGTGGCACAACTCTTTCTATTTCGAAAGCCTTCAAGGTGAAGAGACACTATAACGCCCAACATCAACACAAATGTGATAAAGCTTTCGGAAAACTGAGAGAAAATTTGGTGCCGAAACTAAAAAATCTAAATGAGCAACTGCAATCGAAAGTAGATTTCTTCGAATACTTTTCACTGACTTTTGATGAAAGCTGTGATATGAGTGATACTGCGCAATTATCAGTTTTTATCCGCACTGTAGCAAAAGACCTATCTGTTTAGGAAGATCTTGTCGGACTTATTCCTCTTTATGACACAACACGCGGGGTAGATATAAAAGAAGCTGTGTTAAATGCGCTTCACTATAAAATTCCAAATTTACCAAACTAGTTGGATTGACGACAGATGGTGCAGCTTCTATGACTGGTAAAAAAAAATGGCGCGGTGGCGCCATTGAAAAAGTACTTGCAAGAATCTGATTTCACCCAGGACATTATTACTCTCCACTGCTTCATTCACCAAGAGTCTCTTTGTGCTCAAAGTATAAAGATGACCCATGTTATGGACGTTGTTGTAAAATGTGTGAATGAAATTCTGTCGAAAGGATTGAAGCACCGCCAATTTCGAGCATTCTTGTTGGAGAAGAATACACAATACAAAGACTTGGTATATCATTCCCAAGTTCGCTGGTAAGTCGAGGAAACGTTTTGCAGCGCTTTCTTAGTCTTTTTGAAAAAATTAAAATATTTTTACAGGAAAATAGTCCAACACTGAAGACTAAAAGTGGTGCAGATGTTATGACGTTCTTGTGTGACAATACTTGGTTGCTGGATCTTACTTTTTTGGTAGATTTCACACAGCATATGAACAACCTATGTATCAGAATGCAAGGACGTTACCAACTACTTCCGGAGTCATTAAATGCTGTCGATGCTTTTCAAAGTAAACTGGAACTGTTTCAGAAGCAACTATCAACTGGCAACATGATCCAGTTTAAAAGTATGTCTTTGTTTTTGGAAAAAAGAAAGGCAGACTTGGTTCCTGACTTTGAGAAGTATGCCGTAATGTGCGGCGACCTTCGTCAAAACTTTTTAAAACGCTTTCAAGATCTTAATGACCGGAAGCCGCAAATGGACCTATTTCAAAGACCATTTAGTGTGGATGTTGAATATATTGAAGACGCTGACGCTCAACTGGAACTTCTGGATTTGAGGTCAAATCAAGTTTTGCAGGATGTTTTTCAAGAAAATTCATTACTTGAGTTCTACTCTCGCCTCGAAGAAGAGGATTATCCAGTTTTGTTGAGAAATGCAAAAATATGGATTTGTCAATTTGCAAGCACGTACAGTTGTGAACAGGCATTCTCAATCATGAAAATAAACAAATCCCAGCTACGGACTCGTTTACTAGATGAACATCTAGATTCAGTGATGCGCATCGCTACTTCTCCCTTGAAGCCCAACATTTCAAATTTAGTCCATAAAAAACATCTTCAAATCAGCAGTTTTTCAGGACATTAAATTGGTACAATAAATAGATAGATATTCGTTATTATGTATTAATATTAAAATTTATTTGATGTGTGTTTTACGGGAGTTTGATTACAATACCAACGATTGTGCGTGTCACGCGACAAGATTATTTTGAAAAATTTGGCACGTATCCTCATTTGAGTTGTGCACCCCTGCTCTAGAAGTCATTGATGAATTTGCAAATGTAAACACCCTGGACACTATGGGAATGCTGATGGCTAAACTTCCTGAAGATGTTTAGGATGGATGGCCACATGAAGCGCTCAGGATTCAAAGAAAGACTGGTCGTCAGGCAAAATATTGTCATCTGGTTGATTATGTTTGTAATTGGGCTGATGTGAAAAATTCAATGTATGGGAAAAAGCTGAATGAGATTCGTCCTTAATGAGTCCTGTGAGGAGAAACAGAGCTGCAACCTATAATATTGATGCTGAGGCCAGAAGGGAACCCATTGAACAAAAACGGGATTTGACATGTGTATGTTGTCTTAAACCGCACAATTGGTGGAACTGCCCGGACTTCAAGAGTAAATCGAATAAAGTCTCTTGAAGGAGCAGAAGTTGTGTTTCAAGTGTCTGTCTCCTGGTCACCTGGCTCGTAATTGCAAGAAGCCCAGCCGGTGCAAAGTACATGGATGTAAAGGAAATCGACATCACACGCTGCTTCATAGATTTATTGAAATTCTTGAGAAATCGAAAAGGCCTGAAGAGGGACCCGCTGTATATTCATTGGCGAATTCATTAAAGTTCAAGGGAAAAAGTATCGGGCAAGATGTTTATTTGTGTGTGGTACCGGTCAATGTTTGCAATGATGAAAAGATCGCTCAAACATACGCCTTGCTGGATCCGGTATCTACAGTTACTCTGTGTAGTGAACGTTTGATGGAATATCTCGAAGTAACAGGAAATACAAGAGATATCACACTACGCACAATTGGACAGAGGCCAATACAATACAAGGGTATGTATGGCAGTTTAGTTGTATCGCCGCTACATGGTGGTGCTAAACATGAAATCACAGATGTGATCTCGGTTGAAAAAATTCCTGCTAAGCCGAATAAAGCGCCCGACCAAAGGTTCCTCAAAATGATGCCGCAACTTCAAGATGTAAGATTGCCTATCTTGGAAGGAGGAACAGTGAATCTTCTAATTGGTGCTGACAATGCGGAACTCTTCTGTTTCCAATATGTTTGAAATGGACCGCGGAAAGCACCTAAGGCAGTGAAGACTGTTCTTGGCTGGTCGCTGTTCGAACCCAGATTTGAGTCGCCATCAGATATCAGAGAAGTTCATTTTGCATCTGATCATTATGTCAATTTTGTCAAGTGTAATGATTTGGAAACACAAAAGAAAATTGAAACTTTGTCGACAACAGATTTTGGCAATGAAACTTAAGTGCTTGATATTCCAAATTCTCGAGAAGATCGAGCAGTATATGAAATTATGCAGAATTCGGTGAAACATATTGGTGGTCATTTTCAACTTCCTTTGCCATGGAGAATCGGGATGCAGAATCTACCGGATAACAAAGAGATGGCAAAGAAAAGACTTCGTAGCCTCAAAAATAGACTGATGAGAGATTCCGATTTTCATAAAAGGTATGTCGAAGTTATTCAAGGATATATCAAGGCAGAATATGCCAAAATTTTCCATATGCCGAAATTGATACAGTTTGGTATCTTCCTCATTTTCCTGTCATGAACCAGCATAAGCCGGGAAAGGTTCTAAGCCGAGAAAGGTTCGTGTAGTGTTTGATGCTGCAGCCAAATATGGAAATGTGTCTCTGAATGATTGCTTAATGTCCGGACCAGATTTGGTATCGAATTTTAGAATTTCGCAGGGGACGAGTTTCATTGGTGGCCGATGTGGAAGCAATGTTCCACCAGGTTAGAGTGGCACCTCAGGACACGGATGCACTAAGGTTTTTATGGTGGGATGACGGGGACATTTCGAAGGAACCCGTTCCACATTGTATGCAAGTTCATATATTTGGGGCTGCATCGAATCCGTCTTGTGCTGCATATTGTTTGAAACAGACGGCGATGAAATTTGGAAATGAACACAAACCTAGAATTTCAGAAATTGTTAATGAAGATTTCTATGTCGATGACTGCTTGACAACTGCTGAATCAGTCGATGAAGGCATAGAGATTGTCAAGAAATTGACACAATTGATGTCAAAAGGTGGTTTCAACTTGACTAAATGGCTCACCAATAATGATGAATTACTATCTATGATCCCAGAGGAAAAGAGAGCTCAATGTGTTCAAAATCAGTTCATTGATGGCAATGTCAAAGAAAGAGTTCTTGGTATTCAGTGGAATGTGGCAAATGATGAGTTCGGATTCAAGGTTAATATTGCTGACAAACCAAATACCAGGGGAGGTATGCTTTCAATTGTAGCATCTGATTTTGACCCACTTGGTATAGCGGCTCCAATAACGCTACTTGCCAAGTTATTGTTGCAAGAATTTTGCAAGCAAAATTTGCGTTGGGATCAAGAAATTGCAGATGATGATGCTGTTAAATGGCGAAACTGGCTACATCAACTGCAACGCTTAGAACAAGTGAAGATACAGCGATTCTATCAGCCATTTGATTTTGGAAAAGTTGTTTCCTATGAAGTACATCACTTTGCTGATGGATCAGAATTAGCATATGGAGTTGTTTCCTATCTACGAATAATAGATGGAAATGGCCAAATTCATGGGGCATTTTTGGTTGGAAAGGCAAGACTTGCTCCATGTTCTCGTGTAACTATACCTAGACTTGAATTAACAGACGCAGTTCTCGCTGTAAAGTTGAATCTTGTCCTACGGAAAGAATTGAAGATGAATGAATGCATTTCAACTTTCTGGACTGATTCCACAGCCGTACTTCAAAGTATAAGAATTTCGAAGAAACGATTCTCCACATTTGTTGCTAATTGTTTAGCAAAAATTGATAGAGATACCGATGTATCACAGTGGCGCCATGTTCCAACGAAGATGAATCCAGCTGATGATGCTTCGCGTGGTCTTAGAGTTGATTCATATTTAAAGTCAGGACAATAGATCAATGGGCCTGAGTTTTTGCATCTCTCTGAAGACAAGTGGCCAAAGATGCCGGACTGTTTTCCTGATCCACCGTCTGAATTTTGTCCAAGGCCAGTTGCAGAAACAAAGTTGGCATTTGTAATAAAGGAAGAGTCTTTTGTCATGGACAGGTTCATAGGATTCTTTTCTACATTCTACCGTTTGAAGAAAGCAAATTGTTGGCTCATACGATTCAAGAAATATTTGTGTTCTCCTAAGAAGTCAATAGACAAGCTCACTGAATTGCCATCAAGACCGACCGTGCAGGATCTGAGCTATGCTGAAAGAGATTTTATTGAATATGTTCAAAGACAAAGATTTCGTGGAGAAATGAAATGTTAATTGAATGGTAAAGTTATCAGTAAAAGTGATTGCTCTCGCCGGATGTTGAAACTTGGCTTTGTCTCTTGCGACACTGTATTACTCACTGATAATAACATGCCTAAACCGCGCATTCCAGCAGTGAAACAGAGCAATGCTGGTAATGTAGGTAATCAGCAAAGCGACTTATCTCTTGAAGACGGTATCAAGTTACTTGTACAAAAACTGGATGAGATTATGAGATATGTTGAACCGCGCACCAACAATCGCAATTTTAATGGTGTACCACGCAACCCGTGTCCTCGTTGTGGTAAACATGATCATTGGGGCAGGGATTGCAAGGCATGTTTTAATTGCAAGCAGACTGACTGGTCATCTCAAACGGAATTGTCCACATCTTCAGAATTCCGCTGATCCTGCAACAGCTGCTTCTTCTTAGACCGCAAATTTAAACGTCACTCAGCGGACTTGAGGTCCTCAGTGTCCGCTGAATTATTACTTGATGACGAACCAGAATATAGACCTGAATATTTGTTCCTTGCAATATGACAATAGTTAGCATGCGAAGGTACTTGTAAACAATCAACTGTTCAATTTTCTTGTAGATAGTGGTGCTATGACTACTCAGATCGACATTTCCATCTTTAAGGCTATAGGTGGGAAGGAAGCACAATTGGCACCGCTCGAGGAATCTCTTGTTGCAGTGGGTGGACATGATTTATCACCTCTGAGTACATTGGAGGTAGATTTGTCAATTGATTTTTTTGCATCACGACGCACTATGATTGTTGCCAACCTAGGCATGTCTAATGGTATTTTGGGCATGGATTATCTCCGAAAACATGATGGCGTTTTCTACTTATCATCTGGACACATGATGATAGAGGGGCATACAATCAAATTGTTTACTGAAAAGTCTGTACCATGTTGTCGTGTAACTGTTCGAGAAGATATTACGATACCGCCATATTCTAAGGTTGTTATCCCTGCACAACTTAGTCACCCATGGCCGAAAAGCATTGTGTCTGATGTCGCTGCTCTTGTTGAACCGCTGAATTCTTTTTTCCTTGCTGATGGCATTCAACTGATCAACTGGTGGACCCTGGAAAGTCCATTGTTCCCATTCTGGCGATCAACCAGAAAGGTAGACAACTTAAGATCAGGGCTGGATCTTTGCTTGGTATTGCACACCCTCAACTTGTAACACAGATTCAAGTTGACGAATCCGATAATCGGGTTAGAGCTTCTGAATTACCAGAACATCTACATGACATGGTCAATTCCATTGAGGATCTAACCCCGAGTCAACGTGAACAGTTGGTCAATTTGATTTGTGAATTCCATGATGTATTTGTAAGGCCAGATGCTTAACTTGGCCGTACTTCAGCAGTGAATCATAGGATCATCACAACAACACCACAGCCAATTCGGCAGGCTCCTCGCCGAATGGGGTGGACGCGTAGGAAGATAGCCAAAGAAGCTGTTGATAATATGCTGGCTCAGGGTGTCATAGGACCAAGTGATTCCCCATATTCTTCTCCCATTGTCCTAGTTCCTAAAAAGGATGGTTTTACCAGGTTTTGCGTGGATTTCAGATTGCTCAATGACGTCACGTACAAAGATGCATATCCCTTGCCGGGTATTGAGAATATCATTGAGTCCGGTGCACAATGGTTCTCAACCCTTGACCTCGCAAGCGGGTATTGGCAAGTGGAGGTTGACCCTGCAGACCGTGAAAAAACAGCATTCAGCATTCCTGGACGTGGACATTTTCACTTTGTAGTGATGCCATTTTGGTTAGCAAATGCTTCCGCAACATTCGAACGGATGATGGACAATTATCCTTGATGATCTCCTGTGAAATGGGTGTTTCAATTTTCTTGATGTTTTGGCTCATGGTAGTGATTTCTCAATGGCACTCTCCAATTGTCGGTAAGGTTTTATAAGACTTCGTCGTGCCGGTTTACGATTGAAGCCCTCGAAATGTAAACTTTTCCGTCGAAGCACCTCCTATTTTGGTTATCTTGTTCCGTGTGAAACGCCAAATTCTGTCAGCGATATTCGCAGTTTTCTAGGCACAGCGAACTACTACCGGAAGTTTGTTCGAGATTACTCAACAATTGCTGGACCTCTTATTCGATTGACCAGAAAAAATATCCCTTTTGTATAGAGTACTGAATGTCAAAAGGAATTTGATACTCTGAAACACTGTCTGACATCAACCCCAATCTTTGTTTTCCTCGAAAAATCGGTGAATTCGTATTAGGTACTGATGCCAGTGGTTTTGGAATTGGTGCGGTGTTATCTCAAGTGCAGGACAAGCATGAACGTGTACTTTCTTATGCCAGTGAGACTATGTCCAAGTCTTAACGTAGATACTGTGCTACACATCGAGAATTATTAGCCGTGGTGTGGGCTGTTCGTTACTTCAGTCATTTTCTTCTCGGCAGATCGTTCAGAATTCGCACAGATCATGCTGCTCTGAAATGATCGATCAATTTTCGTGAACCTCAAGGAATGTTGTCAAGATGGATATTAACACTTGGCGCTTATGACTTCAAGATTGAACACAGACCTGGCGTGAAACATGGAAATGCGGACGGATTGTCACGCCAAGTTCGCAAATGCAAACGAGAAGATTGTTCTGATTGTGGTACTAATGGAGATGTAATTGTGAGTAATCTTATTGTAAGTGCAATCTTCAGACAGTTCCGATTGTAGATGGCTAGATACATACACAGATGAGCGAATTAAATCTTGGCAAAGTGAAGATCCGGATCTTTCTGCTGTTTTGAAATGGAAACAACTTACTGCTCAGAAACCTGACATTCAAGAATACATGCCTGAATCAACAGTGACCAAACGCTAAATGTCGCAATGGGATTTGATTTTGGTAGATAATGGACTTCTCTATCGTCGTTGGATTCCCGATTGCAAATTAAAGAAATCGCATATCCAATTGATTGCTCCATCAAATTTGAGGCAGGATTTGTTTCATAAGCTCCATTCTTTACGCACTGCTTGTCATTTGGGTGCTAATCGAACTTTCAAGATTATAAGGCGCAGATTTTATTGGCCCGGTTTCAAAAGGGACACTCTGAAATGGTGCATATTTTGTAAGTCTTGTGCTTCAACAAAGATGCTTTACGGAAGAAGCCAAGGAGATCTCAAACAACTTATATCTGGAGCTCCTATGGAAAGGATTGCCAATGATTTTCTTGGACCATTGCCAGTGACTGAAAATGGCAACAAACACATTTTGGTTCTGTCGGACTATTTTTCTAAACGTATAGAATGTTTTGCTTTACCAATTCAGCGGGCGGACACCACTGCTGATGCATTGGTTACCCAATTCTTTTCAAGATTTGGGGTACCAAGAATTCCTCATTCAGATCAAGGAAGAGACTTTGAATCCAAATTGTTTTTAGAAATGTGCCAATTGTACGGTATTCAAAAGCCTCGAACAACTTCATATCATCCACGTTCAGATGGACAAGTTGAACGTTTCAACAGGACTATACAACAAATGTTGAAAGCTTTTGTAAATGAGAATTGAAATGATTGAGACGACTATCTCCCATATATTTGCATGGCATATCGCTCCACTGTACAGAGTATTCACCGAACAAGTTATTGCTTGGACAGTTACAGTTTCTTACCATTTTTATGGATTTTCAATTTTGAAGATGGAAAATTCCTTTGTAATTTCCCATTTGAATAAGGGCGGAGTAATGAGACGACCACGACTCTACCTCTGTTTTATTCTGTATGCCCATATTTCTTCTCACCACTTGAGGGAGCAGCTGAGTATTTAACATTTCCGTTACTAGTCCACTTTCGTAGGTAATTTCCTGTGTGATATCCGTATTTTTATGCGTATTACCATGTATATTACGTGTTTGTCGATAAGATAGGATTTGTGCTGTATTTTCAGTGTCATACCGTTACTAATTATTTCTAGGTATGTTTTGCCTGGTTTTTATATATTCCATTACAGGTCAATAGTTCATGATTGTGACGTCATAAACCAATTCCTATTTTGTGTTCGTTATGTATCTGTATGGTATCTTGTACTGTATTTTTATTTGTTTATTGTATTTCATTGGAGTATTTGGTTGTATTAAGTTCTTACAGGTGTATAATTAATCTAGTTAGTTAAATTAGTTACTCTGCTGTATTTGGAACCGCAAGAAGATTATTTTTTTGATCGACATCTATTACAACTTCAGTGTGCGATAAGCTGGCAGAAAAAACCTAAGTAGTGATACCCAACCTCGTGCATCTAAGTGTAACGCGAACAAGACTAATTTTAGTAGTTTTAAAAGGCTATTGAGGCAGATTTAAATCAGCAGTTATATTCCGAGGGCGCAGAAATCCGATAGGATGTCTCAATCAGTATCGAACCCCGCTCGGTAACAAACATAATATAGACACAACGCACGGTTAGTAAAGTAAAGTTTATTTTGATTTTCCGTAACACTAAAACAAATATATAGACAAAGTCAACACACACACATATAGCCCACGGAAAATCGGGAAAGAAGGCAAAATCTAAAACTATTCAAGACCTGCAAATTTTCAAACGAATCAACTGCAACACAAAAAATGTTATTTACCTAATCACCTGCAAAAAATGCCAACAACAGTACATAGGAGAAACCGGAAGAAAATTAAAGTCTCGTACGTCAGACCACCTTAGGGATATTCGAAAAGGGACTCCAACACCAGTTGCCAACCACAACAGGGAAGGGCACAATATAGACGATTTCAATATCCTGGGCATTGACTCACTAACCCACGACGAACTTTACAGGAAAAACAAAGAACATTTCTGGCTTAACAAAATGAAGACTCGGCAACCACATGGAATCAATAGAAAAGATTAAAACTCAAACGGAGAGGGACTTCAACGCAAATACAAAACCAAAAGACAAACAGTACTATCAAAAAAACAGCAACAACACAAACAAACATGGTTCAAAAGCAAACAAAGGAAACCACACAAATAGATGAACTTCAACCCAACCACATCAGTTAGACCGACAGTTTGGAGATGATATGGATTAAATTACCATAGCATCTAAATCTGTTATAGAAAACTTAATTTAAAAAAATTAAATTCTTGTGATCTTTATATTTACAGTTATATCTTGTATTGTTTGAAGAAGTTAGACCATGATCTATCGAAAGCTCACAAATATACTTACTATTTCGTTGAAAGAGATCATGTTATTTGGGGCTCCCGAAGTATGCGAACCAAGATGGCGGACATCGGAATGTAACATGTGTACTAGGTTAGGGTTAGGCCATAATTTTAGGTATAAATACTACGGGAGGCTCTTGGCTAGTCTTCGAACTGATAATAGGACTAAAATAAGGAAAATTGGAAAGAAATTATCGCCTAACTCTAACCTGTTACCCATGTTACGTTCCGATGTCCGCCATCTTGGTTCGCATACTTCGGGAGCACCTGTTATTTTTACGTATAAATAGTTGCTCGTCCAAAATGCTGCCGACCGGTCGTATTTTTTACAAAGAAATGGCTGTGAAATTACAAAAATTTTTACAGTGTGGATAATCCCGGTCCTTCCAAATGACAATGGCCCCTCAAATATCGTTAGATATCAATGACTGCTTGCACAGGGCCTTATTCGGAGCGAAAGTCCCGAACAAGCTTAGTATAATATATATTAAGCCGAACTTTTTAACCGCCAGGCCATTGATGCTGATGTCAATCATCCGGAAATAGCTGTGACAAAGACAACTCTAACAGTGAGTTGTGTGGTATATTTACTTTTTTTTGTTAACAGCTATCATGCGTTGATAGCATGGATTCTAAAAGTGAGAATAAAGTTTAAATAGTGTTTATGGTTATTACTCAATAATGAATCAGGCAATGATCACACACACGTGAACTAGAAATATAAGTGATTATGCAACTTTTCCGTTCATTCTCACACAAACTTTTTTCTATATTTTTGGATATTCGTGGTATGTCAGAAATATCGCAACGTCATTTATTACCCCTGTTGCAAATTCGATTGGAATTAAGGACTCTACATTGATATATGGCATCCCAAAATTACCGTATTTTAAGGAACATAGGGTGCACCTTAAATGAATTGATTAGATTTGGGTTTTGTAACTACATAGGGCGTTGATAGCATGGATTCTAAAAGTGAGAATAAAGTTTAAATAGTGTTTATGGTTATTACTCAATAATGAATCAGGCAATGATCACACACACGTGAACTAGAAATATAAGTGATTATGCAACTTTTCCGTTCATTCTCACACAAACTTTTTTCTATATTTTTGGATATTCGTGGTATGTCAGAAATATCGCAACGTCATTTATTACCCCTGTTGCAAATTCGATTGGATGACGTATTGAACACGCAAACAATATTTTTGTGGGAAATCTACCTTGTGAAGGAATTACAAGGGACAATCTAACCCGAGTTCCACTATATCACTTTATAGCAGCGGTTATTACCTATTTGGCACTTTACTTAGATTACTAGGTTTACCCCCAATGCACCCAATAAGGGTCATTTACTGGAAAAAGGAATAAAAACTATTCATTATATTCATTTAATGTGACGGCTGCCTTTATTTATTGGCAATTAGCTGTTCAATATCTGATTGAGCGCAGTGATTTTCCACACCAGTACCACAGGGGGCTGAAGAGCCCCCTAAAATTCCAAAAACCCCGATAAGTGTTGGATCATATTTGCCGCAGAATATAACTTAATTCCAATTATGTTAGGTTTTTATAGTATTTTGACTTTTGAATCCTACTTCTATTTCCCCTGCTATAAAGGGAGCCCAGAGGCACGGACTTTCAATTTCACCTTTTATTTACCCCTGCTATAAAAGATTGCTTATAAGCATTTTAAGTCGTAGAAAGTGTGAATCGGGATGAAATTGGCCCGATAATTCTTGCACAATAAAGATTTCTCACAAAAATGTATGGCCACGCCTACTTTATTTGTCTCAAAGCCAATTTAATTTAAAATCATAGTACCAAAATTATGCGGCAATTTTTCGGCTAAATATTTAAAAAAAAATGGGAGTGGGGTGCAGAAAAAGGACTCCTTGCATAACACAGCAATAATCATTAATATTTCTAATACCCGAGTGTGTGAGCGTTGCGTGGTTCAACAGTACGTAACCGACATAAACTCTCTTTTAACTTTATTCCAATTCATTACAGCCCATCGCGTGATAATTATGATCAACAAATTTAAACTATCATCATACGATTTACGTCAATAACCCATTAGATTTCGTGAAACGAGCGTTCGAAACGTTTGCCGTTTTGAAACAACATAACCCTGGTATCAGATTTTTCGCAGTCTAAACATTGCAAACAAAATAGCAATGCAAGAAATAATCAGAAATCTAGCTTGCTTTTGTCTGTTGTTATCAAATTAAATCCAGCACCAATTCGTTCCTTTCAACCTTTATTCTTCAATTTTCCTCTTCAGAAGTTTCAGGATAAAATATTAATAGTAACTCTAGTAACAAATAGCAACTCCGAATAATAGTAACTCTTTACATGTCGTTAGATATCAGTGGTAGCTCATACAAAGCCCTTTCATAGCCATAAGTGTTCCATATATAAAAATAGTAAACAGACGTTCAAATTATTGTTTTTTGAGATTTAGTAGGAAGTTTTGAATCATTTTATTGTCATTGAGTTGTGTGGTCAATTTCCTTTTTTTGTTAACAGCCCTCATGCGTTGGGAGCATGGATTCTAAAAGTGGGAATAAAGTTTAAATAGTGTTTATGGTAATTACTCAATAATGAATCAGGCAATGATCACACACACGGGAGCTAGAAACATAAGTGATTATGCAACTTTTCCGTCCATACTCAGACAAACTTTTTTCTATGTTTTTGGATATTTGTGGTATGTCAGAAATATCGCAACGCCATCCGGTACCGGTATTTGAAACTTGATTGAATAAGATCGGAGTCATTATTACGTTATTTTCATCGATATTTCCAACGAAAATTTATATTTATAATAACTATACAATTCCGACTCTTGGAGTTACAAATCACGTGATATAGCGTAAACCGTGCAAATTTTCAAAGGAGCAAAATTCAACGTGTTTATGTCCATGAATCGCGGTATTTCAATGCATTTTTATGTCTGATATGTTAGTTTTTGGTAATGAAATAAGGGCTTTGATTAAAATTATAATCAGAATATCTTACTGATATATTCAGTGTAAAATTTGCGTTGCTCTGTTTGAACAGAAAGTAAATGATTGACGTGAACTTCCGCGATTTTTTTAAACGATAATAATCACCTATAAGCATGAATGTTTTGGAAATGCGATACTTCGAAATCATGGTGTCACCTATGAACAATACAGCGGAAATTTAGTTAAACGATAGCTGGAATTGCACAGGAAGTTTTGATAATATTGTCTGGTTTACAGCGCCATATGCTATACTATATCTACACCGGCCTATTTAATAAATGTTATCTAATGCCAGGCCTAGACCAAAGCTCTATACATCATTTGGAAGTCAATTTAATTTAATTATCTTAGTTCAACTGTGGCCCAAACATAAGTTCAGCGCACTAACACATGGCCTTGGAATGTTGTGATCAACTGAACAGACATATGCGACCTATATCGCTTGTCTATCTATGAAATCAACGCATGTAACATCGAATAAGTTCATGTGACATCTGCTACTCTACATTGATATATGGCATCCCAAAATTACCGTATTTTAAGGAACATAGGGTGCACCGTAAATGAATTGATTAGATTTGGGTTTTGTAACTACATAAGGCGATCCGGGGTTATAACGCACAACCGGTACTGGTTTTGACAAGAACAGTGGTTCTTAACCTTTTTTCTTTTGTGGCCCACTTTCGTCGCTTAAAAATTCTGTGGCTCACTAACTTTCTTATGCAAGGGAAAAACTACAAGAAAACAACTCTTTTTCAAAAAAATAAATACTTACACTTTAATATTTAGAATGAAAAGCAGCAGCATCATTCATTGCTACTACAATAAAAGTTTGACTATAATGACACAAATGAAACTGAACTTTTAAATAATCATAGTAATTTTTAATAGGCTTGTGGCCCACTTGAAAATGTCTATATGGCCCAGTTGAGAACCAGTGGACAAGGCAATAAGGCATAAAGCACTACCTAAATCAGGGGTCTCCAACACGCATGCGGCCCGCCAGCCAATTTTTTGCGGCCCACGTCATGGTTGAGATTTTTTCACAAAAAGACTAAATTAGTACAATGTCAACTTTTAGTAGGTTTTATCGTGCCATTTATCATCAAGAGTCCGGTCCGACAAACTGTAAAAAGTGAAGCAAAATTCCCCCCTGTTGTCCACGTTCATGTTCCATTATATTTTTATTTCATTCCGCATGTTCATTGTGACGAAATAAACGAGTTTCGGTCAGTCCATTGTGCCCGAAAAAGGTTTGCGAAGCTAATTGCACATTCAATTTGCATACCTGCGATTTTTGGCAGTTCTTATTTTTGCGAACAGTTTTTTCGACTATGAAAGTTCTCCGCACGGCATTTGCATGTTGTCTTGAGACTAGCACGCCAACGCAAAATAAGGCCAAACATCGATACCAAATAACCAGCACAAGTGAATGAATATGTTTCATGTCTCGTTTGCTGTAAGATTCAAGTGTAATTTTAACACAATACATTTAGATACCCATTTTTGTACCTAATTTCTGGGTTTGCGGCCCGCGTGGACAATAAATTTCAATAGGTGGCCCGCGACATGTTTTGAGTTGGAGACCCCTGACCTAAATCTTATATTTGACGTCCGAAATCCTGTATTCGATGTCCGAAATCCTATATTAGACGTCCGAAATTCTACATTCGTCGTCCGAACTCCTATATTGAACGTCCAAAATCCTTACGTTAGGGTGAGGGCTAGGAATGCAGATTGCGCTGAAAATTCAAATGTTCAAATCCTAACCATAAATTCCTAATTTTCAGTTAATATAATTATATCTACCCTGACTGAGCCAGCGAAATCCGTTTCGCCAAGAGCCCCGCAATATTTAAAGCCGACAAGACATGTTTGGCCTTATTATTTATAAAATAGAATTCATGGTGGCGGTTAATATTGTATCAGAATTCCATCAAATATTACTCTACACAGGCGTGGTAATGACGCCGCCGTTTCATAAAGATAGAAAGAGAAGCATTTACCAAACTATCTTTATGTGACGCAACACGTATTCTAAAATTTAAAAGAGAGAAAACAATTTCTCTTTCTGCTCTAGAGTAGTGAGTAAGCTTGCATAGGATATATTCCGATGCGAATAGACTGAAGCTTCATTCTAGCCTACGCTGTTCGTGAATCGACTTTCATTGAAGCAAAGTTGACGAAATTCTTGGATTCGAAATGAAGATTCCGATTCGCCACAGTTTCATCGGACTAATACTGTTGGTGGAGGCGTATTTATTGATTAAAGGTCAGTATAACCGTGCATGCTTTGTTGGACTTGCTTGTTTGCCTGGGTTTTGTTTTTTGTTGGCGCACTATAGAATAATTAATTTTGTTCGGATATTTGATACTTGGTGAGGTAATCCTTACTTTACGTAAAACTTTTGTCTCAGTAAATCAGGCAGAATAATTGAGCTGCTCTAAATGAAGCTGAAAATTGTATGATTGTGATTTTTGTGCTAAAATTCCATAGTGTAAGCGCTGTTTTTTAATCGGCTATTATTAATTGCTGGTTTCACTGAAGCAAAAAATAAAATAAATAATCAAAAACCTTCCCAGCAATTTTCAAATATGAAAATTATTGGTTTGTACAAAAGGTTAGATGTTTAGAAATTGTATAAAGCAGAGGTGTGCAACCTTTAACACAGGAAGGCCAAATACAAATAACTGGGTGAAACCGCGTTGTTCGCTTTGAACAAGCTGGATGTCACGGGCATTGATAATAAATTGATTGGACTCGGGTATACCATTTGCAACGCAAAAGGATTGGAATTACGCCCGCATGCCAGATTTAATTACCGGTAAATTAAAAATTCATTTCTAGGCTGCACAGTGAACATTCAAATTCAAAATTAGCACTTCGCCGTGGGTCGCACAATTTTTCCTTGTGGGCCGCACATGGCCCGCGGGCCACAGGCTGTACACCCCTGATATAAAGAATCTCCCAAAATCGGGCCATTGATATTTAAACAGCATGATCGCTTTAGAGTCTTCATAGTATAGAACCCAAAAATCTAAAGTAACCGTGAAGTGAAACAGTTCTTTTGACTAATTTCAAATCTGTTTTCTCGCGTCACTGCTGCCATATTTGTATCAGAAGAAATATTTATTTATTGCGGCGTAAGGGAAGCCGGTATGATGGTGTAATTAAATGGCGAACCTCGGTCTCTCGATGAGGACCGACATTTGAATATGAAAAATACAGGTTTTTTATATGCTATGCTTTTTCTTCGAATACCTCGTTTATTGTGTCACGTATTGCTGTACCGTAAACAGGGCCGGATTTACCAGACAAAGTAAACTAGAGGTGATGGCATGGCGTTTTCTCATGGTCGGAGTTTCTTAATCTACTTAGGCGATTAGGGACGTATTTCGCCACGCAATTTATTTATGACGCCATAATGTTTTTATGACGTCATTATTTAAGAGGAGCCTCACAAACGGCGCAGTCTAGGGCATCTCATTGTATTTAAAACGTTTTGGTTTTTAAACTTAAAAAAATCGCTCATAGATTAGCGGGCGTGATGACTCATTGTTAAGGCATTTGACTCGGATATTCTGGCATCTCGGGGTAAAATCTCATCCATTTTATATCCAACTACCTCACCCAGAATGTTGTAAACTGAATAAGCAATGCCAATTCAACAAGGTTGCTGCCCATCCAAAATATAGCAGCTAATTACGTATCAGTGACGGCTCGTTTTTTTGTCACTTCTGGACATTTCAGTGTAAATGTCGATATTTTAAACTTAAGTTTAAAAAAACGTTTCAAATGAGGTGATCATCTCATCGGCTTCTCGCACGTATAAATAAAATAATATATATATAAATATAATAAATACGTATACATAAAGGCCGCAAACTATGAGAATTCAACTTTCCCGAGTTCATTGTTCACCAGAAAAATTGAAACGCTACTCTGAAACCAGAAATTGAATCGGCGGTATGGATCAGATCTTTAGCCCATGCCCGCACGACCGCGAAACATTATTAGATTCCCCAATGGCGGGCATAATAATTCAAATTTGATTCGACCAATAATTATCGTTAGTGCTTTCGCATGACGTGGGTATCTGTATAAAATTAAATATGGAATGAGCGAATGCGCGCCATAAGGAAATAGGTACTGAATTAGTCTCGCTATAAAAAAAAGTTCAGTAACATAACTTTCGTTTATCTGTTATAAATCATTTTAAAATGAACAATTCGCTCGATTTCTAATTTTAATATTTTTCCAACAGGAGAGGAATGCTGGATTCCTATGGTTTGCGATGATCAACTTACTTGGAGTGAACTTACGGTGAGAGCTTTAGTAATAGTTTCATATTGGAGGTATTTCACTTTAATCCATGGGAACACTTTTTCGCGGGGAACACCTGCTAAGCTAAGGCCTTACTTTAGCAATGTTCAGCATTCATGCCCATATATTCAAACATTTCTTTCTTGTTCTATTTCATGAGGAACAGTGCACAAAAGAAGAAGAGAAAGCTTTGGAAGGTTTGTGTCCACAATATATTTTCTATGAAATACGTTTTCTATGTTTTCAATTTTCAATTATTTGCCAAATGATCTGATAGCAAACAATCGTTTAGGTACTCCTGAAGTATTCGAACCAAGATGGCGGACACTGGAACGTAGTATGTGTACCAGGTTAGGGTTATGTCATAATTTTAGGTACAAATACTAGGGTCACTTAGCTAGTCCCAAAACTCGTAATAGAACTGAAATAAGGAAAATTAGAATAAAATTATGGCCTAACCCTAATCTGTTCACATATTACGTTCCGGTGTTCGCCATCTTGGTACGCATACTTTAGGAGTACCATTGTTTTATTAGCAAATTTCAATCATTTTATATTTTCAATGCGTCCTTATTAACAATCAAAACATGGCGTATAGTATAGCAATTCCCATCTCATGTTCATATCTTCTGACAAAAAATTCACTGGTACGGATTGTAAAACTGATGGCTCAATTTAAATTCTGTTTTTATTTATGTTTCGCAGTTTTAACGGAACGATTAGACGGGATGAAAAGTGAGCTCAATCAATTAAAAAAGGTGATGGAAACATCAGAGACGAACTCAGTGCCGCCCTCTGTTGTAGGTGTTGAAGAAACGACCACGCCCTCTGTTGTAGGTGTTAAAGAAACGACCACTCCCTGGGGTATGTAAATCTATGTCTTTTGGTATCGCATGCACTAAAATAGATGATAAGAAAACATTGACAAAGAAGATTTTTGAAATATATTCTCATTGCCATTCAGTGTCTCATTCATACCTTGAAGTAACCAAAACTATAAATATTGCTATGAACTTGTAATATAAACTCACTTTTTCACAAAGGATTCAAAGACGAGAAAACTTCTTCGGCCCGTATTTCAACCGTCCCTGCTACAACCCCGTGGTCAACTAAGGAATCCTTCCTCTCTACTTTTCACCCACAATCTACAAAAGTCGAACAGAGTACAGGTTGGTGGGGCATTCTCTTTCTGGTTTTTCACTCGGAAAATATTTCTTCCCTAAACGCGTTTTGGTACGCGTCAAATATCTTAATTGGGAATTCCCCAGACCTGAGGTCCAGAATAAGAAAAATTGCGACACTTCCAAGAAAAGTAGATCCTTATGTATAAGTAATTGTTTTGTCTAGCGCCTTGTTTGGAGTGAGATTTGAAAACGAATCACAAAAACACTAAATGTGTTTGGCTTAATTATAAGATATCAACGTGTTCGCTTAAGATTAATATTGAAAAAATGATTTTCTTTATCCCCGCAAGGCGCCTTAATATATATAGGACGGAACAAAATTGCCTCAAGGTGGCGTCCATCGTCTGATCGCTGCCTCGCTTTATGTCATTAGATAGATGCTGTCGTTTCGCCTTGTGACTCGAGAAATCGGGGTCTGGTATAGTTTTAGTACCACAAGTACTTCTAGTGGGCGTAGCATAGGGAGGCGGTCCCCCCAACCCCTTTTGAAATGTAGTAAATATAAAAGCATCTTTCTGTATCATATACACAGCTTTAAACGCTTTTCAAACCCTCAAGACTCGTGAAAACACAAGTTTTCCGGGCCCGCTAGCTGTTTCGATCTAACTTGGCAAATTGAAATTTCAGAATCCCTCTTTTAAACTCACTGCCTACGTCCCTAGCCCACATGACTATCGATAGTCTGACTACGGTCACTACGCCATACAAAAATCCCAGTGACGTAATAAGGACAGCATTTAACATATACGGACGGTGGTTCCAAACGTGTATACGATCAGCCGAAATCGAGCATAACACGTCGTATCAAAAGCCATACTCTCTCTTTCGTTTTCTTGTCGTTCAATCATTTCGTAAACCTCGAAATTGTCAAATTAGGCTTTTGTTCATTTTGAGCTCTACGATATGATCAAACCATGAGAATGACTTTGTATACGGCGGTAAATTTTTTTTTGCAATTTTAATGGTGGTTGATATTGTTTATATCTTTGAATTAAGTTGGAAAACAAATTAAATTTCTGTGTGTAGTTTGGGATATGGTATACCGTATAGAGGGCTCCTGTAATATTTGTTCCAAGATGGCGCACAACCTGCTAACTCCAACCTGGACCAAATACTATGTTCAGGTTGTGCCCCATCTTGGTACGAATACTATGGGTTTGGTACCACATGCGCTTATAGTTGGCCTGGCTTAATAGATTTTGCATATGACATTTCTTACCCCCACCTGACTACGTCACCAAGAAATTGCGTCACTACGACGTCCTAGTAGCACAATAAAATCCTCCAAAGTGTACGCAAGCTATTTCTCTCGTTTTCTCATTGCAACGATCTCGATATGAGAGAGATGAATTGATAGTTCAGTTCATGGCATTATCATTGAATTACGTCATACCTTCCCCCGCCTTCGTAACAAGAGAGAGAAAAGTGAACATTGTTTCTTTTCTCATATATTAACATTTCATGGCAAGTTGCACAAAAAAATGGTCAGTGTGACGCGAACTGACTGAGGTCGGGATGAACTGTACTAGATTGCTCAAGTTCATCCGGCTTTTCCTTTGTTTAATTTGAGGATGATATCGCATTGAGTACTTTACAAAAAAAAACTGAACTCTAGAACTTTAAACTACCACGCCAAAATACTTTTAGCCAGTGAGGGGATTTAAAATTTTAGGAACTGGTTTTTTATTCCATCGAACTTGCTAACAGCAGGGTTCATTACCTGCACATGTATTTCAGAAAACCGCGCCAAGATCATAGCTCTAGAAACAAACCCCCTAAATGTCACCACTGGTTCTAACAGCATTTCAAGTACGCCTATGATATATATACAGGGCTGCCATAACGTCCTTCTTTCTAAGATTTGTCCTTTTTTTGAAGATCTCGGTCTTTAAAGATATTTTTGTAATCATTTCTAAGAAATGTCCTTATTTTGAAATGTGTCCTTATATTTATTTTCTTTTAGGAATAGAGGTTTTTATACCTGAACTCCAAAAGTTTAACCCTAGGGTTTTAGCAAGTAAAGAAATTTAAAATATTAGGAACGGGTTCCCTTTCGCAATAAACTGACTAACAACAGGTTCCATAATTTCACAAAACAATGCCAAAATTATAGCTTCAAAATCAATAACTATTTCGCCTATTATCGCGACATTTCAAAAAAGATCGTGCGCCCTCTGAGTGTCACCACATTCCAATCATATTTACGCTTTATATCGCAAGTACCGTATATTGTTTTATCATAAGTTAGAGCATAGGTTCTCAAAGTGCTCCAGGGCTCTGCGAGATAAACCCAGGGGCTCCGCGAGCTATTTTATTACTTTTTAAAATACCGACTTGGCTAATTTAAAACTATTCCTAGAGGCAGTAACAGCTTTAATAAAATTTGACAACAATATAGCCTAGAAATATGGCAAAGTGGCGGAATTAAAAAATGACATTATTTATAAGCAGGAGCGCAGCCAGGATTCTTAAGAGGGAGGAGGTTAAAAATTGGAATCGGAAATTTACGCGTAACATTCTTGGCGATTCAAAAAAAACGGATAACGAGATTTCTGTTGCGTAAAATATTCAATTCATGTCCGATGCGAGCATTTGAAGTATCTTATCGTAATAATTTAATTGTGCTCATCGTTACTCACGTTCGATTCGAGATTACCATTAGGATTACTAAAATGAAAGAATACTATTCTAAAATAACATAAACTGCCAACTACAAATAAATTGGAGTCGTATTTTTGCGATCTTGGGATTTGTTAAACTTGATTTTTTCTTTCGCACTCGATATTATTTTTAAGCAAGATATCGCCGTTTGAAAAATCACAAGGTCTTGGAAAAATACGAACGATTGAAATTTATTTTAGCGCATGCGGCTCCGTCGGTAGTTTCAGAATGGAAAAATGGTACATCGCGCGCATAATTAATTGACTGTGTTTCAATTTCGCAGTTACTACGATGCATAACCGAAGAAAACCTAACATAACACCAAATCGAAGTCGAAGTTTCATTTTCAAATTTCTTATCCCCGATAAATCCGAGGTGTAAAATCTGCGGTACCAACAAAGTCAAGTATACCGCTTCACCCACTGTGACCAGAACATCTTTGTTATGACGCCTAATAAGCAATGTTAAAAATTAATTTGTTATTCCCGATAAATAAATAACTCAAAATTTCTTTCTTCATTCCCAGTCGATATCTCTGTGAAAGTTCAATTCAGAGGCAGTGTGATGCCGTCATACCGCCATGAGGAAACGATCACGGTGAGTAATTGTGGATCGTATTACGCTTATATTAATGTTTATTAACCCTTTTATAACTTAATCAGCTTTATTGTTTTACTTTGCAGGCAAAGAATGAGCATGGTGAGATATGGGTGAACCTTTCACGTTATTTCATTTTATAAACTGAATTAGAGTAGGGGGCAACTTTGTAGACAATTTCTGGGTTTTGTAATTTGAATCTTTTTTGATATTGAACTCGTAAACGCAAAAGCCTTTGTTTTCAAATTCGACGTGGCGCGTCCAGTGAAGTGACGTTTTCGCATCCTTGTTTGAATAGTAAATGTAATTCGAATGTTTTAATATAAATATCCACCTTCGAATGAACTCATATGGGTAATTTTTTATTTGATTGATTTTCAGTAGGAAATTAGCTTTTTCATGTATTACGTAAATTTTTACCTCAATCAGAGCTTCCTGAAAACTTTTCTGACCGCAGTAAATTTTCTCATGTGAAAGTGACCCCGACACTAAATGGTTGGGCAAGCCTGATCTGAAGAGTCGAAAGTTAGGTTTTGTTTTTGAAAGCTGTTGTTGGAGTCGATAATTTATCAAACGGAGTCTGATATACCCAACATCAAAGACGAAATTAAAAAATATTGTTCTATTTTGCACAGAATTGAGAGAGAAATTGGCTAAAACTCTGGAAAACGCGTTACTGGATAAGCAGATAGATGAAGTCACCATAACAACCGAAATTTGCCATGGCAACAAGGTTCATTCAACCCATGTCACCAAATTTGACGCAACAACTCCAAATGGGCTGGATGAGGCGACTCTTGTTACCACTGCTAAAGATAATGACATCACTAAAGCCGTTACGCCATCTGCAACAAGAAGTACTACAGAAGTTCATGACGTCACAACAACAACTGTGCTTGAAAACGTGTTCACAACTCGATCGATCACTTCGATTGCTTCCACTCAATCGTTCCAGAAGTCGACTTCAATTGTGAAAACAGGTTGGGTTAACATTTTTTGTAATTATTTTATATAAAAATGAATCTTGGAAGATGGTCTCACGAGTATCATGAAAATCGGTTACCATTCAGGACCACACCTCGATATCGAGTTTATCATAACTTTGGTGAATATAAAAATAAAAAAAAATGATAAAAACAATACTCATTAATAATTGTCTCCTGAACATCTGACTTGAAACTTTGTTGACTGTGATTTTTGTTTTCAGGAAAGTGCGACGTTACTTACAATTCGAAATGTTTTCGAGTGATTGTTTATGACAAGCTCAACGTCACATTAAACGTTGCTAAATCTCTTTGTGAAAACAAACTAGCTAATATTTATGACCTCACACACCTAAATCTGTTGAAGGATTATTTACGCCCATTGATTCCTGATGAACGATCATGGTTCGGAGTTTGTACTGGAATGTCTTACAAGGTGAATCAGAATATTATTATTTAGTCTGAATAGCGTTGCTTTGCTTTTAAAAATATAGAATTCCAGATGAAATATGAAAAATAGTGTCACCGCATTTTATTTGCCAATAAATTTTAACTCTCTTGAGTTGAAAACTTCGGACGGTAGAGAAAATCCCATTCAAATTGCGACTCTCGATTCGAAAATTGAATAAATAGCTTTTGTCAGCGTTTTTGGTTCGGTCAATAATTTCAATCAGAACTTCGGTCTCTACTATTTTACGGGTAGTTTCAATTTTGACTTTGTATGCGACTCCAATACCAGCAAAAACATCAATCTCCCAACTTCATCTCCTTTTTGTGCATTGAATTTAAAGTGTATCTTGTCAACTATTTAATATATATTCCCAGAAGCCATATTTCTCAAAATACTAGAAATATATATTCTATTTTAACAGAACGGTCAACTTTATTCGGCGAATGATCAAGTTATGTCTCTGTCGAATGAGACGTGGGCAGCTAGTTTTCCGAATTCTGATGTTTTGAGAACAACTGTTTCTGTTCGTGTCTATAACGACCCTGGGAACAATGAAGGAATTTTTAATTATCGCCCTGACTGGCTAAATTTCGGAGCAATCTGTGAAAACGATGAATATTACCTTTGACCCATGCATTTAAAAAAATGTGAATAAATTAGAATGACTCTAATCAAAAGTTTAACTTTGGAAACTACTAATCAAGTGTAAAACTGCAAGCCCCAAAAGACAGTATTGCCCTTAATTTTGCTTTATACCGGTATGCACAAATATATTTTGATAGATCCCCGCAATCCCCGCAAATTCGCGCTTGGAAGTTCGCGTAATTTTGAATTTGATTTCAAAATGCACACATTTTCTTAGAAGTTAACATTTTCCTGGCTGCCTCAAAATGAGAAGCAAATTTCATTTGACTGTGCATTTCAAGTGTCCTGCTGCACAGCGCAAGAGAGGGTAGGGAGTATCGCGTAACCGCTCCTGGTAGTTACAAATTTATTATGTTTTACATTTTATTTTGCTTGTGTGCAATTTAATGTGATATACCACTTTTTCTTTATATTTTCTCTATATTGTTCCATGTGTTACACATATGTGAATCTTATACCTTTTTTGGCAAATATTTTTGTCGGAATTAAATTAGTTTACAAGAATATCATTTCGTATTGTGTAGTTTAAAGACATAAATGAAAACTAGGCATAAGACAACGAAAACGAGTTCAAATCTATGGTTATCTTGGTAGATGAGGTGCAAGGACAATCATTCGATCAGACGATAAACAACAATTAAAGCATTTTAATTTTAAGATACGATGCTTACATAACTGTATTCCGAATAGTAATATTACAACTTGAAATCGTGATGAAAATCCGACAGATACTTCACCCAAAACCGATTCGACTCCAGTTACTTCAGCTAAGCATCTGGTTTTGCTAGTCATTCCGGGTTTTGTTTTGCAATTTTAAGCAAGGATTTGCTGTTTTGGATCGTGTAATTCTTGGGTTTTGTGGAAGTCGGACTATGGCTGCGTCGTTGGATATCAAGCTTAGAAGACTTTCCAAGATTTATCACCAAGGGGTATGTTTGAACATTAAAATAAATATCTGAATCATTGCTTTTTTTTTATTCGGTACCAGTACGGTAAGTCAGTGAATAGGAACGTGTACGGAACCGCTATCGTACCGGTACCAGTATCAGCACGTTCTGAACCAGTGAACTGAACTTTTGCACACTGTTCTGATTTTTCAATCAATCAATTTTATTTGGTCACTCTGATAGAAACAAAACACAAAACAACAACAAACAAAATACACAGAACCTAGAAGACGGGCATACGATAACTTAATACAAAAGTTAAAAACGTACAAGTACGTGCCCATCCACCAAAAACAGTCAAAATAACACAATATAAAATCGGGCAATACTTTTTAAATTAAACTTAAAATGTGAGACGTGTATCTGTAATACAACAGTGCTATTCCTACAAAACTATGGAATAAAAAACACTCGCTGACTTAAAATGGTGATGCTATAGGCCTAGTTCAATTTCATTGCAAAAATAACACAGTGAAAAAAATTTTTTACTAAAAAAACAAGCTCGGTAAATAGATTGAATGTTCCATAGCAGTCTATGCACAAACTGACAAATCATGAATTGGGGTATCGGCTTCTTCTGTCGTTTTCGATTAGGTCAATTTAAAATCGTTGTCTCCGTTCCAATGCTTCCAACATTATTAATATTGAATTTCCACGAACGACCACCATTCCAACAGGTGCAGTGGTCCCATCTTTTTTGTGCTCTGTTCCATCATCCACAATTAGATTCATAAAAGGATCTAAGCCTCGCAATATACCCGTAAAAGATCGTCCACCATTTAACTTTAAATCCAACCTTTTATCCATTAACTTCTTTAATTCCGGTGGATGGGCTTTGTTCATGTTGATATAACGTGATACAAATACCGAAACATACAGTGCGTAGCATTTTCTAGTCTTTACAAGCAGAAAGTCCGCATCCAACGACGGCCGGAATCGAAGTGTTTTCGTATGGTACCGTATGTTTGTTTGTGTTGCCTTGTAATTTGTATGCTGTATCTTTGTTTGGTTATAACTAAAAATCTAAATATAGTTACGATAGGCTGCTTCACATTGCTGTGTTACCGTACAACATTATGGTCCATATCAAATAACACAAACAAATCAATAAACAGCAAAAATAGCACAGTCAGGCAGTAAATATAGTCAAAAATCACAGTAAAATACCGGTACTGGAATACCACAATATCAGTAAAATAACAGCTAATATGAATTTAATCTGTAATATCCCAATGTACTCAATACAGCAATAATTGGATAAAAACAGCACATTGCCGGCCCGACCCATGGGACCAAAAAAAATGTTTTTCGTAGCCCATAATTCCACCTCATGGAAATAAAAATCACAAAAATCAAAAAAGAAATTCACTATTTTAACAGGAGACTGTCTCTGGTGTAGTCATTGTTCAATCTAAAGATTCTCTTCCCCATCAAGGTATCATGATGTTCGTTGAAGGTGTCGCAACTCTTACACTGAGTTCGAAAAGTGTCGGAAGATTGGAGGCGATGTATAGCTCAGTGAAACCGTTGAATGTATTTTCACATACATTGGAAATTGCAAAACCGGGAAAGTATGTGTTTTTACTGTATTTTATGCAGATGTTCTCTGTGATATAAGTTTAGTCAAGAATAGGGGCTCCCGAAGTATGCGAACCAAGATGGCAGACATTGGAATGTAATATGTGTACTGGGTTAGGGTTAGGCCATAATTTTAGGTATAAATACTACGGGAGGCTCTTGGCTAGTCTTCGAACTGATAATAGGACTAAAATAAGGAAAATTGGAAAAAAATTATCGCCTAACCCTAACCTGTCACCCATGTTACGTTCCGATGTCCGCCATCTTGGTTCGCATACTTCGGGAGCACCCAAGAATATGTAAGGCTAAAGCAGGGGTTTGCCACTTGCGGACCAAATGCGGCTCGTGGAAAAGTGTCAATTTTGAATGGTATGCGGACAGCGAAGCTCTCCTGTATTGAAGGTTCGGCACCCCTGGGCTAAAGCAACAGTTCCTAACCTATGTGGAATTCCTCCCAAAGAGGGATTTAAATGCCTTTGGGGAAGAATTTTACTTTCTTTACTTTACTGTTCGAAGTATTACTAATATCTTTTACTCGTTAGTATAAGCGTAATGCATAAATTATAAACTACTAAAAATGTACAAAAGCAAGTGTACAAGTTGTGTGAACCGCAAAAAAACATTTCGTGTAAGATCGAATAGCAGATGCAAATAAAGTTTATGCATGGGAGGAATAAGGAGCTTATAAAAAAGGTTTATGGCCGGAATGCGTCAATAAAGATCAGGGACCACTGGTCTTATAAATATCATAGGCTACCCAATAGCTAGGATAGTACACAAATTATCATCGTTTTTTAACTAGGAAGAAATTCTTCACTATGGGAGAATTTTGCCATTGATGGGTAGGAATTTTGCTTGGTATTCACTGTACTAAGTACCTAAGCACCCTTTGAAAGTGCTGCCTTAGTAGACTAGTCAAGTGTACTTTGGAATATAATCTTAAAATGTCTCTGTAGACATTTCAACTCCAGTCCTGATTCCAATAATATAAGGTGGCACTCTATTTTTACTATTATTTAACTATAATTGTTTTTCCATATTTTTTCAGGTTTATGCCTGGAAGAATGGAAATTGCATTTGAATTCCCATTGCAAGCAAAAGGAAATAAAGTTCTTCATGAGACCTACCATGGAGTGTATGTAAACATACAGGTAGGATATAGTTTTTATATATATACAGGGGGGAGAGAAAGCGAAAAAGGCCAAATAATTATATTTCGAACCACAGTCTCTCGCATGGTACCTTACTTATCATGGAGTGTATGTAAATATACAGGTAGAATTTTTTTTGCATCGTTGGGGGGAAGGAAAGCCGATAACACTACTTATCCATATGTGGAACGTTGGCCATGTTCTAAAATTAAACAAGTAGCCTGCCTGCCTATTCATGTTGTAAACAAGTATAAATTTTTTGTCCCATAAACTGGAATCTTTTACCTGAGGCTACAGCTCCAGTGGTTCCCAAACTTTTAGCCAAATTATCAGGAAAAAAGCTCAAGCTGCACTTGCACAAAAAAAAATTGCTGCCTTCAAATAAAACTCCATTTGGTGATATTTAATGTGTACTTTATGCCTTCTAAAAGTTTGTAAGCATGTAGGCCTAAGGAATTAGGGCAAAAAGTCAACCCTCCTTTTTACATCTCTGCCTGATTTTCCTATAAAATACTAAAAAAATCACTCATGTTTGCAGTGCGCAGGGGGCATAAGGTTTGGGAACAGCTGTACTACGGAATTGAAACTGTTTTATTTTTCCAGTACAAGATTCAATGCAATATGAAGCGGCCTCTTCTAAACAAAGACTTATCGAAAGAATGTGAAATACTATTGGAATATAAAACAGGAGAGAACGCAATTACTAAGCCTCTGTCGTTCACTATAACTCCGGGATCACTACAGAATATCAAAGATGTAAGAATATATTCTGATTTCCTGTTGTGGAATGTTTTGAGTGTGAAGTAGGATTTACATATTCATCTGGAAGGAGAGTAGAACCAATAAGGCGGCTTAATCATATGACCAACCACGCCCTCTCGTTTGATTACCAGTCCATGTCGGGTATGGCATTAGTTAGCCAGTTATTTGTTTTCAGAAGCATGGACTTGATGCTGGAGAATGCCGTAACTGACCAGCGGTTACGTGAACTACCCTATGACAGCGAGGAGTCTAGCAATCTTCTCACACATAATTAACTGCCCCACGGCAGCAGGGAGTTCAGCAATACTCTTGCACATAATTTTCCCCCATAGTATTCCAAATTCCAAAATTTTATACTCTTCCTTTCTTTTTTCTACTTATTCAGTTTTTTTTAATTATTCCCACAGAAAACTAAAGTCCCACGTTTCACAGTCAGAGGAAAGCTAGATAGTTCTATGTGCTGCATCACGAAGCCGTTCACAGGAGAAATAGTTGTTGAGAGATCAGAAGCTGTTATCAGATCAATTGAATTGCAACTTCTAAGAGTGGAGACTGTGGGCTCTGCGGAGGGATTTTCTCAAGAAGGTAATTTATTTATTTGAATTGTCATTCAGGGTTCGGTGTCTATATATGACTGGAGAATAGGAAAGATGACCTAGAATGTCATGCTACATCATTGGTTTTCAAATAGGGGTTCCGCCAACTTCAACAGAGTGCAACCTGTAGGCTCTGCAGAGGGATTTTCACAAGAAGGTTTAAAAATAATTATTATTTTGCGTGTTTATACACTTTCTGCAGTACTCCCGTAGTATGTGTACCAAGTTAGGGTTGAGCCATAATTTTATTCCACTTTTCCTTATTTTATTTCTATTACATGTTCGGGGACTGTCTGTGTTAGCCAAGTGAATATACCCCCTGCCCATTGGTTTCAGTCCCTTCACACAACTTGATGTAGAATAGGCGAACAAAACTAGTTACCTCCCTATTGGTACACATACTTACGAAGCACCCTTTCTGCTGCGTACAAGGCTATTTACCTCAGCGGAAGGATTTATTCAAATTTGTACGCTTTGAGCCTTACTTAAGATTTCGTTTACTTCCTTGATTCTGTAATTAGTTGTATTTGTTTGTTTTATCAATAATTTTATAACCTGTTACACTGATCATAGCAGTGGCAACTTCTATGTGAGCCCCTTTTGAAGACTCAACAGTTCCAGCCCTACACTTCTCCTCGTTCTATTAAAGTTTGTAGTTTTTCCTGTGCTCCCATTAGTTTTTTTATGCAGTATGTTTAATAATGAAAGGCCAACAAACAAAATAAAAGAATTATTGCATTACAGTTGAAAAGAATGGCTGTCCAGTGAAGACATTGGGTACTCCCATAGTATGTGTACCAGGTTAGGGTTAAGCTATAATTTTAGTCTGATTTTCCTTATTTTAGTTATATTACGAGTTCACTTAGTTAGCCCCATATTGGTACACATACTTCTGAAGCGCCATTTTGTTTGTGGCCTCCAGGAAACGACTCCCTTGAGAGGCCAAAAGCTAAGGTTGAGAAACCCTGATTGACAGAGTCGAAATGAAGTTATATTTAATAAACTAATACACAATTTCTTTATTTATTGCAGCTACCGAGATCCAGAACATAGAAATTGGCACTGGTGACGTTTGCCACGGTCTTACCATACCAATCTACATGGTGTTCCCCCGGTTATTTGCTTGCCCTACAATAGAGGCAACTAACTTCAAAATTGAGTTTGAAGTGAACATTGTTGTTGTGTTTGAAGATGACCAATTAATTATGGAGAAATTTCCGATTAAACTTACCAGATTTTGAACAGTATGTTTGTGAAGACCTCAGGTTCTTGGCATTTCATCGACGGAGCATTCATATCTTTGCTCAGAGATGAGTCATCTTTACTTCTGTTTGCGTGATTGTAATTCACTATTCTATACAGTAGTGGTTACAAACCTTTTATAGCTTGTGGCACCATTCCGGAGACTTGCAACACTCATGGCCCCGTTTTATATTCTGGTGGTGTTTATAGTGTTATTTTGATTAGGGTTTTCTTATGGTTTTAATCAAGACATGTCCGATGATTCTAATCAATGGAAATTTCACACGCTTGTAACAATTTCAGAATTTACTGTAGCGAGTCTTTAAAATGTGCCTCAGAATGACTCTAGTAAAGCCCAATTCAGGGTCATTCCTGGTCTGGTGTTCGACACATCTCCATTATGACAGTCCCACTTTTGGTAACAAATTCAGAGACACTCCCAGGGGGATACAAGTCAAGTCGATGCTGCTCAAAATCAGTCTGCTTCATAGTGGGTTTTCCAAAAAAACAGTGAAATGTATTAATATGGGCCACATGAACACTGAGAAAATTTCATCTTTTAGTAAACAACCAATTATTTTAAGCATTCAACTAAAATCTACTGTCAGTTGAGTTGATTCAATTATTGCTCAAATCCGACTGAGAGAAATGTTTTGGTGCTTTCTCTGGTTACTTATGATTTTCTTTTACTGATTTATCGCAGTAATGTATCAAGTGCAATATTTAAAATAAAATCAATGTAAACGAATTTTTGTTCATAATTTTGAAATGGGGATAGATTTTTATGTACTATTGCGTACATGTGTAGACTGTACCTCTTCGAGGCCAACTAATAGGCGAAATGGGGTTGTAAGTAAGAAGAGTGTCGTATTCCTGTGTAGAGTGAACGTGTTATTTTGCAGTAGGTGCCATTTACGTAGATACGCCACTGATGGAGTGCGATTTGCGCTTCACACTGACTAGTGTTCCATTAAAAAAGATTGAACAAATCTAACATGTTCGTGTCGACGATAACCGCGGGTGTTGGAAGCGCTGGGCCCGACTGGTGTCGCAATGTGGGAAAATCGACCTCAATCAACTCTTCCATAGTATGATTCTTTATTGGACACGTTTAGTGGACATAACGATCGTTTTCTTGTTCTTTGACACTTTTTGGACACCTAGTGGAAATATTAAAAAACCGCTTTTCTTTTTGATCACTGGACCAATTGCTTTGAAATTTTTAGTGGTTAAATATGGAATTTTTCTCCAGAAGGCTGTTACTTTCATTTATTTCAAATATTTCTGTTAGCTCTGTGAGATTTGTTTTTGTTTGCTTTGACGTCCCCGAACGTTTTGCGTGCATCGGACGCCATTTTGTGTCCAACTGTACTGCTTCGCTTGGTGTGAATATATTTGTAGACTGTGATCTAACGGAACGGTAAACCATACTGTACTGCGAACAGACGTGTCCATATATGTGGGCGTAGCTCTCTTGTTTCTTATTTGTTATTATATATTTTATAAATACCGCTTTTGAGCCCTGCCTCGCAAAGGATGCCAGGGTTACTTTCAAAAGCTCCTAAAACAAAAATGATTAAATTGTGTCTGAGCAGCGGCATAAATTGCAATTAATGCGTCATTGTTAACTTATTGCTGAATTGTAATTGTTGTTAGTTAAACGAGAAAATCGATTCTCGTGGAAACATCCATAAGCGGAGTTTTCAAACTTCTTCTGGAATGGTAGCCTTTACGGTGGCCGCGTATACGAAGCCTTGTCAGGAAGCGGCTTAAAGGTTAACGAAACACGAGTTATAATTTACAGTTTTAAAAAGGGACACGGGTACGCTAAAATGGCATAATATAAATTTGGCCAGTCCGGGTGCTCCCGAAGTATGCGAACCAAGATGGCGGACATCGGAACGTAACATGGTTAACAGGTTAGAGTTAAGTGATAATTTTTTTCCAATTTTCTTTATTTTAGTCCTATTATCAGTTCGAAGACTAGCCAAGAGCCTCCCGTAGTATTTATGCCTAAAATTATGGCCTAACCCTAACCTAGTACACATATTACATTCCGATGTCCGCCATCTTGGTTCGCATACTTCGGGAGCCCCCCAGCCCGAGTTGGCAAAGTTTAGAAAAATTCCGACATGTGGCGCTGAAGAATCATTTCTAAAACAGGAGGCGATATTGTTGAAACGCGCGCCTTACATCCATTACACAATAACGCAACAAACATTTTGATTCAAAACCACCGCCGCGGAACGAGTAACTATGGAAACGTTTAAATTGTTCTCGATTGTGTGAAAACAATTGAAACAAAGAAGTATTGTAGCGTAATATTCACAAGTGGGATTTAAAGATACCGATGCCGTCTTCGGCGCTAAACTGTTGTCTTCGAAGTTACGCTAAGAGCTACTCCTTCAGAAAACGTAAATATCATTAAGTTTTAAGTTATTGGTAGTATTAGGTCCTGAAATTAGTGAACTCATTTTAAAGTGTATTTTTGATCGCTGGGTCGCATGTAGCAATACTTTTCATAAAGTTTTTTCAAAGCAATGATGTCAAATAAAATACGATAAATCACTGATGCATGCCGTCATAAGCACGCTAAAAGCGTACATTAGCGATACATTAATGGCAGTTGTTCAGGGTGCCGAAGCAAATAACTTGGAGGAAAGGAAATTTCAAAAAGCGGGGGGGGGGGACGTTTGCCTATGCCTATTATAGAGAGAGATTTATTGTTTCGTTCACCAAAAACAAGCAATGCAACAAGAAAAATAGACAAAGCAATTAGCGTAAATGTCATTATTTTTGAATAAATGTAGTAGTTTGATGATAAAACAGGGATTTACGCAACCCCTTGTGGGCCTAAAAATAGAGCACAGGGTACATTTATCGTTGAATAGAACGTGGAAATGTCAATGTGGTCGATGTTTCCGTAACCCCAAATACTTTTTCTCCTTGTTTTTGTCCGTAACAGTGACCAATTAGTAATAAATTAACGGACACGTGTATTGTGAACGTAAACCAGTTTGCACGACCAGTTGTCAACTCGTAAAAACACTGAAAAAAGATGGGCGCTCCAGAAGTATGTGCACCAAGATGACGCACAGCCTGGACCCTAACCTGGTACACAAACCCATACTATGTTCAGGTTGTGCGCCATCTTGGTGCACAGACTGCGGGAGTGCTAAATTTTGTAATGGTAATATATGAGAATCATATTTCTAAAATCATGGGTATCGGTCGGAGAGCTCACTGGCAGCCAGAGCTGTCGAGGCGGGTATCTAGCATTCGGCTTCACTACGTATTTCTTTTTGACGTATTTTGAAGTCGTATCGGTTTTCAAAAACTAAGTTATTTTCAGCCGCTACGTGACGTTTGTATTTCTGAATGTTTCTTTCATAATTAAATACTAGATATACTAATGCAAGAACAGAATACAAGAAATATTTAGTCAAATGTAGTTGATTTGTCGATAGGAATCTGACAAAATCTCTCTTACTCAGCAAAGTTGCGAGTACAGAATACATGGGAAAGTTAGAATACATGCCAGAGCTTAGCAATCTGAATAGAATACTAAGTTATCTAATTCGAATCAAGCAGCTTTTCCTAAACAGTCTCGATCGAATCTTTGGCAGACGGCCGTCTTTTGTCTTATTGTTCTTGGTGTTCTCATTGCCAATCAGCAACCAAAATAAAAATAAAGTGGTGTAAATAATGTAATTGACAAATTAATCACTGGATATAATTACTTGACCAAGTCTGGCGCCAATGGGAATTTACTGGCGCGTTATGCACCACCATTATTCTGCGTAGATTAAGTAGCTCTTCGCACTTACATTTTTTTGCCCGTAACTTGGATAAGAGATTGGTCTCCCAAGTACTTCTCAGTAAGTGCGCGTAATCCGACTGTGAGAAATTTAGTACTCCCGTAGTGTATGTACCAAGTTAGGGTTAGGCCATAGTTTCACTCCGACGTTCATTGTTTTAGTTCTATTACGAGTTCGGTGACTGTCTGTGTTAGCCAAGTGAATATATCAGCTCATAGGCTCCAGTCCTTTTACACAACTTGATGTAAAGTAGGCGAACAAAATCAGTTACCTCCATATTGGTACACATACTTCTGGAGCGCCAGAAGTTTTAAAAAGTCTGAATTGTTGATATCTACGATCTAAATCGGCTCGCGTTTGGTGTCATTCATTATACATCCCTCCAGCCCGTTTAAATCTCAATTTTTTTTTCGTTTCAACAGAAAAGGATTTTCACTCGTAAATTATAACAACACCACTGTGTAATGAATTAGGATCTTTTGTAAAAAACCCGCGCAAAAAAAGCACCACCGCCAATGCTCAAAACGAGAATATCGGTCAGAGACCGAAGACCTATCGATCGAAAGTTTGGGGATCCCCCAAAACAGCGCTCTCACTCCATAGTGACACCTTGTGTCCAATCACTAATTAATTAATAACTCGCTAATTATACGACATAATTCATTCAAAATCAATAGGCTTCTGGTCCGACATATGATGAATGCACATGCAAAATCTGGAGCAGATTCAATCGCTTTCGTGAGATATCGTGTGCATTTAACAGAAAAACAGACAAATACCTATCAACATTCTTACCGATTAAAATCGATAATTAATAAGAAATTGAGTAATTACCCAGTTCGGGTTGGGTTCAGAATGCCGATTGCGCTGGAAATACGTATTTTCAAATAATTTCTAACCTTAACCCGAACTAAATAATTACTAACTTGTAATTTTAAAACGTGTCGGGGTACGCGCCATAAATTATGTGTATTTATCGGAATTACGCACGGGCCATACATGACAATAGATTCTATTATGTTGGAATCCGGTTCTGTTTAGCTCATGTAAGGTTAGCTTACAAACGAGTGCGGATTATTTGCACAAAGCCCTCGTCACTAATGCAAAAATGTGACGCCAATTCTGATCTGTTTTTTTTTCGTAAGGCGAGAAATGATTTGAAACATTGAACTCCCAGCACAATCTGCATTCCAAACCGAAACCCTAACTGAATAAATACTAATTTCTTATTTTAAGCGCCGCGGGTGTTTTTTAAAGGGGACTTCGTACAAAAGATTCGTTAATTTTACACCCGCGTTGCATAAGGTGTGGAATAACGAATCAGGGCGGGTTAAATGGTAACTTAGTCCATAATGCGTTTATGTAAAGACAGTTACAGTTCCTGACAATGACAGGATTGCTCCATAACTAATTTTTTAATCTGTTTTTTTTTTGTTTATGTTTACTGCTAGAATAGGTGAGTTTTTTGCTCAAAGTTCTAATTTTCCCAACGTAAGATGACAGATCAGAATAAATAGTGAGGCATTAATAGTACGCATTGCCAAATTTATCCAATCTATGACCCATTTATTATTGGACGCTCCAGAAGTGTGTGTACCAATATGGAGGTAACTGATTTTGTTCGCCTACTTTACATCAAGTTGTGTAAAGAGACTGAAACCTATGGGCGGGGGGTATATTCACTGGGCTGACCTGACACAGACAGTCCCCGAACACGTGATAAAACTAAAATAAGATGAATCGGAAAAAAAAATTATGGCCTAACCCGGAACACACACTACGGGAATACCCACTATTGGGTGTTAGACGTATATATACTGGAACAAGTTATATTATTGTCCCGCCTTATAGCCAATCCCAAAAAATACGGGAAATCAGTGGGACCATATCAGGATACTACCAGCGATGTATTGTATTTGCTTCCGCGATTGCAAATATAAATCATATCAGCATTACTGTGCGCCAAATTAGTCCAACGCTTCCACAAATTAGGCGCATTTTCTTGATAATGAACGTGCCATGGACAGGCGACATTTGAAAATGTCTACTACCTGATATTGCATTGCCACTAATTATATGACATATTTTCTTTTTGATTGTTTTTATATTTGTTAGAATCTGGGCCGATAACACATCAGAAAATTAGCGGTGGGGTCATAACAATACTTCCCTCGCGAGATATGTACAGAATTATATTTAGATTTAGTTGGGTAATCTAAACTGTTACTAGTTGTTATATGATAGCAATACTAATGTGTGATAAATTACCTGAATGCTTCGTTATGGGTTGGGAAAACTTAGCAATGTGTGCGATTCTGATATTTCTCCGTCACCAATGTTCTAACCAGCTTTCATTGGGAGGTTTTGCTCCGCCTTCTAATTTATCAAAACCTAAGATAAAGGAAGAGATTTGGTTTCTGCGAGCTAACTACTTTATCCTTCTTCTATGCTTTTGTGCCGGTGGATCCGTATGCATATATTGCAAGGATGCTGTAGCAAGAGTAGAGATAACAATCGCAAGTGATTCAAGAGTTTTGCTGCACACTAACACAAATATATTTCTGTAACGTTTCGTCTGACCAAGGTCAGATTTACTCAGGCATACATAGTTCAACTATCTATAGTTTGTATTTATCGGAATTACGCACGGGCCATACATGGTAACAGATTACATATCTGTTCATAGTTCAACTAACTATAGTTGAACTATGTATGTCTGGAGAAGTCTTAACTTGGTCGTACGAAACGTTACAGAAATATATTTGTGTTAGTGTGCAGCAAGACTCTTGAATCATAAAGGAAGGGAGATCTACGAATAATTGGTGGGGCGATATCAGGATATTTTTATACGATGTATGTATAGAACAATATACAGTTTGAGTTAGGAAAGCTAATCTGTTACCGATTGTTGACAGAGTCACCAAAGACTAACACACACTTAAGGTTTTGTTAATAGCGACTTAAGAGGATTTCAAGTGGCATGATTTCACAAAGGGTAGAGTATACTTTACAATGCTAAAAATAGTCGTTAAAATTAACTTTACTCGAGTGTTATTTGAATTAGAAAAAGGGCACCAAATACGTATTGATTACTGGTTGTCGTTAATTATTTAATTAGCCAAATTTAATAATTAGTGCAATAGCGGAATCGCATTTCGTATCCTAATTATTATTCACTGTTTCCGTTTGTCTGGGTTGGTTCTACTACGCCTATTGTGAAACAAAGAGGCATTTACATACAATTCACATTAATTTTACTCATTTTTACTAAATTATAGATAAATAAGGCTTCCATCATGGCTATCCAAGCTTGGGGAAGTTATACTTTGCGATTTAAACTCAAACTTAAGCTTGAACTAGGGATGGAATAACCCATTTTTATCTGATGGATTTTAAATGTTCCAAATCCCCTTAGCAACTTACGTAAGTGCGTATTGACTTTTGGGGTCAGATTGTTTTGTTTTTAGTTTTAGTGTGAGAGATTTAGTAGCGAAATAATTCTCTGTATCAGGAACGTCCAACTCGTTAGCCATGTCCAGTCGATAGTATTTTTTTCATATACCGAAAATACGAAAGTTTACGAACAGTGATGTAAAATTAAATTTATGAGACGCGATACACCAGTAATGGTTATTGAGTAGCGTCACATATGAGGGAGTTTAACATTGAATTATACAACGATGAAAAAAAAGATGAACGATATTTACTAACCGAAACCGGTCTTTTTAAGTGACCTTGGACTTAGGCGATCTGGTGTTTCCAGTATCGCTCGTGGTGATGGTATGGAGTCGGCGTTTCAGAAATCAGGATGTAATTTTAAATTTTGATTGTTTTGAATTAATCAGATCCATGAACGTCTATATACCAGGTGGTCGCTAGGTAGGTCAGATGAGATCACGAATAAAATACGGTCATACTTATTACTTTTTCGATAAGTTTTTATTTCAGGTTCTAGTTTTCATTGGGTTGATACCTTTAAGTTATATTTGATTTCTATACATGTTATTACTTATCGATTTTAATCGATAAGTATGTTGATAGGTATTTGTCTGTCTGTCTGTTAGATGCACGCGATATCTCACGAAAGCGAGATTGAATCTGCTTCAGATTTTGCATGTGCCTTCATCATATCTTGGACCTAAAGCCTATTGGTTTTGGGTGGCACAAAGTGTCAATATGGAGTAAGAGCGCTGTTTTGTGGGATCCCCTAACTTTCGATCGATAAGTCTTCGGTCTCTGACCGATATTCTCGTTTCTTTTTCGATAAGTTTTTATTTTGTTTCAGGTTCTAGTTTTCTTTAGGTTGTTACCTTTAGGTTATATTTAATTTCTATACATGTAATATTAGATATTAATCCCATTCACATGTATAATACAAGATTAACTGAACTTTCGGTAGCATAAATTTTATTGGATTTGTGAGAGAAATAGTAAAGCGGATAGAGTCCTCGTATCAGAATGAGTTGAAAAGTTGCTATAGAATTTTGATTCCTCATTTGTTTTATTCAATAGGGTCGTTGTAATCACTTGTCAAGAGTCTTGTTCTGAGCAAAAGTGTGGAGCTGTCCTTGCCTGAAGTAGAGCAATTAATTATGTAATAATTAAATATAATATTTCGTTATAAACGTTTTCAATAATTTCTACCGTATTCGTCAGTTTTCAGTTGTGTTTTGGGAACTTAAATAAAAATCAGATAATTCAATGATCACTCTGTCTTTCTAGGAGTTTTAATTTAATTGCAGTAATAAAAATTAGGCTGTGATAGACTAGCCTGAAATTCTTTACCGGTACTTTTAAAAAACAGATTGTTGTATGCGATGAATCATAATGATGGTTTGAAACCCCTTCCCCTCATTTTACAGACGCCAACTCGCAAAAGCACTCTTGAAATAGCCTAGACAATTTTGCAATGGTGAAGTATAGGGAAAATTTTCCGAGAGTCAAAGGTCGGGGAAAGGTCCATTGACACCTGACTTGAAATGACTTTTGTCGTCTGGGGGAAACGGATTTCAAAACGTGAATTCCAAAAAATAAAAGTTTTATCATTTTTTCTCATAGTCTAAGACCACTTTTCGAAATGCTCAGATTTTTTCATTATCAACACAAACATTTTAAGACAGAAATTGATAGAAGTGCAGGACAGAAACCTTGTAACACCCTAAGAGCACTTCCCGTAGTAGTCGGTTTCTTAATATCAAGTCAATGATCAGAGAAGCTTCAATTAAAATGACAAAATTTCACATCAAGGCAACAGATGTCTGAGAGCCCTCGATGACATATAGGAACAAAGATTGACACTAAAGTTTGGGATTTTATTTTTTGCAGTCAGAGTAAAAAATAGCGCATATCATTAACGAATTACCCCTTCATGCAAAAGAGGGGGGGGGGGGGTGTTCGTAGGTTAAACCGTAACAGCAGGTTTGAAACGTGCGTTTTACTAGTCTACGTCTCAAGCTGCGAAAAATTGCTATTTATGATACAGAAAAATGCTTTTTCCTACACAAGAAATATGGAATTCCGTGGGCAGGACAGACACAATGTTAAACCCTAAGAGCAAATGACAAAATCTCACATCAAGGCAACAGATGTAGAAGAGCCCTTGATAGTATACAAGAACATAGATTGAACTTCAAGGTCGGAACTTTATTGTCTTCTATTTGTGGAGGTAGTTAATGATATTACGTCATGGTACTTGAAAAATGAACTCATCGATAAGATACTGAGATCTTTAGCGAATTGTGTACCAAGTTAGGGTTAGGGCTTAATTTTATTCCGATTTTCCATATTTTGGTTCTATTACGAGTTCGGAGACTGTCTGTGTTAGCCAAATGAATATACCCTCTGCCAATAGGTTTTAGTCCTTTTACACAACTTGATTTAAATTTTTTACCTCCATATTGTTACACATACTTCTGGAGGGCCCGTGTTTCAGTTATTGAATCTTTTGTGCAAAGCTCCCGTCACTAATGCAAAAATGTGAGATTTAAGAAAAACACCCGCGCCACGTTTTTAAATAACAAATTAGTGATTATCTACTTATTAAGGTTAGATTTAGGAAGTATTTGAATTTTCAGCGCAATATGCCACCACATGACCAATCTCAAAAGCCCAGATAAAGAAGCTCTAAAGTTCCATGAATATATATATATGACCCAGGGTCGCACTGAACACTTGAAAGTTGTCTTTGGGGTCGTCCTGAAGAAAGCTTGGGAACCCCTGATATAGACTTACAATAGGCAACAAATATAGCATTATGTTTTATTCTAGCTCTTGGTATTTCTGTCGCAGCCCGTGATATTCTACACACACGAAGTTCGGAGCGAGGGCGCGTGTTGTTGTTTTGAACAAATTCGTTTCTCGCGTGTTTGGAAAATTTGTCGTAGGAAATCTCGCCGCGGGAAATTTCGGCGCACAGGAAAAATCGCAAAAGCATTTTGCTGTAAAACAAGTATTTGAGATTAAAACAGTTAGTTTAATAGGGTTAGGGTATGCTCTTAAAAAAGGGATCTCAAATAAGGCCATTTTTCTTATGGCGATTTTTTCTATGCGGCGAAATTTCCGATTTGAGATTCCCTGCGGCGAATTTTCCTACAACCGTTTCTCGAGCATGTCTACAACTGTTAGCGTAATGTGGTAATCTTTTGTATATTATTCACTATATAATTCTATTTATTACTTTCAGTTTTTTCATATAGTCTACAATAGGTAGCATTATAACTCATATTATCATAAATCTACAACTAATGGATATAGCATTCACATAACCACTGCCCTCCAATCAACATGGCGTCTGCAACCCTGCCAGCAACTTCCGGGTCACTTCCTGGTTCGAGGTCAAGTACTAGGTCACGGCACAGGCGCAGTGCAACACTGCCTACTCGACTGCCTTCTATAGTCCCAAAGTCGACGTTGGTTGCTCCGAAGCTACACGATATCGAGCCAACTAAAAGGTAAAAAATGCGTAAATATCACAAGCATTTTATAGTTATTCCATTTTTCTGTTAAAATAATACGAAACCATAATGTAATAGTCTCGTGCGAATTTTTAATTGGTTTTCCACGACTTCTCTCCAAACGAAGCTCGGCACGGACGCCATTTAATGTCTAATGAGCTACTTTTTTGGGATAACCAAAATTCTTCAGGGTCGGCATTTCGGTACTCCCGTAGTATGTGAACCAAGATGGCGGACACCGGAACGTAGTATGTGTACCAGGTTAGGGTTAGGACATAATTTGATTCCAATTTTCCGTATTTTAGTTCTATTACGAGTTCGGGGACGAGCCTAAAATTATGGCCTAACCCTAACCTGGTCTGGTCGTATCACTCCTTCCTGTCTATACCAAAATGATGTTTTACTTTTTTTTCAATATTACGATGACGGTTTTTAACTTTTGATTGACGAAAAAATAAATCTCTCTTTCTCTCTCTTCACAGGATTGATGTTCTACATCCTCCCACAGTTCCAAGGCGTACAGTATTTCTTGAAACATTCGACTCCCATGACCACATGAGGCAGCGATGCCAGTTAATGCAACGACAACAATGGTACAGATACCATGGCGAATGGCAGAAACCATTATATGGAACGCCGGCTGTTCGAGAATCTTATAGGTATAGAAAATGTTACGAATTAAGTAATAAGTATGGCAGACCCGACCGGTTGGATTTTCATTCCAGCCTGCCTGATGCTGTCCGCCTGCTTTTAGCCAATTATGCATGCCCTACATAGTTGTTGGTATTTCAAATATGTATGGTGCAATAGGCTTGTTAGATTATGATCGTAATCTGTGCAAGTTTCAATTTAGTGTCGACAAAGTTTATTTGGAGCACCAGAAATGCACCAAGATGTCGCACAACCTGAACATAGTAAACGTGTTCCGGTTAGGGTTTAGGTAGTGCGACATCTTGGTGCACATACTTCTGGAACACAGATTCAGATTCAGATATTTATTTTCGTCATGCAAAAAACAACTGTTTAATGTCCCCATAACGCTCTCTTAACGTTCCTTTTGTTCATAGCTTATGCATTCTTGCCAATCTGAACATAAAATGTAAACTTTCACCACACACTTACATGGCCCGCCGGTCTAGACGGGCAAAATTTTTGGCCCCAGGTTCAAAAACTTTGCTCGTTTTTAATTTAGCCTCTTGTAAATTGACCTAATACAACGATTACTCGTGTATTTTTCTCCGATAAAAACAGTCACTGATACCTAACAATATTTAAAAAAATCTTTATTATTATCAGAAAATATCTATGGAGTCCGATTTCGTCCGAAAAAAAAAATTTTCAAAATGCTTTTATCAATCTCACATAAATACTTTGAAATCGGTGTAGTAATTAAATCCCAAAAAAATAATCTACTTATCGTGTAATGGCCACTCCCTTCACAAACCTTTCTGAAGCCCAGCAAAAGTAAAAATTTTATTTGAATGCTCAATATTAATATAAGTTCGGGTTCGCGCTCGTTTATTTCAGCAGCAGAAAAACATTTTAAAATTGCCAAACGATTTTGAAGTAAATCTCATGTCATGTGATATTTTCGAATTTTTAAATCAGTTTTTCCTTCTGAATTAATCGGCCGCTGACCCGAAGACTATCACAATCATTCGCGATTGCAATGAATTTTTGACGTTATTTCTTATTCGTATATTTACATTTTTTAATGTCGTTATACACTTTTACCACTTTTTCTGGTACTTCCTAGTATGTGTAGACTGTCCGAAGACTGTCACAATCATTCGCGATTGCAATGAATTTTTGACGTTATTTCTTATGTGTATATTTACATTTTTTAATGTCGTTATACACTTTTGCCCCTTTTGCTGGTGCTTCCTATAGTATGTGTGCCAGGTTAGGGTTGGGTCATAAGTTTAAGCCGATTCTCTTTATTTTAATTCTATTACGAGTTCGGGGACTGTCTGTGTTAGTCAAGTGAATATCCCCTGATAGGTTTCAGTATCTTCACACACCTCGATGTAAAATAGGCGAACAAAATTTGTTACCTCCATATTGGTATACACTCTCTTTTTCTTTTACGATAAAAATTAATATCTGAATCTGTCATAATAATTTCAGGTCAGATATAAGAAGTGTGCTGAAGACACAAATGGAAGATCGACAAACTAGAAGAAAAAGGGATTGGGACAACGCCTTGTATGAAAGTATACAGGTGGGCATCTACCTATAACTATGTATATCTTCGCATATAAGTTGACTCTCTATAACGCAACTAAAACGATAAATTTATATAAAAAAAAAGCAAAAAGCCGACCGTACACAAATCGTAACACGCCGTAAGCACCTATAACAGAAAATGGCTACAGAAGAGAATTAATGAAAATCATTATTGGTATGTTATGTGTAGTGAAACCATACGAGGAAAACCCATTTAGACTGTTTTCTAGGCTTTTATTAACTTAAAGATCACTGCTATACTAAAACAAGAAAAAGAACAAGTTACAAGATGTAGCAACCTTGACGCACGCTATCCAAATAAAACCCAACTTTGCCACGCGACTATTAACATTTCAGATTGCTCGGCGATGGTGCCACGTTGGCCACATTAGGTGGCGCTAATTCAATTTCATCACATTATGCGCCGACCCCTTAGTTTGGTAACTCTTTTAAACCTTTTTGGAAAGAATTTTAACTTCAGTTTAAATGCGAGAATATATAGTTAGTAATAGAGGTCGATTCACAGAAAAAAATTTATCTTGCCTCATTGGCTGTTCGACCCAGAGTCGTGCTCAAAGCGGAAGGGTCGAAGCAAATCTTAAAAACTTTCAAATTTGTCATACATTATCGTATTTTACGGACCACAATGAGCACCGGGTTATAAGGTGCACGGTTAAATAATCGCTTTTTGTCCTTACATAAGTTGTATCGGACTATAAGACGCAACCTGGTACTGGTAACTTGGTTTGTGTGTAGGCAAAAGAGCACTACCTGATCCATACATCAGCCGCATCGTGTTGTAAGACACTCGATCAAGTTTTGAAAATTTGAAAAGAATTTAAAGTGCACCTTATGGTATTCGTACCAAGATGACGCACAACCTGAACAACCCTAACCTGGCACACATACTATGTTCAGGTTTTGCGCCATCTTGGCACTAATACTTTGGGAGCATCCCTTATGGTCCGTATAATAGGGTAGTTTGGTTTATTACGTTTCCCCATCCTTGAAATAGCCGAGGCACGGTTACGTCTTCCTTTACTATATATATTCGAGCATTCGATGAACACTTTACTAGTTTCTATTCTATTTCTAACAAAACCTAAATCGATGAACAGGCGAGAGGCAGTGTTTGGCCGCCATATGATTATGCCGTCTTATTGAATATCATTCATTTTACGCAAAGTAAATTTGAAAATCGTATTCCGTTGTCGCTGAATTAATTTTTGAACAATCAACAAATAAAAAGCAAATTCTAGGGTGCTTCCGGACTATTCGTACCAAGATGGCGCACAACCTGAAAATAGTATGTATGTGCGTCATCTTAGGATGAATACTTCCGGAGCGCCAATTCTGAGGCGCTTACCACTCCATGGCAGCTCCTGCCACAAACGAACCGAGGCAGCTCTTGCCATGGTTTTATAGCGCTATTCAGTATTTAGTAATCAGTATTAACGGTATATTCACAAATAAATGTACCCAATTTCAATTAATCATGCGGAATATATCTACTCAAACCCTAAACCTAACTCTAAATCTATCAAAACTGTATCCATAAGAAAAACGTCCCAACTCACCCAATATTTATCACCATAAGGGACAGCCCTGTCTTTACGGCCCACCTGCCGTGGTTACGGCAGAAAAATTTTACCTGCCATTGGTTTTCAATTTGCTGTCGCGGTAACGGCAGATCGCCGTTTGTTTGTGGCAGCTAAAAATCCAGTCGCCATAGGTTTGGCCGTAGCGGTCATGGTATGGAAATACCGCCATGATTTTGCGGCATCTGCAGACGCCACAGAATACTTAAAACTGCACTTGCCAATTCTTGTACTAGCCCCTGTTTAAGTCCGCATTGTTTACAGATATTGTTCCAATCTGTTTCTAGTAATTTCTAGAACACTAGCTTCTTACGTTTGAGTGGCTTCTTGAGTCTGGTTCGGAGTGATAGAGTGTGATAAAAAATACTCTTCTTTTTTTCAGGCGACAAATCGGGACCGAATGGAGGCAGAAATGGACATGGAGAAACGAAGAAATAAAATGAGACATTTAAATACTTTTACGCGGGAAAATAAAAGAGTAAGTTGTTTGTATTTTGATATGAATTGAAGGTTACTTCTGGGGGGAATATCATTTGGGTAAGGGCTGTAAACTTTTGCCTGGAACTTACGAAGTATTTCTCAATGGCTGAAGTGGCGGGTATAAAGTATGTGGCTGGGGTTGTAAGCTTGCCACGTAGTTGCGTTCGGCGCTCTAATCAAACTAAATATTAGGTGAAATGAAATTGAATTTTGGGTACCTATAGTTTAGCGACTTTACGCCGAAAACGCGAGAAAAGTATGCAATTTTTTCAAGCAAAGTTTAACATATACATGTAGGAGAGAAGCTTTTTTTTGTTTCTTATCCTCTACTATTGTCTAGTTCAGTGGTTCTCACGTGGATGGAAAGTAAACATCCAAAATAAAGAAAAGTCCAAAATAAGGCGGGCAAAATATAATCTAACAAATATTTTTATTCCTAATTAGCTTCACGTTCCTTCAAAAAATTGTCTACATCGCCTTCATGGAGCAAGCCCCTCCGTTTCAGTTGTAGGATTCAAAAATTTAAACCAATCTAAACCGATTTTGAACTAGTTATCAACTTATTCTCAGATTATGGAAGAAAAATGGCAAGAACGAACCAGACTTCGAACAGTTGAGAATAAGAAAGATCTCGAACAATTGCAATACAATCCTATAAATTGGAGCCACACACTCAAATAAGCTACCATTTATGGTGGTCGGATTCATGCGCACGTTTGGACAATTTGAACAAAATCCCCACCGCCAAAGCCTATTCGTTAAAATGCCCGCACACACAACCACACATACATATAAACAAATTTAGTTAAAATGTTCACACGCTACCACACATACACATAAGGTTAATATTTATGGCTGATAACTATTGGTGGATATAAGTTCTAATGACTAGAAACATATTTTGGCCGCCGTTGCATGTTTATAGACACACCCAAAAAAAGTTATATATTGTGGTTATATACAGCAGGGTGTCCATAAAGTTCCTTTACAATTTCAAATTTATTATGAAGTCAGTTCTCTCAGTATCTTAAACCAGTTTTTTTAAATGTCCAAGTATTTTTACTTCATTTAATACATCTGCGAGGGCCAAAACAATATATGGTAACGATAAATTCTTTTTGCAATTTATAAAAAAGTAAAGACTTTATGGATACCCTATATTTCGACAATTCAAGTTGTAACGAGAGACTGATCAATTACTCGGAATTAGCTTCCTAAATAGCTGGAAAAGCTTTGGTGAAGAATTACAAAATTCTACTATTCAGTTAATTTGCGATTTTTTTCATTCCCAAAGAAAGCACTAAAGGACACACACTGGAAATAGCCTGCTACGGAAACATCGCCCGCAACACTACCATTCTTTCCATTGTTGTAAAACGATCTGTATGTAGCTTTATAAATGCCAGCACACAGAGGATAACTCGGTTATTAATTGATATTTCGTTTTACTTTACGTTTTTCATATGCCAGTATAAATATTGTGGTATGATGATACTAAAAAATTTAAATCCCCCAAAATACTTGCCTCTCAAGCCCTCGTGAAAATTTCCTATATGGAATATTTACTAAATTTAACCCTTACCTATAGCACTATCAAGAGTCCCTGCATTAATAATTTCTTCAATGCCAAATATTTGTCTCGCTGGCGGTTAATCACGAGTGTTCGAGTCATGCTGTTCAGATGACTCGAATTCAACTCGAGTCGAGTCAAAGACTCAAGCAACCACTGGTGATAACTAATCGAAAAGTTCATTTTTGACCATTTTCTGCCAATAATTTATAACTGTGCTTTTTTTACCAAAATTAGACAATTTTTTTAATCTTTGCATCACTGTTGAAATTTTACTATAATAAAATAGATAAAAATAATGAATTGAAAATTTGAAATTATGCCTGTCTTTAGGTTTATTGAGGTTTGTGTTGTTTTTAAGGGTAAAATTGGGAAAGCGAATTGTCGAAGCAATAGTTTCCCTTGAATGAGGAATGCCCAGTAAGCGCGTAAGTCGTCGACTTGTGTTTATTATGTCTCGCACTTTGTACCTACCGCCCGTCGCTACTACCGATTGAATGGTTTAGTGCAGGGCTACTCAACTGGCGGATCGCGGTCCGAATCCTGACCTTTCGGGTATTCGATTCGGACCTCACCTAATTCTTTATTTTGGATTATTAGCCCCACTTTTGAAGTTTCCTTTTATAAAATCACTTTCATAGATTTGAATACTGTATATATGTAAAGAACTATAACGCCATAATAAACAATCTTAATTAGCTAATTTTCCCTAGCCGACCGAGGAAGCGCGTGTTCAAGGATGCCGAAATATAATTTCTGGAAAGACCTGACCCAATATTTTTAAAGTTTTGTATGCGGATCTTTGGTAAAAATAGTTGAGTAGCCCTGGTTAGTGTACCTATCATATCAGTACAGAAACGCTAATCTGTGCCATGAGTTGAATTTCCGTTGGATAATCTACTGGCTTATTCCTCTTCTATGACTTTCAACTGACGGATCTGTATGCGTATAATGTAGGGAAGGGCAAATTACGGCCGCGGTCGTGTCCGGCCCACCGGTGTGTTTCATCAGGCTCACTCTTGTCTGCTGAAATTAAGACTAATGTTTTTATAGAAATCCGTTGACAATTACGTCATAATGACCCTGATTGTCACATTGTGCTTATTATTATTATATAAACGTTAGCCTGGCTCATAGTTTATTATATTGAGACGCTAATCACAACCAGCTTTTTACATGGCATTCTATCAGCCCTCTTCAAGGAAGGCTATTTAATTTATAATTGTGAACTATATGCGTCCTTATTCCCAATCTGATTTTTATATTTATTAGACCGCCATGGGAAAGGCCTTTAAAATAGTGATTGCGGCTATATATCTATCCTAACGGTGCACAACCTGCGACCGTTGTGAAAAAATAATGCGGCCGTCCACATACAAAATTCTACGAAAAAAAAAAGTTCAAAATATAGGATTTGGCGGCTATGCTTTGCAAACTTTTATAGAATGATTTCATTAAAATATTTGACATTTTATTAAACTTTTAAAGACAAGAAAATAGGAGTGACCGCCCCTCCCCCTTCCCCGACTTTCGATTTTTCAAAATTGTGTAACCATAATCCAACCTGCTGCAAAATATCCGCTCAAGAATAGATCCACGGAAAAGTAAAATCTGTTCAAAATGCGAATATTATACTTCCAAGTAGTCATTCAATATTGGGCAGACTGCACTTTGCATGGGTAAAATACGCGGTTATGACATCATAAAAGCCAAAAATTCAACCCCCTGGGGGCCGTATTGAACACAAATAAATGCGATGTAGCCGCCAACGGCAAAAAGGTTGTGCACCACTGATTTATCCTTATTCGTAATTCGCTTTTTATATGACAGCCCAACCTCTTCAGAGGGAGCCATTGAAATGGAGATTGGGCCATACTTCAATTTCTATCCCTAACCCGTTTTTATTCGACATATCAATAGCCTTAAGAGAAGGTCATTTAAAATTTAAGCGGAGGTTGTGACCATTTATCCATTCCTGTTCCTAACCCGATGTCTATACGACAACCCAATGCCGATTTAAATAGCGATTGGAAAAAATATATGGCCCTTCGGAGAAGGCCATTTAAAATTTAAGGATATTGTGACCGTATACTCATCTACATATCAAACTTTTCAACGTGTTTTCTCGAGGTTCTTTCACAAAAACCCGGATAACGATTTCGAAATTTTTAGAATGATTGATGAGACTTTTACACTTTTATTACCGAACAGAACCTTTGGTTTAATTTTGACCCAAAACCGCGTCAAACACGATGTTATAGATTTTCCAAACCGCATTGTTTATTTTTGAAATTGGATTCCATTGTCTGATCTTATCCCACTTATGACAAAACAATGGGTAACGCTTACACAATGATATGAACCATTAAAACGAAACAATGGTCCGAAAACAATCGAAAAGGAGGGTTCCTGGGACGACCTTTTTAAGGAACAGCGCACCGAGCATGGCCCTTAGATGGAAACTAACCGAACAAGCTTGAAAACACTAAAACCTGGCTGAAAAGCCTACCAATATGAGTTTTCGTTTGGTACAAAAACGTACAGTATTTCTTGTAATGCATTGTTTAAATCTCTGTAATCTAAGCGTCACAAAGCTTGTTGAAACAAAAAGAAAACATGTCAGGTCGGGACATTGTTTTGTCACAAAACACAGGGCGTCCTCCCCAAGGTGAAACTTTTATTATCATATTCAATGACGTCACAAAAAGTGCCAAGAAAGCGAACGCCCACGGAATATTATTTTGCAATAATTAAGACCGCCCATAACGACACTGTCTGTTAATGCGATTTTTGTCCTGTTCGATCCATATATTCGCCCCAAGTTAGTCGCGATTTTTTATTAGCTGATGTAGTTGCTCTGGACAAGTCTTGCAATCATACATAGCACCTGTTCCCAACTGGTGGCCACGTAGCAGTTGGAGGTGGCCACTATGCTTGGCGCAAAACTGATTTTACTCTTCACTTAGCTAGTAAACTCCCCATTTTTCTCTAATTTTTATCGCCTGATAAGGTTATTTCACAGGGTGTTTTCACTTTGTTGATCATAAATATTTGAACATTATGTGATTTGGAATCTCCCAATCAAAATAACACTATTAATATAACTGGAATGATAAACAGGGGGGCCACGAGTGCTAAAAGCCTCCAAAGAGGGGCCGCGACTCCTAAAAGATTGGTAACCACTGATATATAGGATAACCACTGTTCCTCGTTAATAGATCAGCGGCGTGTGGTATTGGGATTTTTGTAATAGTGTTTTCATAGGTCCCTGGACGAGATGCCACGGATACAAAGTAAGTTATCAATACCATAAAGAAGCGTCGCGGCCCACTAACAACTTTTTTGTATTTTAAAGAAAATCCAGGGGGAGAGATAGGAAGAAGAATCGACCTTTTGGCTTTATTCCTTAGGCCTACATGTTTACAAACTTCGAAAGGCATAAAGTAGACTACACATTGACGATCGCAAAATTGACTTTCATTTAAAAGCAGCATTTTTTTCTTGTGAGTGTGCCTTGAGTTTTTTCTCTGATAATTTGGCGCCGCACGAACAAAAAGTTTGGGAACCGCTGCCTTAATAGGTTTCTTGTTAAAGGTTGTGACTATAATTACACAGCACAGCGGTTAAAATTAACAGGAAGTATTTCTAGACAGGACACGTCAATAGGACCGTTTTGTCAAATCTCAATAAAGAAAAAAACAAAACAAGATGGCGACGATTTGAAATTTTTGTCTGAACCGATTCGGATAATTTACTATTAGATTCGAAACGCACAGCCCTGCCTATAAAGCTGATTTAACGCAAACGTATGACGCCTGCTAGCGGTCGGATTAATAACAATAAAATTACGTAAATGAATCTAACCATCCAAGCCTTCCCTAGGTATAGAAAATATTACATGGAGACGAGCTTTATTTCTGCGAACATTATAAATTGTTGTTGTAAAGGTATGTTGTTGTTGTCTCTAAGTTTGTCATATATTATCTATACGTCCGCGTATTGCTTTGCGCTGCAAGTTAAAATTGCAGAGTCAAACCTATATCCACTACCTCGCCAAGAGTGTAAAGAAATTTGATGGGTTGCATGGCTTATTGTAATTTTCGATCGCATTGAAGATCATCCTATACGGATAAAAAAACTTAAAATATTAAATTTGTATATTTTAAATTAGGATGTGCAACATTTTTTGTCGGTGACCATATAATCAACTTCAGGCATCTATCTGCGCCAAACAGAAATGCGGAATGCAGCTATCACTAAGCTCACAGTAATGAAGGCAAGGACAAAACGGCGAAAGATTTTTCACGCAACGACAAGAGCAAAAAACATTGGTTATTTCTACCCATGTGAGCGCATTTCCAACCATGAACTGTCGGATTAGGATTTTATGCTCGATGGGAAAAATTTGAGTGTTGACAAGTGTCACACCGAATGACTTTAGTAGGCCGTGCTGTGTTCCCCTGTTTGCCTGTTGCACACCTTTTAGATAAATTTGGAAAATCGTCGATGTTTTATTAGCTTCTTTCAAACTCACATCTTTGCAAACATTTCATAGAAATTTTCGTTGTCCAATAACCTTATTTGTCACCATCGGCCTTGTTTGGTCAAGCGGGTCTAGTTACTGTGATACGGCTAATATGTGTAAAAAATGCTGAATCATTCTGAATGAACATCAAAAGATCTGACAATTGCCGATTCGAGCATGTTGAAGAGTCGCCATTGAGTGGGAACGGCTAACTTAAAAGTGGAGCCTACAGTTCATACAGATCAGAGATATGTTGCCGGGCTTAAGTGAAAGAGATATGTTAGCTCAGTGTTTTTCTTTCAGAGAAGAATCCATCTATAAGTAAGAATTTTATTGGGATCTTTTGTTCAAATCTCAACTAAATAATTACTAATTTGTTATTTGAAAACGTGGCCTGGGTGTTTTCCTCAAATTACACAATTTTGTATTTGCGGCGGGTGCTTTGTACAAAAGATCGTTTTTTTTTTTACCTTCGGGAGGATTTTTTTGTGCAATATTACTAATATTTCTCACTTATTTAGTATTATTGTATATAAATGCACATATTGTGAACTATACCAAACACCAAAGTGCGGGTTGCACTTATCACAAGCAAATAAAAGACGAATGAACATCGAAGAATAAAGAGTTGCAAATGCATGGGCTGAAATTTCTAATTGTCAAGTTAGACCGTATCACCTAGCGGGGGTTCAAGAGGCTTGAGGGTTTAAAGAGCGTTTCGCGCTACAAAAAAGTTGCTATGTATGATACATAAAAAAAAATTTCAAAAGGGCTACGCCCGTGGTCCATTCAATCCAACAACTCTTTTGTAATATAGTTTTCCCGCCTGCGTATTTGGGATTAAACATTAATGAATATCGATTACCTATTTATAGACAGCGATCGGTGGTACAAATCGACCACAAAATTTCCGTCGGTATTTGCACAGTACACACAAAGGTTTATTTATTTATCAAGCGACCAAGAGCGGGGTAGTAGCAGAGCGTTTGTGGATTTACTGTCCATGCATGGCTCATGTTTTTGTTACATTTCGGCAAACGACACGTGTAGACCCGGAAAAATCACTGTTTCTCTCGAGAGGTTAAAGATTTAAAACGAGTTAATATTTTAAGCCGTTAACGTGTTCAGTGATCGCCACGTGTACTGGAAAGCACCGATTTTCTCAATTTTTAGCATAGATGAGATCATTTATTTTTAAATCCGCAATGGTAAGCGATAATATTTATATTAAAAATACATATTATAAAAATCAATTTCTAAAAATAAAGTTGATGATATGAGACTTAACATATTCTGCACGGACATTTCACTTCGTAAGCAGTGACATTGAATAGTAAGTAAGTTCATTTCGATTTTCCGTTACAACACAACAAGGAAGTAATACATAGCAAAACAAACAAATATGCGGAAAATTAGTAGTAGGCAAACTCTAAAATAGATTTAGGACGTGCTGATGCACTTACCTGAGTTGAATAGATAGACTAGACAGATGGAAGCGAAAAACGATCCTGTACTTCATAATTTGGCTTCACGCTTTCTAAGAGTTGAGTAATGGCTGTAATGCGGCAATGCTTGCTGGGTTTTCATCGTCTGCAAGGCGTTATCAGGGCGATAAGGTCGTTGAGTTTATCTCGCCAACGATTATTTTTATTTATTTTTTGATAGTGTGAATCTGTGTGATTACATATGCAGCTATAAATAGGAATAATTATCGAGAATTGCAGCAGCTTGACAGAGTAGTACGGACGGAATTACTAGGCGGTTCGTTAGAAAGATAGTTTATTTTGAAAACTCCATACAGCTGTACAGCCATAATCAGATAATAAACACAAATTGGAAATGGAGAATTCTGAAATTCATTGGAAAAATCAAGCGCGAACATCGGTTATTCGGCCAGATATTTTACAATTGAATTTAACGTTGGCACATTCCAGCATTCAGACATTGCAGCATTGCATGATGCAGTAACAGTGTCTGTGTACTTAGCATTTGTTTTCAAATGGCAAACATTTATTGAACAGATTCCAAATTTTATATTCTCCAAGTTGATAACTTCGTGCCTGTCTTTTGTAACTTCTAGTTTGGGTATGGTATAGAAGTAGAAGACCATATTTTCAGTTTGTGTGATTGTTTTTGAAAGTTTTTTCGGCAGAATGGGAACAAAATATAAAAAATTCTAAATTTTCGATTGCAGCAGATATACACATATTATATTCCATTACCATTCCATTACAGTACTGCTTTATAAGATCAGAAGATAGGATTTACATATTTATCCCGGGGGAAAGAAAGCTGATAAAACGGGGATTAACCATGTATGGGGCGGCGGTGTGGCTCAACGGGCTGAGCGTTAGGAATACGCTCGCCACCGCACCTCTAATTACTCTGCATGGGTTCGCAGGTTCGAATCCCATGCAGGGATGGTTATGTGCGAGAGGATTGCTGGATCCTCGCCGTCGTTGGGTGGTCAACGTAACCGCTGGTCGGTTACTGCTTCCTCCACCACCAAGTCCGTGCTTCCGAAAACAAACAATACGATAAAACTAATCCCATACCCGACTTGGAATGGTAGCCGGACGAGAGGCCGTGGTTCGCCATATGGATAAGCCGTCTTATCGGCTTTCCTCTCCCCTGGGATAAATATGTAAATCCTAACCACGGCCTATCGTCCAGTTCACACTCTGCCCACTGTCTGATCATACAAGTATATTAGTTTATATAACCATTGCGATTACACAGTCAAGGATATCTCTCTGCTGGCAAATGAGACACACTTATTTCTGAATGTTTTTATTTTTAGATTTTACAAGCTATTGTATTGGTAGGGAGGGATCCACTGTAAATCATATTATTAATCATGGGCAAACTAGAACTTGGTTACTGGAACATCAGAGGTTTGGCACAACCTGCGAGATTGCTGCTGGAATATGGCGGTGTGGAGTATGAAGATAAAAGGTGCTTTGATATTTTAGCTTATTTTTACTGAAATGCAGATGACTGTTTGCCACAAGATCACTAGTTGCCATTCCCTTTTAAAATAATATTGCGGGTACCATGTAATACGAACAGAACATTCACAAAAACAAAGTAAACACTATTATAAACAAAATATAATAATGAAAATATTTTTCTCCCCCGGGATAAATATGTGAATCCTATCCTAATATCAGTGAATGAATGATTATGCGAAGGACCAGTGCCTAGGGAGCTGATTAGAATCTGGAAACACTAAAAACACTTAGGGATGGGCAATATAGAATACCGAATCCGGAGGATTCGAATCCCAAAGTATTCGAATCCAACGGGATTCGATAACAGGATTCGGTTTCCGCCTCTCCGGCGCCATGCGTCAATTTTTGTATTTCGGCTTTCTAATTTATCAATTATAGACGAGCGTTTTTCTCGCGTGGAAATCTCTCTCGTTTAATTAAACTTGTGTCTGCTCGCAAAGAACCCGTAAATCGGTGAACATCAGACACTGTAATTTCAATCGGCATTTGGACAAGATGTCTGCAATATAACCTCACGGCGAAGACTCGTTATTGCACCATTTTTGCGTTTTCCTGCTTTGCTATCTAGCTAGCGTATAATAATAATAATTAATTGGGCCGACTTACTGGTGATATTCCGATAATCTGAATGCACCACCTTTAATTGTTTACAGACGTGCCTTACTTCATTTTAAATTGATTTTTCGCGACCTACGAGTTTTCCCAAAAAATGATACACGTAAACCAAATGCCAGGCATTAAATATTATAACATTACTTGCGATTGATTTAGATCAAATATTAGTTACGAATAATTTTATCATACCATTTTCCGAAATACAAAGTTATATCGCAAAACGCGAACATCTGTCACATTTAAATTTCACTCTCAAAAGATTACATATTTCCCAGTCCGTTTCTATCGTTCAAGATAGACGCACGTTTAATCGAGTGTCTGTAATATTTTAGTCGCCGATAAATTTAAAAAAAAGTTGCCGCATCTGGCGAAGCTAGTGACGTATTGAATTTGAGTAGGGCCATTTGCAATTTTACAACATCTAAATCCAGCAATGTGGAAATTCCCATTATTTGAATAAGTATGAAAATAGAATAGGATTCGGTATTCTGGATTCGATTTAACTATTCTAGAATATTCTAGAATAGTAAATTATTCTACATTGCCCATCCCTAAAAACACTACCACAAATCGTCTTGCCTATTGATTATTAATAAACTAACGATGATTTACACAGTGCAGTGGTGGGTTGTGAACATGTCCCGACTATTCTGTGTGATTCAAAAGTCTTCTGCTGCACAATAACAATATATTAGAGATCAAAATATGCGCAGCTGAAGAACACTGCTATTATTCTTCGCTGCTCTGGTCTTCGTAGCCGTAACTTCACTCAGAAAGATTTCTTCTTGTTTTTATGAAAAATCGCTTTCCTCTTTAGCTACTGGACCAGTTCTGTGAAAAATAATGCGAAAGGATTGCTGAATGCTGTTCGGTTACATCTTCTTCCAGGATCAAGTCCATGCATCTGAAAACAAAATAACTGGCTAAATAATCCCATACCCAACGTAAACAGGATGAGAGGCTGTGGTTTGCCATATGATTAGGCCGTATCATGGGCTTTCCTCTTCCTCACGATAAATATGTAAATCTTATCCTATCCTAAAATTCATTTTTAATTCACAGATATCAATGTGATATGGAACCACCTTACGGCAGAAGCAAATGGCTGGATGTTAAATTCACTCTCGGACTCGACTTCCCTAACTTGCCTTACATGATAGATGGCGATCTGAAGATTACTGAGAGCTGGGCAATTTACCGTTATATTGCTCGTAAGATTGGGATGACCTTCGACACTCCGAAACAGGAAGCAGAAGCTCACATGCTGGAAGGTGAGTTTCTTATGTTAGTGGGATAGTATATCCATGGACTTGATGGTGGAGAAAGCCTTAGTAAGGGACAAACGAGTATTTGAACCACCGTACGACAACATGGGTCACGATCCCCTCGTTAATTAATCCATATTGTTCAAAAAATGTAACTTTTTTATCACACTTACGTGGCCCGCCAGTATGGATAAGCAAACATTTTTGGTCCCTGTCCAGTAAACCTTGCTCACCCCTGCTATAACCACCAAGCCTCAATATTTCCAATTTCAATTTTTCACATTTCCCAGGTATCATCAACACTCTTAGGCAAGGATTTACACATGTCTGTTACAATCCTCAATTTGAAGAGAAGAAAGATGGAATGAAGGAATCACAACTTGGGAAACTACAAGGGTTTGAAAAGTTCTTAGAGGGAAAAAAATATCTGACTGGTAAGACTCACTCAACATCAGCATCAATCATAAACAATCAACATCAACCCGAACCCTAGGAATTAGATGTTATTTCCCTTGTCCTCTGCCTGACTTTCAGATTTTAAAAATCCTCACTCGAAGGAAGACTCAACTGCCATTCAGTAACCCCTGGAAATCATCCCGTGAACCCCTGGGGTTTCCAAACTCCCGATTATAACCCCCTTGCGTAAGAGACTCAATGCATTGTGCTGAATGTTTTAATCAGTTGTTCAAAATCTTGTTTTGTGACCCCCCCTTCAATAGATGCTCAACATTCCATGGCTCCATGCATTCAAATAAAAAAACTAGATTTGTGTTCAATTTGTTTCTTTTAACTATATTATTTGGCTCTGCTTTTCTTAGGGCAGAGAAACCAGAGCGAAATTCCCATGTTCTTATTAATATTGGAGTCTGAATCGAAATTTTTTTAACCATCAGTAGAAGCCAGACCCGTTTTATGTAGCTCGGAGTTTGGGATGTGTTGCCAGTTTTCCCGACTTCACAACCCTGGCTTCAATGTCGCTCATAGCATTGACTTATCCTTTGAATAACAAAGTTTTGATTATGAAAACAGCATTTTTTTGTGGTTTGCTCAAAATTTTGATTACAAATACTGCAATCTTGTATAGAATTTTGTGGTGTTTTGCTATTTCGATACCTGACCTGGACTGGAAACAGTCATGTTTCCTCACATATTGCCAGTCTGCACTTGTCTGACGATTCAATTATAGTCATTTTGATGCTTGCTACATTATTACTTATCGATTTTAATCGGTAAGTATGTTGATAGGTATTTGTCTGTCTGTATGTCTGTTTGTCTGTTAGATGCACGCGATATCTCACGAAAGCGAGATTGAATCTGCTTCAGATTTTGCATGTGCATTTATCTTATCTCGGACCAGAAGCCTATTGATTTTGGGCGAATTATGTCGTATAATTAGCGAGGTATTAATTAATTAGTGATGGGACACAAGGTGTCACTATGAAGTAAGAGCGCTGTTTTGGGGGATTCCCTAACTTTCGATCGATAAGTCTTCGATCTCTGACCGATATTCTCGTTATTGCAGTTAGCGCAACGTTTATTTTACTGTTATTTTTTTTGCAGGAGATAAGATTAGTCACGTTGATTTCGCTTTCTATGAGACACTTGCTCATCACCAAATCATGTTCCCTGATATTTTCTCAAAGTTTTCCAACATCCAATGCTTCTACAAAAGATTTGAAGAAAACGAGAAGATTGCAGCGTACTTGAAATCAAGCCGATTCCAGAAGTTCCCAATCAATAACCCCGTGGCTAAATGGGGAGGAAAATTTCAACAAGATTAATTTGAAAAGCTGGTAACAAATTTGTTGCTTGAATTTCAACTGGAAATGCATATACCGAATTTTCACATACTTATCACACAATATTCACATTCATTCATTCAGGTTATTTCAACGTTCCAGTTAATGGGTTGTTCAAAATGATTGCCGCTACCCTTTTTCAGCTAAAATTACCCCTTCATTGTTAAGAATAGTTATTTATGTGAGTATGATTCTACCTGAAACAAACATGACTTGGTTTTAACTTAATCATATAATATTATGAGCGCATATTTGTACTTAACCAACAGAGAAGCGATTTTTCTGCCCAGCTTTATTGGAGGGCTATTAAAAAAAACTCTTTTCTAGTGCTAAAGTAAGCTTCGTCTTATTTGTCGGGTAGACAGAAAATATGGTAGGTGGAATGCTTTAATAACCACTGTTCCATTCATAAGCATAACATAAGTATTGACTGAAATTTCATTTCTTTTATCTTGATATTTTTAACATTGGTGCTAGGTTTTGGTTTTAGAAATTCATGGTTGTATACCTACCATCTATAAGACCACCAGTATGTTCCCCACTGTTAACTTTTTAGTGAGAAGGTGTTTCCAAATTTAGGGGGCGATAGACATTTTGTTATTCACATTTAGAATTAAAGTAGGGTGTCACATCTCAAATTTAGAAGGGGTGTTTGAAATTTATTTGGGTGTTCACCCTCCATATGGAAATGACTAAATATCACATGTAGTTGAACCATTCGAGGAAAACTCATTTAGACCGTTTTCTAGGCTTTTATTAACTCAAACATCACTGCTTCACGGAAACAAGGACAATTTACAAGATGTAGCAATCTTGTTGCACGCTAACCAAATAATACCCTCGCTTTGCCACACAACAATCAACATCTATTGCTACTTTGACAACATTAGGTGGCACTAATCTATCCTCATCACACCACGTACACACAAGGTTCATTTATAGCTAATTCGAAGCAAAAACTTATTGATCAGCTTGCTTAATTTTTTGTTCTCTATCTGTTTTTCGAATTTTTATCAGAAAAAAATATCTTTTAGATTATATCTGACAATCATTTCGATAGTGCTTACCGTATTACCCATATATAAGTATCCTTGTCATAAAACTTTCATACGCTATTGCTAGCTAACCTTGTTTTGAAATGTTGAGAATTATCACTATTTTAAATACGGTAGTGTAATTCTGCCACTGGCATACTATGTATAATAGTGGTTCCCTTTTTATGGCTCGTGGCACCTTTTCGGAGGATTTTAGCACTGATGGCTAAAAAAAATTTAAATGCTGAATAAAGTATTTTTGGTACTCCTGAAGTATGCACACCAAGATGTCGCACAACCTGAACCCTAATCTTGTACACAACCTGAGTTCAGGTTGTGAGCCATCTTGGTGCGAATACTTCAGGAGGTCCGTAATTTTTCAAGATTTTCTGTTGTCACTCGTTTTTCAGCTAGAGATACATCAACCTCATCATTATGAGGTTTTCTTAGTGCTTAGTTGTATTTTGAATTTCTCACACCAATTTTATATATGCTTCCTGTGATTTTAAATGATTACTCTAATCTCCGAAAGTTCCCTTGTCAGAGTTCAATTTAGTTTTATTTTCAATTTTTGCAATCAATAATCCTCCATTGTGTTGTTTTAAATTTATGATAGTGCATTGAATAATATGATATGTACCGGTGTTTCAGTTATCCCTTTTCTAGCACATTGTTCCATGGCAATTAAAGAAACCTCAAGATAACATCAATCAATCATCTCACAGGGGCGTTACCTATAAGCCCAAACTTGGAATATTCCTCCTGCTAATTACCGTTCATAAATTCGAGTGCTCAATACTAATTTCTGTAATTCTCAGAGTTCTTCGTTGATAGACGTGTAATTTAAGTTCAATTTCGTTTAATATTTTAATTCGTTTATGACCACAAGTTCTTTGTTTTTATATTTGAATAGTCTGGAATTTGAAAAATTGTTACGCCATTAATTTCAATTTATGCCAAACTGCCAACACAGGCAGAGAAAGCACTAAAATCAGGATCTCGTATAAAAATGATAAAAGTATCTTCAATTGTGCAAATATTTTGATATCACTAAATTTTAATTCTCCAGGCAAACTTAATCAAAGTGTAATTATCACTAAAGTTACCAGTTCAAGATGTTTCTGCTATTTGATTATTAAGGAACTGCTATTCACTGATCTTGCGCATGCTATCGAACAATGTTTGGGGTGCTATCGAGCATTTTTGGGGTGCTATCGAACAATTTTTGCCTAATACTAGTAGCAATATATAATGAGCAATTGAATGTGGAGGTATTTTTTCTCTGTTATAAAGAGTGACATTTTAAAAGATGACAGAACTTGTGAGGGTGTCAATATAATATTTTCGAAGTTTTCATCTGAATGTGCTCTGTCGATGCTAAAGACTTGTGAGTTGAGATATTTTTGTCTGATTCAATTTTTCTCGAGCTTTGCTCTGGTTGACAGGCTTGGAATATGGTAGGATTTCTATATTTATCCCGGAGGAGAGCAAAGTTGATAATATGGCCTAATCAGATGGCGAACTCCGATTACCAGTCCACGTCGGGTATGGGATTAGTTAGCCAGTTATTATTTGCTCCAGATGAATGAATGCAGGTGACTCAACCTCTTTCCCAATAGGCATGCTGTTTCTAATGACTAGATGTCGTAATTTTTTGAATGCACCTACCAACAAGCCACTATTGAATTAATAATATAAGCATTTTTTTTAAAGACGATAAAACTGTGACACCATCTATAAGATAAACACAGAAAGCTGGGGGGAAAACCTAGCCAAAATTAAAAAAAACCAAATATAATAATAGTCTTTTATCAGTTTTTCATAGTCACATTGGGGACAGGAAAGTGGATAACATGGCTAAATCAAATGGTGTAACAGCATCCTGTTCGGTAGATTAGTTTACCAGTTAATATCTGCTTAGGATGAATGAACGCAATCAGAAAATTAGTCATAAGATTACATATTCACCTTCAGCGCTTGAAATCAGATAGTCGGCTTGATCATATGACCAATCACGACCTTTCATTTGTGTTGGTTTCAGACGCATGGACTTGATGTTGTTATAAATATTATCCACGAATTTAATGTTCTCAACCATGATCATTTCATGAAAGGTTATGATGCCAAAGTCTTGAATTGATTAGAATACTCTAGACCAGGGGTTCTCAAACTGGGGGTTATTTCACTCAAAAGGGTAATTTGACATTTTTGGGGGGCAATTCAGGCGTTCACTATCTCGATAATTTATCGTCCACCCTTCTTACTGAGATTAAATCTGGACAGTTTTTATTTTCATGAATTCTTATGTTCTTGTTATTAAACTTAACAAATTGCACACTAATACCGATAATTTTATTTCTATGAAAGAGGTAATTGAGATTATGTTAATTCAATTTAGGGGCGACTTGCTAAGAAAAACATTAGCTTCCAACTAAGCTAATGGTTTGGTTTCTGCGGGACTAACTACTTATCCTTCTATGCTTTTGTCCGAGTGCATCCTATAATGCAAGGATGCTGTAGCAAGAGTAAAGATAACTATCTTAAGTGATTCAATAATCTTGCTGCACACTAACAGAAATATATTTTTGTAACGATTGTAACATACGGTAATTATGATTTCCACGGACTGCAGGAAGGATGCTGTAGCAAGAGTAAAGATAACTATCTCAAGTGATTCAATAATCTTGCTGCACACTAACACAAATATGTTTCTGTAACGTTTGTAACATAATTACGATTAGAATTGCCACGGACTGCAGCATTTTTCATAATCAGGAATAGCGATTCAATGATTCAAGAGTCATGCTGCATACTAACACAACAATAAACTTTCATCGTATCAAAATCAGACAAACAATTACTGGATGCTGTATAGTGTATATCCTATACACCTAACCAATAATGTTTGATAAGAGTTAAGCACCAAAATTTCTGTTGAAAAATTGTATTTAATTGGCAGTATTAAAATGCAGTATACACAGATCGTACAGTTACCAAAATAAAATTGACATAACACCAGCGAAGCTATTAAAGGTCGCAAAGTCTCCCCAAACGTTACATAAAATCTTCGATTACCGGTAGATAGGGACATTGTGGGATTATCATTAGGTAACAACAATTATGAAACAATGTAACAAGGAGATAGCGACCAGAGATCGCCGACTCACGATCTATCGGCGTGCATTTTAATCACGGCGCTGACGATGTCAAAGTGCCAAGAGGGATATGGACATTGCCTAAAGAGTGATCACGGGATACGATATAGCGGCGTATAATTTGCGCATCGCACACACACACTCAGCATTATCATTACGTAACAATGTAACAATTAGATTCAAGCGTCATTATCAGTCTTGATCAAATTTCGCATTAATAGTAAACTGCATGGGGATACATTGTTTATTTTCTCATATATTAACAACACATTTTGAGTCGCACAGAAAAAATGGCAATAAAAGTGGGTCGCGAACTAAAAAAGACTGGGTAGCACTGCTATAAACAAAGTCGACAGGAGTTCATCACAATAATGCCCATCTAAAGTGTATTTAAAAGCAGTTTGGGAAAAATTCACGAAAGAAAATCAATTATTGAATACATTAGATATAATTCAACAAAAATTGATGTTGATGTAAATTTATTCCAAACTAGGAAATGGGAACTCATCTAAAAACAAAATATATTAGTGATAAAGAAGTCTGAATCAACTACTGACTTTCTTACTAAAGCTGTACATGGGCCCACTGGCGCTATACTGATGCTGAACACGAGGTTTTCCCAGTCAAGAAAATTCAATTCCACAAAATGGAAAATGCCATTTATGTAATAGCATATTACCTCATTAAATTAGTTATGCGTATCTTTATAAAATTTCGATGCTCTCGTAGGCGTAGTATGTACACCAAGATGGCGCACAGCCTGATCATGGTATGTGTACCCGATTAGGATTCAGGTTGTGCGCCATCTTGGAGCATATACTACTGGAGCGCCAATAATTCTATGAATAAGGAAATTATTGGGTTCATAGAATCCAGTTAAAATATTTCAACATTTTTGATGCAAAATTACTCCAAGTATTACTTATTTTGAAGCAAATATATTACTGACAGGGGAGACTCAAAAAACTGCAGACTGGCCTATGAGCCGCCCAGCCGATTTTCAAGAAAAAGCGATTCGCAAAGTTCGTCTTATGGTCCACGAAATACAGTGAATTGGCTTGATTTTTGACTTCCAGATAGTTTAAGCCAGCTGATGGTCGAAGTCAACAATATCAGCGGAAGAGGCTGAAGTACTGGTTCTCAACCAGTGCGCCATGACCCACAGCTGGGCCACGGAAAGATTTTAAGGTGGGCCCCAGAACTATTAAAATTGCTAGTTTTATTTGTATCACTATCCATAATTTTGATTGTGGTACCAATGATTGATGATGCTGTTTCCTGCTACTGAATGTTCATTTTCATTCTAAGTATTGAAAGGAAAGTTTCCATTTTCACAGAAAGATTCCAACTTTTCTTGTAGTTTTTCCCTCTCAATAAAAATTTAAAAGGGCTACGGAAATTTTCTTGCAACAAAAATGAGCCACAAAAAAAAGGTTGAGAACCACTGGGCTAGAGTGAATGGGCGCAAAATGTCGATGGATATTCAGTATGGCCAATAATGACTTTGTGCAGTTCAACCAATGGCAGTTCGGTGAGACTGCTTCTTCAAGAAAGTGGTTATAAATAAAATCAATTGACACAAGAATTGAAGTACTCCAATTATTGCCTACGAAGATTCAAAAGAAAATTATATTAAAATAGAAAGAAATTCTATCAGTCAGAATAATCATATTCTAGTTAAGACATGCAAATGCTGGCAGTTCACGCTTCACCGATTTCATTAAAAACTTCTGCCAGTCAGAATAATTGTATATCGGTATGGGCATGCTATAGCCAGGGTGTAAAAAAAATCATTTTTCTGTATTATTCATAGCTGTTTTCATGGTGTTCCCAAAGGCGAACCAAGATGGACATCGGAACGTAACACGGGTAACAGGTTAGGGTTAGGCGATAATTTTTTTCCAATTTTCCCTATTATCAGTTCGAAGACTAGCCAAGAGTCTCCCGTAGTATTTATACCTAAAATTATGGCCTAACCCTAACCTAGTACACATATTACATTCCGATGTCCGCCATCTTGGTTCGCATACTTCGGGAGCCCCGTTTTCATAGCTTGAAACGCATTTTAGGCCTTCAAGACTATTTGAAAACTAACGTTACCCAGTAGCTGTTACTAACTTGAATTACTTGATAATACGAAAATTCAGACCATGCCATTTCAATTATTCTGCTGCCAGGTCACACTGACCGAAATATTACTGCAATTTGTACTCAGTAATAAACAAGACCCAATTTCAATCTCTTTGGTTCAATATTCAATTTAGCCATTTAATCTACCTCCATTTGTACTTCATCGTCAGATTTTTTTTCTGTACCACTAGGTGGATCAACTGACGTGCCAATGTCTTTATCTACATTCTCAGTATTGTCTGTATTTCCTGGTTCAAGGGTCAAAGTTTGAGTTGGGGGAATGTTTTGGTCTACATTAGTTTCTGGCAACCCTGAACTGACAGTTTTTGATGAGTCATCTTTTTCAGTTTCTGCTGAGTCAGTGATTGATTCACTAGATTCCATTTTTGTTGAGTCGCCGGTAGTCGTTTCTTTTGAGTCATCTTTAGTGACTGGTTCACTGGATTCTATTTTTGCGGAGTCATGTGATTCTGAATCAGCACTTTTACTGTCTTCACCAGCAGTACTCTGAACTTGTTCCAAAACCGTATCAGGCTTCAATTTTTTGGTGGGGCTTTCTGCGATCTGTGTGTCCGTTATACCCTTGTCCGTTTCGGTGGTACTCTCATCATTAGCATCCTCGATTTTACGTTTTATGTTCACAGTCTTTGGTGGAGAGGATGAAATTATGGTTGCAGAGACGTTAGGTTTCTGTGAGACAACAATAAACTCAATTAGATGTTAAGAATATTATTTCATTTGGACTGCCAGGCAGAAATTGCTGAGTAGCAAAATGAGCAGAAATGAGACTGGCAAATAAATCATAAGTGGCTGTGATATTTACATATGAATTGTTTTAACATTTTAAAATATGATGGGCTTAGGTAATAAAATAAATTCAATCAAACGTTGCTTCATCATAGAAAAATAGGCATGGCCAAATACAAAGAGATGGCAAAGATATATTACTAAGTCCAGAAAATGTTGTGGCCCACACCATGTTTTAGAGAGAATGTACAAAGGTCGCTCCAGAAGTGTAACTAAGTAACTACTTTTGTACCTACCTAAAATCAAGTTGTATAAACGGACTAAAACAGAAGTGTATGTCCCAATATGGGGGTAACTAATTTTGTTAGGCTATTTTACAACAAGTTGTGTGAAGGGACTGAAACATAAGGAGACAGGGGGGATATCCACTTGGCTAACACAGACAGTCCCTGAACTCGTAATAGAACTAAAATAAAGGAAATCGTAATAAAATTATGGCCTAACCCTAACCTGGTACACACACTACAGGAGTACTGACTAAATAAATATACCTGAAGGTTCTCAGTTTCTTCTGTTACCATCTCAGATGTTGTCTTTTCTTCAGATGCAGGAGCCGCAGGAACTGCTGTCTTTATCGTCTCTGCTGTACATATAAAGATAGGCTCAGGATAGGATTTTCATATTTAAACCAGGGAGAGCGCATAGCACATGGTGGTCCAAGATTGGCAGCTCCGCGGGACACAAAATTACTTTTGCATTGTTCGCGGGCCACAATAGTGCCAAAAACTTCTCTTGTTTGACTTCGCTAGTTGCCTCAGCAAGCCATCACACTAGTCAATTCAGTGACATTAGTGATGCAACAATACGTCAAAAGATTTTTTGGTTAATATTATGACGAAACAACACAAAATGCTATTTTTTGATTCCTTTCCGAATGCGACGTGGGCCACAGATAATGAAGCAGCGGGCCACATGTGGCCCGCGGGCCTGGGTTTGGACCACCCTGGCATAGCATATAAGAAAGTTTAACTATAATTTCAATGTAACATAGGAAAAAGCAATTTTGATGATTTAAATTCTTGAAATACGTCGATTTCAGTTTCGTTCAAAATAAATTATTTGGCACCCCCTAGTGATTATTAGAGAGAAGTCTTTCGTTATAAAGCTAGATACCTAAGGAGACTGTGGGATGATATGGGTGAGAAAGTAAGCATTCCGATAGAAGGATCGTTATCTTCCGATCTGGCAATATCTAACCAACTTATTACTTAACGATTTTAATTGGTAAGTATGTTTATAGGTATTTGTATGTCTGTTAGATGCACGCGATATCTCACGACAGCGAGATTGAATCTGCTCCAGATTTTGCACGTGCATTCATCATATCTCGGACCAGAAGCCTATTGATTTTGGGCGAATTATGTCGTATAATTAGCGAGTTATTAATTGATTAGTGGTGGGACACAAGGTGTCACTATGGAGTAAGAGCGCTATTTTGGGGGATCCCCTAACTTTTGATCGATATGTCTTCAATCTCTGACCGATATTCTCGTTACAATCTTGGTGGGGATTTGTAGACAAGGCCAACATAGACAGATGCATCATTATAACTACTAAGCTATCATAATTCTCATTAAATATATGCATTGACTATTATTTACAGAGCCTCATAATAAATATATAGAGATAACTACAAAAAAAATTGATCAATGTTCCTGAGTAAATTGAGATTACCCTATTTATAATGACCTCGATGAATATATTTATTGCTTCTTTGGAGGGTTACAAAATTAGCCAAGCAAGTATTTTAATAAGTAAATGAATAGGATAGGATTTACATATTTATCCTGGGGCAGAGGAAAGTCCATAAGACGGCTTAATCATATGGCAAACCACGGCCTCTCGCCCGGTTACCAGTCCAGGTCGGGTATTGGATTAATTAGCCAGTTATTTTGTTTCCGGAAGCATGGACTTGATGGTGGAGGAAGCCGTAACCGACCAGTGGTTACGTAGATCACCATACGGCGGCGAGGAGTCCAGCAATCCTCTCGCACATAATCATCCCCGCATGGGTTTCAAACCTGCGATCCCACGAAGGGCAATCAGAGATGCGGTGGCGAGCGTATACCTAACGCTTAGTAGGATGTGCCACACCGTCGAGCCATAGCTCGCAGAGACCCCTGGTTTCTGCCCACAGAGCTCTGGGGCTAAGTATGAAGCACTTTGAGATCCTATTCTAGGCCATCTGGTGATTTTATTTTACACCTACCATTTTCTTCAACAGTAGACTCTCCAGATTCCTCAGAAGTAACCTCAAGCTTTGGCAAAGTAACTGCCGTAAAATCAGGGACTCCCGGTATCTTAGGTGGGGTAGTGCTGATTGGTGATGGTGGCAAATTGGACCAATGAGGTTTGAATCTGAAGTTTGATATAAAAGAGCAATGCTTAAATATTTACACACTGAGGCCAAATAACTAACTAATATGGTAACCATTTATGAAACATTACATGAAAGTGCACCAATGAGCTATATAATAACAGTCAATTTCAGGTAAAAAATGATATAAAAGTAATAACCTTTAACCTTGGCTGGCCATGGTACAAAGGTTATGAAAATTCATACAGAAATCTAACTGTTACGGTTTCGAGTCCACTAGTTCGTTTGGGGCCCCCGAAGTATGCGAACCAAGATGGCGGACATCGGAATGTAATATGTGTACTAGGTTAGGGTTAGGCCATAATTTTAGGTATAAATACTACGGGAGGCTCTTGGCTAGTCTTCGAACTGATAATAGGACTAAAATAAGGAAAATTGGAAAAAAATTATCGCCTAACCTTAACCAGTTACCCATGTTACGTTCCGATGTCCGCCATCTTGGTTCGCATACTTCGGGAGCACCGTTCGTTTTTTATTGAAAAATTTGTTCAAAGCGAGCCTCAAGTTTACACCATTCACTAAATCAGAGGAGCAAAGGTGACATATCTTTGAGCATAGTTACAGGTGAACGCACTCACTCAAACATCGATTCTCCTCACTCATGATTACACTCACAAAATCAGAGAATCAAAGGAGACTCATCTCTGAGCAAATGTACAGGCCAACACACTCACTCACGCATTTATTCCACTCACCTATCACTCCCAGGAGTGTATCCATTGCCCGGCATCGAGTCCACACCATTCACCATCATGTTATTGTCATTACTATCGGAGAGAGTCCTGTGAAATTGTATGTTTGTTACATTACTCAAATTCAAAATGTCCAAAACGGATAGAATATTCATGGGTGCAGAGTGGCTTAGTGGTTAAAGAGCTCTACTCAGTGTGTTACAAATTGGGGGGGGGGGGGGGGGGGCTCGGTCTTAGATTTCAGTCTGAGGCCGCAAAACATGGGTTTTTAGGATGATGATCTAAAAAGCGTTCCAGGCTATGAAAAAATGATAAGTAGGATTCATAAAAATGCTCCTTTCTACATTTCGAAAAAAGAGGGGGCTCCGACCGTTTTATTTTCAAAATTGATTTTTATTTGAAAAACGGTCTTACCTCGGTAGATTACTCCATGAGCTGACAACCATTAGATTCTTCTCAATTCCTCTCATAAATTTATCACATTTTGTGTAATTCTTTCTCGGTTCTGCAAGAAGTTCACAAAGTCTTTGGATTGTGAAAGGCGGACTGTAAAAGAAAGATTTTCAAGAAAGATTCAACTAATTTTTCCTATCATTTCTCACAGTATTATAAGTTAAATGGGAGCTGGGAAGAGCTGCGGAGTCTGAAAAAAATAATACCAAGCAATGCCATAGAGCCAACAGAAATTTGCTCAAAGTATAGTAACTGATACAATTTATTTTCATCAGAATGCGACCACTATGGATGTTTCCCCAAGCATCAATCAGCATGCCTCACGAGAACATTTAGATGAGTTGCAATAATTAAAAATCGATACTGCAAATGCTGCGATAGACTATTATAAAATTAGCTATAAGTATCTGTAAGCGGCACGCAGTTTTGGGTTTTGAATAAAAATGAGTTTTAAACATTTGAGCCAGTTTGTATAAGCTAACTCTCCAAAACACTCTCGAAATGAGCGTTTAAAATTTTGCAATGGTTAAGTATAGGGAGATTTTTTTGGGGGTCAAGGGTCGAGGAAACTTCCACTGGCCCAAACTATTGAATCAAGAAACATAGTAACACACCTGTCAAACTCTTCCGTCAACTGCAACAATCTTTTTTTCATTTCATCAAAATCATCGTTGGTCGCATTTGCGTTGATTTTCCCAACTTTATACGGAGCCATATTGTAAAATTCATCTAACACTGACGTCAATTTCTTCATAAAGACTTTCTGTACTTTCTCCCATGGCCCCCTAGCAGTGAAAATTTGATTCAACAAGGAATACAAAATTTTGCTTATTGGCAAGACGAGAATAATAGCTTAAATAGCTAAGTAATTGTGAAAAATCAAGATCTCCATCAAATTGGTCAAAACTCAGGGATGACCAAAACCGGAAAATGTTCGACCTGCATTCTCAATAGCTGGAAAGGATGATTTTTGTAATGCAGCTATTCTAGATATTTTTCACAATCAAGAATTTAACACACCAAATATTCGATACAATTTGGACATCTTTGAGTATTTGGGTCTAGTATAGTTTAGTACCACAGGTACTTCCAGTGGGCGTAGCATAACGAATTTTGCATATGTTATTCCTAACCCCCACCTGACTATGCCATCCAAAAATTACGTCACTACGACGTCGCCATCACGTCATAGGTCTTGCCAAAGTATAATAACGATCGCCCAAAATGACATCTGCGCCGCCGATAACGAACTCGATAAAGCCAGCGATCTCTCTCCTATCGTGATCGTTGTGACGAGAAAACAAGAGAGATAGCTTGCTCGATTTCGGGTGCTCGTCTGCGCGTTTTGGACGACCATTCACGCACTTTGGTGGGCATTATTACGCCACTGTGACGTCGAAATGACATAATTTTTGGGTGACGTAGTCAGGTGAGGGTTAGGATTGACATATGCAAAAATTGTTGAGCCAGGCCAACTAGAAGTGCATGTGGTACTAAACTATACCAGACCCGAGTATTTTCAGGGCTGTGTTTCCCAAAAAGTGTCAATACCACAAAACTTGACACAGAACCCAGCCAACAACCCAGAAACAAAACTTACAAGATATCTCCGGTCCTTGCGATGTAAGTTATAAACCGATCAAGTTCTTCTGACAGCGGATCTTGTTTTTCTTCATAGCCTAGAAAATAAAATAAAATTGTATGAGGGATAACAATGTCCAGACGTTTCCCAAAGGAGGGGTGTCTGATCATCTGGAAAATGGGTTTCTATGAAACGGGACAATGTCACCCGATTTGTATAGTGTGCCGTACTGTAATATCAGGATTTAGAATTCACAGACTTCTTTTGTTTTTATCAATTATTTTATCGCCTATTATGCTGATTATTGAGTCGAAAAAAACTGATAACGTTACTTATACTTGATAAATAAAATATTGAAAAATACAATTTCAAACAAAAAGCTTACCCTCGATGGCCTGAATAAAAATGTTTGTGTCTTCCATTCTTCAAATATTTCATAAAAATCCTATATTTTACAACTTTAATCCATCCTTCGCACTGAAGATTCAAAGATTACAAACTGCTTATTTCTGTATTTCAGAAGGGACGTCGAGCATCATTCGAATATATCAATTCGATAAGAATTAAGTAAAAATTCATGATGCCAGATTTTTTTAAATATTTTTGGGTGAGCGAACACGTACTTTGGGTGAACGAACACGTACCGTACCGTACTTTGGGTGAGCAAACATGTAGGTACTACTTCTTTTATCAATACCTTTTGAATCTGTACCGTACGCTTCAAACTTGAGTACTACTTACTTGAGGTTTTGTTTGCTCTCCCGATTCTATAGTCAGTTATTTTTTTTGTCTATATCCAATATTTTATATTCTACTGCTGATTATGGAGTCGAAAGGTAAACTTACCGTATGTTACCGGTATAGTCTACTTAGTCTATATTAAGTGGATAATAAATTCCAATTTAACATTTAGTTTGAAATAATTAAAATTATATTGAACTAATTTTCATAAATTTTTATTAGGTATTTCTGTATTTAACAAAATAAAGAATGGTTAATTTTCTAAATCTATTTTCTGATAAAGTGTGGCGCGGCGGTGTGGCTCAACGGGCTACAGGGCTAAGCGTTAGGAATACGCTCGCCACCGCACCTCTAATGACTCTGCTTGGGTTCGCAGGTTCGAATCCCATGCAGCGATGGTTATGTGCGGGAGGATTGCTGGACTCATCGCCGTCGTTGGGTGGTTCACATACCGTAACCGCTGGTCGGTTACCGGTACCGGTACCGCGGTACGGCTTCCTCCACCACCAAGGCCATGATTCCGAAAACAAACAATATAACTAATCCCATACCCGACTTGGAATGGTAACCGGACGAGAGGCCGTGGTTCGCCATATGAATAAGCCGTCTAATAGGTTTTCCTCTCCCCCGGGATAAATATGTAAATAGGGTCTACTATCCTAAAGTATATAGAAACGAGTACATTTAGTTGGCAATCCGTACGACGACAAGACGTCAACATTATTCTGCTCTCGGTCGCCGAATGTGTTTTCTTCTGCTCAATTAGTTTGAGTTTTTTTATCTGATTGAATATACCAAAAATAATCTTCAACCCATTTTATTAATATAATTATAATGTCAATAATAATTCCTATATACTAATTACCTCATTACTTTTGTAAGAATATATAATCCAGTATCAGCTGTTTACACGCTAGAATAATTTTTGTAATCATTGAGGCGCGACAACGAACACCAACAGAAAATTTTACAAAATCGTTGGCGGAAAAACGAAAACCAGGTGAGTTGTAGTAATTTTTTGGACGGGAGTAAATATGGGGCATGGTATATTGAGTAATTGATGTTCAAAAAAGTTAAAACCAAATTAGAATTATTGTTGACTAATTATTGTTTGTGGTATATGTTGTTGTACCGTATATTTTTATTATTGTTGCAATGCTTTGTTTTCTGGTTGGCGAAATCTCTCTCTCTTCCTCTGTTAAATGTAAATCTGTAGTTGCTAATGGAAAACATTTACAAATACAGAAATATTCTTTTTTGCCTTTGTCAGTGTTTGTCTTTTGGTGAACAGCTAACACATGTATTCCACAAGTTTGCTGGATGTGATTAGTTTATTTTTTAAAGCTTTTCAGAATACCCATATAAATTGTAACAAAAATTGTTGTAATTTATGGTAATGATTAAATAGGGCACAGTATTCTGATTTCGGGTCTGGTATAGTTTAGTACCCCATGCACTTCTAGTTGGCATGGCTCAACAATTTTTGCATATGCCAATCCTAACCCCCACCTGACTACGTCACTGAAAAATTACGTCATTTCGACGTCACAATGGCGTAATAAGGCCCACCAAAGTATGCGGATGATCGTCCAAAACGCGCAGATGATCGCCCGAAATCGAGCAAGCTATTTCTCTCGTTTTCCAGTCATAATGATCACGAGAGGAGAGAGATATCCGGCGTTAGCGACTCCTAGCGAGTTCGTTATCGGCGGCGCAGATGCCATTCCGGGCGATCGTAATTTTCCCCTTGCAAGCCCTATGACGTGTTCGTGACGTCGTATTGACGTAATTTTTGGATGGTATAGTCAGGTGGGGGTTAGGAATAACATATGCAAAATTCATTTTGATACGCTAACTGGAAGTATTTGTGGTACTAAACTATACTAGACCCCTGATTTCAATATGTCCCGACATTTGGTTCAATAAAACAACATTATATTGTCTCTGAAACGAGGATGTCTGTTACGATGACATATTTTTTCTTTGCTAAAAACTCTGAATGCTACAACAGAAAATATTTTTTTAATCTTGTAAACTCATTTATCTTTTTCAAGGAATCCAATAGTACATCTAGTAATGTTTTTGAATTGCACTTCCGTGTCGTTTGGATTTTGAGTCGATATGGAGTCCCCAGACTTTCTCGTGAAGGAGGGCCTCGCACTCACTGTTATAATTAATGTCTTTTTTATGTGGTTTTTTTTTTCGAATTGGAGGATTGTGCTGTAGTGATCTATCGTAATTTACTGGAAGAAAAAAAATTTACCACAGCATTTGAGAGTTTATAGCAAAAAACCAGAATTTTGGTCACATGATGGCAGAGTGTTTCTTTTATTTGCCCAAATATTGGGACCTCTGGGAATCAGATAACTATAGCCTACTGTTTTCAGTGCTTTTTGTTGCAATGATTCTGTTAGGTTTTTTTGGGGCTGATTCATAAAATTATGTATCCCGACATACTGACCTAATAATATTTATCCAAATTAAAATGCACAGTTTTTTTTTAATTCAACAGGATTGCGTAAATTATTTTTCTATATTGTCCTTTACAGGATAACACATATTAGCAGCACATAATTATGGACACTACAATATGGGAAGGTATGCAGAAGCAACAATTAGATGGTGGATTACTACTGACATCATGTGGTGCGGAACTGCAAGAATTAATGCGGCAAATTGATATCATGGTCCGACATAAGAAAATGGAATGGGAAGGGGAACTAGCAGCTGTACAGGTAACTATTTCTGTATTTTTCGACAGGATAGTAATTTTTTTTGCTTTCGGCTACGCTCACTCATGCCTTTTGCTTCAAACAAGGCTAGACAAAAGCTGTCAAGCCATTGATTTCTAACAATATCCTAAATAATCACTCTACAAACTTACTTCGCTGTCGGGAGTTATCCAAGCTATAATAAAGGATTGTTGGTAGTAAGCCAAGAAACGTTGAGTTCCAGTAAATTGTTCAAAAATAGAGCAAAATGGTATTGAAAAGCCGCAAAATTGATGTCTGACTGCAATCCCTGGAAAGTGCATTACAAAAAAATATTGAATTTTTTTGGAGGAGGGCGGAGGCATGGCGTATGTTTTTTGAGTATTTATGAGGGTCAAGTGGGAGGCATTAGATTTATCTATACTAAGATTTTTAAACTGGCCTATATGCAAGGATATAAGCAGGGTTGTCCAAAACGAATCGAATATTCGAATGTATTCGAATATCAAGGTATTCGAATACCTTTTCGGCTGATTTTCGAATAATTCCGAATAGTAGCCACTTTTCGCCGTAAACGTGGTGTTTCGTTTTTTTTTTTTTACGGGAATCTTTAAACGACTTTTTAAATCGGCACTTTGAATGTTTATATTCTGTGCGACCGTACGTCGCATAGTGTTGCGACACATTTGCACGTTTGCGTGGGTGGACATTGCCAACATTCGTGTACGAGGCTTTTAATTTACAAATTCATTTCCATTACGTCGAAAAATTGAGAAAGTATGTTTCTTTTATTTCTATGTGGCCTGCTTATTATTCGCATGAGTCTTCTCAAGCATGATTTGGGTAACCTTATATTTGGGTCTTAGGGTCTGCCAATCATGATATTTAATCGCAAGCTGGTTATCGTTACTTTAAAGAGAAACACGGCCACCAAGATAAAGTGATTTGTGACCCTTTCGTTTTGCCGATTCAGCAAAACACGACAGGGACAGGAAAACACAGCTGTGAAATAACCCGTGGACATACAGTGTAATACTTATCACATTCCAAAATTATTTCAACATTCGGGTTAATAGGTTGTCCAAAATGATTGCCGCTTTACAACTTAAATTTACCGCTCAATTGTTAAAAATAGTTAATTCTGTGAGTATGATTCTACCAAACTAACATGATCTGGTTCTAAACATATAAAATTATTAGCGAATTTTTCTACCCGTCTTATTGGAGGCCTATATGGAAAAACCCCTTTTTTGAGTGCTAAAAATAGACATCGTCCTATTTGCCATGTGGACTTATTAGCCGGGAAATACGGTATTCATAGCCGTAATTGTTACGATATCCAATAAATTGTCACAAGTTGGAAAAACAAGTCGATTTATTAGAAAATAATTTCTGGCAAATAATTCTGATAACGATAGTTAAAAGTATCGATCCTTTCCAGGATGATTTTTTGTTGCGCAAAATAATCCAATCCATGACTGGTACCAGCATTTAAAATGTCATGCCGTATTAATTTAATTCTGTTCAACGTAACTCATGGTTGTATCGACAATCTGTGGACATAAAATGTGTAGTAAACTGACCGATATTATTAAATATTGATTCCTATTTTTATATTGAAAAAATAATGAAAGTATTAATGCCAAATACAACGGGTATTTGTGGACATGAAATACGTGGTAAACTGCCCAATTATAATTAATTTCGGATTCGTGTTTATAAAATAATAAAACTAATAATTCTAAAATGCAACGGCGATCTGTGGCCTTCAAATGTGTGGTAAACTGCCCGATTTACCAACATTTGAGGTATGATAACAGAATTAAATTAACACGGTAAGGCATTTTAAGTAGTGGTATCGGTCATGGATTCGAATATTTTGCGCAGCACAAAATCATCCTAGTAAAAAGTCCATACTTTTAAATACAAACCAATGGCAACCATTATACAAATTAGTTCCCAAGAGCGGGATGAAATATAAATTCTTTTTCCGACTTGTGACAATTTTTCGTGAGTACGAAAATAGGAATCAAAACTAATTATATTCGGCACAATATCACGGCAATCTGTGGACATAAATTGTGTGGCAAAATCGCGATTAATATTAATTTTTGATTCCTATTTTCGTATTTACAAAATACAAGGCGATCTGTGGACTTACAATGTGTGGTAAACTACCCGATTATAAATAGTTTTTGATTCCTATTTTCATATTTATGAAATAATAAAAGTATTGTTACTCAAACATACAACGGCGATCTGCGGACTTAAAATGTGTGGTAAAGTTCCCAAATATAATTAATTTTTGATTCATATTTTTGTACTCACGAAAAAATTGTCACAAGTCGGAAAAATACCTCATACTTTATCCCGCTTTTCGACAAATAATTTGGATAATGGTTGGTATTTAAAAGTATGGGCGTTTTACTAGGGTGATTTTGTGTTGCGCAAATATTCAAATCCATCATCGATACCACTATTGTCGTATTAATTTAATTCTGTTAACATGACTCATGGTATATAAAATATATACTGCAATAATCTGCAAATATGAAATGCCTGGTAATATAACTAGGTTGTAACTTGTAGATAGCAGTTATTCCATTGCTTATTGTATGGAAATTCCTACATACATTCAGATAAGCTTCAATTAGTGGATTTTATTTTCGAAGTATTCGAAATTTCATATTCGAAAAAAATAATTTCGAATGTATTCGAAATAGTGAACTATTCGGTATTGGCCATCCCTGGATATAAGGCACTTCGTAAATAATCTCTTCTCACTATTGCAGGACAAACTGGAAGTTCGTGAACAAGAACTCGGTCACACTAAATCTATGTTAAATCAAAAACATCAGGAAGTAGGGATGTTAAAACACAAATTAAATGGGTTTGATGGTAGCCAACGAAACGTGGTAAAACAATACGAATCCCAGTTATCGTATCTTCGCAACGAATTACTACAATTGAAATCGACGTACTCAAAAATGCAGAAACATTATGCAAAACAAGGTGATTATTTAATCAAATATTTTAAAATACTATAGCCTATAACATTTATTTTACAAAAAATTACTTCGAATTGAGACAGCCATGCTCATACAATTCCTAAGAACACTTCATTACCAGATATTAAGTAATCTATAAAATCAACTAGAAAATAATATCAATAACTTTCAAGTTTTTGATGAAATAACAGGCGACTCAAGAAGATTTTTCATGCAACGCAGTTTTGGGTCGCAACGCATAGGTTGAGAAACACTGCACTAAGCCATCACACCTACTAATATAACGCAAACAATTTTGTTTTTACCAATTATTCATATCTTCCATTAATTTCCAAATAGAGTATCGACCCTGGCCTTGATCGTAGACTGAAAATATTTGAAATATCAGATTCGATAGAAGTACTTTATTTTACCTACCCTAGCTGTTATCTTTCAACAGGAAAGATAAGTGAGCGAGAGCAAACACTTCAAAAAGAACTTGAAAAAACTCGTGCCGAACTTGACTCAAAAGTTCAACAAGAGACAGAGTTTGTGAAAGAGAAAGGAGCATTTGAAGTTAAACTGCGAGCATTGCAACACCAAATCGAATGCCTAGAAGCACAAAGGAAATCATTTGCTGAAAAGAGTGAGAGAATTCAACAGCAGGTCAGTGCTAGAGAGTGTTCTTAAGCTACAAATATTTTGCGTCCAATTCCAGATGCCAGATTAGTTTTGGACTGCCCTATAGTGATGTCATTTTGTCATTTACACAAAATATGATCAGTTTACATGAAACAAATCTTTTATTGCAGGGACGTAGCCAGGAGTGAGATTTGGGGGTCGGAGCCCTCTACTTTTGAAAAAAGAATTATTTCCTGTATCATACATAACATTTTTTTTGGGGCTCCATATGTATGTGTACTAATATGTAGTTCACTAATTTTGTTTGCCTACTTTACATCAAGTTGTGTGAAGGAACTGAAATCTATGGGGGGATATACACTTGGCTAACACAGACAGTCCCCGAACTTGTAATAGAACTAAAATAAGGAAAATCAGAATTATGCTCTAACCTTAACCGGGTACACACGCTACGGGTGTTCCCAAAAATGATCTATTAGTAGGATTTTTATAATTTATTTTAAACATACGATTTATTATGTTCAGGTTTATACGTACCAAGCCCGTTTGAAGCGTAGCAATCAAATGATCGAAGAGGTCGAGTCTACGAGTCAAAATCTGGTTAAGAAACTTGAATCCGAACTGATCAATGATAAAGAATTGATCCAAACTCAAGAAAATTTGATCAAAGAATTGCAGAATAAAACAAGAGAACTGGATGATTTAAGGAAGGGAACAGTGAAAGAGAAATACATGTTACAGGTGAGGCATGTCATAGCATTGAGTTGCTTTTCAAAAATATTCACTATTGTCACTAATTTGAGTGACATACAGTGATTTATGACCGTAATATTTTGCTGATTGGGCGGAGCAAGAAAAACGACCAAGAAGAGACAATGGTAGCAGCTAACGAATGTACAGCGTGTTATTCACCCTTGTTTCCAATGCTTGAGTTGATGAATTGTTTAGGACTCTTGCTAGCTTTATGGATGTTACACCGGGCATCGATTGCCTTGTTTTGTTTCTGTAACTTGAGGGTCTTAAAAGTGTTTCAAGCCATGGTACGGAAAAATGTTTTTTTTTTAATTCCAGTAGGGGTTGGTTCTAATTCTCATCCACCACCCTGTCCCCTGGCTATGCCCTTTATGTCCAATATCTCACAAATGGTAAAACAAATAAGCAATGCAGAACCGAAAGAATTCCAGTTTTTCCAAAAATGATAGCTCTTCACAATTCAGTGACTGCCTATACATAGCCTTATTCAGAGTGAAAGACATGAAGGAGCATTGAATGTAAAAATTGTTTATTGAAGATTCATTTTTATCTCTTTTAGGAGGAACTCGATAAAGCGACCTGTCGAGCCAGAGTTTTCGAAGAAGAGGGCCGAGAATTAACATCAACTTTAAAAGCAAGAGAATCAGCCATGCGTGACTCTGAAATAGAAATCGCAGAGCTCAAAAATAGAGTTTCAGATCTCGAGAACATGCTCAGAACGAAACAAAAACTTATTGAATCATTGCAGACGAGATCGCCACTAAAAAGTCGAGAGGATGAAATGCAACGTAACGTCGCACATTTGGAATCTCTCGTCTCGACTTATAGGAACTCAGAATCTAGTCTAAGGTATTTCACTATTTCTGTGTTTTGAATACTTTTACTAAGCAGGGAGAGGAAGGTGATGAAAATCACTTTGACTTGAAAATACCAGCTTTTTATATTATTTTTTTTACACAGTGCAGCTCTTCTTGGCTAATTCATTTCACTCTTTTGCAGTGAGTAGGGCTGGGCATTTCCGAATACCTTGTGATTTCAGAATCGAATCGAATAATTTTTTCGAATCGAATCGAATCTCGAATACTTGAAAATATATAATTGTAAGCGACTTTATTATAGTAATTGGTCCTCTCAACAAATGAATTACTGAAGACATAGAATGATTCACTCAGATAGATTACTGAGCGTTCACACAGAATAACAAACACGTTTTATCAATAACTCACTACAGAAAATAGTCATATGTTAGAATTCCGTTGAAAAAAAAAAGGCTCAAATAAAAAAAAAATTGGGGAATTCACCTCGACCATTAGCGGAAAGATAAAAACAAGATGGCGGCGATTCGAAAATCAGCTCTGAACCGATTCGAATAATTTACTATTCGATTCGAATATTCGATTCGAAATGCCCAGCCCTAGCAGTGAGAATGGGACATTTAACATTTGTCACCAACAAACCCTTATGTACAACCTTATAACCACTAGGTCGTCCATGAGTAAGGTGGCAGGGAAAGATATTTAACATGTCACGGCAACATAATTAGGCCAGTGGTTTATTAATTAACGTTTTATCTTTTGTGACTCATTTTCGTTACAAAAAAATTCTGTGGCACAATAACCTTTTTCATGCCAGTGATAAACTACAAAAAACAAAAAATACTTTCTGAAACAATAAACACTTTCACTTCAATAATTATTAGGAGAAAATTATCACTATGAAACAAAAAACAGCATTGTTATTGCTACTACCATCAAATTTAACTAATTTATCAACAGCTATAACACTTATCAATAGGTCTTTGGACAACCTGATCATTTTTATTTGGCCCACCAGTGCGTCATGGCCCTTGGTTGATAACCGGTACACTAGGCCAGGGCTACTCAACTGGCGGACCACGGTCCGAATCCGGTCTTTTCGAGTATTGGATTTGGACCGCATCCAATTATTTATTTTGGATCATTAGCCCCACTTTTTGAATTTCCTATTATAAAATGACTTTCATAGTTTTGAATATATACGAAAAAATTATATCACCATAATAAACAATTTTAATTTGCTACTAATCATTAGTCGGTCGAAGAAGTGCTCGTTTAAGGATGCCGAAATATCATTTCTGGAAAGACCGGACCCAAATAATTTTGAAGTTTTGTTTGCAGACCTTCGATAAAAATAGTTGAGTAGCCCTGCACTAGGCCCACCATGCCTACTCTCAATGATTAATAATTAATAAATATAAATTGATAATTAATTTGTGGGAGTTTTTCGATTCTTCATTGGTTTATAGTAATAGATTTTTTATATTCCAAGGGAGGAAAACCGGAACCTACAAAAAGAAGTTGAAAATTTAAGACAAGAAATCAATAATTTGAAAGATGCTTTGAAAAATACAGAAGAGGCAAAAGTGAGGCAATTTATTAAGAAATTTTAATAACAAGTGAATCTCTTTACACAGTTATGAGCAACAATTGAAATGGCAAGAGCTAGAGAACTATGGTGTTTCATTTCACATTAGTAACGTCCATTCAAATCAAATTGTTTTTTATTGGCCATTCAGGCAAATGGGAACAATGAAACAAAGCAAAATTAAAAATTACCACAAAATGATTACTATACTTGTCGGCGGCTACCTTGCAGACAACTTGAAACACCTCGAGCCTTGTGTTGTCAGAGAAAGAGCTATAATGATATGAATTCTACCTAGATAATTTCTGGAAAGATGTTCCATCAATATTCTCTAGGACAGGACTGTTGATCCAGAGAAAAACTTTAACACTCAGACTTACTCTAGACTCTCAGAATAACATAACCCCTTTTTTTGAAACAGCATCTGTAACTTGTAAGATTTTGTTAGATCGGAGGTAGGGATGGGCAATATAGAATACCGAATCCGGAGGATTCGAATCCCAAAGTATTCGAATCCAACAGGATCCGATAACAGGATTCGGTTCCCGCCTCTCCGGCGCCACGCGTCGATTTTTGCTTTTCGGGTTTCTAAATATCAATTAAAGACGAGCGTTTTTCTCGCGTGGAAATCTCTCTTGTTTAACTAGACTTGCGTCTGCTGGCAAAGAACCCGTAAAATCGGTAAACTTCAAACACTGTAATCTCAATCGGCGTATTCTGGACGGAAGTCGGCGAAGTACATCTCATGGCGAAGACTCGTTATTGCATCGTTTTCGCCGGGCGTCAATTTTTGTATTGCGGATTACTAATTTTATCAATTAAAGACGAGTGTTCTTTCTCGCGTGGAAATTTCTCTCGTTTAATTAAACTTGCCTAATCGCAAAGAACCCGTAAAATCGGTAAACATCAAACACAGTAATCTCAATCGGCGTATTCTGGACAAGAAGTCGTGAAGTACACCTTACGACGAAGACTCGTTATTGCATCATTTTTTGCGTTTTCCTGCTTTGCTATCTAGCGAGGGTTTAATAATAATAATTATTTGTGCCGACTTACTGGCGATATTCTGATAATCTGATTGCAACAATCTTCAATTGTTTACAGGCGTGCCTTGCTTCATTTTACATTACTGTAAATGATTTTCCGCGACCGGCGAGTTTTCCCCAGAAAATAATGCATGTAAATCAAAAGCCAGGCGTAAAATGTTATGACATTACTTGCGATTAATTTAATTAAATCAAATATTATTTTGGAATAATTTTATTACTTTTATTACACCAGTTTCCGAAATACTAAGTTATATCGCATAACACGACGATCTGTCGCATTTATATTTCACTCCCAAAAAGTTACATATCTTTCGGTCCGTTTCTATTGTGCAAGATAGACGCACGTTTGATCGAGTGTATGTAGTAATTTTATTCGCCGATAAACTTAAAAAAAAGATGCCACATCTAGCGAAAATAGTTACGTATTGAGCTTGAGTAGGGCCAAGTCTGGGTAGATAATGATATGTAACGATAATAATAGAAATTGAATTCGTCTTTAGATGATGTTAACTAATAACTAACTACGAAATAGCGTTTACGGAAACCTTGTTTTGCACGTCTTGAACGCACAGAATAATAAGTTGATTTTATTTGATAGTGGTTAAATTTAATATTTTACACCGGTCGCATTGGTTGCAGTGGCCACACGCTGGTCCTGCATCTAATTAATTCTCAGCGGGTGTGTTTTAGTACACTCGACACTCTATAACATTGATAATGATTTAATGACGTTTCATATCTATTTTTGTATTCAACCGCCTACTATTAGAGTGTTTGAAGCGTAATTTAGCATATAAGTATTTAGAGATTACATACATTTGGAATAATTGAAAGCAAAAATATTGTAATATTCTTAGATTTCATTGTCCTGGTAAATGCCTGTTTAGTATCAAATCAAATCCAATGTTAAGGACATTTCCAAATAAATAATACATTTATAATTTTTTGACATCTAAATCCAGCAATCAGGAAAATTCCTTCTATTTGAATAAGTATGAAAATAGAATAGGATTCGGTATTCTGGATTCGATTTAACTATTCTAGAATATTCTAAATAGTAAATTATTCTACATTGCCCATCCCTAATCGGAGGCTTAACTCATCAGACAAAACAAGATAAATCTAATCAAACAGAGAATATTCTATCACTTTAATATCATCTCGTTCAAGCATCATTGTGGCAACTACCCATACGGATCCAGAGTAGGAAGTATACAAAAAAAAAAGGATTTGCGTTTCAGTACATAATTTACTAGGACCCTTTCGTCTCAACTCTAGTTTGATTAATGTGCTGACAAAAATTTGATTCTAATCAATAACTAAACAATATTGGTAAAAATACGCTGAATATAAACTAATATTTCTGCATTTCTTCCTCCCAAAAAATTTTCTCTACCTGGAGGAGGTCTTTTCTGCTGGGGAATGCTGAGATAGAGGCTTTCTATTTATTTCATTTGTTCATTTTTTCAGGTCACTAATCTGAACGTCGAAATTCGTCGCTTGCGAAATAAAGTCGAGGAGATGGAAGCGTCACACTCCACTAAGCTTTGCAGTATGAAAGCAGAGGTCACAACCATAGCATCTCATTTGCATAATCGAGACGTAAATATTGCACAACTCGGACAAACATGTGGCGATATGGAAAAGCAGCTACGAGAAGAATGCCAACGACGAGACCAACTTGCAACGGAGTTACAAATGACTGCGGCTCAATTAGAAAATTTGAGAGATCAGCAGACCGTGACGTCACAAATTGTGAGAGAAAAGAAAGCTACGGATCAGTCGCTCCTTGAAGCGGAAATTGATCTCACATCTTTGAAAGAAAATTACACAAAAGCTGTCGGGAAACTGGAAGAGGAAAATATAATGTTGCAGAAAAAGGTACGATTTTGGTTCTCAGTTTCAAGTCCCAGTTTTTTTATGAAAATATTATTTGGCCATGACAGACTAGATGTAAGATCGGGCCCGAAATTTCCAGCCCGGCCCGTGGGTATTGGGCCCGATCAGAGCCCGAACCCGAAGCAAACCTGAATTTTCATATTTTATTTAGAAGTTATTTCAATTCCACACATAGTTTTAGTATATATTGTTTATAAACATATATTTATTAAAAAAAAAAAATTATCGATTGAATTTTCGGATGGGCTCAGGCTTCATTCAGATCTTAGCTCTATGACAGACTAATAGTTTGATAATCAATTTTGATATCGTATTTACGCTCCAAGAGACCCTTAGACCCTTGTGTTTATCTGTAGTATCTGAAGGGCTTGCCCGATATGGATGGAATTTCTAACATGGGTTATGATGTCACCCTAGTTATCTGCATTTCACCAAAAGTTCAGATTGATGTTATGTTCTGCAAAAAATGCAAATTTGCATGGGTGATAACGATTTACTGAAGTGCGGGCTACCTCGTGTATCAGCAAAGATCCTGGGCGCCTATTGGCTTGTTTATTGATGATATCTACCAACTTCGTACCAAAGTATTTCAGTCAATAACATAGATACATATCCCCTTATAGCTTTTAATTAGACCTATTAATTTCTTATTTCAGGTTTCTAGTCTCAAAGACCAAATGTTAGTCAAGGAGCAAATGGGCCAGGATGAATATTCCTCTGCTCTCTCTCATACTAGGGATGTTATCAACGGCATACGAGGGCAGGAAGACTCTCGGATTAAGAAGATCTGCGATGATTATGAAAAGAAAATTGAGAGTTTGAATTCTAGGTTAGAAAAATTTGATATTCTAAAATATTTGTTTTATGACTCTTATTCACGAATTTTGACCCAAACAAGCATCTGCTGATACGTAATGATATGTGAAGTGGTACTATTTCTCGAAAGAACCAAATCTTTCCGTTTGAATCAAGAAAATCTACGAAGATATGAAAGGATGATTGAGAGTTTACATTCTATGTTAGAAAATTTGATATAAATTCACAAACTTTGCATTAGAATCAGATTTTGCCAATCTCCTATGCCAAGACTTTTAAAAATAAGATTTCCACCCTTGGGACGACCTTGTTGTTATCGGTTTAAAATGCAAATAAAACAAATAATGCTTTCTGATTTCCGCCAGAAATATTAACTTTAAATAAAAAGGATGAAATTCCGGCTCCTGTCACAGATAATTCCAAAATACAACTTAGACAATTAAAACATGCCAAATTCCAACTGCACATCTCTGCGGATCAGTGGTTGCTTGTACAGAGCCTAGTTCAAAGTGAACGTGCTTCTATTCTATCTCTTCTCTTTCTATCTTGTTTTAATGAAGTTCTCTTTTTTACAGGTTGCAAGAGATGTCATCAAAAACTTCTGGCAAGAAACATTCTGTGGTAACTGATGGAGTTCTGAGTGACCCTGCTGATGATAATGTAAGTCTATTGGTTAAGAGTAGCAAGAGAACAAAATCTCAATCTTAGCACGTATAGATTATTCATGCCACTCCTTTCGCTCTGAGCCCTGTGGCAGTGGTTCTAAACCTGTGGCCCCTACGGGAACTTTTCAAGTGGTACGTGAGCAGCTTTGATTTATTGCAACAGTTAACTTCTAAGTCTAAATTATGCCAGCAATGTTTTCTCTTATATTTTTATACTGTATGTATTCGCTAAACGGCGTTTATAGTGCTACCGGTCTTTGTGTTTACAGATCCAAGTTTATTTGTCAGAGGTTCGCGATAATTCAGTAGTGGCAGTAGTTTTTATCTACTAAAAATTTTGAAATGATCGGTGGTTACGGAAAAAGCCCCAAATGTTTGTCGCAATGACAACAATTTAGCAAATGACCCTATGAATTCAGTTTTTGTCTAAAATGGGTGAGCAAGGTTTTTGGGCCAGGGGCCAAAATTATTTTGCCCACCTAGACTGGCAGGCCGTGTAAGTGTGACGTAAAAAATTTTACATTTTATGAACAATATTTACAGAGTTACAACAGCAAACGTGTAAAACGATAAGCCCCGTGCCAAAACAATTTAATAGCAATCTCAACAAATTCATTAAGCATCGGGCAGGCCAAATTGAATTACTCAACAGGACAGATTTGACATGGGGGCCGTAGTTCGCCCATATCAAGTCTAAAACCATTTTATTCATCTTTTTAGATACCCAGTCTTCAAATTAAGATTTCTGCAACATCTAACGGCACAAGTCAACCTAGCACAGTCGTTCCACCATCAGTTTCATCTTCAAAATCTAGCAACAGTGAAGCTGTGAAAGACTTCCTGGAGGAAATAGGGTCACTGAGGTCACGAACTCCGACCCCTACACGACAATTCTTAAAATCAATTGGAATTGCTCCTTCTACAGTAACCGAAACGTCGCCGAATAATTCAATTTTTTCAACTGACATGGACGGTAGTATTGATGAAAGAGAATTGAATGCGATACTTGGTCTACAGCAAGAAGATATTGGCAACAATAATAAAATGTCCAAAAATGACGGTTTACAGGTATTTTTTTCAAACAATCTTGCTTTGATAAACCTTATATTGGAAATAGATAGCTCATGAAAGATTTGATAGCAACCAATTGTTGTTCATAAGAAACAGAATTTTAGGAGCAGTGTTCCCTCTAAGGTGTGCTCGCGCAGACAGCTTTCAGAGGCTGCGCACACGCATAGATTTACTGCGCACAGACGTATTTCGATGTAATGTAACAATGTTCTCGGTTGGCAGGTTGAGAAAGTTTGTTGTTGGCCCACTTATTACCTGGTTAGAACGCCAAAATTTCATTCATTGGTTTTTGCACAAATATCAGTCATTTCCAAAAAAGTGCGCACACACCAAAATTTCTGCGCACACATACTACAAAAAATTAGAGGGAACATTGTTTAGGAGTATAGGATTTTTCAAATTTGATTTGGGGGAAAGGGAATCCTATGCGATGGTCAACCAAAGCCCCTCGTCCCATTAGGGCCATTACCAATCCGTGTCGGATAGATGTTTGTTTCAGATCTATGGACTTGACGGAGGAAGCTGTTACGGGCCTGACCGCACTTTCTCCTCGTAATATTTATAGTTAATAGTTTTAATCAGCTTTTACCTTAATTACTCTTCTAGGATTTCCTGAAAGATGAAGAACTGCGATCCAAAGAATTGGAATCAAGAATTGATAAACACATTGAAAATATGAAAGAGGCAATGGCAGCCACAGTGAACAAATACCTAGCTCCGGTTTAAATTGAGAGAGAGAGAGAGAGAGATGTTTCCACAAGCACTTTCAACATTGAAAAATATTATAAAACAATATTGGGAGTAGTAGCTTCTCAAAATTTATCAGATTTTAGTGGCTGCTTGAGCTTGCTTGACCTTCAAAGGTCATCGGTGCCCCTGACAAATTCGTTTTCACAATATAAATATAAAAAATATTGAAAAATAAGAAAATGACTTCGCTGGCATACCTAATTTACAGGGTGTCCATAAAGTCTCATTATAATGTTGTTATAATGTCAGTTCTCAAAATATCTTAATTAACCAGGTTTGTTGTTTTTTAAATTAGTAATTGTTTAAGTATGTTTACTTCATTTAATACATCTGTGAGGGCCAAAACAATATATGGTATCGATAAATTCCCTTTGTGATTTAAAAATTTTTTAGGACCTCATGGACACCCTATAACACATCCCTTCATGGGATTTTGCCTGAGATTGGGAATCATGCCAACACAACTAAGTGTTGGTAGCTCTTGGTATTACGATAGGTTTCCAATATGAGAGGCCTAACTTTAATACGCTTGGGGCTCCCGAAGTATGCGAACCAAGATGGCGGACATCGGAATGTAATATGTGTACTAGGTTAAGGTTAGGCCATAATTTTAGGTATAAATACTACGGGAGGCTCTTGGCTAGTCTTCGAACTGATAATAGAACTAAAATAAGGAGAATTGGAAAAAAATTATGGCCTAACCCTAACCTGTTACGTTCCGATGTCCGCCATCTTGGTTCGCATACTTCGGGAGCACCGAACGCTTTACGAAAAAATATTTTTTCATAATTTTTGGGAGGAAATTTGTAAAGAGAGAGGTTCTGAAGTTACTTTTTGTCTATTTAAGCTGCTTCCATGTTTTTGAACTTGAAGATTTATTATGCTTTTGTTGCTATGATTTCAAAAACCTATTTACTGGCTTCTATATTTTTCTATTTTGAGATAAATATCTTTATTTATGGATGCCAGTTTTTGTTTTTCTGTTAGTCAGGTGAAAGTGTTTAGATCCAGCTCAGAGGATAAAATTTCGGAGCTCTCGAAGTATGTGCACCAAGATGGCGCACAGCCTGAACATAGTATGTGTATTGGGTTAGAGTTCAGGTTGTGCGCCATCTTGGTGCACATACTTCGTGAGCGCCAAAATTTCAGCGAACGGGTTTTAGTACTCGGTAGATAGTTAGTTAGGGGGAAGACTCATCTATATGGTTATTACCATGGTGCTCTATAGCTTCCAAATTGTATGGATGTTTTCCTGACCCGAAAACGGCAAATGTCTGTAATCATGCATACCGGTCTGGGTGATCTGATGATTTGTTATAGAGTGACTCTTTCATGAAAGTAGGAGATATTGAAAAGACTGGTGATTTATTCCGGAAGAAAAGCTCAGTGATTGGCGCATCGTGCCAAGAGAGATAAGAACATATCATCGCGCCTTTAATTACCCGGCGTGTGTTTGAATCCTGTGAGGACCAATTATGCGTGAGCGGATAGTTGGACTCCTCATCATCATAGGGTGGTTAGAAAAAGAGTCGTTCCCTTATGGTTGTTTGCGAGCGCATTTCTAACGCTTAGCACGATGCGCTAGGCGTCGTGTCGTATGGATTCAGATATTTATTTTCGTCATGTATGGGCCAGAGCATCTGTGATTTTATCAGTCTTGCATAGTGTCCGAAAAAACAATGATGAATCAATTAGAATTAATTTATTTCTTGATTTTAATGCAATGGTCCTTTCCCCGACCTTTAACCCCTGGAAAATTCTTCCCATACTTCACCATTACAAAATTATCGGGGCTATTATAAGAGTGCTTTGCAAGTTGGCGTCTGTAAAATGGGGTATATGTTTCAAACCATCATTATGATTTATTGCATACAACAATCTGTTTTTAAGGTACCGGTAAATAATTTCAGGCTAGTCTATCACAGCTATTTCTACACTAATTTTTCTTACTGCAATTAAATTAAAACTCCTAGGAAGACAGAGTGATCATTGAATTATCTTATTTATATTTAAGTTTCCAAAACACAATTAAAAACTAACGAATAAAGTTCAAAAAAGCGAAAACGATGTAATGTTCACAACCTCGCTTGAAAATCTGTCTGGGTGAAAAAAGTGTCTTAGTGGATGCGAAAAGAGGGCATTGTTACTTCACTTTTTGCATTTTACTGATTGGCCAATGTCACGAAGTAAACAAGGACGTCGATGCTCGGGGAAAGGTCCATTCACGTTGGTGTCGACTTTGATTGTAGAAATGAGAATTCTACCGACACCTAACGGATGTTTTGATTACCGGCTTATTAGACTGGAACCACCTTACATAATTTGGAGAAAATCCCTCCTTAGTTTTGTAATTTTTTGCGGGTTTTCTTTGTTTTTTTCTGAGCGTTATATAAAGAGTTATGTAACATAAGTCACGGAAGAGAGACATTGAATAATAAAATATATGAACGATTTTCAAGAGCACAGAAAGTGGAAATTTACTGAATACTTAGGCTACATATTGAAGCAACGGTTTCGATTTAAAAAACAGCTGTCTCTTCTCAATCTTGCAATACTGCAATATGGGATCTAGAGAAAAATTAATCAAAGAATTTGTGAGCATTACAGGTACGGTACAGTTGTATTTGGTATTCTTCTTTGGGCCAACTAGGCACATTTTTACATAACGTTACCGTATTTATTTCGATGGGAATACAGGAATAGCCGATACCGTACGGTAACACTTCAAGAAGAATGGAAGAAGACAGTCGAACATACTGCAGCACTAACTATGTGCTCTGATTTCAAGAATAGCCCCCACATTAGAATATATCAATTATGACAGTGAGTGCGAACCTCTAGCTATTTAACGAGCCATTATATTAGTATACCGGTATCGACTAAAAACGACAAGTCGGCATTGCGCAATAAACTGAAAGGAGGTGCAATCTAAAAACGTCGCCATCCTGCCATTGGCAGATTGGATTTCTCGGAAAAAAATAATAAAATTTACAGAAGGAATTAAAATTTTACAGTAGTAGTTTTCAACAAAAATCGCAATTTAGTCATGTGACGGCCAACGCACTTTGCGATTGATTTAAATTATTACCGAGACAAGCTTGGTATGATTTGATACCTGGTGGCGGTCTACTGCTTGGGTCAAATGGTGGATATGGGCCATGCTAACATGGTTAGCTTCACTGTCTGTACTAACTATTAGCGCTCAAAATTTTCTTTTTTTGTAGGCACAGACAAAGGAACAGCGGAACATTTTCTTGATGCTTGCTCGGACAATCTTGAAACTGCAGTCGCCATGTTCTTGGATGATAAGACTCCAGGCACAACAGGTAAAATTTGTTGATTTCTATATTGTTTGATGCAGCACAAACACTTTCTGGTCTATGAGATTGAAATTTAGTAGCGTGGTTCCCAATCTTTTATGGCTCGTGGCTCTCTTCCAGAGGCTTTTGGCACTCATGGCCATATATTTATCATTCCAGTGGTATTTATAGCGTAATTTTGATTGGTAGATTCCAAATCCCCTTATGCTCAAACAATTCAACAAAGTGAGTACACCCTGTGAAATAACTTTATCAAGCAATGAAACTAGGAAGAACGGGTGGTTTTATTGTAAAGCAGGGGTCTCAAACTCGCGGCCCGTGGGCCAATTGCGGCCCGCAGGACGATAATTTGCGGCCCCCGCCTTGGTATGAAAGTTTGATGTTAGTGCGGCCCGTAAGTCACTCACCTCAGTTAGAATGATTGATGCATTTAATATATGATCAAGACAAGTAGAGCAAAACAAAATATTTTATAATCTATCCCCCGAAAGGAATATGCGGCACGGTAATCTACTAGTATACTAGGGTATTCGATGGACCTTTGACCCCAAAGAAGATTTTTCTTATACTTTACCATTGCTAATTCTTGGTGCTTATTTTAGAGGTGGCTTTGCGAGTTGAAGCCTATAAACTGGGGTATGTTTCACGTCATCATTTTGATTCAAAACATTCAACAACTTGTTTTTTAACAGTACCGGTAGAGAAGTTTAGCCTAGTCTATCACAGTTATTTCTAGACCTATTTTTGATTACGGCAATTAAGCTACGACGCCCAAGCAATCAGAATGATCATTGAGTTCTTTGATTCATACTTGAATTTCTGAAACACAAGCCAAAACTAACAAATAGCATGCAAAAACGAGGTAATGTTTCAAACATGCCTGAAAGTGTCTGAGCGTCTGTTGTTTATTGTTACGACGCTTTTGCGTCTTGCTGATTAGCCAATGTTACGGAATAAACAAGGAAGTAGATGCTTGGGGAAAGGTCCATCGCGGAATTACTTACATTTATGTTTTTGACATGTTTGCGTATAGAAAAACAGAGGGAAAGATTTAACTTTTTAAGTTTAATGCTTTTATTGTGAAAAAACTGATGCGGCCCGGACTCACTAAGGCTCCGTCTCGGCGGCCCTCAAGTAAATTGAGTTTGAGACCCCTGTTGTAAAGTGAATGGTAAAATAAGTTATGAACCTAGCATTGTGGCCTCCTTCAACCCTCTTGAGGGCCCCCGGGCCCCTGGTTGGAAATTCCTGAAGGAGTGTCATGTTGAGCAAGTTGACGGTATCGTACATATCGAGTGCCATACCCAAACGATGCCCATTCGGTCAGTGGCGTATCTACGTAAAATGGCGTCCCATGGCAAAGTTGAAAAAATGCGCCTCTTGATGGTTGGTCAACGATTTATAATGACTGTTATTGAAATGCTATACCTGTACGATATTCTTTAAGTAAAAATGCGAGTTTCAGTTGTCTCCAATTTGAAATAATTTATTGAAACCTATACCATTAAAACTTTTCGCCGTTTTTGTGCCCCTGTCTAAGCATCGCCCATGGCACGAGCCATGGCTGCCACACCCTAGATACGCCACTGCTTTGGGTCAACAATCTGCCATTATGAGCATTATGATATAGCACTTCTCCCTAAAAGGGCGAAATCGATCCTATTCAACTTAGCATTTTTACTTTTTTTTCTCTTTCTCAGAGAATACAGATACGTCAGCTCCAGCCATTCCAGTAGAAGAAGAAATCAGAGCACCAATTCCACAAACTTCAGGTTATTACCATAAATGGTAGTTTAGTTGCGATATAGATATAGAAAATGGTTAGGTTTACCAATTGGACGATGATGATCATTTGCTACTTCTGATGTATTTGATGTTAAATATCTCCTCTAAGAAGTACTGAGTCCATTTTGATTGCTAAAGTATCTAAATTAAAATTAATAAGGTCTTAATAAGGTCTTGTCAAAATTTGCTGGGGGAGCTTTTAGAAGCTGAAGCTTAATTGAGAAATGATGATTGCATGCCAGAAATATCCTGATTTATCCAAATTATACCAACTCCTTATTTCCACATTTCCAAGGTGGCACAAAATTGGTCAATTGGCTCGTTTTGGTTGCTTAAATATCTAATCTTTACAAGGTCGTTTTTTATTTATATTTATTAAGTACTGGAGGTAGATCTCGCTCTCATGAAGAACACTGATGAAAAAAAAAAAAATTGTATTCACTGTGCACCTGAAAATTCCTGTTTTTCCTAATTATTTTACCTCCTCATCTAGCTTTATTTCTTGTATATGGTTTTGTTTAGAGAGGAAGACATATAAAAATGTTGAATAAAATGAAACCTAAAAAAAGTCTATAGAACAAAATTTATTTGGCTTCATTCCGGCCTAAAATAAATTTAAATTGCTAATTTAGGGCTGACCCTCGGTCCAGGGAAATTTGAAAACTCTTTTCTAATATCAGTCAATCATTATTAAACTCTTGATTCTGCAGCCCTGGTTATCTCTGGTAATAAAATCACTTTTTATCAGGCGTACTTGTGGATGATCCACACTACATAACTACCTCAAGAGAAAGATGTTTTTCTAGGCGTCGTCCAAGATCGGTGTTCGATGGATTCAGGGATTTTAAAGCAGAAATATGTGAGTTGGCATTCATATTTTTTTTTAGGTGCATCTATTTCTTTGAGGTGTTGATTTCTGTACATGTATTTTATTATTATTTTATTTAGAATTGCTAGAAATTAGACTGTTTCATTTATTCAGAGATATTTAGATATTTTTTTATTTTAGTTTTGCAAATATGAGATTTTGTTATATCTTGTGTCAAATCTGACTGACACTTCTGCTGAAATCTGAGGATTTCTAAATCGAATGATTTCTAAATCAAATGATTATTATAAATATGAACTCTTCGTAAAATTCCAATTTCCAATTTCGTAAATTCCAAAGAATTTTAGTGATAATAGTTTTATAATGAATTCTAATTTTACATTCCAGCACAGCAAGAAGCATTATTTTCATCCGATCCAACCACAAATCGACGTTTGAAACGACTCGAAGATCTTTTCCGCCCTCCACTGGAATTAATGCACAAAGGAACATTAGAAACTGTAAGCCTTTTCCATTTTGAATGAATGCTGGATTGGTATTTTAAAATTATATCTTCGAACTTGCCTGTGTTAGGATTCATTCTAGTTAGCAACTCTTATTATTTTGAGCTGATTACTGAATTATTACTTTATTATTCTAAATAAGGCCTCAATTATTCTAAAATTCTAACTATGAGAATTTAAAATTTGGACTTTGGCTCTGGGGTATCGAAGAAATATGACTATGTTTAGGGTCCTAGCTGAATTCTAATCTTGATTTTGAAAGGAAAACGACCTATTCATCCATTGATTCGGTCCATATTCCCAGTCTGATTCGCAGAAAATTCCAAGCAAGTTTGAATCCTATGTCAAGTCTAGTAAAAATTTTAATACTCCCGTAGTGTGTTTACCAGGTTAGGCCATAATTTTATTCTGATTTTCCTTTTACGAGTTTGGGGTCTGTCTGTGTTAGCCAAGTGAATATACCCCGGCTCATAGGTTTCTGTGAGTTCTCTTTACACAACTCGATGTAAAGTAGGCGAACAAAGTTGGTTACCTCCATATTGGTACACACACTTCTGGAGCGCCAAAATTTTATTTCATTTTGACCTTTGAACTTTATTCCAGGCACGGGAAGCAGGAAGTCACTTACATAAATGGTTGATGGTCAACGTTCAAAATAATCAAGAATTCGCTTGCCAGGTTCTCAACAGGGATGTTTGGAGCAGAACGAATGTTCAGACTTTGATAAAGAAACATTTTATATTTTGGCAGGTAAGAGAGGGATGCTCATCGATATGAATTAATTTTAGGGGAATAGCCATCCACTGGTGATTTTTTTTTGCTTCACGTTCCGAAAAATCATGATGCTTGTGAGTCCCGGGGTATTTTTTAATAGATTTATTTTGGCAGGTGAGGAAGTACCTTGTACTTTACGCTTAAAGAATTGCAATGCTTAGAGTTAGAAGTCTTGGAGTATTATTGATAGCGTCCTACATCCAGTAGTTCTCAAATGGTGTGGCGTGCCCCACAAGGGGGCGTAGACAATTTTTTTAGGGCACCTGAAGCTAATTGAAAATGAAAACATTCGTTAGGACAGCTCAAGAAGTTTAGAACCACTGTCCTATATCTATTGACCTATTGTCAACTATATTTACTAAGGTTACTAATGATAGTGGCTTCTACTCATGCCACATGATAAGGGTGATGTCACAGCCTTTTATGAGTGATTTTTGAACTGTTTTCCGCTTTTGCTTCGAAAAAGAGTCTTACAAGTTTTCGGGGTGATTTTATAATAACTCCCTGATACCAATTTCAACTGATCCGGGTGATATTACTAATCATGCAAGGCTTTCACATAGCAAGGCTAGAAGAAAAGATATTTTATTAATGATTGTTTCAGCTGTTTCCACCTCTTCTATACAATTACGATGTTCAAAAGTCTAAGGCTGTTTTTTATTAGCTCCTCATACCTATTTGTAATATCGTTAATATTGATCCTTCTTAGGCAAGGGTGGGGTGAACTGGAGTTGATTTCATAACTGTGACTGTGATCTTTTTGCCATGCAGTAATGATTGTTTCAGCTGATTTCAACTTTTGCTCTATACAATCATGTTCAAAAGTCTAAGGCTGTTTTTATTAGCTCCTCATACCTATTGCCAATTGTATTGGTAATATCACGGATAACGATATTTCTCTGGCAAGATTGCTGTAGACTGGAGACTTTATAACCGTGATCGTGATTTATTTACCATGCAGTATAATGCAGTTTATTCCATTCAACTTTCTGTTGTTTTCAAGGTTTATAGTGACAGCACAGAAGGCGAGAGGTTTACTACGTTTTACCCTGTCACTAGGTGGCCACATGTGTCTATTTTGGACCCGAGAACGGGGGAACAGCTTGCAGTATGGAATGATATTAACAGCAACAATATAGAAGGCAAAGGTATGTTACTATCATACAGAACAGGGATGGCGAACCTTTTTCAATGAATGGGTCAAAAATTATACTTTTATCGCGGAACAGAAGAGTGTGGGTCACAGATATTTAATTCACGTTTGTACCTATAAGAAACTTCTGAAACGAATCTTATAAGCTGGTGTTGCTGTAGTTTTGGGCTTTACTTATGCAGCACTTCTATCAGGGACTTTTCATGGCACTCGGTTTTATGATATTAGAGTACGAAAACACGCACATGAATTACCAAAAACGTTTAGGATGATGCGTTAAATTATTTTACGGTTCTAGTGTTTGGAGGTAATTCCGCTTTGATAGTGTTATAATTTTCGATCAGCTTCCAACCACATTAAGCCACTTTCACACTGCCCCATTGTTATATCGGATTTCTAGATTTTTATTTCAAGTCTGAAAGTTTGTTTTCACAACGGCATTGTAGGCGAGAAACTAATAAAATGCAAAGTAGCATCTAGTTCTCGTATAACCCCTAAAACAGTCTGCAGATGCACTTCCAAAAAAGACAGGCGTTGCGAGAAATGAACAGATCAATTGCATTGATATGTCAGGCCCAATAGCTGAATAACGGTACACAGCGGTGCATACACGCGTACAAGATTAGGGGTTTTGAAAATCACCATACCGGCCCGAAAATCAACATTTTGCAACATGAGCGATTGCAGCCCTCCCTGACTGTCCAACTGACGGTACATTATAATAGTTTAGTAATTGTTAGATTAATTTAAAGTCGGTTTTATCAATTTTTATCACTGATATGTTAGCATTTTTTATTTTATTTCATTCGTGCCTTCGCTTGGCGGGTCACAAATAAAACGCGGTGGGTCACTTTGTGACCCGCGGGTCAGTGGTTCGCCATCCCTGATATAGAATAACGTTATGTGTGTGTGTTGCCTAGGGCAGGGGTTCCGAAACCGCGGACCGCGGGCCAAATCCGGCCCGCGTGACAATTTAAAATGGCCCGTCAAGCTTGAGTGAAATAGTGTGCAACAGATTTTGTTTCACCTTTTTGCATTCAAGTGTTACGCCATTTTCACAGCTTAAGCACGTGTTTATCGTAACAATTCAATTAAAGCGTTATCTCAGTTATTCGTACCGGTATTATGAATACATAGGGCAGTAATTTAGTTATGAACCACAAGAGCTTAGACATGTCACGCACTTTCAAGCGCTACATTCTTCCGGCCCGCGAAGATGCCTCCGATTCAAATTTTGGCCCGTGGCAAATGAAGTTTGGGAACCCCTGTCCTAGGGCATTTGATCATAACTTTTTAATTTTGTTACTAAATTGAATTACCAAAAGCTCCCTATTTATACAATTAAAGTAGTCATAATGTTATCAATTTTTGGCTGGCCAGAAATGGCATAATAAATTTGCGGTAACTCAGCATTTTAGCCTACAATCTGTAAGGCATAATATTGTTTTGTTAATTTGCCTCTCTGAAGTGTGTGACTAGATCACTGACTAGATTTGAATGTTTGCTTCTCCACAGATTATCAAAGTATAGGGATTACAAAAAAAAATTTTGAAACGGTTAACTCTGGATTATCCTTCCCCCCCCAAATTGTCAAATTACCCCCAGTTTGAGAACCACTGGCTTGGGGCAATGTTTCTAAAAACTTACATGATCCATATCCCCATTCCAAATAGTCTTCAATATTTTTGTAGTCGTGGCCCGCTGCTTTTCTATAAAAAAAACTTCAACCCATCACCATCAGTACATTGTATTCCACGGCTTCACCTTTGAATGTATTTCTTTATATACAATATATTATGTACAATTTATTATTACTTATCGATCTCAGGATCGGTAAGTATGTTGATAGGTATTTGTCTGTTTGTTTGTCTGTTAGATACACGCAATATCTCATGAAAGCGAGGTTGAATCTGCTCCAAATTTTGCATGTCCATTCATAATAGTTCGGAACAGAAGCCTATCGATTTTGGATGGATTATGTCGTATAATTAGCGAGTTATTAATTAATTAGTGATGGGACACACGGTGTCACTGTGGAGTAAGACCACTGTTTTGGGGGATCCCCTAACCTTCGATCGATAAGTCTTCGGTTTCCAACCGAATTCTAGAGTTTATATATTGTCATTAGTGCTTTTCAGCATGATGAAAAAATAAATACTGATTACTGAATGAACTAGATAGCGATCGGGGAACACCGATCGATCTGCATTTCGATTCCTTCACTCTGACTCAATAGCGATACCGCGTGTTCCATCACTAATCAAATAATAACTCGCTAATTATACGACATAAATCATTCAAAATAGGCTTCTGGACCGAGATATGATGAATGCACATGCAAAATTTGGAGCAGATTCAACCTCCCTTTCGTGAGATATTGCGTAACATACGAACATGTTTAACAGACAGACAGACAAATACCTATCAACATACTTACCGATCGAGATCGATAAGTAATAAATACATTATAGTCAAATAACACTCAATTTGCTATATATTAATGTAGAAGGCCTTTGCCAACGATCAACGATTTTGCCAGGGAATCATTTCGTGGCCCACTAAGACGACCAATGGCTCATTTTGAGTAGCCCTGTTTTAAACCAATTTTGTTTTTAATTATAGTTGAAGAGTTCCTTGCTGATCATGGCTCCATTGCAGATGATGTGGACAGCGGACCTCCGAATAAAAAAGTTAAGGTATGACTGTATACTGATGCATAGATAAGTTTTTATTTGATTGTTGCTATTTTTGTGTGAAATATTGCAAAAATCTTATTGAGATTGGGCTCATTTCACCTTCGTGTTAATTGATCCCAGAGGGTTGAAGCCCCCCCCCCCTTTTTTGAAATGTTAAAAAAAAAATATTATGTATTATGCATGCATGGTACTTGTAAAAGTTTTACCCCCGAGAACCTGTCTTTGTGCAAAAGCTTGGAAGAATGTTACCATGATTGTGATTAGGATTGTATACTGATGCATAGATAAGTTTTTATTTGATTGTTGTTTTACCTGAGCTCTCCGTGAAGCTCTAAGCAGGTATTTACCAATAACTTGATTTGCGAAACAGAATTATTTCAGTTCGATCTACAGCTTCCCTAAAATATTTTTCAGGAATTTAGAGGGTCGAAAAAGTGTTCCAATCTACGAAAAATACAATTTATTTTTACATTTTTAAAGGGGGGTTCGACCCTGATCTGAGTGCCCATTTTACATGAGGCGGAACTACTGGGTCTGGCAATAGTTGACCAGTTAACGGTTTGAATTGTCAGTAATAGATACTTTATTTAACATTTTTTTTCCTATTTTCACAGCGCGATCATTCCGTCGTTGATGATACAGAAGACAAGCAATTGGCTGCAGCAATTGCAGCATCTTTGGCAGAAAATAAAGCTCCTGCCACCACCCAATCAGACTCCGACATTGACAATAATGACGATTTCCTAATTTCGAACGAGAGTAGCGACAATGTCAGTGAATTTGATGCTTCTTCTGATGAGGATATTTCTGACATACAAAAGGGGGCGACAAAGGGGTCTAAAACAGCCAAAAAATGCAACGAAAATGGCAAAATTTCAATTGAAGACACTGAAATTGATGACGAATATTTTTCTATTAAAAACGGTGAAAAAACTACAAGTGAAAGCAAAAAGTTTTCAGAAAATGGGGCCAAAAACTATAAAAATCGCGAAGAATCAAACGATTTATCAACAAATACTGAAACGTCAAAAATCTCGAAGCAAAAAACATATAAAAAGGTCAATTCAAGGTTAAAGGTTGGGTCAATCGAAAACGGGAAAGACTTGAGTAAACTCACAAATGATATTTACGGTTGCGAAACATCAAATACTTCAAAAATTCCCCAAAATACTAATAACGCAGCAGAGAAATCACAATCGAAAGATGATAAAACAAATAATTCCGAAGACAAACTCAATGAAATGTGTCGAATTATGGTTCGCTTTCCTGATGGCTCGAGAGAGGAAATCAAACTTGCGTCTGATTTAACTGTCAAGGTAAATTTTTTAAGCTGAGAAATGGGGGGTAGCCAGGAATTTTCAGTAGTATGGTATGTATTGGTGGCAGCGTGTACAGGGCTTTGTTCGAAATTGTCATAAAATTTGCTTTGCTTGAAAAAAACTTGCACTTACTAAAAATGCACTTAAGATTATTTATACAATGTTTATTGGTATTTTTCACTCTGAACAAGGCCCTGTCTAAGCGACCCCTGTGGTGTGTGGGATTTGAATCCGAGAAGTGTAATCTGCGATGCCATCACAATTCAGTCTCACGATTTAACCACTCGGCCACCACGCCATCATAAATAGGATTTATGTAACAATTTCACGTAACTGATATATTTGACTTTATTATAAAATAATGTTACGTAATGAAATTTAGGTATATTATATAACACAGTTACATAAACTAGAAAATACTTTATACTCGGTGGTTCTCAACCTTTTTTCATTTGTTGCAGAAAAAATCTGTGGGCTCATTAATATTCTTATGCAATGGAAAAATTATGAGAAAAACCAAAAATTCATTTATCAAATATTCTAATATTTTTTACAGTTTTGATGGTAATATTACTCTATGTCCCCCGTGAAAGCGACTAAATTTTTCCCTGGTTGATAAATGCTGGGCCATCGTACCCATCACCTAAATTAATGAGAAACATTAAAAATCTCATATCAATTCCTTATTTCTCCAGGACTTATCATCAGAGTTACGAACACGAGGATACCCACCTGAAGATTACGACGTTGTGACTCATTTTCCTCGCAAAAGTATTTTTTCATCTGGGGAAGAGTGTTCTTTAAAAGAAGCCGGATTGTTCCCGCGAGCGGCTGTCTTTGTACAAGAGATTGATAGCTGAGTCTTGTTTCAAAAAGGGGTGCTCCCATAGTATTTGTACCAAGATGGAGCACAACCTGAACATAGTATGTGTACCAGGTTAGAGTTGCTACCGAGATTGGGATTATGATTGCTACTTCCACATTTATGTTAATTTATCTCAGTGGCCATGGGTTGAAGTCCCCCCCCTCTTTTGAAATTTTTGAAAAAATGATTTTTAAGTATGATGCATAGTGCTTATACTTGCCTGAATCCTTTACACCCGAGAATTTTTCGTTTTGCAAAATCGTATCAAGATTGTGATAAAGATAAACTGCATTTCAAAAAACGAAATTTATATGGTTGGCAACCCTAACCCAAACGTAACTACAGCTCCTCTTCACCCTGTCTTTGTGTTAGTTTAGGGGTGTGCAAAGTGCGGCCCGCTGGCCAAATGCGCCCACAAGGGAAATTTGTGCGGCCGCAGAGGCAGCTGAAGAGCAGTTTAAAACAAATTTGGGGCTCCCGAAGTATGCGAACCAAGATGGCGGACATCGGAATGTAATATGTGTACTAGGTTAGGGTTAGGCCATAATTTAAGGTATAAATACTACGGGAGGCTCTTGGCTAGTCTTCGAACTGATAATAGGACTAAAATAAGGAAAATTGGAAAAAAATTATCGCCTAACCCTAACCTGTTCCCCATGTCACGCTCTGATGTCCGCCATCTTGGTTCGCATACTTCGGGAGCACCAAAAATTTAATATAGAAAGATACAAAAGCTAAATGAGTTTCGGTTCCAGCCTATCAATTGATTTTGTCTAAATCTAACCTAGAATAGGATTTGACAGCAAATTATTTGGAAACGAATCATGTCGTGTTTTACTGAAAACATCTCAACCAAGATAACTATCCACATTTGAAGAAGTCATGACTTCAAATATGGCACTTTTCGGTAACATATTTTTTTCTAAAGTGGGCGTCATATCGATTTGCTAGCACTTCCATAATAACAAAAAGACACCATTTTGTGCCTGCAACTAATAGAAAGCCTGAGTTAAATGTAGATGCGGCACGCGGTTTCACGCGGTTGTTGATATTTGGCCCGCCTGCGAAAAAGGTTGCACACCCCTGTGTTAGTTGATCCCAGAGGCGTACCCATGGGTTGAAAGTCGGACCACTCCCTCGCTTTTTTTAATGCAAAAAAACAAGTCATAGTAAATTTTTGTACCTTTAAACGCTTTTTATACCCTTAATACAATTGAAAACCTGTTCGCCCATTTTGAAATGTGAAAAGTAAATTTTTGTAGGGTACATACATTTTTCGTAGTTTGAAACACGTTTAGACACGCAGGACTCTTGAAAACCTATGTCTTCCCGCCATGAGCTAGACCTGCTAACTGTTACAGTCTAACTTGGTCGTTACAAATTCAGACTTCTCCCCCTTTTGAAAGTTTCTCGTTACGCCCCTGAGAAGATCCATATTCAATGACTGGAATAACTGTAAGAATACTGTAGCAAAAATCGAAACGATTTTATATTGATGAGTTTAATCATTTTTTGCTGCAAAACCTGCCCTGGTCCACCTGTTTACATAGCAAGGCCTGTTTGATGCCAATTGGTAAACAAATTTACAACCAACATTCGCCGGAGTACGGCCGAGATCGCCATGGCGACCAATTTATTCGCAATATGATCCCTGTTCTGTTCTTTGAAGAAGCTCGCGGAACGCAGTTTTAGAAATGCTGGGTTTGTGGGTTCATCTGCATTTGCAAATATCTTTCCGCAGACTTTCTCAAATTTTTTTCTGTAATGTTTCAAATAGTCAAAGTCAGAATTCCACATACAAGCAATTTGGAACAATGATGAGCAATCCTTTACATTACTTCTTAATGCAAATTTTGCAAAATAATGATAAATGATTAGGCTTTTCATATATATGAAACATAAAAACAGGACAGTACGAGTTGGACAAATCATGCTCGATTTCGAGGCTCAGTAATATCAACTCGTATGAATATTAGCAATCACTGGAAAATGTGCATTTTATTTTTGAATAATTTAGCAACAGTACATCTATCATTAGATGTTAAATTGGTGTATTAAACATGTAAATGTTATGACATAACAATATAGTAGTTCTCTCTCTCTCTGAACTTGTCAGGTGTGTCGTAAATCAGTGATAACTGGACTGTATGACGTAGTTTATATTCATCCAAAACCAGAACATACCATGAATCCGACTTCATGAGCTTATTTGGCTGAAGTTTTATATGCGTATCTTATCCAGAACATAACAGTCCATATGATTACTCTGTCTTTTCTCCAAAATAGACTTCATATCAAGTCCATGCATCTGAAAACAAATAACTGGCTAACTAATCCCATACCCGCCATGTACTGGTAACCGGATGAGAAGCCGTGGTTTGCCATATGATTGAACCATCTTACCGACTTTCTTCTCCCTCTAGATCAGGGTGGTCCAAGCCCAAGCCCGCGGGCCACATGTGGCCCGCTATTCCATTATTTTTGGCCAGCGTCGCATTCGGAGAGGAATCAAAAAATCGCATTTCTTATTGTTTTGTCTTAAAATTACCCAAAAAATCTTTTGACATATTGTTGCATCACTAATGTCACTGAATTGACTAGTGTTATGGCTTGATGAGGCAACTAGCGAAGTTCTTGGCACTATTGTGGCCCGCGAACAATGCAAAAGTAATTTTGTGGCCCGCGGAGCTGCCAATCTTGGACCACCCTGCTCTAGATAAATATGTAAATCCTATCAGAAATATGCCCAATCTGATCCTTGGCCTAGAGTGCCATATTTCAAAGCCCAGAGCATACCATTGAATCCTATTTATCTACGGGCCCTATGGTTTCAATTCAGCTCATTGTGGCTCAAAAGCACAGAACCTATGAATTTTGTAGTTAATTTTATGGTCGAGTCTTTAAAAATCATTGAACTTGCTCATCAAATCATATCATAGTGTTTGGTCATATTAGGCCAAGTTTTGTCACTTTCCCACATATAAGCAGACGCCCTGAAAACGACCCAAATACAATAAATTTATAAAGTTGCGGTTAACGGTGCCGACCCTACGAATCGTAACACGTTGTACGTACCAAATGGTTGCAGATGAAAATGATATAAAGAGTTATGCATGTACAAGCGGACACCTTAGTTTGGCAAATTTTTTTTTGAGTTTTGCATTCTGCTTATATGTGGGAACATAGGCTATTCGTAAGTTAACAAATAGTTTGGCAATATTCTTTTTTTTTGAGTTTTGCACTCAGCTTAAAATCCGACAAACAGTTTGGCAAATTTTTTTTCTGAGTTTTGCACTCAGCTTATATGCGATGATATATGACTGAGGAATTGTATTTCCAATGATATATTGCAAATGATTTATACTGAATATTTGTTAAAATTGTGTTTCTGTGATGATGTGATAAGGGTGTGGATTCATAGCAGTTAAAATGTTAGATTCACTATGACGACAGCACAGGTTGAAATCTCTCGATAAAATTCCATGCTTACATAGAGGTAGCCAGAGGCGTAGCCTTCACCCCTCCATATTGTTTTTTAAAATGCAATTTTGTGTCATTTGCAGTGAGACAAAAATTGTTACCTTATTTTCAAAACCATTTCGATCTATTCTTGAATGATTTACTGAAAACCCAACGTTTCCTGGCTTACTAGCAGTAGATCCTTCCTCCGAATGAACCAACTAAGATAGATGAAAATGCGCGTTTATGTAGCTCGGATAACTCCGACAGCGAAGTAAGTCTGTAGAGAGATTCTTTAAGATATTGTTTGATTTCAGTGGATTCTTTTATCTGACTTTGATCCTTGCAAAAGGCACGGTTAAGCGTCGTATTACGTCATCAATATACAAAAATGCAATATCGCGACGCCAAAAAAAATAAAAAGGAACAAATTTAGCTTTGAAACACTATGAAAGTTGGCCAATACTTGGAAAAATGAGATTTAAATACTTTGGAAAAAATTGGCGCCAAACTACCAACATAAAAACCATCTATTTCAAATTCATTCAACATTCGCCATTTTGTCTTGACCCATCTCAATGTTATCCTGACTATGAGGCCGCATCATGTAAGACTTATCACATTTCCTCTCCCTGAAATAACATCTCTGCAGTGGTTAACCAAGCCTATACCCAAACGTGAATTGATAACCGAATGGATGGCTGTAGTGTAGTCAACCATATGGGTAAAAGGTCTCATCGAATTCCCCTATTCCGAAACAATATCCTGGTTACTAGGACCTAGTACCTTCAATGAAACAGAACGCAATGTTACATGTATTCCCTTTAATACTCATGAAGTAGATTGACGCATGGCAGTTTCCAACATAAAAATGACGATACAAGAACATTGACAACAGACTGGTAAAGTGGACTGTAATTTTAAACGTAAGGTCCAAGTTGGGGGAGCTGATAACGGGTACACAGACTTCATGTCATTAGAACAATTTAAGTTTAGTTTGATTTTTAATCGACTTTGGAGTTGTTTAAAAAAATATAATATACAAATAAATTTGTGTTAGTGTGCAGCAAGACTTTTGAATCGAATAGTATGGTCATCTTTATCCTTGCCACATCATCGTGGTGTAATACGCATACGGATCCACTTCCACAAAGGCATAGAGCAAGGAAAAGGTAGTTAGTCTTACGTAACAAATACATGTTGTGGATTTATAGAATATCTAGTCATAATAAGGGTCGGGGCTGTACAGGTGCCGACAGGATACTGTTAAAATTCGTGAGGCGAAAAGTCAGTAAATCTTGGTGAGAGCCGTCAGCCAATTTCTGTAAATCCTCGAGTCTAATTTTTTCTGCCAGTAAAGAAATCAACTTACGAGAAAATGATAATCACACCGTTTTACTGGAAAAGTGAAACTGCGGAAAACCAAAACTGGTTATCGAAAAGCGATACAGGGTTCTAATATTCAACTTGAAAAATTGAGAATTTCAAAGATCCGAAACTACTGTACTCCAGAACGGTGATAAGACGAGAAGAATCATAGAATAACTTGAAATCCGGTGACTTATGGAACGTCAATTTTATAGCAGAAAACATACCGTCATTACAACATTGATATATATATACTAGACATCGCCATATGAGAGCCAAATAAGCTGATGTCACGCTTCCAGGAATAGCAACTTTCAGTTCTGTACGGCCAAACTTAAAAAAGTTGATACGTAGCTACCAAAAATCAAAACGAAAACGGGTACAGAGCTTTGAAATCTGGATCAATAGATAGCCCCTGGTCAATAATGAGAGAAATTCTTGAAAATATGACATAAGGCACTACTCAAAATCATAACTGAAACAGATACAGCTTGGGGTCAACATATAGCCCTGTTCCACAATGCAGAGGATAAACAGACCATTTCAGAACAATGTAACATAAGATACTTTTGTTTTACTGTGGCGAATACATGAGGATTTTACATAAAGTGCGACGCAGGCGCTCGTAAATAATATTGAGATGAACACATAAATAGCAATATGTACAAATGATGTGATATCGCCTTAGAGTCGGGGTCTAAACAGAAGTTTTAGAATTCCCTGAGTTTTTATCTTTTCCGATTCTCCTTATAGTAATGGGCAGTGACATATCTAGGATGTGAAAGTCATCATGGACGAAGCCAGGGTTGAAGGTCGGAGCCACCTTTTAAGTGTGAAAAAAAGCATTTTCCTGTATCATACATAGCTGTTTTTTGAAGATTGAAACGCTTTTTAAACCCTAGGAACACTTGACAACCCACGTTTTCCGACCGTTAGGTTAGTTGATGCGGTCTGATTGAGCAATTTTAAATTTTAACCCCCACACATCTTCGAAAATTCTTGGCTACGCCGATGGCAGCCATGGACGCCGTTTGATGGCGCAAAAGGTTTTGATCGTAAAATGTTTCAATTGAATAATTTCAAATTGGGAATAACTGGAACTTGTATTTTTACTCAAATAATAATGTACATTTCAATACCATTCATTATAAATTGTCAATCAAATATCGAAGAGTGCGCAATTTCAAACTTTTCCATCCCATATTACATAGATTCGCCACTGGAAATGAGACTCCAAATTTTTAAGCGATGAAAGGCTTGCAAATACCAATGCTTTGATTAAAATAATTTTACCATTACCAAAAATATTCCGATCAGGACTATTTGAAAAACCAATTCTGACAGCAAACAATACTGGTTGTGCGTCATTTATTAGCTTAGGTTAAAAATAGACAACTCATTTCAAAAGGTGGAAGGAGATTAGGGTCGCAACCTTCAACACAACCCTCTCATCCTGGCTACGCCCTTGCACAGAAGAAAAAAAAAGACAAGTACGAGGGACTGATAAAGGAAATAGTAAAAACCTAATGAAAGGCTTATAACAAGCGCTGTAACCAGCGCCTGTTAAATGTTATCACTGGAATTCTCATTATATGCCATTCCCTGCATTAGGAGTAGGTCTGGGCATTCGAATCGAATATTCGAATCGAATCGAATAGTAAATTATTCGAATTGGTTCAGAGCTAAATTTTGAATCGCCGCCATCTTGTTTTCTTCTTTTCGCCAATGGTCGAGGTGAATTCCCCAATTTTTTTTTCATTAAAGTCATATTTTTTCAACGCAATTCTGACGTATGACTTTTTTCTGTAGTGAGTTATTGATAAAACGTGTTTTTTAATATTTGTGAACGCTCAGTAATCTATCTGTGTGATGTATTCTATGTCTTCAGTAATTCATTTGTTAAGATGACCAATTACTATAAGAAGTCGTCTACAATTATATATTTCCAAGTATCCGAGATTCGATTCAATTCGAAAAAATTATTCGATTCGATTCTGAAATCACGAGGTATTCGGAAATGCCCAGCCCTAATTAGGAGCAGTGGTGGGATTCAAATTTTTTTGTCAGCCGGTTCCATCACAAAAGTCATATTTTTCGGCCGGTTCTGTTACATGTTATTTTTTTTAATGCTAACCGGTTCGCTGATCTCATAAAATTCGGTGAGACGGTTCTATAGAACCGGTGCGAACCGGCTGAATCCCACCACTGATTAGGAGCATACGAATTCACAGTGAAATTAAACGAGTTTAAATTATTTTGTGTACTACCGTGTTTTCCCGAAAATCAGACCTAGCCTGCGTAAATGAGTAAGTTTTAAGTAAATGGATATCGGTCTTTATATTTTGTATATTTGAAAATATCGTAATTCTCTAAGTGTAATTTTACTTTTAATAAATGAAAATAAAAGACATCCCCCAAAAATAATCCATAGTGTTATTTTTCGATAGAAAATTGAAATAAGACCCTGTCTTATTTTCGGTAAAACACGGTATTCAACCAATCTTCTCCCAAATAGTCCCGAAACAGTCAGTTAAAACAATCACTAAACGAAACACAATATTAACAAACTACTTTTGAAACATTAGTTTATATAGAAACAGATTTTCTGTAACTTCGATTGATTCTTCAAACTGTGTCCGTGTCTGTGAAAATGTAATAAAAGAGCGTGAACCCGACTTTTTATTTATTAAAAGGATGATTGCGGTTGAAATGTACCTGATAGGGCAGGCAGGATAGGATAGGGCAGGTGCTTGTATGTGGATAGGGCAGAAATTTTGGTGTGTGCGCACTTTTTTGGAAATGACTACTATTTGTGCAAAAACCAATGAAGAAATTTTGGCGTTTTAACCGGGTAATAAGTGTGCCAACAACAAACTTTCTCAACCTGCCAACCGAGCACATTGTTACATTACATCGAAATACGTCTGTGCGCAGTAAATCTATGCGTGTGCGCAGCCCCTGAAAGCTGTGTGCGCGCGCACACGCGCACACCTTAGAGGGAACACTGTGAGGCCATAATTTTATTCCAATTTTTCTCATTTTAGTTCGTTTATGAGTTCGGGGACTGTTTGTGTAAGCCAAGTGAATATACCCCCTGTTCATAGGTTTCAGTCCCTTTACACAACTTGATGTAAAATAGGTGAACAAAATTAGTTATCTTTATATTGGTACACACACTTCTAACACGCCCAAAAAAATATTCAATTCAATTCTGAAATCATCAGGTAGCCGAAGATACCCAGCCTAATTACCACCTCTCATCAAAGTACTAGTTCATGTCGGGTATGGGACAGTGGCGTAGCAAGACTCTCGTGGGACTCCCCGCAAAAATATTTCGTGGAAATGACCCTAAAAACTCTCGGACATAAGCTAAAACAACGCCTTTTTTATTTCGTCAAAAAGCATAACATGTCGCTATTAAAAGGCAAGGGTAACCTAAAATTTGCCGTTTATCTTGGTTACTTTAATTTTTCTCATACATGCTTCCTCTTCTGCCCTTTTTCTGCGTTACTGTGCGCCACTGAGAAGTTTTGCTTTCGACATCATTCTGACAACCTTCGTAATTTTGCCGGTGCGATCAAACCACAAGACGCCGAAATTCGACGACTCCCTGGCATTGTTACGTAACAAACCGATTTGAGCAAAACTAACATCATAAGATGTGCATAACTGGTTTTGCAATGCAGCTTTTGGTTTTGCGGCTTAAATTTCTAAATTCTGCTTGGGCCCCTTTGCGCTGTGGGCCCTCCCGCGACCCCGAGGGTTGCAGGGGTGGATGCTACGCCACTGGTATGGGATTAGTTAACCAGTTATTTGTTTCAGATTTAAGTATGTAGACAATTATTGGAATTATCTTACAATGTGACATCACAATACTTACAATAACGCTTGATAAACATTTTTGCTCCAGTGTAGAGAATTGTAGCTGTAACAGGAAAATATGAATTTAATTGATAAGAATTATTGTTTGAATGAACACAAGAAACAAAACTTCAATTGTAACTACAAGTAACATAATATAATCCCAAACATGTCGCCAAAGTACTGAATGACCTCCGGAGACCAGCATGACACTCATCTGGACAGAAGGTAAATGAGATTGGGAAGGGGGGTCTAGTATAGTTTAGTACCACAAGAACTTCCAGTGGGCGTAGCATAACGATTTTTGCATATGTTATTTCTAACCCTCACCTGACTATGCCATCCAAAAATTACGTCACTACAACGTCACCATCACGTCATAGGGATTGCCAAAGTATAATTACGAACGCCCGAAATGGCATCTGCGCCGCCGATAAGAACTTGCTAAAGCCGGCGATCTCTCTCCTATCGTGATCGTAGATCGGGAAAACGAGAGAAATAGCTTGCTCGATTTCGGGTTATCGTCTGCGCGTTTTGGACGACCATCCGCATACTTCGGTGGGCCTTATTACGCCACTGTGACGTCGGAATGACGTAATTTTTCGGTGAAGTAGTCAGGTGGGGGTTAGGATTGACATATGCAAAAATTGTTGAGTCAGGCCAACTAGAAGTGGATGTGGTACTAAACTATACCAGACCCGGGAAGGGAACCCCACCTTTTGAAATGTAAATAAAAATGTATAGTATCTTCATACGCTAACAAGTCAAAAATACTATCGCATTTATTGTTACCAAACATTTTCTTAAGTCACTGTACATCCAGCGTCTGTAGTAGGATCACATATTTATCTCGGGGGAAAAGAAAGTCTATAAGAAGGCTTAATGAAATGACGAACTACGGCCTTTCGTCCGGTTACCATTCCATGTCGGTGTGGGATTTGTTAGCCAGGTATATGTTTCAGATGCATGGGCTTGATGGCGGACGAGCCGTAGTATCCAACCCAGTAAAAATACAACGTTGATCAATTAAAATAAACATTATTCATTTTGGTAAGTGTTTAAGTTATTATTAAATACAGAACATGTACACAATATCTGTAATTAAACAGAACAAGGGAACATTCATGGATGGGAAAAGCTTTGCTGTTCAACCGCCAATTATCTGGCTAGCCATACTCCTTTGAATATTAGCGGATTGATACTGCTCTTCGTCCAGCTGCCATCGGAAATGGGAATAGTTACCCAGTTATTTGTTTGAAATGCATAGACTTGATGGGGAGGAAACGTAACCAATCAGCGGATACGTGAACCACCCTACGGTGGCGAGGAGTCAAGCAATTCTTTCCCACATACTTATCCCTTGAGATTCGAACCGCTTACCGGTGTCGGTTATAGAAAAGGTTATCTGTTTGCTTATTTCGGATGCATGTACTCGGTCGGATACGGCTTCCTACACTATCAAGTCTATATATCTGAAACAAATCTCTTGACCTGGTCAAATATTTCCAAACTAAACATTGATGGGAATTGGGGATTCTTCTTCAAAAAGACGTGGTAATCTCTATTGATAATAGGTATATCTTTTATATTTGTTAGAGAATTCGTACAAAACTCGCCGTCAATAATAGTATTTTTGAAATTCCCCCAAAAAAATTCCCACTCATTTTTAATTGGATATTATTGGATGACGCCACTCAAAGAACAGATTTTATACTCCGCGAATATCCTTCCCTAGTTAAAGTTGTGTGCTTACTTTTGTCTCACAATTTGAGTATGATTGTTTTCTTGTCCACTGGTTGAAAAAAATAAAGACCAAAGACAATGACTAGACATACTACGAAACCGTCTTATTGAATTTCCTCTCTCCCGGGATAAATATGAAATCCCTGTTCTAATGTTGAATGTACCATTGAACTCAATCGGTGCTCGGCGATGTGACGCATCATGCTAAGCGTTAGGAATCCGCTCGCCAACGCACCTCCGATTACTCTGCGTGAGTTCGCATGTTCGAATCCTATGCGGGATAGTTATGTGCGAGAAGATTGCTAAACTACTCGCTGCCGCAGGGTGGTTCACGTAACCTCTGGTTGGTTACGGCCTCCTCCACCATAAAGTCCATGCTTTCGAAAACAAATAACTGGCTAACTAATTCCATACCAGACATGAACTGGCAACATGACGATAGACTGTGGTTCACCATATAATAAAACCGTCTTATCGGCTTTCCTCGTTCCCTGAATAAATAAATAAATCCAATACTATCCTAAATGCTTACTTGGTCCCGCAGTTATTCCGTCCTCCTTACTAGCCTTTGCTGTAGGATCAGCGTAACGTTTTCCGGTGAGCTTCAATTTATAGCACGCGTGATTCGTACCACTTGGAGCAAATTTGTACCTGAGAATCCGTCAATAATATTTTTAGGGATAATATAAGACAGTCGTTCCCAACCGGGGCACGTAGCCCACCAAATGGGCCACAAAGCGGTTGGAGGGGGCCATCATGCTGGACGCAAAAGTGATTTCCCCTTACAAGAAAAATCGCCCGTTCTCCCTAGTTTCATTGTTTGATAAGATTATTTCACAGGGTATAAATCTAGATGTTTTTTCTTGTTGAGCATGATTTGTTTAACATAATGAGATTCGGAATCTATCAATCAAAATAACACTCTGAATACCATTGGAATGATAAACAAAGGAGCCATGATTGCTAAAAGCTTCCGGAAGGGGCAACACGGTATAAAAGGTTAGGAACCATTGATATGAGACGTCAATCCACGCAAGGTTTTCTTATTATTTCAGGTAGGGCGTGTGGTACATATTTTTCATTTTCGATAAAACTATTTGTAACTTATAAAAACGTGTTATGTATTTGAATGATCACCTACTCCGATATATGAGCTCCTTCGGGGGTATTCAAGTTCAATTATATTCAAATAAGAGGGGGGAGTTGAAATTTTAGAGTGGGATTGAAATTTTGGGGATGTTTGGGGGGCACTGCTGGTAGTACTTAATTTGCTATTAGCAATTAAACTATTTGTAAAAATGACTGGCTGATCTACACTGGTTTTTAGGATATTCACATACAAATATAATTTATATAATATATTTAAGTATATTGGGGGGGTAAAATTTTGAGGCGGGGAGGCGGTATTACTGCTAGTAGTACCTACCACCATCCCCCTCCTCCCTGTACAGCACAACTCTTCCGTGCCCCTTCGTCCTTGGCGGAAAACTGGGCGCCATCATGTGAACTGAAATCACCGTTCGTTATCTAGAAAAAAGATCATCATTGGACACAAAATGGACACAAAATTGGACGCATAATTATTTAAATCATTTCAGACAATCATTTCGAATCGCCGCCATCTTGTGCTATCGATTGGGTTTCTACAAAACTAACAACACTATGTCTTCTATGCTTTTGCCCCGGCGAATCCATATGTATATATTGCAAGTGATTCAAGAGTCTTGCTGCACACTGACACAAATGTATTTCTGTAACGTTTCGTCTGAGACTTCCTCAGACGTACATAGTTAAGAGAAATATAATAGTAAAACAAGAATATAATTGCAAGCACATTTATACAACGTTGTTTTTTTGCCAACACGAACTCACGTTATGTGATGGGATTAGGATAGACTTCAAAGTTCTCTATCACGGCCTACTTGGGTTTTTTCGTGACACTCAAGAACTTCAATGAGACCGATATTTTGCACAAAAGATCGAATCTTGGCTTGTTTCGGGGATGGTGGTCCCAGTACTGGTTCCAAATCTTTCAAAATTGATAGATATTTCGTATAAGTTAGTTAGTGTCAGTAAGTGCTGAAAAAGTTATTACCGCCGACCCAATTGGGCCCTGTTGCGACCTACTGGGGCAGTCGGGACCCCCATTTTGAAGGGAACTGGACGAAACAATAAAAAATGTACCAGTGTGTCAGACTCCTTTGCAAAAAAGGAACCGATGCTCAGCTTGTATCCACTGTTACGGTCTCCAACTTTGAATGATCTGAAAACATGGATTTTGCAAGAAAATCACATGGAAATAACATTGAAAATTGCAAACTTTTTGACAGTGTAAAATTGAAAGCGACACCAGGGATCAGTGTCGTATCTACGTAAAAAGGCAAATACGGCAAGTTTGGAAAATGCGCCCCCTTGATCGTTGGCTGACAAATTTTAACGACTGTTATTGAGATTGAATACTTGTACGTTTTAAGAGTTCCAATTATTCCCAGTCCGAAATGATCCAAAAACCAAAGCTAATATAGGTTATTCACAATTCAGAGCAAGATCATGTAGAATAAAAGGGGTGGTCAGTTGACGCCTACTCGTGGCTTATCGTGCTAAGCGTTAGGAATACGCTCGCCGCCGCACCTCTGATTACTCTGAGTGAGTTTGCGGGTTTGAATTCCATGAAGCAATAATAATGTGCAAGATGCTTGCTGGACCCCTCGCCACTGTGGGGTGGTTCACGTAACGGCTGGTCGGTATGGATCTCAGTATGCTCTTAGTATGTTAGCTCTTGGTATGTGAACCAAGATGGCGGACGCCGAAACGTAATATGTGTACCAGGTTAGGGTTAGACCTTAATTTCAGGTGCAAATACTACTAGTGCTCGAACTCGATATAGAACAAAAATAAGGAGTAACTATAAAACTACTTCAGTGCGTTATATCATCTTCGAGCCGTGTTATAACGGCGCCCATGACACTCACTGTTCATGTCTCCTAACCCTAACCTAGTACACATACTACCGGAGTGCGGTCGAAACTAGTACCTGTGTCCATTGCGCCTTATGTGCGCATTAGGTATGATAGGTTAGATTTTTATTTCTGGCAGTTATACTCGAAAATAGGCTAATGTCATGAATGCCCAAAACACTTCAGATATTGGAATACATTTGAAAGTTATTACCCATCTCAAGGTGGCCCAAGGTGGCTTCGCGGGCCACCAAAATATTATGACTTTGTTTGCGGGCCACAATAGTGCCAAGATTAGGTTAACAGTACAATACAAAACGAACACTTTTATTGTGCATACATACACATTGATCATTATTTGGTATTTATCATGCTAAAACAACAAAAACCACCGAAAAACTCGCGAATGCCTTTAATGTTAGCATATCTTCCCGACCAAGAACATAGAAAATCAGTTAACAGTTTAGACTAGCCGAGCACATCATTCAACTTCGACAGTTATAACAATTCAGCAATATTAGTGATGTAACAATAGGTCAAACAATTTTTCTGGCTATTTTTAGGACAAAACAACACCAAATGTGGTTTTCCATTACCCTTTAGCAAGACCTCCGTGGGCCACATATAATGGTGCGGGAGGCCACATGTGGCTCGCGGGCCTGAGTTTGGACAACCCTGACCTATCTTGTCGCAACTATCCACCACAGGATTCGAACCTGTGAACCCAAGCACGGCAATCAGAGATCCGATCGCAATCGTATTCCTAATGCTTAGCACAATGTACCAATCGTCAGACTAGTGAGAAATAAAGTACTTTGTGAGACTTACTTATAGGTTTGTACAATGGTTCCAACTTCAAAATCATTCAATTCGATTCTCAATTTAAAGGTTCCTGTAGACGTCCATCTGTGCATGTTTTCCAGTCCTGTGATATAAATGTCGCGCAACCTTCGCTATCATTGAGTGACCGAATCAAAATGTAGTGACATGGGAAGGCCACGGCATCTACTTTTGTGCAGTGGTTGCCAAACTGTGGGTCGCGACCCAATTGTGAGCCACCGAGCTTTTTATAGTGAGGCTCCAATAAATTTCAATTATGGCAGTGAACATTACCTTTGTTTCAATTATAGTACCGACATTGCAACTATTCTGTTATGTTTATAATTCCGTATTCGATTATTTTACTGCTTCAATCAAATTGCGCAAGCTAACGACGCGTACCTCTACGCTCGGTTGTTCAATTTTTTGTACCGCTCCTTTATTACGTGGTTAAATTTAAAATTTCCAATAAAATTGTTTTGGCTTTGAGACCTTTTCCATTTTACTAATTGGGCTACACTTAAGAAGCTTTCCGGCCACTGTCCTAGTGTTTTAATAAAAGAGCCACATACATTTAAATATCTTCCAAATATTCGTCATTTAATTCGAAAAAAAAAAATATGGTTCGAATCTGAAATCTTCAGGTATTTGTGAATGCACAGCCCTATGAACAATATAATTAATTTTCTTAGAATTGTTCATTACTTATTTTTTAAGACAGGTTTATTTAATGGGTGTTTCTACTGACCTGCCCAAAAATTTTCAGATGTTGTACCATATCCACTAACGTAATCTGAGAATGAGCGATCTGCATGCGATACCATGCTCGAAGCATCTTTAAAAATCATGAGAACCTAAAAACAACGGACCAATTTTAAACCTACTGATGGCTTAACGGTTAAGACGTTAGACATTGCTGTTTGGCATTGAAGATTAAACCTGGAATTCAAACTCCATTCAAGCCACAGCCACCCCTTCTAAACCCAGTTATCTGGGGTTCATATTTAGGGTTCAAATCCCATTCAAGCCACAGTCACCTCTTCTAAACCCAATCATATGGTGTTCATATTTAGGGTTCAAATCCAAGCAAACCGTAGTCACTCCTTCTAAACTAGGGGTCTCCAACTAAAAACATGTCGCGAGCCACTTTTCGCGGGCTAGTCTTAAGACAGCATGCAAATGCTCGTCCGTGGGTTATGTGCGGAGGGCTTAATTTCATAGTTGCAAAAAAAATGCTCGCAAATATAAGAACTGCCAAACATCGCAGGTATGCCACGTGAATGTGCAATTAGCTTTGCAAACTTTCTCGGGCACAATGGATTGACCGAAACTCGTTTATTTCGTCATAATGAACATGCGGAATGAAATTATTGTATTTATAAATGAATTATAACATTAACAATAAAATAAAACATGAAGGTGGTGACGTGGAATAATAGGGGGAAATTTTTGCTTCACTCTCCACAGTTTGTCGAACCGGACTCTTGATGATAAATGAAACCCACAAATAGTTGACACCGTACTATTTTAGTTTTTTGTGGAAAAATCCCAACCATGGGCCGCAAAAAAATGCCTGACAGGCCGCATGGGTCCCGCGCGCCGCGTGTTGGAGACCCCTGTTCTAAACCTAACCACCCATTCATGTCATATTCACCCTAATCAAGGCATAGTCATCCCATTCAAACAAAAATTTCCCACACGTAATAATCACTCTTCAGCCCTACATAACTTCGCCACTAGGGCTAGGCATTGCAAACCAAATATTTGAATAGAACAGTAAGTATTTCGAATCAGATCAAACAAAAATTTTGAATCGGTTTTTTATGTCCACCAAAGGCCGAGGTGAATTTTTAATATAGCCATATTTTAACAATGCAACTCTGACATTTGACTCTTTCTTCCTAGTGAGTTATTTAAAAAGATGTTGCTTATTGTGTATGGCTACTCAGCGGAATATCTGAGTGATAGATGTAATGCTTTTAGCAATTCAAATGTCTGGAGGACCCATCAAATTAGAAAGATCAAAATTACTAAGATGGCGCACAACCTGAACACAATATGTGTACCAACCAGGTTAGGGTTCAGGTTGTGCGCCATCTTGGTGCACATAATACCGGAGCGCCTAAAAAAATTTCGATTTGATTCTGAAATCATCAGTAAAGTCAAGTTTATTTTCTCCAACCAGTAAATAAAAAAACAATTGAACGACGAAAAAAAAAGAGAAAAGTAAACAGTTTTACTAGGGAAGGGAGGTCGCGGTGAACCATAGCTGGTTATCAAGCAGGCGGCACACATGGTTTATATCTAAATGCCCAGCCCTAGTGCAGATGGTTTCAATAACCGTACTGACTCCCGAACTTACCATCCAGCCAAGGTTTTTCTCACTACAGATTGCTCTTTCCAATTTTCTCCCCAGATTCATATCGTACCATGCGCCATATGCTCCCCTACTGCGACCATTATGATATCGGATTTCTTCACAAGATTCTGGGACATCGTATTCCAAGAGATCTGGAAATATTAATTGTATTTTATTTTGAAGCCACAAGCTAATGTCTTGGCATTGTAGATTACACCTATCGCTTCAAGCCCATGTTTCCGAAAACTGTCTAACTAATCCCATATCTGAAAGCAGTGGTGGAATTCAGCCGGTTCGCACCGGTTCTATAGAACCGCCTCACGGATTTTTTTTAGATTAGCGAACCGGTTAGCATTACCGGTTATCGTCAATGACTTTTTGTAACAGAACCGGCTGAAAAAATATGACTTTTGTGATGGAACCGGCTGACAAAAAATTTGATTCCCACCACCTTCTCGAAAGGAACTGATAACTGGATGAGATGCCTTGATTAAGCAATTTATCAATTTTTCTCTCCAACGGGAGAAATATGTAAATCTTATCCTAAATCCTATGCCTGTCACCTCACCCGGGGTGGAATAAAATATGTGGACGATGTTAAGTCAGAAAAATTAGGGGTCTCGAAAAATATGAGCTTGTACTTGACTTTAGATATCAATAGTTACTTGTATGAAGGGTTAGATTAACCTTTATGCAAAATAAGCACGTGCTAAGGGTACCAAGAAAAGAAGGGTGGGTCTTGAAAACTGAAACTCGCGTGCCGCATTCAACTTTAAATAACACTAGTTACTCTATTATTTATATATAAGGCACCTAAGTCTTAAGTGCCCCGTCCTTGCCTGTACGGGCCTGTTTAGGAGCAGCTGGCTTTGACATAAACTTTTGTTTATAATCGTTGTTTGATATATGCTATCATCTTTTAGTGTTAGACTTAATTACAGATGTCTCTTTTTGATAATCAGTAATGGTGTCTTGCACCACCCTTAACTCCGATGGACCATTTTACCAAGTGTATTTTACCAAGTGTATTTGAGTATGATGGAAATATAAACGACTGATTAATGAAAGTCGTGAATAAGTAGCATAAAAAATAAAATAGGAACAATGCTCGTCAAAACTATCGTTTTTCCCCGTAAATAAGACTCGGACTTAATTCAAATTTTTTCCGATAAATCACATTAGGGCTTAATTCAGCGGAATGTCTTTTATTTTCATTTATCGAAAACGGGATTACAAATTAGAGATTTACCAAATTCTGAAACAAACTCACCAGAAATGGTGTTCCCGACTGATCGAGGTAAACCTGAAATTAGGATATGAATATTAAAAAGCTTCAAATTAAAAATTGCTAGTCTTTGATATTGCCGCAGATTACAGGCAATTCACTGCAAAAAATGTTTCGCTTACTTATTAAGTTAAAGCGATCATGGTTATGCCTTTTACGTCTCGGAGGTTTTCACCTTCTACGACGGGACAGAACCCAGATGGAACATTTTAAGGGTTGGAGGAACCCGTGTGCTATAGTTTAATTACCTCTCATTGTCTGAATTGTATAAACTATAAATATATTTGAAAGCAAACTTATTACAAACAACAAAAAATGATATTTGAAATATAGCAAGTTTAAAAATCACGTAACCGCTGGTCGGTTACGGCTTCATCGACCATCAAGTCCTTGCTTCCGAAAACAATAACTAACTAATCTCATACCCAAAATTTAAGGGTAACCGGCGAGAGGCCGTGGTTCGCCATATATTTAAGCCGTCTTATCGGCTTTCCTCTTCCCGGGATAAATATGTGAATGCTATCCTATTCTTCAAGCATTAGTCACCCCTACAAGTCGTGGTCACTCCTTCAAGCCTCAGTTACCTATTCAAGCCTTAGTAACCTCTTTAAGAATTAGTCACCTCTCCAAGTCTTAGTCACTCCTTCAAGCCTTAGTTACTTATTTGAGCCTTAGTCAAACATTCGAGTTTCAGTCACCCTTCAAGCCTCAGTCACCCTTCAAGCCTCAGTCACCCTTCAAGCCTCAGTCACTCATTCAAGCCTTAGTAACCTCTTCAAGCATTAGTAACTCTTTCAAGCCTCCGTCACCCATTTAAGCCTCAGTCACCTCTCCAAGTCTTAGTTACTTATTTAAAGCCTTATTTACCCTTCAAGCCCCAGTCACCTCTTCAAGCATTGGTCACTCTTTCAAGTCTTAGTCACCGATTCAAGCCTCAGTCACCTCTTCGAGCCCCAGTCACCTCTTCAAGCATTGGTCACCCTTTCAAGTCTTAGTCACCCATTCAATCCTCAGTCACCCATTTAAGCATTAGTCACCCTTTCCAAGTCTTGTCACTCCTTCAAGCCTCAGTCACCCTTCAAGCCTCAGTCACTCATTCAAACCTTAGTAACTTCTTCAAGCCTCAGTCACTCTTCAAGCCTCAGTCACTCATTTAAGCCTTAGTAACCTCTTCAAGCCTCAGTCACCTTTTCAAGCCTCAGTCACCCATTTAAGCCTTAGTCACCTCTCCAAGTCTTAGTTACTTATTTAAGCCTTATTTACCCTTCAAGCCTCAGTCACCTCTTTAAGCATAAGTAATCTCTCCAATTCTTAGTCACTCCTTCAAGCCTCAGTCACTCATTCAAGCCTTAGTCACCTCTCCAGGTCTTAGTTATTTATTTGGGGCCTTATTCACCCATCAAGCCTTAGTCACCCCGTCAAGCCTTAGTCACTCATTCAAGCTTCAGTCACCATTCAATCCTTAGTCACCCTTTAATCCTTAGTCACCCTTTCAAGTCTTAGTCTCTCTTCAAGCATTAGTCACCCTTAAAGTCTTAGCTACTCTCCTAACCCTGAGTCACTATTTCAAGCCTTAGTCACTCTTTCAAGCCTCTGTCATCATTCAATCCTTAGTCTCCCTTCAATCATTAGTCACCCCTTCAAGCCTTAGTCACCTCTCCAAGTCCTAGTTACTTATTTAAGCCTTATTTACCCTTCAAGCCCCAGTCACCCTTTCAAGTCTCAGTCACTCATTCAAGCTTTCGTCACTCATTTAAGCCTTAGTAACCTCTTCAAGCATTAGTCAACCTTTCAAGTCTTAGTCACCCTTTCAAGCCCCAGTCACTCATTCAAGCTTCAGTCACTCCTTTAAGCCTTAGTAACCTCTTCAAGCATTAGTCACCTCTTCAAGCATTAGTCACCCTTTCAAGTCTCAGTCACTCATTCAAGCTTTAGTCACTCATTTAAGCCACAGTCATCTCTTCAAGCATTAGTCACGCCTTCAAGTCTTAGTCACCCCTTCAAGCCTTGGTCATCTCTTCAAGCATTAGTCACTCCTCCAAGCATTAGTCACCCCTTTAAGCCTTAGTCATCCCTTTAAGCCTTAGTCACCCCTTTAAGCTTTGATCACCCCTTCAAGCCTTAGTAACCTCTTCAAGCACTAGTCACCCCTTCAAGTCTTAGTCACTCCTTCAAGCCTTGTCTGTTCATTTTGTGAACTGTAATACGTCACACTGCAAAACATCACTTCGTGTTGATTGATCGAGGGAATAAGGTATTATCGTGTGGGCTGCGAGCAGGTGTGCTTCGAGTATAGAGGTCTGGGTTAAATTCGCAAGCTGAATCTGTTTTAATCTATGTGTTTGGGGATCGAACAGCACATTATATCACTCCGGAATTTAAGAAATAAGACGAACAGGTGAAGCATAAAATAATTTGTAACTTACCAACGAGAGTTTTGAGCAATGAACTACCATGATCTGTAAATTAAATACGATTTTTAGTATTTGTCTCTTAAAAGAGCATGGTAGACCTATATTGAAAAGTCGAATATCTAACTTTGCTATTATTCTTCTAAGATCTAACAAGGGAATGAAAAACATATGATGTGTACCAGATTTGGATTAGGCCATAATTTTATTCCAATTTTCCTGATTTTTGCTCTTTTTAGAGTTCGGGAACTACCCAAGTGACTCTCGTAGTATTTGTACCTGAAATTATTGCCTAACCTCACATAGTACACATACTACGTTCAGGTGTCCGCCATCTTTGTTCACATACGACTGGAGTACCAATTTTTCGTCATGGCAACGCTAAAAAAGCAACTGTTAAAAAACGTCAGTCGTGAAATGTTTAAATGACATTTCAACCTAACTCAATACTGTTCAAAGATGTCAGTCGTTATGTTTTAAGTAGCCTTTCATCTAAACTTCTGTTAATTTTGCGTTATTTTTTTAACACCCTGATTCGATTCTGAAATCATCATGTCTCGGAAATTCCACAGAAATAGTCTTAAGGATTATTCTTACCGACTACGTCATTGGTGAATCTTTTGTACTTCGATGCGAAATCTGAAAGAAAAAATACATAGCAATGCTCAGAATCATTGAAACCCAAGTTTGATGATTTGGAAAATTTTCCAAACTTATTAAAATGGTGTGGCCTTGATAACCCCTTGAAGCTTTAGTCACCCCTTGAAGCATTAGTAACCCCTTGAAGCCATAGTCACCCCTCGGGGCCTTGTTCATCCTTTCAAGGCTTAGTCACTCCTTCAAGCATCATTTACCACTAAAAAGCCTCAGCCCGCTCCATATTCGTTTTGTTATTATTATTGTTATTATTATTATGGCGCGGCGGTGTGGCTCAACGGGCTAAGCGTTAGGAATACGCACGCCACCGCACCTCTAATTACTCTGCGTGGGTTCGCAGGTTCGAATGCAGGGATGGTTATGTGCGAGAGGATTGCTAGACTCCTCGCCGTCGTTGGGTGGTTCACGTAACCGCTGGTCGGTTACGGCTTCCTCCACCACCAAGTCCATGCTTTCGAAAAACATACAATATATCTAATCCCATACCCGACTTGGAATGGTAACCGGACGAGAGGCCGTGGTTCGCCATATGGATAAGCCGTTTTACCGGCTTTCCTCTCCTCTTGGATAAATATGTAAATCCTATGTTGTTGTTCTTATTAATAATTTTCTTCTTACTGTTTTGGAAAAATCGCTTTTCTCATTAACTACTGTACCAATTGCTCTGAAATTTTCAACGCTTAAAAAGCCATGAGTGAAGCTTTAGGGCCTAATGATTGCCAAAAAAATAATTCATGTAAAATGGCACCAGACCGACCGGCTGGGTAGGATTATCCTGTTGTTATCGCTACAAGGCATTTACTTTATTTTAACAATGTATGTGTGATCTGTGGAATTCGTTTTTTTTGGTTTCGATGACGTCATCAAATATGGAGTAACTGCGAAACGTTTGTATTATTAGTGAAATCATCAAACTAAGCAACAAAATCACATCTACTGCCCCCTACAACGTATTGCCCTGCGGCGGATGTCCTTTCGGACCGCCTTAAGACACGCCCCTGGTATCAGTGCTTTATGTATAAGTAATTTAACTTACATTCGTAATGGCTCGTCTCTTTCTTGAAGCACCAAATGGCCTTTGTTATAGTTGTATCGTAGCAACATTTTCTTGCTTCGCATGCATCCAATGTTATCTCTTGTGGTCCACATTCAATACGGCGATCCTTATCAATGTCACTACACGCAACTAAAAAGGATAGATAAGCGACAAAGCGTTACGCTTAATTGCATTGGCCTTTCACTTTACACATCCCGAGTTCAAATCCCTTACTCTCCAAAGATGTAATAATTTAGGTGTCAAAGTATTTCACCAAAGTGCACCCCTTGTAGGTATAGCTATAGCATCAAATTGCACATATTTCACAATAAAGTTTTGCACTAAGCTGCCATGTAATGCACTAATTACTATTACACTGGGTTGCAGTGTGTCACAAACTGTTACGTTTTGTACTAGGTTGCACCAAATGCAACCTTCACAATATATACACATGTTAAAAATACAGACATGAAATCGCAATCTCTAAACAATACAATTTCGAAATGTAAATGTCCAAAATAATGCGGGCAATATCAAATCTTTTGATTAGTTTCACGCCCTTTATAAAATGCCTACCCCCCCCCATTGTGGGGCGCGCCCCACCGTCTTGGAACCACTGCTTTAAACTTACCTTCGGAAGGAACAATGATCTTTGACTCGGCAGCTGTAAAAACGAGTGAAATAGTTGCATTTAGGATTTGATGGATGAGTGTTGACTTATTGGAGTATTAAATTACGTAGCATTATAGTACAAAATTTGAATTTCAATAGAATGAATGGTGTTATATGTGACGTAACGTGATTACTCAAATGATGAGTAGCGCGACAACTCTTAATTGTTGCGGCGCAATGCATCTCATCTACTCATCTGGCTCTCCAGTCGATATACAGTTGTGTTAACTTGTAGACGTTTGTTTATGATCGCTGTTTTAAGTTGTATTGTTCAAATTGTGCCATTGTTTTCAATAAAAGGAGTTTAGTTGTATACGAGTTTCTATTCTGAGCAGATAGCAATTAAGAAACGAAACATTATAGTCGTCAAAAACAGGTAGTGCTTTATTGCCCGCACTAAAAAAAACAGTACGATAACACTTTATTTAGGAACAATGCGCCTTATGTATGGACGAAAACCCAATTTAAGGAATTTTATTGACAGTGCCCTTCTTGGTCAGTAAAATATATAATTATAAATATATATTTGTGTATAGATCAGATAGTTAGGATAAAAAAGGGTGAAGATAAAGATTTACATATTTATCCCGGGGAGAGGAAAGCCGATTTGATGGCCCAACCATATGGCGAACCACGGCATCTCGTCCGATTACCATTCCATGTCGGGTATGGGATTAGTTAGGTATTTGTTTTTCCGAAGCATGGACTTGATGGTGGAGGAAGCCGTAACCGACCAGCGGTTACGTGAACCACCCAACGGCGGCGAGGAGTCCAGCAATCCTCTCGCACATAACGTCCCCGCATGGGATTCGAACCTGCGAACCCACGCAGAGTAATTAGAGGTGCGGTGGCGAGCGTATTCCTAACGCTTAGCACGATGAGCCACACCGCCGCGCCACCGCCTTTATTCTTTCTACCTACTCTCAAAACCAGTACCGGTATTGATTTAAATAGCATTGCGTCTTATGGACCGGTGCGCCTTATATTTAAATAAAAAACCATCCTAGGCAATTTATTGAGAGTGCGCATTATGGCTAGTAATATATGATGAATATGCTTTCTTGCCTTTGACGGCTTTGACACTGGTGTCCAACGTATCTGAAAATATTAAAATAAAACAATTATGAGTGTTGAAAAATTATAAATCCGAAAGAATATATTTATTTGTGATTCTAGCCACATAGCAAGTTTAGAAACAAATTTTATACTCAAGATAATGGACAACTGTTTGATTGATGTTTTCTGCCAACATGGAAGTTTATAATCATATTTTTTAACTCCTCGAAGTCAGGTCGAAACTCGCGAGACGCCATAGTCTAAGGCAGGGATGGCGAACCTTTTTCAATGAATGGGTCAAAAATTATACTTCCGAAACAAATCTTATAAGCTTCTGTTGTTCGTGGTGCAGTTTTGAGCGTTACTTATGCAGGACTTCTATCAGGAATTTTCATGGCACTCGATTTAATGATATTAGGGGGCTCCCGAAGTATGCGAACCAAGATGGCGGACATCGGAATGTAATATGTGTACTAGGTTAGGGTTAGGCCATAATTTTAGGTATAAATACTACGGAAGGCTCTTGGCTAGTCTTCGAACTGATAATAGGACTAAAATAAAGAAAATTGGAAAAAAATTATCGCCTAACCCTAACCTGTTACCCATGTTACGTTCCGATGTCCGCCATCTTGGTTCGCATACTTCGGGAGCACCGATATTAGAGTACGAAAACACGCATATGAATTACCAAAAACGTTTAAGATGATGCGGCAAATTGATTTACGGTTCCGAAGAGTTTGGAGGAATTTTCACTCTGATGAAGTTCTATTTTTTGATCAGCTTTCAACCACATTAAGGCACTTTTACACTGTCCCATTGGTATTTCAGTTTCTAGACTTTTATTTCAAGTCTGAAAGATTTTGTTCTTTTAATGGCATCGTAGGCGAGAAACTAATAAAATACAAAGTAGCATCTAGTTCTCGCATAACCCCTAAAACAGTCTGCAGATGAACTTCCGAAATATACCAGATGTAGCGACAAATGAACATATCAGTTGCATTGTTATGACACAAACGATGTCAGAGCCAATAGCTGAAAAACGCTTTACAGCGGTGCAGACATGCGTCCAAGATTAGGGGTTTTCGAAATTATCTTACCGGCCCGAAAATTACCAATTTGAATATGATCGAACGCGGCCCTAACTGCCCATTATAAAAGTTATAGTTAGTCTAATTTAAAGCCGGTTTTATCAATTTTTATCACTGATATGTCACTAATGTTAGCATTTTTATTTTTATTTCACGCGGTAGGTCACTTTGTGACCCGCGGATCAGTGGTTCTATGGGATTAAAATCGACCTGGGCAAACTACAGTCTGTGGGCCAAATCCGGGCCGTTGAGTGATTCAATGGCCCGCCTGACACAACAAAGGTAAAACGAAATTTTGATATTTCTGCTAAAAACCAACTCAAGGGGTTTGTTGAGATTGCGATTAAATTTAGTTTTACCACGATTCAGGTCTAAACTTTTGGCCGGTAGTTCAAAATTTGCCTTCTTCTGGTTTAGAGCGTTGAACATGACTATGTTGGATTCGCAGGTGAAAGATCAAGAGTTCTACTCCCATGCCCACCACCCTAATCGGGGTGTTAATTATTCAGTCGGCATTTACAAAGACCGAAATGAACCGGTCTTTCCAGAATAGCAGATTCTTACACATCAGTGAATTCATTTACAGACCTTCTTAGCTCGGAGACGCTAGAACGCCGCATATAAAATTGAACGATAATTAATTGAAAATTGACGTTGAAAAGTAAAAAATACTGCATTACTCAGGAAACACCCCGCGCTTCAAAAGTACAATATTTGGTCACAACGCTGGACGCTGAGTGGAGAGACATTCTCAAAACAAGAGAGCTATGCTCAAATATATGGACACGTAGCGCCACCCAGTGGCAATGATTTTGATGACGTCATAGCGAAAAAAAAAGTAACAGACTTCTGAAGAAAAATTTTATCTTTAACAACTGAAAATATCAAAGCAATTGGTCCAGTATTCGAAGAGAAAAGCGACTTTTTAAAAACGTGTCAAAGAACAAGAACAAGAACAACAACAACAACAACAACAACAACATAATATTGAAACGATCGTTATGTCCACTTCGTGTCCAATAAGTAAGGTAATTTAGTATCTTGTACCACGATTTCTATTCTGTTAAGTTTTCTCCAAATAAACTGTTGAGATAACCACCCAATATAGCAGTTTGATTCTTGATACGCTACCCGTGCAGTGCAGTCAGCACACACGGAGCCACTAACACGGGTTGGATTGGAGTAACCTGTATCCAACTGCTGCTTGATTTTCTCTGATTTTGTGTTAGCGCATGAGTAAGAAAATTATGACCCGCGATCCTGACGTGTTTCATTCGGCTCATTAACGAATATAGTTTTTAGGAATATAAATTTCCGTTCAAAATATCAATGGAAATAACGAATCATCAGCTTAAAAAACACTGTAATTCCTCATGCATTATATGCACCTGAACGTATTGTGAAAAACAAGCCACTACAGAGTAGCTACTTCTTGAAATAATACCTTACCTTTAATTTCGTGGGAAATGTCCGATAACTTCGCTGTAAAGTAGAATTACATTTTTACAGTTAATTCCAAATTATTGGCTCAGTTGAATGTCATACGTGACGATCGCTGACTTATGATACTTTGAAAGCGCAATTTTTTTTGGGGGTTTATTTTATCTTTGGACGCTATACTATGTTTGGATAGTTTTGCCAAAATTCTTGTTGATAAGACGATTGTTTTCGTTGGGGAAAAATCGCTTTTCTGCGCAATTAATAATGGATTGTAATTGATTTTCAAATTTTCGGGGTTTATAAATGAATCAAATCGTTAAAACTGTTTCCCTCTTTTTACAAATTTCTATGGGAGCTTTATATGTCATTCAACATTTTTTATTCTGATTCATCGGAACACGTTTTTATAAAACAGTTTATGAATTTTCCCATTAGAAAATTCGGTGTTATCAACAAGGCCTTGGCGTGCTGTCCTTCTTGTCCATATATATGATCATTGTAGTGCGCACCTGGTGTTATATCAACGACCTCGCATAGCATTACTGCACATGGAAACCCTCCTATCCCGCGTGAAGTGCACGTCACAACTACATTATTTCAGATGAGTTATATAGTCTATATTAACCGGTTTTCCCGAGTAATATTGTCTAACAAAAACCCAAATATTGTGTGATATCTGCGACATGTTTTTTTAGAGAGGGGTGGGGCGGGGGGGGAGGGAGGGTGTTATGGTGTTATTCTGAATAGTACCGAAGGAATCACATATGATATCACACATTTGGTTTTAGCGCTTGATAAGACTAACTATAAAATTATAGGTTTTATATATGGTCTATAGTTATATTAACTGGAACTGTCTTACTTACTTGAGATTTTCGTTCTACTGTTTTCACCTTCGCCTGAAAAGTATAGATAATTCGTTGATTATTGATTAATCACAATTATTGCAGCACTTTCTAATTAAAACAAATGTGATTCCCACGGTTGACATTCACAAATAACTCTCATGTCAAAGTTTGTTTTTCAATAAATTTTGGTATGTGGGATTATTCAACTACTTTTGATCTGATCATAGGCGTACCCTGAAGGCTTGAGTTGTCCGTAGAGAGATTCTCTAAGATATTGTCAGATATCGGTGGATACTTTTGATGGCTTTGTGTGGAGCGAAAGACACGAGACAACGTCGTATTGCGTCAATATACAAAAAAATGCACCTCCCCCACCCCATTTTGGGCTGGATACTCTATTACAAGGGTCGGCAACCTACGGCCCGCGGGCCGGATCCGGCCCGCGGAGCAGTATAATCTGTTTAATTAATTTAAATATAATTAGACAAATGGCAGCAAAATGCAGAAAAGTTGATGCTGAGTGCAAATGGTTTGATGGCGCAGAAAATATTCAAAGGGTCAGTCTTAGCGCGCTGCTTTAAATTTAACTTCTGATCTATATGAAAAAGTATGATTCATCGCTCATCCGTTCGGTTTTTAACTTTCTAAAAATATGTGCGGTCCGCCAATGACTTGCAACCTTGAATTTGGCGCACGAGTGACAAAAGGTTGCCGACCCTTACTCTATTGGATTTTTGGGAAAATCTCCCAGTATGGGAATTTCTTTAACTAATTTCTTTGAGTGTATGCTTGGCAAAGCGTTTGTGTGAAGTTCTGAGGAATAATGTGTTTGTGTTTGTTTTTCACTTACTTTCTAGGTGTTGTATAAGTTTTGTCTCAGTTCCTGAAAAAGAATTTGGATTATTCCTTTAGATATTCAATGAAGCGTTTTTGGAAAATTTTAACTTGAAAACCATTTCTGTAAAATTAGCCACTTGGATCAGGTTATATCACTACAACGTCACAATCACGAAATTTTAGCTTGCCAAAGTAAAGCTATCGCCCGAAATAGCATCTGCGCCAACTATAACGAATCTACTAACGCCAGCGATTGCTCTTATATCGGGATCATTGGGACGAAAAAAATAGCTTGATTGATTCCGGGTTAATCGTCTGCGCATTTTAGACAAAAATATTTTGGAAGGTTTTATTGCGTCAATGTGACGTCATTTGAAGTATTTTGGGCTTAGGAAATATTGCTACGACACCAACATAGCCTGGTTCAAAGCTCTGACTTCCAGGCTATCCCGTTTTCAAGAATTGAAATTTCTCGTTATCTACACACTGCTTACCTGTAGTTTGGTTTGTGATATCAAATACCGCGCCTGTTAAATGAATCAAAAGAGATAAATATTTTATGGGAATTTCTATAAGTTTTCGAATAAAATAACAAATTTTACGTCATTGAAACAGTCAGATATATTTTAGTAAACTCTCGGCTACGTGACAAAAAAGAATATTTTACGTCAGGGGTCGGCAACCTAGGGCCGGAGCACTATAATCCGGCCGGCGACGCTTCACTAACTTATAGTAACAAAACATCCGTTTTGACGAAAATATTCTTTAGACTAAATTATATTATATCCTAACAATTATATAATTCACAATTACAGAAAAGTTGATGCTAAGTGTAAAAGGTTCAATGGCGCTGAAAATATTCAAATGGAGGTTTATAAGATGCAATGAGGGGACCTCCAGAAGTATGCACACCAAGATGGCGCACAACCTGAACATAGTATGTGTGTATCGGTTAGGATTCAGGTTGTGCGACATCTTGGTGCGCATACTTCTGGAGTACCCAATGAGGAAATAAATCTATATTCTAGTCGAGAGATGTATCCCTGCTTGATTTTTATTATAAAAAGTACCATCCGTTCGTATTTTCAACTTTTTAAAAATATGTGCGGCCCGCCAATGACTCGCAACCTTAATTTTAGCCCGCGAGCGACAAAAGGTTGGCGACCCCTGTTTTACGTAATCTCAGCTACAGGCATAAATAATTTGACTAATGTTTGAATACAACTTACCGCCAGTCAAGTCCATGATTCTCTTGTCTTGTTCTATCAAATAAAATGAAAGTATTAATCTTCTATCTAAAAATACTGAAAATTGTATCGTAATTAATTGGTCCATTAGTGAATGAAAGAGGCGATATTTTTATAGGATAACAACAAGAAGAAAAAAAGAGATACTAGCATGATGACAACATGATAACAAGAGAGCTATGCTCAAATATATGGACACGTAGCGCCACCCAATGGCAATAATTTTGATGACGTCATAGCGAAAAAAAAAGTAAGAGCCTTCTGGAGATTTTATCTTTAACCACTGAAAATTTCAAAGCAATTGGTCCAGTATTCGAAGAGAAAAGCGATTTTTTTAAAAAGGATGGAGACAAATAACAATAACAACATAATATTGAAACGATCGTTATGTCCACTAAACGTGTCCAATAACAAAACGATACATAGGTCCATTTCGTGTCTAAAGATCAGAACAAGAAGACGAAATGAAATGTTTTAGATATAAACAGATGTGGTCTCTCTCAAGTTTTAGTTTATTTCGAGCACGTTTAAACTTATTTCGTCATCGTGATGATGTCATCGTTGTCATTAGAGTGTTGTTTTGTTGCATTCGATGTGCCGTCGTTTTACGTATTGAGTTTCCTATCGCTCTCGCAGCTCAGTATGGCGTTTTGAACAGCATTACTTGTTATAGCAGTTTGGGATTGCATTGCCTTTTATAGCGTTGTGTGTTGAATTAATTCAGCAGTCTCGTTTATAGCTTCCATGAGACTATCTGACTTTAAACTTCAAATAAAAATCACGCCACAAAAAACGGTGCTCCCGAAGTATGCGAACCAAGATGGCGGACATCGGAACGTAACATGGGTAACAGGTTAGGGTTAGGCGATAAATTTTTTCCAATTTTCCCTATTTTAGTCCTATTATCAGTTCGAAGACTAGCCAAGAGCCTCCCGTAGTATTCATACCTAAAATTATGGCCTAACCCTAACCTAGTACACATGTTACATTCCGATGTCCGCCATCTTGGTTCGCATACTTCGGGAGCCCCCAAAAAACTTATATGTCGGTCAATGGAAATGCCTACTAGAAAATATAAAATTCAAAGCTCGTACCTTCCACCATTCTTGTAATCTGCTCTTCCGATGCTGAAATAATTATCATATCAAAGTAAGAAGGTTAATATGGAATCGAATTATTTTGCGAGAACAGGCCATTCAAATCAAAGATAAATTAAATTTGATTTTGTGTTCCAAAATTTTTGTTCATGGGATTGATGACAGAATTAGTGTTTGCACATCGTATTTTTGCTGCTCTTGTAGTATGTGCACCAAGATGGCGCACAACCTGATAATTCTAACGTGGTACACATATTATGTTCAGGTTGTGCTCCATCTTGATGTACATACTACGGGCACCAATTTTTTTCGCAAATTACACCAACTTTGGGCAAATTACTAAATCGTGGCAACTATAAACTACTCACATAAAATATTCCTCAGTGAGCCCTCTTCCATGTCTGAAAAAAAGAATATTAAGGGTATGATTTATACGAATTTTAAATCATAATCTGATGCATAAAATAAGATTTATATCTTCGGCAGGAGAATAACGCAGGGAATCAGCACTGTGATGTGATTGTCTCTTCTATTTTTTGATATGTTTATTTTGTATCTTTCTATAATAAGTTTTATATAGTCCGGCCAGTTGTGTGTATGTTAAAACAAAACGCACATTCATACGAAAACACACATGCTGAAACAAATAGGTACATACACAAACACACGCAAAGGCACTCACACTGACCATGCGTAATGATAAGACAAATATACACACCCCGCATACACATATATACACAATGGCCATACGCATACACATGCACACGCTAAAAATGTACACAGACACACGCAAATGCACACAGAGTGACCATGCGCACATTCTGCAAACCTATACGCGCACACACATAAACACATACAGATGCACACAGATGCTAAAATTTTTAAGCATTTCACATTTTACGCACATATACGCACACACAATTGAGCACATACAAACAAACGCACGTACATACAAAAGCACACAAGCTAAAACAAATATAAACACACGCAAACAAACGCATACACAATGGCCATGAGCAAATGTTGGGCACTCATACGCACACACACAAACAAACGCGCACACGTACGAGAACACACATGCTAAATCACAAAAATACGCTTACACAAACACACGCAAATGCACACAAAGTGACCATGTGCAGATTTTTCGCACTTATACGCACATAAATATATACAAACAAATGCGCACACATACGAAAACACACATGCTAAACATATATATACATACGTAATCAAACGAAAATGCACACACAATGAACAGGCGCAAATTCTGCGCATTTATACAGACACACGCACACACTTGTATAATCAATTAATTAACTCTTTCCTTACCTTCAATTTTGTTTATGACCTTTACGCTGACATCTTCAAACAAGAAACAACATATTAAATAAAAACAGGCTTCAGAGCAAAGTCATCGGTAGGCCAAACTGACAGAATTTTTATCCTTTAAAAATGGTCGTTTCCCGTGTACCAGTGGAGGCTCGTACTAAGTTGTATTCATAGTAAACGCCTTTTAAAACATATATAATTCGGTTTTATCGTATCTTTATGAAGTCCATGCCTACAACATCAGCGAAAATTCGGTAGCCAATGTCAAAGGGTAAAAATGTTGATCCTTCCAAAAAGAATTTTATTATCATCTATTTTTTCATTATTGAATTTACGTTTCTTTTTGAGCATAATCATGAACGTATGGAAAGGTTCCATAGAAAAGTAACCACAAGATATGCTCGGCAATAAAACTAGCTTGCATGTTAATCTTTTTCTACCAGACACTTCACCCACCTTCAACGTTGTTTATTAGACTTTTCTTCATATCTGTTAAATATTAATGCAATGTGATTTTGTTGAGAAAATCCGGGTGTCCGGTGTTATATCCATCGTAACCCAGAACATAGCATAAATCCCATTTCTATAACCATTTCCCCCATAATATATACCCCCAAATTAGAACAGTGCGAGCAGTGTTCCTTCTGTGTGCACACGCGCACACAGCTTTCAGTGGCTGCGCACACGCATAGATTTACTGCGCACAGACGTATTTCGATGTAATGTAACAATGTTCTTGGTTGGCAGGTTGAGGAAGTTTGTTGTTGGCCCACTTATTACCCGGTTGGAACGCCATAATTTCTTCATTGGTTTTTGCACAAATATTAGTCATTTCCAAAAAAGTTCACACACACCAAAATTTCTGCGCACACATACTACAAAAAATTAGAGGAAACATTGAGTGCGAGTAATGTGGGATAAGTGGGACAAATGTGGGGATAGTGCGCGATTTGGGACTAGTTTGCTAAAAATGAAGTTTGGGTCAGGTACGGATGTTGTGGGCGAAGTGGGACGGGTTGGTCAAAAACAGTGCTTGAGTCAAGTATGAGATAGTCAGCTAGTGAGAAAAGCGGGACAAGTTTTCTTAACGAGAATCTGGGCACATAATACTTTTCAGACAATGGGAAAGTTTGGACCTCCTGAAGTATGCGCACCAAGATGGCGCACAACCTGAACTGAGGTTGTGTACCAGGTTAGGTTTCAGGTTGTGCGACAGTCTTTAGAAACGTTTCATCCAGACAATATTCAACCCTAACCATTCGTGAGTTACTTCATAACCCTACTATAACAGTATAAAGAGACGAAAGACTCGTTTCGCATGATTTTTTGAAACACGTTAGTAGCTAATAGCTAATTATGAGAAATAAATTTAAAAATGAAGAAAAAATTATAAAAGGTATTTACGTGCCAATCCGTTTTCCACGTCACCCTGGAATTCTGGAAACGAAAGAAAATTTAAAAGTCTGAACACAATATATACGCTTATCAAATTATGTAAGGGGGTTTTATTTTTAAGGAGACACAAAAGAAAAAAGTAAGAGGTACAAAACAAGATATATGTTATATATGTTCATGTCTGGCATGAGATTCGTATTGCATTCGAGATTGGAGAGTTACTTTGTGCTCCCGAAGTATGTGCACTAAGACGGCGCACAACTCGAACGTAGTATATGTCCCAGGTTAGGTTTCAATTGTGCGCTATCTTGGTGCACATACTCCGGGAGAACCGTTTTTTAATATATATATATATATATACCAGGGGTGTAAAAACTATTTATCCGTGGCAAAATCAGAGTGATGACGCGGCCTGATCAGAATTATCTAATTATATAGAAGGGCCTTATTTTGAAGAGAATAAAAGTACGAAATACAAAACAAAATAAAAGTTATAAAAGTTCATCTCTGGTATGAAATTGCTATTGAATTCGATACTGAAGAGTTTTTTCATATATAGAAAAGCTATTTCACGTGGCAAGAGGAGAGTCGATGACGGTGCCTAATTATATAATGAACCACGGTCTTTCATCCGATAACCAGTCTACGTTGGGTTTGGAAATGGTTGTCCAATACCGCGAACACAAGATTTTCAGCTAGTTGAATATTGTGAGTTTTGACAAGAATTATCTTACCGATAAGAGCAGTTGAGAAATTGGCGTCCTTTTCTGTACGAATAAAGTTGATTGAAAGGTTAGCACAAGAATTATATCGAATATTTTTTTCATTTGAGCTATCGCATGATTGTCACCAGTGGTGAGATTTAGCCGGTTCGCACCGGTTTCATAGCACCGTCTCACGGAATTTTATGAAATCAGTGAACCGGTTAGCATTACTGAAAAAGACATGACTTTCTGTAACAGAACCGGCTGAAAATTTTGACTTTTGTGAAGAAACTGGCTGACAAAAAATTTGAATCCCACCACTGATTGTCACCATGTATGTCCATATTGAGGATATTTGGACCTTAACCGGTGTTAGCAAAACGACTCCTGTAGTATGTGAAACAAGATGGCGGACACCGGAATGTAATATGTGTACCAGGTTAGGGCATAATTCCAAGTGCAAATACTGCGGAAGTCACTTGGCTAGACCGCGAAATTGTATCAGAACTAAAATAATGAAAACTGGAATAAAATTATGGCCTATCCCCAATCTGGTACACATACTACATTCCGGTGTCCGTCATCTTGGTTCGCATACTTCTGGAGCGCCAAACGATGTACTCGTTTTAAAATTATATTCAGAAAACTTCATTAGAGTGTGTATAATATGGTAACGACTAGGGCTGGGCATTTCGAATCGAATATTCGAATCGAATCGAATAGTAAATTATTCGAATTGCTTTAGAGTAAATTTTCGAATCGCCGCCATCTTTTTTTACTCTTTCCGCCAATGGTTGAGGTAAATTTTTCAATTTTTTTTTTTATTGAAGCCATATTTTTTCAACACAATTCTGACTTGTGACTCTTTTCTGTATTGAGGTATTGATGAAAACGTGTTTTTTTATTGTCAGTGATGTATTCTATGTTTTCAGTAATTTATGTGTCTGGAGGACCTAAAATACTAAGAAATTTACATACAATTTCATACCTTCCAAGTATTCGAGATTCGATTCGATTCGAAAATAATTATTCGATTTGATTCTGAAATCATCAGGTATTCGAAAATGCCCAGCCCTAGTAACGACATTAAATTTATGCTTTGACTGCCCTGACTCCTACTTAACATAAACTCAAAACAACTAAGCACTTAAGCAGCATTTCAACTTTGAATAAAAATGAAATTGATTTAAAACGATTTGATGTCATTTTCATTTCATTTTTCAACTTCGATAAGATTACAAACTCTTATTTCATAGACGCTTGGCTCCGCTACTGTGTTTTGACGCCGGAGAACTTGGTAACGGACTCCATCTACAACAATAAGCATCAAACTACGATTACGCAGCCTTGCCCCAAAGTTGATTGCAACCTATCGTTTTTGTTACCTGATAATCCATCAAGCACCGACTTCTCAAGATCTAAACAGTAAAGTAATACAAAAATACTACACAGGAAGATTGATTGGAGTAGTTTGCGCCTAAATACTGAAATTGACTGAAAGAATACTGAATCAAGAATCAAAACCTCCATAATTTAGTCTTAAACGTTTTCAAAGTCACGCGCACTTACTTGAAAACCCAGAAAACTCATCTCTGAGCTGGGTTACTAGAGAGCACTAGAGAATAAAAGCTATTGAAACTCAGTAGAATTATTGAGGCGAGATACCCGCTAATAAATCCGATCTACAATACAAAACTTTGTTATGACATCACAACTCAGATTTATTATTTTATGTTAATCAAGACTTCTCAATGCCACTTACTGGAAAACAAATATATTCTACTCACACTGCAGTTGTCCTTCAAGAACATTTTCTTGTGCTGCATGGAAAGTTGATGATGATATTAAAATTATGTATTTATATCGGGTTCCTGGACTGGCTGATAAAACCTTATATTTTGTAACCCCAAACACATTTTCCACTATGTGAATTGGTTGGCAATCGTAATAAGACTCAAATAAGTTGGCGTTTTTTCAGTTGGAATTGTCATACATCCCCAAATCCCGCATTTCCTTCTCTTTGTGTCTACTATATACCTAAGGGCATATGCTAGGGCTTTAGAGCGGCAATCTCTAATAAGATTCAAATACCTTCCTCGATGTACTTGCAATATCAACAATATACCTACCCAAGAAAAGGCCAGTCATATCTTCTCTGATGTCTGCAAAAAATAGAAAAAATTAAGAAGTGGCAGTGTATGATTTTTGGATATATATATATATATATATAAGTTTATAACACTGGTTCTGAATTTTATTTGACGGAGGCCAAAATTAGAAACGGAGGGATATTACCCGTATGTAATCATAATACCGGTATGTATAGATTAAGATATCGGCATAATTAAAATGTTACGAATATACATATGCTTAAACTGTGGTGATGACGTAGCACAAGTGGCGGTATTCAGAATGAAAATAAATAAATACATAAAGTGGTAAACTATTTCAATCAAATTCGACGGGCCATATTGTATAGCTACACGAACCGCAATTTGGAAACCACTGGTTTTTAATATCCTAGAGCTTCCGTGAGTTTATATGTAAAACCGTTAGGTACTGATAAAGGTGGTGGTAAATGAAAAGGAAAAAAGAGTTTTTGAAAAACTGTTTGAAGAAATTGATGCTGATAATTTCACTCCTCTGTTACAATGTACAATTTTGTTAATGAGGTTCCATGAAAAACAAAAGTTATATCAGGGGTTCCACAATAACAAAAAGGTTCTGTTCTAGGTAAAGTGACATCCGTGCTAGACACTTACTAACATGTAACGCACCACCAAAATTCCTTTTCAGTAGCTCTTGACATTTTAGTTTCGGGTGAAAACACGTTACCTTACTTTTGTCGAATCAAACAAAATTGAAGTCATTATTTTATTCGGCGAAGAAGTAAAAAATTAAAAAACAAATCTAATTTATGTAAAAAGCAACCAAACAAAAAGTCATATATTTAAAACGAAAAAACTATACTATACTTGAAATGTGACCATCAATAGACGCATCTTGATCTGAAGAAAATTGCTTTCAGAATAAAACTCTATTTATATTTTCACAAAACCTCCATTAGATCATGATCCCCCGAATTCTGGCGGCATTATGACGTCACGTATATATATATTGTGACGGATACTTGGGATATTATGACGTAAAGTATTCATACTATGATAAATACTAGGAATGGTAGGACGTCGAGTTTTGTATTGTGACAATTACTTGGGAAGTAATGACGTCATGTTTTTCATTATGACAAATATCTGAGATATTGTGGCGTCACATTTTTGTATTGGGATGAAACTTGTATTATTACGTCACGTTTTCACATTATGACAAGTAATTTCGATATTATCACGTCACAATTTCGTATTGGGACAATGGCTGAGATAATTTTTTTTTCTTTTTTACATTTTCTGAATGATATTGGCGGAGCAAAAGGCACACGTTAGCCTCGTGTTAAGTCATTATACAGAAAAAAGTTAGCTCGACCCTCCAAAATAAAATTTGGGCTGGCTACGCTCCAGTAAAAAGTGGACTACTATGTTATCATGTTGCGGAATTGAATTATACTTACTCTTAAAAAGTGCCGATATATCTTTGCCCATCACTGAAAATAGAATTAAAAATTTTGAGACCGTCTCGTGACATAGAATCTCAAGATAATGAAATACCTTAATAAATAAAATGAAAAATTTGAAAATTGTTATTCTACTCACCATCTAATTTTTTTGAAGTCTCTTTGTGAATTTCTAATCAAAATAAGTAAATGATAATACTGACAAAAAAGTTTCTAGAGTTTTCCAAAAATTAAGGGCACAAGCGGAAAGATCGCTGATAGAAGAACTATCACATACATGTTACGAATGAAAATCCCCTTCGAATTCTCTCATGCTACGCGTACGACGTTAAATTTTCGTAATAGACTAGGTAAGGTACTGTATAAGGCACGATAGACTACTGCTTTGTTTTGGCGTCGTGTCCATATATCTGAGCATCGCTCAATTGTATTATTGAACGCCGGTTCGTTCCGCAACTAATACGGACACCTTAAATTCTGCTTTGTCAGGAGTGGCAGAGGCATTTTCGCCTTCTCACATCAGATTCACCGCAAATTAAAACAATAAACTCGGAGAATTGTACATAATAAAGCGTCTTACCGTATGAATTATGCTTGATTTTAGCGGTTTGGTCTGAAAAAAAAAAAGAAATCTATATGCATCCAGAAGCAAATGTGCTTTTCTACAGAAGTTTGACCTTGGTCAGACAAAAATACACTTAATGTTAGTGCGCAGAAAGGACCTCCAGAAGTATGCGCACCAAGATGGCGCACAACCTGAACAGAGTATGTGTGTACCGGGTAGGATTCCTTGGTGCGCATACTTCTGGAGCACCCGCAGAAAATTGTTTGAATCTCATAGAATGAACCATGAATTGTAATTCAATACAATCATCATTGTAGCAAGAATATAGCCTGACCTTCGAACTGTTCCTCAATTTGTTCTTCTTGTTCTATAATAAATAAAAAAACAAAATATGAAGAGAATAATATATCGTACCCTTCGCCAAGTTTTCTATAATATAGATGGGCTATTAGAGAAGATGTTGAGGTGATTTGTATTTCTATTGTCATACATATTGCTGCCTAATTCTTTGTTGTAGTAAGAAGCTGTTACGGTTTTAAATGAAATATTTCATATATTCCGTGAAACTGGTCCATTTGTTGTTGTTTCTGAGAGCTATCGTTCTTTTTCCATTTTAAGTTCGTTTGAATAAAAACTTTAAATAGTACTCACTCTCTACGATCTCACTGACATAATCTCCAGTGTCTGAAAAATGGCAGAAAGTTTTGTGTCAGTAACCATTTGAAAGGGCTTGGTTGTTCATGCTCAGGAGAACGCAAAGAGTCGCACAAATAGTAACAATATGAAAAATCTTTGGAACTCATATGAGATACTCAAACCTTGCAAATTCGAATTTGGATCTATTTGTTAATCTCTAGGTGGATGAGACTATTCGGTATTCGCTGCTAACAAATGCGGCTCACAAGGAAACCGGGAAGTGCCAATTTTCAATGGTGCGTCCTACAAAAAGAGTTTGTATTTAAGTTTAATCTGGTACGTACCAGATTAAACTTTTAATCTCTTCGCTTTGCAAAGTCTATACCTGAGTCCAAATTATTATCTATGCCTATGACGTTTCGATGCCCTAATAGCTAGCTTGTGGGAATTGAACAACCCATGTCATAAAATCAATAACAATAATTTTGGTGCTTGCAACTAATAAAAAGCCTAGGTTGAATGAAGAAACGGGCGGAGGTTTCACCCAGTTATTTTAAAATGGCCCTATTGTATTAAAGATTGCACACCCATATTCTAAGAAATGTAGTTCGAGTTTCCGGATTCGAATTTCGGCCTGTTTATTTAAAAATCTTGAGCGACAAATTAAATTTTCTGATATGACTTTGATTTTCATTCAAGTATGATTATTTTTATAACTCGCTGGCTGGAGTGAACATGAATAAGCATTGTAGTTAAAACTTTAGGTTCAGAATTCTAGTTCATCAGTTAGTCTTGATTAATTTACCGCCACTAAACCGACCAGTCTCGAATGACATGAATTTTCAAAAATTATTTGAATGAAATCTGGTCTGGGGTAGGCAAATTGCGACCCGCGGGATATATCATGCTACCCGATTGTTATATTGTGTTTCTTTTTATTATTTAAAAGTTAGACTGGTCGTTGTAAATATGATGTTTTTTATACTGAGTTTTGAGGCTTCAGCCCAGTAACCAAGTCAATTATCTGCTACTGGCTCACTCAGAAAAGTAATTGCCAATTCATGGCCAAGCTTAAATTTATCGCTAGAAGGCTATCACTTTTATTTATTTTAAATATTCCGTTGAGATGTATGGGGTTCTTATTTGTGTGTGCTATGATGTTATCAAACATTGCGCTACGTGTCCATATATTTGAGCATAACTCTCTTGATCTTGTGCAAAGTCCAGTCTGGGCGAAAATAGGGAAAAACAAAAGTGACAAAATTCCCATACTTACTGTTAAACGCTTTGACGACATGATCTTCGTTATCTGCACGGAAATAATGTAAGATTTGTTCAATTTATGGAAATTTTTTATATTTAATCAAAATACGACAGGTTACAAAAACCTAATAATATTGGAAGAACATTTGTCACCCGAAAATTTCGTGTTCTATTCGCCCACGCGTATCACTTGCCCACGTGCCCCAATTGACAACGGGTTTCACTTGCCCCACGTGTTCCACTTGTGTCACCTATTCCACGTGCCCCACTTGCGACGTATCCCAATTGCCCGCGTGTTCCTTTTGTCCCAAGTGTCATATGTGCAGTATAAAATGAATTTCAATTATCTAATGAGCAGTAGAAGACTGGTACGTTTAGGTGTTTTATCATTTGCCTGTATTTACTATGCAAAAACTTTTTTGCGTAAATATCAGATTTTGTTTTTAACTTGTTATGAAACATGAATTCCTTAAAAGCAATTAAGTAAGTCTTATGTGTATTCACGAAAGCAGCGATTCCCAAACTTTTAGTTTGTGTGGCGCCAAGTTATCAGGAAAACAAGCAAAGCACAAGCACAAGCACAAGCACAAGCACAAGCACATGATAAAAAATTGTTGCCTTCGAATAAAAATAAATTTTGTGATTGTAACAGAACACTACGTAACAGAAATTAAACGACATAGACACATTTTGTAAAATAATCAATCATATATTAGTTATCTTCAACGCAATTCTGGTAATTTTCAGGGCGTACTAAGAAAATCGCAGCGGTTGAGTTCCTCGCACGATTAGTAGCTTGTTACGAAACCTTTTTATTCAGACCCAACTTTCAATACATAAACAAAGTTTGAAATCGAATGCGCATTTTATTACCTCCACGAAGTTCATCTTCGGGGCGCACTAAGAACATCTCTGCGGCGCACTAGTGGACCCCTTTTGGAACCACCGCACTAGAGTACACTCTATATTTTTCATTAAGTTTCTCGCACGATTAGCAGATTTGTTATTTTTGTTCAGACCTAACTTTCAATACATAATTGGAGTTTTGAAATTAAATACGCATTCTATTACCTCCCATGAAGTCTTTGACATGTTCGGTTTCATCTGTTAAAATAAAAAATTAAGTTAATTAAATGCATTTTCATTTTTACGCGGCGAAATGCTTTATTAGACAATATGCCACTAAATTTCTTAAATTACACACACTGAAATTTCCATAGACGAATTCGCTATGGCGACTCAGTGTTTAATAAAGTTATTAGAATTCATCGCATAACTCAGACCTAGCTATTGACTAAATATCTAAATATATTTTTGATTATTTTTTTCCCGAGTTCAGGCTTAAACCCCATCTATATTATCTAAGCTTGGCTTTGAATCAGTAACTAAAACTTACTCATTCAATTTCAGATACCATGCAACCCCATTTTCAATTTTATTACTTTTTTTTGCATAGGGCATCAAAGCTCTAAGTGCTTAGAGCAGGTTGTGTAAGGGACCGAAATTTCACCAACCTAAACTGGTTGGCTACGCAATTGTGACATAAAAAGTTACATTTTATGAATAATATTTACAGCGTTACAAAAGCAAAAGTGGAAAACTATAAGACTCGTGCCAAAACTAAATTTAATCGCAATCTCAACAAATTCCTTGAGCTATTTTTTTTAGCTAAAACAAAAACAAAATTTGGTTTTAATTCGGTTGTGGCAGCATCAGGCGAGCCAGATGGGAGTACCCAACGGGCCGTAGTTTGCTCATGTCAGGCTTTTGAAAGACATGACCCGGCTGCTGCTGGATCAACCAATTAGTTTTACAATTTCTTCACTTACTGTTAATAGAACTCACGACCCGTTCCATGTCTTCGTCAAATTTGTCTTCCATATCTGAAAATTAATAAGAATGATAAACTATTTAAAGTTGAAAATTTTCTTCGGTCTTTTTCGGACAAAATACTGATAGTATGTTGGACTGGTAGGGTTATTTATTGAAAACTTCAACTAGACACATCAAATCAGTGGTACCAGTTGATTGACCGTGGACCCAATACATTCTTATAAAAAAATATTTTACCGTTCATTTGCTTCGTTATTTTCTGGTACACATCTGGAGAAAAAATATTGGTAAGTCGGTTATTGGTAGCCGATAACCGTTACGTAAAATATGATTTTACAGGTCTTTCACAAGCGAATTTGGCACTGTTATACTTTATACTGCTTCGGCAACGGTACTTTAAAAATTTATTGGAAAATTGATATAAATAAAATAAAAAAGCTTTTTTACCGTCGATCATCGCTTTGAAAGCTTCATTTTCTTCTAAAAATAAATTAAATGTAGATTTTAGTTCCTATGTTAGCAGGGGTTTTCAACCTTGGTTTAATTTAGTGCCAATGATACTCACGGCGCTGTTTCTGTTGCTGGGCTGTAAAAATGAAAAGTATGTATAAGTAGAGCAATAATACTGTAATTCTGCGGTGGTATGTGTGGGAATGGATATAAAATCGTACTGGGGCAATCGTCCAGTCGAAAAATAAGCGTCTCGCGGGTAGCTAATTCATATGTAATTTTGTTTTAAACAACTTAAGGTACTCCTGGAGTATGCGCACCAAGATGTCGCACAATCTGAACCTTCACCTGGTACACAACCTGAATTCAGGTTGTGCGCCATCTTAGAGCGCATACTTCAGGAGGTCCCAACTTAAGATTGAGGCTTACTAAAATTTTGCTGATGTGTAAAGTGCGATATCGTGCGGATTTTTGTAGAACAAGTTCTCCATAAACAGTGCGTGTATGTAGTGCAAATTCGCCTTTCGTGTCTTTATATTTGAGCATTATTGTCTTGGACTTTATAACAATGAGATTTCTTTTTAACAACATACAGCCAAACTGGTGTGTGTGTGTGTGTGTGTGGTATGGTAATATATGGCGCTTTAAACAGTTTGAGTCTTTTGCGCCAGACAATTTAAATCAAAATTTTAAAATATGCTCAACATAGTTTGCTATTCAACAACAAACATACCTTTAACAAACTCTGGATCCGGTTTCTCGACCTTTCCCTGCAAAAGGAGACAAAATGTATTGTCAGGTAGGCAAGGAATACATCTTACTTACAACTGGTAAGAAGGAATTGTTAAACTTCGGTTTGTCAAGTCTCAAAAATAAATAGCTAACGATAAGCTCCAAATCAGCGGAAGTATGTTTTATTCATAAACACATTAAACACATGGACTGAACATAAATAATGAAATAAATAAAAAGTTTTTAGATACCCCCGCAGTATGTGTACCAGGTTAGGGTTAGGCCATAATTTTATTCCGATTTTCCTTATTTTAGTTCTATTATAAGTTCGGGAACTGTCTGTGTTAGCCAACTGAATATACCCCCTGCTTATAGGGTTCAGCGCCAGTTTTTAAGAGTAAATATCTAAAATAACGCGGACAAGATCAAATCTAACACATTTTTTTTCAATTAGCTTCACGTCCCCTTTAAAAATTGTCTCCCCACTATGGAATAAGAGCGCTGTTTTGGGGGATCCCCTAACTTTCGATCAATAAGTCTTCGGTCTCTGACCGATATTCTCGTTTAATTTTTGACACATACATTATTTCAATCTGGGGCTCCAAACTTTTTTTTGGTGGTGTAACATTTTTCATTCTTGGATTACAACTTCAATTTTACTTTACGAATACAAAAATTTCTTTCTTGTCCCACCGTTTGCACAGAAGTACTGGATATTTTGTACGGAGCCGCAGCCAAAAAAAAAAAACACGCCCGACAACGTTCAAAATAAAAAAATCAGTAATTATCTAGTTTGGGATATGACTTCAGATTGCGCTCGAAATTTAAAATTTTAAATCATTCTTAACCCCAACTCTATAATTACTTATTTTGGACCTCCTGAAGTAAGCGCACCAAGATGGCGCACAACCTGAACTCAGGTTGTGTACCAGGTTAGGGTTCAGGGTATGCGACATCTTGGTGCGCATACTTCGGGAGTACCCTAATTTTTTATTTAAAAACGTGACGGGGTGTTTTTCTCAAATACCACATTTTTACATTAGTGACGTTGGCTTTACACAAAAGATCCCAAATCTTATATTTTTGTGCAAAGGTCAGCTACTACACAGAAGCACTCACCCCCAAGTAAACGAAAACAACAAATACACAGGACACAACAGCTATTGAGAAGATGAAAACCATGAATGCCAATGTTGCTCTCCAACCGATTTCTGTATAGGCAAAGATAGTAATATTAGAAACTATAACCGCTAGATGTCACTAGGAGACTGGTTTGTAATTCAAGTACACGGTTTTGGGTTTTTCCGTAGTGTGTGTACAAGGTTAGGGTTAGGCCATAATTTTATTCAGATTCTCCTTATTTTAAGTCTATTACAAGTTCGGGGACTGTCTGTGTTAACCAAGTGAATATACCCCGTGCCCATAGGCTTCAGACCCTTTACACAACTTGATGTAAAGTAGCCGAACAAAATTAGTTATCTCCATATTGGTACACACACTTCTGGAGCTCTGTTTTCGTAGCTACAGTACAGGGTTTCTAAAACTGGACCCTGCGTTTATCCTAGAAGCCATTGAGCATTTTTTTTTAATCCACGAGCAAGAACCTTTACTTCGTATACCATTCGCGATGACCGCATTAATTTAAGGTAAATTGACTTTGGTTTGTTTAATTCTTTGATTGCAATTCATTTAGCAATTTCGTTGGCTTTTTCATTATTAAAGGTAGCGCATAAAATATTTGTTGGAAAACAGTTAAAAAGCAAAACTGGGTATTTCTATTGAAGCGCGTGTGGCCACGCGTGATAATTGTCTTTGGAAGAGGGGGTTTGATCATGAAACGACTTGGTTAGATTAATATTAGTCTTGTCGACTTTCCTCTCTCTTTCGAGATAAATATAAATAAAATAATCCTTCCCTACTTGCAGTAAATTTTCCAAATTTCATTTCCAATTGTTCCATAAAGTTTTTCTTTTCTCTCTTTTTTCTTTCTCTCTCGAATTTTTTCTCTCGTTTTTCCCGCTTCTTTTCGGCCAAAGCATCTCGTTTCAATTTTTGGCGGGAAGGTTTGTCTGATAGAATGGACCTGAAAAATGTTATCAATATTTTAAAATGGAATTACTTTTTGAATTACAGTCGAGGCTTGTTTAGAGTGGAGATGGCAGAAAACGCCTCATGATCCATTCTTGAAACTGCCAGTGTTATTTGTTAAGTGCGATATTTATCATCGTACTTTCGGAAATGTATTTTTATAACGTGGTCATTGTTTTAAACTGCTTGTCTGATGAAGTCTGGTTTTTGTTAAGAAATTTTTCCCAACAAATTTTTAACATTTTTTTAATGGAGTTATTCGGGATCTGCAATCATTTTTATAAATTTTTACGTTTTTTTCTTTACAATTTCGCTCTATTCTTGAACGATTTAACGAAATCTCATGTTTCCTGGCTTACTATTAGTACCCTTTTCCAAATGACCCGGCCGAGATAAATGAACATACGCGCTTAGAGAGCTTAGATACCTTCGACCGCAAAGTTACTCTGTAGAGCGATTGTTCAAGATATCGTTAAATATCAGTTACTGCTCTTATCTGGCTTTGTTTGTAGCAACAGACACAAGTAATCTGAACAAAACAAAGTTAAAGAAAACGAATCAGCAAATTAGCGATGGGACAATAGTACCTATGACACTTTCACCTCATTTTTGCTTCGAGCATAAGGTATGTTAAACTTCTAAAGTTAGACCAAAATAAGCCGGAAAAAATATTTACTTCTGAGAGTCAATCGATCCGACATCTCTCATAATGGCCGAGTCATTTACACGTGCACCTTCTTCTCCTTCGGCAACATCTGAAAATGATCTTTTTTATTTACAGAGTAAAAGTATGGATCGTTTTGCTATTTATTGCTGTTGTGGTTGTAAATCGTTTTTGTTTTTGCAACTACTGGAACAAATAATTTCAAATATTTAGGGCTTAAAGATGGAAGAGTAGGTAGAAGGTTTTCATTTTTTTTACAACTGCTGGGACAACTGTCTGTTAGAAGCGTATTTATCCCACAATTATGAGGGTACAAGATCTAAACCCGCAAAGTTTTAAGCCAAGTCTGAATCCTAGTGAATTCAAAAGTTCGATTCCAAAGTTGAGTAAGTCACTCACTCCCGAGTGACAAGTACCAGGACGAGTGGCTTCTACTTCGAGCCTTTGAGTCGAATTTTACCACCTTTAGGACCGGACTATTTGCCTAAAAAGTTACAATTTTTGAATAAATGAAATCTTACTGGTTTGGCATTGCCCGCTTAATTTACCACAGTCTGGATGAGGTGCGTGACATGAGAGTTGAACCAGAGATCTTTATAGCTATGGATTGAAGCCGCAACTTACCAACAGCTCGTTCATTGACATAAACTTCGCCTTCATTTCCCATGTCAACGACCTGATGCCTGGGATTTCCTCTACCTCCTATAAAATTACATAGGATTTGAACTAACTTGATTATGTTAAATTATGTTAAAGGAAGATGTAGTCGCATAGGCAGAAGAAAATAGGTAGAAAAGGGAGTATATACCGTGTTAGGTACTAGTTTTGGCACGAGGCCTATTGGTTGCTGAAAACCTTTGCTGAACATAAAGTAAGTCGTGAGTCAAATCGAGTCTCGAAATATCCAAGTATCAAGTCAAGCTTATCCAAATATTTAGTGGAGCCCAATGTCTTGTCGAGCGACTGTACTTCCTGTCTATATTTCAAGTTTTGTCGCTGCTGTTTTTATTTTCAAGGCGAGTTTGAGTTAGAATTGAGTTCTTTCAATACTGCGTAGATATGAGAACCCCGCGTTTGAAGTCCCGCAAAAGCCTCTGCAACGGTACCAAAAAAAAAAAAATCGAAAATTCGAAAGCAAACACGTTTGGGATCTTTTTCATAAAGCCCGCGTCACTAACGCAAAAATGCGAGATTTGACGAGATAACTACTAATTTAAAATTAATCAAGATTCGGTCAAACGGCTCAGCCATGCACATGGTGAAACATTGCAAACCTACGATAAAGGTAGTAAACTTCTTTGTCTTTTCGGGATAATAAAAATAATTTAGTGGGGCCGGTTAAAAACGGCGCTCCAGAAGTATGTGAACCAATATTGAGGTAACTGATTTTTTTGCCTACCTTAGAGCAAGTTGTGTAAAGGAACTGAAACCTATGGGCAAGATGTATACTCACTCGGCTAACACAGACAATAGAACTAAAATAAGGAAAAACGGAATAAAATCATGGCATAACCATAACCTGGTACACATACTACGGGAGTACCAAAAAAAAGGCTGAGCAATACTCGTGGTAAAACATTTCGAACCTGCTAGAAAGGTAGTAAAGTTCTTCACCTTTCCGGCAAAAAAAAAAACATAATTTCTCGGGTTCCGATGAAAAGCTTTTCTTCAAATTTTGTCAAGCAGTCAAGAATATACGCCTAAATAGCACTATAGCCTGAGTGTGGTCGATAGTCAATCTAGATATCTGAATTATTTTAACGAAATAAAACTTCACTAACCGGTCGGGGCTTGTCTTGGATTCGCCGGATTCTCGTAGACATTTTCTTCCGCCATTATCAATATTAGCGTCGTTGCAAGTTTTCAATTTTTATAAATTAATACTGTAATGAATAATAATGATAATATACAAAAAAACTCCTTTAATTATACAATTGGATAGAAGTTTAACTATTGGGTTTATACTATTAAACAGGAAAAGTAACGGATCCCCGCAAAACTAAGATGGGGGGGGGGGGGGGTTGGGTGCGTTCGACCCCCCCCCCCCCCCCCTCCCGCCCTTTGAAATGTAAAAAAATTAAATCATTTTTCTGTATCATAGATAGCAGTTTTCCGTAGCTTGAAATGCTTTTTAAACCCCAAGACTAATAAAAACACGTGTATTTCAGCGTGCCATTCGATCCGCTAGCTCAGGGTGGTCCAAGATTGGCAGCTCCGCGGGCCACAAAATAACTTTTGCATTGTTCGCGGGCCACAATAGTGCCAAGAACTTCGCTCGTTTGATTTTGCTGGTTCCCTAGCAAGTCATAACACTAGTCAATTCAGTGACATTAAGGATGCAACAATATGTCAAAAGATTTTTCGTTTAATTTTATGACGAAACAACACGAAATGCGTTTTTTTGATTCCTCTTCGAATGTGACGCGGGCCATAGATAATGAAGCGACGGGCCACATGTGGCCCGCGGGCCTGGGTTTGGGCCACCCTGCACTAGCTGTTCCGATCTAACTTGGATCTAACTTGGCAAATAAAAATTTCAGAACCCCCCCCCCCCATTTTCAAATTTTTGGCTGCGCCCCTGTTAGGGATGCAGATTGCACTTGAAATTTACAACTTTAAATCACTCCGAACCCCAACTTGATGATTACAAAGCCGGTAATTTGAAACGTACCGGGGTGTTTTTCTCTAATCTCACATTTTGCATTACGGGCGGGGGTTTTGTACAAATAATCCCAGCAGGGATTAGAGTCTAGTAGTCAAAATTTTGTTCCGGGCTTGACCATGCCAACTAAAATCTCTAACCGTATAGGTTTGCTATTGCACACGTTAATTACTGCGCAAACGAGTAAATTTTTGTGTCTGCCAACTACTAGAAAGCCTATGTTAAATAAAAGTTCATCATGCGGTTACACCCAGTTATTTGAATCTGGCCCTCCTGTTTTGAAGGTCGCACACCCCTGCACAGTATTACACATTGCTGGACGAACAATCTCATTTTGTTAGACTATGCGGGATTCGAACTCCCAGTCGCTAACTCATCGCGAAGTCCAAATTACCTGCAATTAATTCCAGATTAGCCTAGATTAGCTCTCAACTAAAATCTCAAACCGCATAAGTTTGCTATTGCACACGTTGATTGCTGCGCAAATGAGTTCCGTGTGCCCACGTAGGCTTGTCGAATTATTTGTAACTATAAAATCGCAGCTAAATTAATTGCATTGTACTGTTTGTAACTTGATTGGTTTTGTAAAAGTAAGCTCATTTTAACTCTGCATTGAGTGTGGATGTGTATAAAGCCCTAGTCAGTAGCCAGTAAATAGTTTTAGGTCATTTTCCCACCATACATGACATTCACTGAATGAGACAAAATGTGAAAAAAGCAAAAATGGGTGCTTACGAAGTATGCGAACCAAGATGGCGGACATCGGAACGTAACATGGGTAACAAGGTAGGGTTAGGCGATAATTTTTTTCCAATTTTCCTTATTTTAGTCCTATTATCAGTTCGAAGACTAGCCAAGAGCCTCCCGTAGTATTTATACCTAAAATTATGGCCTTAGCCTAACCTAGTACACATATTACATTCCGATGTCCGCCATCTCGGTTCGCATACTTCGGGAGCCCCCAAAAATGATATTTCGGGGTGAAAAGAGGCGCGAGAAACCAATCTTGGTTATCGATCGAGTGGCGATATCCATGATTGAGCTTAACAGTAATAATAGCATAAAAAAGTGAACAATGATTAAAAGGAATAAAAGAAAATATATTAGTCGAGGCGACCTGCATTTCCGGGAGACGCCCGATGCACAGAGGAACAAAAAATAACTGTTGAAAACAACACCCAGAACCTTACCTAAGACCGGCATAGTGTTAATTTGAGGACTTTAGCAAGTTTACTATGGCAGATAGAATTTAAATTTATATTTGTACAATAATAACTCTGGGCCGTATATTGTAAAGATTCCAGTTTAAGTTACATTCGGATACGCTGCCGATATGAAAACGCCAGTAAGGTCTACTATTTTTACAAGTATAGAGGGTCGTAGTATAGAGAGTTGAGGGTCGGACTTTAAAAATGTAAAAAAAAAAATTTGTGCCATGCATAGCAGTTTTTCAAAGCTTTACGCTTTTTAGACCTTCATGTCTCCACGTTTTCCGGTTTTCCTTCGCATCGGTTACCTTCATATCGGTACACATACTTCTGGAGCGCCATTGCACTGCTCATCTCTTGGTCATGAGCGTATTTATCCTCAGAGACTGTGGAGGTACTCACTTACTCAGTAATTCTACTTGGTTAATAAAACATTTTCTCTAATCCTAAAACATAAGTAATCAGATTAAATGCATATTAAAGTCTTATATTTTGCTTCTCTTATATTTTGTCCATGAGCATATTTATCTTTGCTAGTTTTCTCTCCGATTAGGAAGTAGACAAGGAGCAAACTTGATTGACAGTATTTGTAAAATATATCTTGCTGGTTTTAAGTATTCGCACCTGTTACGGTATAACTTGGAAATTATTAATTTTATAATCCCTCTCCCTTTAAAATTGCTGTCTACATCCCTGGCATGAGATAACGTTTGTGTTCAAAACTTGAAACCACTTCGAAACGTTATTGTCACGGAAACTAATATATGTTTATCAATTACAAGTAAATCTTTGTTAACTCACTGTTATTATTATTGTTTCTACCACCAAAGTAAAGAACGTAATTTCCCTTTTGAGTTAACATTATCACGGAAACTGATGCTTTAACACCCATATATATATACATGTTTAATGAATAAAAAAATACATTAATAATTAAAACCAAATTCTAATGAATTTACACATATTTTTATTAGCTCTTCCATAGCCGAATCGAAACGGACTTCGCCATTTTGAGTTAACACTGCCACGGAAACTGATTTGATATCAGCATATGTTTATTAATTACAACTAAATTTCAGTCAATTCACTGATATTTTTATTAGCATTATTATTAACAAATAATACAACGGACTTTGCTCAAATTTGAATTGTCTGGTCATAATGATTCATAGGAAACACTTAAAAGAATCATTTCCTTCGCTTGCTAAAATAAAGGACATACACCTGGTTTGCGACCAAAGTCCTATCGCTTTGATTCATAGTGTTTGCTACAGGTGATGTTGAAGTTGGAGTTTGTCTCCGGATTCGTAGTAGCGCCGGGGCTTTGCGACCAAAGTTCTAGAATTTTAATGACAAAATTCATGTCAAGCTGTCGGAACTTTAAAGATTCAAGAATGTATAGATAGATAAAGGGGCGCTCTGGAAGTATTCATACCAAGATGACGCACAACCTGAACACCCTAACCTGGTACACATACTATGTTCAGGTTGTACGCCATCTTGGTACGAATACTTTGGGAGCACCGGTAAAGGTATAGATGTCGTCGCGATTCCAAGTGGTTAAAACGTTTAGACTAAGTTGGGTGCGTAGCCAGGTTTTTTCAGTAGAGGGCGTTCTGAAAATTCGAATCTCCAAGTTAGACCATACACGATTTGCCCGGTGCACGGCTACCACCGACCTGCAGTCCAGTATGTTCCCCATCGCATTTTTTAGGGGGGAGTGTTTCCAAATTTAGGGGGTGATAGATATTTTGTTATTAGTGATAAAACTATTTGTAACCCATAAAAATGTGTTACGTATTTGACTGATCATCTTCACCGGCATATGAGCCACATTCTGGATATTCAAATACAATTTCATTTGGGTTAAGAATTGAAATATGTTGTCACACCTGAAAATTATTGAAAAACTTTATTCAGGCTATTCTCACACTCAGCAATCCTGCCATCTGGATATTTTGTATAAAGCCCCTACCAAAAACATCCCCGCCGGCGCTCAGAATAAGAATATTTGAAATTATCTAGTTAGGTATAGGAAAGCAGATTACTCTGTAAACTCAAATTTTCAAATCAATCTTAGCCCGAAATGGATAATTGTCAGGCGGAGCCAAGAATTTTCAAAAGGCGGGGAATTCTAAAATTTAGAATCACCAATTTAGACCGGTACATAATACAGATTTTTTTTTATATTTTCAAAAAAAAGAAGGGGTGGGTGGGGGGGGGGGCAATCCGTATCCGATTTTCCGACCTAATTCGAGATATTCTTTCACTCTACAAATCTGCCATTTGGATATTTTATACCACTCCTCCGCTAAAAAGACACCCCGACAACGCGCTGGAAATTCAAACTTTTAAATCATTCCTAACCCTAACTGGGGACTTACATATTTGTTAATTAAAAAACGTGGCGTGATTGTTTTTCTCAAATCCTACATTTTTGCATTAATGGCGAGGGCTTTGTACAAAATATCCTTCTATTTACCAGCATTCCAGTCAATAATTTAAGTACTATAGATTAATTCAGCGATTCTAATTAAATCTTTTTTTATAAGTATTACTTCTTCATGCAGCTCATGTGTGGCTCAAAGGCCGATACGCAAAAAAGCTATGCTAATATTATTGCATAATTTACCTAGGCATTCATTACCGTATTCTACATCCGTTCAAAATTAGTCATATTATGAGCTAACAATTTGGTTTTTGGACTTCCTGCGTCTGAAGGTGTGAAGAGCGTAATTTGTAACACTGTTAAAAAAATCGTTATTTTGATAAGCACTTTTTGGTATCTTCTAAATGTTAACAAAAAAAGCTTATTCCACTTCAAGCAATTATTAAGTGCATCAGACAGTGCTATGCTATGTTAGTGCACCAGTCCCATACTATTTAAGGTGCTCCCGAAATATTCGTACCAAGATGGCGCACAACCTGGACATCGTATAATTACCAGGTTAGGGTTGTTCAGGATGTGCGTCATCTTGATATTATTGCAGCTCACCCTATGGTACGCGATTCTGAAATAGAAAGTAAACAAGGTGAAATGACTCGCATTAGTCCGAATAGAGATGAATTTATGGCAAGAAATCTGGAAGACTTCACCCGCAGAAGTTGCCACAAAAACAGTCGGAGAGAAATAGTGTTGGATATTAGACAATCGCCACCCGAATGGCCTGCTGCTTGGAAATAGTACTGGTATGTGGTTTCAGACGTCATTTAAATGGACAGCAAGCTATGAATAGCGATGGACATGTGGTCCAATTCGTCATTTTTAGTAGGCTCTTAAGCTCTAATGAAGCAGGGTGGGTGATAGTATAATGTCCCAATTGTCATAATGACCTTTCTCCTAAAGATCTATTGGATTGTTATACAGATAGTCAGTTAGGAATAGGAATGAATATAAGGTCCCAATTGCAATTTGAATGATCTTCGCTGTGAAAGTCTATTGGGCCGCCATATCGTCAGCAGGTAAGGAAAGCTGTGGGTATATGTTCCAAATCGTAATTTGAAAGGGGGAACTGACTTTGATGGCCGTATGGTCGTATCGCTCAGTTCATCCTCTCAGTCTATACCGAAAACTTTGCGCATGTTATTATTGTGTTGATATGTTTATTATTATTGTAATGCTTGTTTTTCTGGTTGACAATAAAATAAATCTCTCTCTCTCTCTCCATAGAGGGCTACCATACCGACAGCAGGTTAGAAATAGTGTTGTGTATATGGTTCAAATCGCCATTTGATTGACCTTTTTTTTTATAGGGTTATTGGTTTTCTATAGGGATAAATAAATGGCCTCAATCTCAATTTAAATGACTTACCCTGTATATGGGTATTGCTCTATAATATAGACAGCAGGTTAGGAAAAGGGGTGAATATATGGCCAAAATTTGCCGTTTGAATGATCTTCCATGTAGAATGTTATGGAACTGCCATATCGACATCGGGTTAGGGATAGTAGTTGGTATGTGGTTTCAATCGTCATTTGAATGGACAGCAAGATATGAATATGGATGGACATGTGGTCCAAATCGCAATTATCCTAAGGGACTGTTGAGTTTTAATATAGACAGGAGGTTAGGAATAGAAATTGATATTGATATTGGGTCGCATAAGGGTGGATATATCATATACGGGCACAATCTACATCTAAAAGACCGTCTCTACATAATATAGGCAGTGGGTTAGTAATGAGGGTGTATCTCTCTTAGGGCTATTGGAATGCATAGGGGTGGATATTTGGCCCCAATCTTCTTTTAAATGACCTTCTCTATAGAGGGTTAGGTCACAAATTAACCCTTGTAACACAGGTCACATATGTATCCAGCAGTACCAGAAACAAGAAAAGGCGAATAAACAGTGCCTCACCTTGCAAGCGTAGCTCCTCTCTTGTGAAGTGTCTAGCTCTTGAACCAATTATAAGTCAATTTTACAACTCACTCATCACAGATAATTAGTCTTAAATTAATTACCACCATTGCGAAGAAAATCGTCGAAATTCCCGACTTCGGCGGATTGACCTATTTTTCCTTCGACGACGACTCAATTCCTGACTTAATAGATCCAGACCAAACAAAGATGGCGGAAAACGTTTACGAAGACCCGGCAAATTCAAAAGTTAAAATCAGTAAGTTATAGTATGTACAAAGTGGACCTTTTTGCTGAATTTTCCCTACTTGGTAAGATGTTTTGTTTTGTTGTTATTGTTGTGGGCTCAGAACTCCTAATACGCAGACCCTCTATCTATTAATGTCTAATTTAGAAATTAGTAATTTCAGAACTCCCCTGTTTTTGGAATGCGGATTAACACAAAATAATAAGCACTTAACGTATGTATCAGTAACTTCTTAGGTAGAGCGTTCTCAAAGCAAAAGTTATAAAATACGTGTCATAACAACATTTCGGTATTTCAGTTACTAAGACGACTCACGTACCTCTTCAGAAGCAGTTTGAGACGACCGGTAGTTCTAGAGATCAGGGTGGCAATGTGTATGTTAAGGAGGGAACCACTGGTAAGTTTGTTAGTTGTTTTACGAATGAACATTATACGCAGTATACATAGAGATAAATAATACAATATACATACTCCTGCATATAACCACCTGCTTATATTTTATAACTGCTTGGAATTTATTGCCTCCCCGGGCTTTCTAAGTGAACACGGAAATGTTCTCTCGGGTCAAGATCCGGGCCTATCTATATTGACACCAAATAAGATAATATGTAGTAAAGTCTAATATTGTTGAATGAATAAGAACGTGTGTCGATATAAAACACAAAATTTGTTTAACAACATTTTTTTTACAAAGAATACAAAATTTTTTTAATAGTATATATTGTATTACACTCATGGATGCTCAAAATGTCGTTCGAGCACATCATAGTAGTGTTTTAACCTAGCGTTTTGAAGGTTATCTTGAGATATCTTCATCATTTGTAAACATAAATAGCTGCCCGAAAATTTTCTGTTATCCTAGCAACCACCCTGTATGTATGTATACTTTACTAAAGATTTAAATTGACACTGAAATGCCGTTAATACCCAAAATAGAGCAGTTACTAATAAGTAAAAATCTACCATTGTCGTATGGATGGAGTCTATGGTTCGGCCTTTATAGTAAGGCTAATATAACATGTGTAGTCAAATTGCCACAAATATGCTAATAATGCCTACAAAACGCTGTATAAATGGTCATTGGTAAGTGATGCGCTTCTACTTTCGACAAACAGAGCCTAAGAGTCGGCTTTTATAGTTACAATATTCTCGCACTATGCAAGCATTAAAAGTATATTCTCCACATTTGAAGGCAAAAAACCATCGAATACTGAAGGAAAAAAAATATCTGCAAAAGAGGGAGCAAAAAAGAGGAATGATGTGAAAGGAAAAGATTATGGGTATGCATTTTACAGATAATCATATATTATTTAAATAAATAAATAAATAAAGGGTTAAATTTGTTGAGTACCAACAAATACATCGTTTTTGCAATCCCATGCCCATTTCTGATTAAATTATTTTCCATTATTCCCTGCAGTAAAAGTGTAGAAGTGTTGCAGTAGCCGTCTGCACCAGACTGAATTTCAATGTATTTTAGAACATGTGGATACATTTCAAAGCAATCATTTTCATACATGTTCTATTTTTGCAAAAGCCCAAAACAGAAGCCTAACCCGGGATTTTGAAGGGTTCTAATTGTCGAGTTAGAGTCCAGGGGTGGGCAACTTCTCTAGTCGTCGGGCCAGATGTGGGAAAATAGAGTTCTCGGCGGGCCGGATTATAACATGAATAGTATTCAATACCCTAATCACATATTTATTCGCTAATGCAAGAAAGAAAATCATAAATCTCGTTTAAAGTAAAGTTTAAACTACAAAAAAATAGAGACCAAAATACACATAATGAAATGATCATAATGTACTAAAAGTGGAATATTGTAATATTATAATGTACTGAATTAGACCGTTACAGCTAGCGGGGCGAAAAAAATAGGTTTTTCAAGATTCTCAATGATCTAAAAAGCGTTTCAAGGTACGAAAAATTGCTATATATGATACAGAAAAAGCTTTTTACCGGATGGTTCTGGCCTGAACCCACAATTCCTGGGTACGCCTCTGATCCATCGCGGTGAGCTTCTGTGTGACCATTAAGACTTGGAGCACAAGTAATTATTTTAGTACGTGTAATTAATTACAAATACAGTTGACGTAGGACTTGATAAAGTTCAGATCAATATGGACAAAAAAACAGAAGTGGTAAATACTACATAAACAAGGTTTGTCGAGGAAAAAAATGGCATGAAATTTTTTTTTTTTTAAGGAGTAAGAAAGAACTTCAACTCGTTGTAAATTAAAAAACTTTTAAAATAATTTTCTCAAGGCAAGCTCACGTGTACTCTCACTTAGAAATTAAAAAGAATTATCTATGACAAAGTTGCGGTCGACCATTTAACTGTTGGGATACTGGAACCAGTCAATATGTTAACTTCGGTCTAAGCAAATTTCTTGAAAACAAGCCGGTAGGTGCCCAGTTGGATCTCCGCCATTGCTTGAGGCCCTCATCATTTCAGTTTACTAACGGATATTAGGAGACACTATTAAAAACGCCAGTTTATTTTAAACGCTGCTCGTTCCGCTACGTTCATTTCAAACGCTGCGCGTTTCGTAGTCTTACTCGCGTGACTGGTATATTGTGGCTGGAAGTCACGCGAGTAATAATCTTCACTAAAATCCCTAAGGCTCCTTCAGTTTATGGAGTATCGAGACCAAAGATAACTTATTGGAAAGAGTGTTTTTCTATGCGGAAGGTAGCATTCTTGGAATTTTAATTTTTGACCTGGTTGGCGAGAAAACGGCGAGAAATTGTGAAAAAAATTAAAATTTTATAACGATCGGCGCGTTTTTCGCTGTTTCCATGGAAACGAAACCTCCATCCGGACTTTCTATAAAACGCACAATACTAGGGTGACAGGATAACCCACGTGGAAAATTTCATCTTAATTGGTCCAGCCGTTTAGACGCTACCTCTAAACAGACAGACAGACAGACAGATACACAGACATAACGACCGATAATAAGGGTCTCCTAGAGCGGAGATCCAAAAATTAGGCAAAAACACAAAATTTTGCCTTTTTAGACCTAAAGTCTCTGAAGAGCTTTCAAAGCGCCGGGAAAAGCGAGAGAAACAAACGGAAAAGAAGAGAAAAGTAAGAGGAAGGAAATACGAGAGAGAAACGAATACACGAAAGAAGTTGGATTTAAAAGAGAGACAAGCACGAGAGAGGAAGAGAATGTTCGGATCGTTTAGTAAAGGTGACATCTTATGTACTTTAACCTATTTGCGATCATATTGGATGAATATGCGGAAGTGCATTTATGAACGTAAATGTAATCTATTCTGTATATTGACTATGATCCACCCGAGATAATATTGGATTGAAAGATGGAAGTCTAAGAAATTGCGCGATTGTGTAAATAAGTCAATATTTAGGCAGTGCCTTACCAGAAATATGTTGGTATTATTGAAAATACAGCTTACCGCTTTCTCAACCATCAAGTCCGTGCTTCCGAAAGCAAATACCTGGCAAACTAATCCCATACCCGACTTGGACTGGTAACCGGACGAAAGTCCGTGATCCGCCAAACGATTGAGACATCTCATCTCCTTTTCTCACCCCCAGGATAAATATGTAAATCATATACTACGAAAAGCTTCTCGCGCAGTCAGTGTCTGCTCGTACACAGTGTTGTTCAGGGTCCAGTAAACTGGCATCTTTCTCACGCAATTCACAATGACTTATGTACCTGTTTTCCAGCGAAGGAGCACTTTAAATTTAATATGAAATCAGCTTGAAGCGGGAATATCTGTTGGTGGTCTTATGGCTATTCAATGCAACCTTTAGATGATGTGGGTTGATTGATTTGTCAAAGCCGTACTCAGCAACATTGGCTGTAATATTAATTAAGCTAAAATATTTTTCATTAGATATTATCTCGATAACCAGCTTGGGTTACCTGATCTCTGAATTCTTTTGTTTTTAAAGAAACGGGATGGAAAGTGATCTTATCCTTTGTAATCTACGTGTTCCTGGTCTCGGCTGCAATCTGTATTCTTGTCATCTTCATTTACACCTGGGTATTACTTTATTTCATGCCCTACTTTTTTGTCGTCAGTGGTGAATGATTTAGGGTTTTAAAATCTATAGAAGTGAGGCCAAACTGAAAAAAAGCCAAACTAAAACTTCCTGAAACTAAGTATGTATGCAAAGCGTTAGACATGTTTACGTTGGCGTCCCAGGCTAAATACCTGTATAACATTGTTTGAGGAGGAGGTGTAAAATCGCTTCGTACATAAATCAAACGTATGGTTTCTGGAATTTCCTAATCTTTTACCAAGTAGTGTCCGCCACAACTTTCGCTATTATCAAGAAATAAAAACTGCCTATCTATTATTATGCCTCCTCTGGTCTCATAGGTGAAGTAGAAAGCGTAGTTTTCTATAAGATAAGATTGTCATAACTCGAGGTCTTTGCAAAAATTGCAACAGGAAGAGTGTCCTTCGCAGAAAATTTAATAGCAAAAGTACTAATTTTCATATTGGACGAAGGTGGCCCCAAAAAAGCGTAAATATCTGAAAAGCTAAACCAGAAACATTGAACACAAAAATTTCCTATGTCATTTCCCACTCCCTCGCTCCATACAAGGCTCTGCTCTGTGTCAGCCATCTCGAACCCGGGGGCCATGGCTTGTCAGCTGGGAGCTCGCCTTCAACTTTGGTTTCTCCCTGAATTTGAAACATGTTTTCCTTTTTTTTATTTAGCAAAATGCTCCTCCTAAGGGTAAGTGAACATAAATATTTTACTGCAAGATATAAAGATAAAACAAAATGTTTTTTTCAACTAACAAATCAAATCGTTGATTGGAATTGCTTATTGACATATCGACCCACACAAACTAGAGCGCGGGATCAATGCGTGAGGCTCGATTGCCGTGATAAATATTTTGTGGTAGTAAAGTATTTACCAGCAAACTAAAAATATTCTAAGTGATTCAAGAGTCTTGCTGCGCAGTGCACACATAGTGTTAGTGTGCAGCAAGACTCTTTAACCCCTTATTATATTTGTCTACACTCTTGCTACAGCATCCTTGCATTTTACGCAGACGGATCCACCAGCAAAAAAGTATAGAAGAAGGATGAGTAGTTTGTTCCGCAAAACCCAAATCATTAGCAGAATTTAAAATATCTTATATTACCGAAATTATAATAATACAAAACATAACAAAATTCCATTTTATTTCTGAAATATGGCATTTCAGCTTCACGCATTGTTGATGAACGTGTCTCTGCACTCGATTCTGAGTGGGCCGAAACGTCTCTATACCGATTGGAATAACTCGTAACTGACGCACTGCTCCATTCTTCCTGCAATTTTAATAAATACTTAAAGCTTGTTCAGCTACAGGATATTTTCATAATATGTTTCATACTTTTCTGACCTCATGTTTGATTAAAAATTTTGCCAAATATGACAAATTACTGCAAAAGACAAATAGTTTTGCAAGTTTTAAAACAAATAATAGATCATAAATGTTTATCTATATGTTAAAAATAAAATATCGATACAAATTTATTCTTGCAGAGATAACAGAAAATAGTAAGTCCATTAAGATTTTTTTTTGTAAACTTATTGATACAAATTTCGCGCGCCCAAAGCGTTCAAGTAAAAGTTGAAAAAGTGAATCTCGTTATTTAGGTTTTCCTAAAGTTGAAAGAACACACTGATATTCTGAGATACATGCATATGTTTATCCTCGATACACTAGATCAGGATGGTCCAAACCTAGGCCCGCGGGCCACATGTGGCTCGCCACTTCATCATCTGTGGCCCGCGTCGCATTCGGAGAGGAATCAAAAAATCGCATTTCGTGTTGTTTCGTCATGAAATTGACCAAAAAATATTTTGACATATTGTTGCATCACTAATGTCACTAAATTGACTAGTGTTATGGCTTGCTGAGGCAACTAGTGAAGTTAAACAAGCAAGGTTCTTGGCACTATTGTGGCCCGCGAACGATGCAAATGTAATTTTGTGCCCCGCGGAGCTGCCAATCTTGGACCACTTCAAACTAGATACAAAATTATCAAAACCCAAGTCCTTACTATGTCGACGAAGCAGATTAAATATTTCTGGTTCACTCAAACATCATGAGCTCTACAGCAGTGTCTTGTTAAATGCATGCCAATGGTTCCCAACTATTCCTACCCTCGTCTGTTTTGAAATTCTTTATGCTCCCCTTAATAAACATAAAAAGTAATTCATTCATCCGATATTTATTGGATACCTAGCTCAGTAGCAAATACTATGCGCAAGTTGCATCCCCGCTTTTGAACAGTTCAAGTACATAGAATGTGTGTTTAAATAAATTCTATGGTAATACCAAGGAATTAAAGAATATTAGTATTTCCATAACAAATATAAAGTAGAATTACTCCGCGGTTTTGTAACGATGGCATTGGCATTCCCAAATCGGAAAATTGGCGCTCCAGAAGTATGTGCACCAAGATGGCACACAACCTGATAAACCTAACCTGGTACACATACTATGTTCAGCTTGTGCTCCCCATTGGTGCACATACTTTCGGAGCACCGAAAAATTTCACCCCTTCCGTGCCCTTAAATGCATTCACAAATCTTTATTCAGAATGAAGACGTATAAATGCTTCATGCCAAATCAAATAGATTATTACTTTCATTATACGCGATTGGAATTTTTTCTTATTCTTCACAGGACTTGCTGATGAGACAAGAAAGTTGATCCGAGGTAAGGTTTATTTGGTACAAAGTTGTTACAGGCCGTCTTAGTCATTGACGTAAAATAAACACGCAAGTATTCCTTACTCCATGAGAACTTGCCTCAAACAAGGTGACTCGCATTCACTAAGAAACGAATGAAACTCATCTCTAATTAAAGTTACGGCCAATCACAAAATCGCCAAGAGCCACTGAATCATATAAAATTATGGTGGGGCATTTTGCGCCAGTAATGGACATTCAACCCGAAACAGGAGGGAGTTAACGTCATACGATTGAAAAATTTGAATATAATCCCACACAAAAAGCATTGCCAGCAGAAAGAACTAAGACTGAATTATTTAATTTATTCTCAAATTGATGTTTCTACTTTCAGATGTTTACAAGTCCCTCAAGATTAGAATGGACGGTAAGAAGGCATTTGGATATGAGAGTTGGCGTAGTGGTTATGTCAGCAAAGAATAAATATCTTGAAAAATCAATGATAAAAATAAGGCAGCTCCCGTAGTATGTGCACCAAGATGACGCACAACCTTAATATAGTATGTGTACCAGTATTCAGGTTGTGCACCATCTTGGTACATGTACTTCAGGAGCTCCAAAATAAGATCTCTAATACAGGCGTTCATAAGACATATGGGTATAATATATTAACTCGTATTTACCCTCCAATGTAAGATCATATATCAATAAACAGATAAATCAGTTAAGGTATTCCCGAAGTATGTAAACCAAGATGGCGGACACCGAAACGTAGTACGTATACCAGGTTAAGATTAGGCAGTAACTCCAGGTACAAATACTACGGGAGTCACCTGGCTAGTCCCCGGACTCGTAATAGAACAAAAATAGGGAAAAATGAAATAAAACCATTGCCTAATCCCAACCTGGTACACATACTACGTTCTGGTGTCCACTATCTTGGTTCACATACGTCGGGAGTATCCAGTAAAAAGCATGGTCTCTTGAAATTTGAAAAAATAAGATCTTTAACTCAAACCCAATGCCCATAACCCCAGGGCGCGAAAAAACCAAATAGAGAAAAATTTATAATTTTATATTGGCTACTTGTATAGCGGAAAACTGTGAAACAAGAATTGCGAATTTTTTTCATTTCAAGTTATTTTCGTTTCAAGCCCACTTTGGGTGCGTACTGTGCTAAAAACAATCGTAATTTTGCAACTGTTCTGCGGTGTTATCACAGTTAAAAAAATCACTCTGTTCCCAAAGTCAAATTTACCCCAGTGTTTCTCAAACAGTGGGGATCGCATCTCAAGGGGGCGTAGACAATGTTTTGAGTAGGCGTGAGGCTAATTAAAAATAAAAATAAAATATTCGTTTGATTTTATTCTGCCCGCCGCCTTATTTTGGATATTCACATTTCATATACGCATTTTCAACGTGTATTTTTAACATACTTTTTCCTTACTATCTGTTATTGGTAACTTATTGTTAGATAGTTATTTTTGAGGTGGCCCGCGAGACAAATTCAAAAAAGGGGACGTGGCTTAAATAGTTTTAAAACCAATACTCTACTGGTTTGCGTGGATTTCCACTGTGAGGTAACTGTTTTTCCCAATAAAGTTTCTAAAATCTGGCAACTTGTATTTTATTTATTTTTAAGACCTCGATGACGTTCTCGAAAAAGAAGTCAAAACTATGGCTGGATCGCTCAAAAGTAAGTTTTTTAGTTGGCAATTATTTTGTTTGAATGGAGTCCTATATGTTGATTAAGTGAGAGCGCGATTACATAGTGATTAGAAAGCTTCGCTTTTTTTTGCGTGTGACGTCTTCTCTCGATCAGGAGCGTAGACAGAAATGGTTAAAAGAGCGGATTCGACCGTAACAGTTATCGGGTGCAACCGGAGGCTTTTCAGACCGGAAAACATCGGTTTACAAGAGTCTTTGAAAGTTCAAAAAAGCGTTACAAGCTACGAAAAATGCTATGTATGAAAGAGAAAAATGCTTTTTTCTTTTACAATTCACAAGGGGGTCCCGACCCACAATGTTTAATTTTCTTGTTTTTCCCTTGCATGAGGAAGTTAATGCCACAGAATGTTTTGTGCAACATAAGTGGGCCACGGAAGAAAAAGGGTTGAAACCACTGGTTTAAATCATAAGCAACCCCAACCGCGCACTCAAGGTGTGATAATTGAACAAAAAACTTTCATTTTTTTAAAAACAACGCCTCGACTTTCCTTATGCGAAGCCTTGTTTGGAGCAGGAAGGCGTGAACAAGCGTCTTACATAAAAAAAATGATATTTTAGACCGGTGAAAAAATTGAGTACTGGAAAATTGCGACATTTGTTCATAGATTTAATCTATTTATTAGACTTTGTACCGGACGTTTAAATAATTTATCCTATATCAGTCAATACGGAAATTGACTAATTGTTATTTTATTACAGATCATACTAAGGAAATGGAGGCAAGCATGGCAGGTACAATTGCCATATAGGTTAACCAACTTCAGACATCTAGCTGGGCTTCCCATAAAATTTATAGTTTTTCCACGTACACAACAAATAAAAATTCTCACAATGCGAAATTTTATTTATTAAACATTTTAGTGGGTCACTTTACATTTCGAGTTATTGCATAGATTGTTAATACCAGCTTGTTGTAGCAACCCTTAATTAACTGACTAGTCAAACTACTGTATATGAATTTTCACCCATTGTGTGCACCATTTTAAACATGAGCTGTCGGATTAGGATTTTATTCTTGATGGGGAAAAATATAAGCATTGATAAAAGCTAAATAAAATACTAAAGATAAGATACTAAACGGCTCGGCCGGAGGGTTATTGCAGACCCCTAATGTACATTTTTGAATACTCAATGTAGCATAAACGTTCGTAGCGTGGGTAACATTAATCCTGTGAATTCAGGGAAACACACAATCGACTCCGACTACCGAATCCGGGTATAAAAAAAAAAGACGCCAACTACCGCCGCCATTGAATTTCTATTTTAGTGTCCTTTCAGCTGTTATTGTTTTGTAAATAATTTTGTTTATAAATTTATATTTTTATTTTTCTTGTTTTAGTTATTCAAGAAAAAACACTCAAAGGTCTTAACAGTAAGTCATGCAATGTCTCTGGATGCTACCTTAACTGGAATTGCATATGATATGGTAGGATTTACATATTTATCCCGGGGGAGAGGAAAGGGCTTAGGCGGGTTAATCATATGATGAACGACGACCTCTCGTCCGGTTACCAGCCCGTGTCGGGTATGGGGTTGGTTTGCCAGGTATTTTCTTCAAATGCGCGGACTTGATGGTGAAGGAAGCTGTAATCGACCAGCGTTTACGTGAATCATGACGACGGCGAGGAGGAGACCAGCAATTCTCTTGCACATAATTATTCTCCACGGAATTCGAACCTGCGAACCAACGCAGGGTAACCAGAAGTGAGATGACAAGCGTATTCCTACGCTTTTATTTTGGTGTCTTGCTTGATTTGACTTGAGTGTTTGCTGAAGAATTTGTAATGAAGTATGCTACGAACCTATTCAAACCAACATGTGCCAGTTCTAACCAGTCTCAACTAGTTTTAACCGCTTCAAACCAGTAAATATTTGACCATACATACTTTTCAGGCACAAAGGATGTAGTGAAAGATCGAGCTAAGGGTTCGTATGATGAGTCGTTTATTAAGCTTAAACGACAAACCTAGAGAATTGGCTAAAAAAAATCGTACACACACTCTGAAGTAAAGAAACTCATCTCCGGAAGAATATACATGAAACATAAAAACCTTGGGTCGTTTGCTGATTTCATTTTATAAAAAATTTTATTGTTTTTTTTATATTTAGTATCGAAGTGTTGCTCAATAGTATTTGTACAGGGTGTCCACAAAGTTCCTTTACAATTTCAATTTTTTTATGAAGTCAGTTCTCAATATCCTAACAGGGTTTGTTGTTATTGGACACGTTTAGTGGCCATAACGATCGTTTCAAAATTTTGTTGTTATTGTTATTGTTATTTGTCTCCGTCTCCATTTTAAAAAAATCGCTCTTCTCTTTGAATACTGGACCAATTGCTTTGATATTTTCAGTGGTTAAAGATAAAATTTTTCTCCAGAAGGCTATTACTTTTTTTTTCGCTATGACGTCATCAAAATTATTGCCACTGGGTGGCGCTACGTGTCCATATATTTGAGCATTGCTCCCTTGTTCAATCAGTAATTTAATACATCTGTGATGGCCAAAACAATATATAGTATCGATGACTTCTCCCTTAAAAAAAATTATTTTTGAAAAAGATTTGTTCGAAGTGCAGGCGTAAAACTTGTGATAACTTTTTCCTCCACAGAGCAAAAGATCAGGTTGGATAAACAATTCAAACGTAAGTATAGAATATATATCTATGTGCGAGTATAAACAGATAATACTTGAAAAATAGTACAGGGATATAGGGCCGGGGCTTCAAAACTTGGAAAACTATGAATAAAAAACGGTTATTTACAGCTAGGCTAACGTTAACATTGGGGGTTAATATGACATTATTTTCATCAATATTTTCAACGGAAATTTATATCCATAAAACTATAGTCGTAATTTTAGCAAACACAAGTGGGTCGGATGAAACGCTTCGGTGGGCCGGATCTGGCCCGCGGGTGTAATTTGCAGACCCCTGCACATTATATGACTAGTTATTATTATTGCTATTTGCGTATTCATATCTTATATGAGGAAAGGCTAAAAATTTTGTATTGGGCTTTCGCCCAAATAGTCAAAAGTAAAATGCGCTCAGTTTAATCATTACCCAGAGCTGAGCACGTTACAACTACGAACTACTTTAACTGAACATTTAATTAATTAACTTTGTCTGTGAAAGCCCAGTTATTGGAGTTGGCATGGTCGAACTACGGCCCACAGGCCAAATCTGGTCCGTTGAGTAATTCAATCTGGCCCGCCTGATGCTGCCACAACAAAACTAAAAACAAATTTGATGTTTTAGCTAAAAAAAAAATAGCTCAAGGAATTTGTTGAGATTGCGATTAAATTTAGTTTTGGTGCGAGTCTTTGTTTGTTTGAGTCTTTGAGGCGAGTCTATGTTTTCCACTTTTGCTTTTGTAACACTGTAAATATTGTTCATAAATTGTAACTTTTTACGTCACACTCACATGGCCCGCCGGTCTAGATGGGCGAATTTGGCCCTTGGTTCAAAAACTCGCCTACCTCTTGACTCTAGTAGATAGAGCATTGAACTGACGATGTTACATTAATAGGTTGCAAGTCTTACTGTTCGTGTCATATCAGAATGTTTTAAATTAGATAAACACGAATCTGGAACATTCCAACGTTTTTCAAGAGTGGTAACTGTGTTGTAAAAAGTCATGAAAACGCGCCCTTTATTGAACAAAATCTCCAATATTAAATCATTTTAGGTCACACAGAAACTATCAATCTTCGTGCTCAAGGTAAGATATATATATTCTCACTCATGAGTGTGGTATTCCGGGTTCGAAACCCGCTTAATAAGTTAGTTTTTTCAACAAACTGCAACCCGTCAAAAAATAATTAGGTAAATGACCAATGGGAGATAAAATATCACTGCATCCTGGTCATTTTCACGCCTTATATTTTGATACAATTTTTTATTCTATTACGCCATGTTTGTATCTTGTCTTTGCAATTAGAAAAGATTCGCCTCTTCAATCAGCCATATTAGTTATATAAATTTCATGTTCATATATTTCAGTATTGCTCACTTGTTTTTTCAGAACTTCACAAGAAAACTCTAAACAGACTGTCAAGTAAGTTACCTGCCATTGAGCTTATTTGACGTATTCATCAAATATTTTTAAACGTGAAATGGACATAAAGATAGCTTTGCAAAAAATTTTAATTTTTCGTTGAACTAAAAAACAAAACAGATTCATTACCGAATTTTTTCTTCTAGCGCTGGATAGTGACATGTTGAAACGATTCACTGGTAAGTCTTGTAGAAGCTTGTAGAAGGTATTGTAAATGCTGCAAGGTAGACACACAGTTTTGACACGGGATTATCAGCGATTTGATTGAAACCGTGTTTGTAAAACTTTATCTTTGAGGTGTTGAAACTTTGTCAAAAAGTAATACCTCGACTGAAAGTTTGGTGAATTTTAAGGGCGTGTGTATACGATATAAAACGGGGTTGTGTAATTATCTTCTCTTGCCTTTCTCGCCGAATCATTTTTTTGTTCTGTGTCGTCCAGTTTGATGATTTTGTTTGGGTATACGCCCCACCAATAAAAATTTTGCACATCCTTGATGTAAAACATAAACTCCCAAATTTGAAAAACATTATATCTCAATTATTTTAGATCACGACGAACTAATATCAGGTAATGTTTTACTTCATTTTTTTTTCTCGAGGTTTTGAGCCTCCTAGCAAAAATGGGAAACGCTTCGTTAGAAGAGTTACAATCGGCAATAAGTGCAACAAAAAAAACTCAACAAAATAGCTTCATCACTACAAAAAAAATAATAAAATAACAATTTATTCTAGTAATATGAGCGAATAACCTTTAGGGAAGTTACTTTTTGTTTTTGCACATTTTTTCTTTTCTTTTCGAGGTTTTTGACGATTTTTACACGTTTACGAGATGATTTTAATCAATCATCATTTATTCGTCAACACAATAAAATTTATTATAAGAAAGAAAATATTGCAAATACCAAGGGAAATTGTGTGACAGGAGTCGCGAAAGACCTGTGCTTGTTTTTGGTTTTTGCACGTTTTAGCAAGGTTTTTGGTAGTTACGACTGTTTTGGAACGTTTTGGTGTAAAGTTATTGGTGATATTGGACGATTTTTTTCACTTTAAACAAGGTTTTAGGAAGATTTTAGTTGTTTAAGACAATGTTTGGCGGGTTTGGCATAATTTTGGTGTTTTTTTGTAAGACCAGAGTCTTGATTCATTTATGCAATCGCTTTCGTGAGTGATTCCTAGAAAATATATATATGAATTCCATATTCTAAACGCTTTTAATAAATGCAAACATTTTTTCATCTAAATTCCAGGTCATAGGAAACAAGTGATAACCAAATTCGCTGGTAAGTTTTATTTTGGTATACATATACTTGGTGTTCGCTAGAAAACAGAGAATTTATAAAACAGCTATTCATTTTTACAAAGAATAACTTTAGAAAGTTTTCAAAGGCATATGTTATATTACACAGAATATTACAGAAATCAAATAAGAAGGTATCAAAATAACACAATCTAGAACCCAAAAAACTAAAAACGTATCAAAAAAGAAATGAGTAAGCACGCATTTTATTCGTGATGTCAACTGACCTTCAAATTTTCGGGGCATGTTCACAACACGGCGTAAGTACTTCTAGTTGGCGTGACACAAACATTTTGCATATGTTATTCCTAACTCCCCACCTGACTACGGCATTCTAAAATTACGTCATTACGACATCACAGTAGCGTAATATAGCCCCCGAACTATACTAACTGTCACCCAAGACGCGCGAACGATCACCCGAAATCGAGCAAGCTATTTCTCTCGTTTTCTCGTCGTAACGATTCCGATATGAGAGAGATCGCTGGCGTTAAAGAGTTCGTTATCGTTGGCGAAGATGCCATTTCGGACGATCGATTTGCTATACTTCAGCAAGCCCGTTGACGTTATTGTGAGATCGTAGTGACGTAATCTTTAGATGACCGGGCCAGGTGAGGGTTAGGAATAACATATGCAACAATAGTTGTGGGCGTTTAGTGAATATGCGCCGAATTTTATGCGTTTCTAGCAATCGCCCTTTATGAATTTATGTAACTGATGAGCAAAACCTATTATTGAAGGCTACCTTTACAGTTCAAAACATTGCATTGAAACGGTATACACACACAAGTATTTTATTGCCATAAATCAACAATACCACGTGGGATAATAGAAAGTTAAGTAGGAAGTCACTTGAAATAAACAACACTCTTTTTTTCTTGTAAATCACAATGATTTTCCTAAATCCCAATGATTTATATCACGAAGCTGTTAATCTTCTCATGTTTGTGTATTTTAAGTTGATCTTTTGATTTTTTTCCCTGTATTTGCTGCTAAACTTAGCTATAAGGTGTCGCTGACTGGATGACTCACCGAGTCTTTCACGACCCCCCATCAATTGCTAGATTCAATGTTTTTCGTTTTTTGTTATTTTTATGTTTGTTTGTTTTACATTCTTGCACAATGAAAATAAATATCTAAATCTGAATGTTGTAGTAAAATGGCCGTGTCGATATACACCGCTTTGTCTGCAATAGATTTTCAGTCTTGCCTATTTATCTGATTATCTCAAATTTTACTACAGGTCACCAGGCATCATTAAGTGGAGCAATCGACGGTATATAAATATGTTTATATCCATAGACTCAGGAGCGTGCCACGCCCTCTCTAGATAGGCTCTACTTATACACACACCCTTTAAACACGCTTCCTCTATACACGTCCCTCTAGACACGTGTCAAACTTTTCTTCTGCCCGCTGCGAGTTTCTGATAATGACGCTCCTTATACCCAACCTTAAAATTAATTTAGAGGATGAACAAAGTATAGATGTTATTTTACATAAGAATGAATTAAAGGTCAAACGAAAGTAAAATTTTATATTATTATTATTTAAATCATCAAGCTAAGCAACAAACTCGCCTCTGCATGGATTGAATTTATCTTGACTGTATATTGAAATGAAATTGATTGACTCGGGAGAGGAAAGCGATAATGCGGCTTAATCATATGACAGTGTTTGAAACTTTAGTGGAGGTGTTCACCCCTTGTAGGAAGGGGTGAAGAAAAATTACTGATCTCATTAAACATCACGCTGAGACCATTTTAATATTTATAATATACAAGTACTATTGTTAACGAATATTGTTATTTTCGTTTTTTACAGATTTGCAGACGATTATTGCTAATGGGTTTTCTGGTAAGTTAACGAAATTTTCTACCTTGACAATTTAAAAAAAATATCCAAATTTCAGTTAAACAATGCAAAACAACAAAATTCACAAGCCGTTTTCTCATCACTGTGTATTATGGTGATCCTGTTAGATTTTCAGAGAAATAAATAAACATGCATGCTCTGAAAACTGCGATCTATTACAAAGATAATTTAGATCCGGGCCATCCCAAACTTTTTTTTCAGTTTCAACCCATTTTTATTGAGTGACGAATAATGAGATGAGATATGAGCAAATGAACAACGTGTCCCCACGCAATTTACTAATAATACAAAACTTAATCTTGTAGGTTGGATATTAACGCATAATTCTAGTTGTTACATTGTTTCATAAGCGTTTCGTAATGGACGTAATAACACATTCGGAAATACTTAGCGACCCACCTTGAATAGCTTTGCGACCCACTGGTTGGGAAGCACTGATTTAGATAACCATTCAATGGGGTATTGGAATGAAGTAGGCGATGCTTTGTTGAATAACCTTGAAGCTAGGAGTTCCCGGGTTTGGGTCGAGTTCGGATCGGAGTTTGAAGAGAACGAGAATTCATCCAATGCTAGGTCACACCCTCGGTGCAAAGATCCACTAAAACTATAATATATATATAATTATGGCTCTGCATTACCAGTGAATGCGGATTTACTTACTACCTACTAGTACCTTATGAATTACAAAATGAATGCTTTTTCGAATACTGAATATTTCACAGAAAAAGGCGTTGGTTTCAAAGACTTGTTCGCCGGTAAGAATTATTTCCAGTGATTTGAATATCTTTGAATATTATCGAATTATAATCCTAGCTCATCCGCTTCCTATTTTGATCGATCCATATTGATTCCAATGCTATATAGCCGAACGATTAATTAACTACTCTAACCCACAACATAGCTTGAATTCCACTTCATATTACCTTAAAAATATAAGATTCCCACTCATTATATTTTCTTATTATTTTTCAGAATTGCATCGCAATATACAAAGTGATATGTCGGGTAATGCAAAATGACTGAACATTTTTTTATTGCAATAAATATTGAAGATCTTGGAGTTTTCCACTCATTTCGCCAAGAGAATCACCCAAACTAACACCAAAGTTTATTGCACAGAAATTGTATCTAGCGTGCAATACATAAAAAGTAGTAACTTGAGTAGTACTCGCATTCTAATGCATTTAATAATTAATATTCAATTTATCTTGAAGAGCTCATACTCATACTCACGAATAAAGAACCCTGTTTCCCGCCCAGTCATAATTTGAAATGTAATATTATTTCACAGAACTATTGGACACTGTGAGCGTCACTGCAAAAGGTGATTAAAGTATTACTAAAACACTATATAATAATAAGAATAAAACAAGAGAGCTGTGCTCAAATATATGGACACGTAGCGCCACCCATTGGCAATAATTTTGATGACGTCATAGCGAAAAAAAAAGTAATAGCCTTCTGGAGAAAAATTTTATCTTCAACCACTGAAAATTTCAAAGCAATTGGTCCAGTATTCGAAGAGAAAAGTGATTTTTTAAAAATGGAGACGGAGACAAATAACAATAACAATAACAACAAAATTTTGAAACGATTGTTATGTCCACTTCGTGTCCAATAAAGAGAGCATGGCAACTAATTTTTCATTTTGATGTTATATTACTACAAAATATGTAGACCCGATGGCGGTGCAATCCGTCCTCTATAACTCCAGTCATTCCCATATTATCCAAGAACTTCAATGTTGAAACGTTTTGATTCAAGTGACAAATCGTACTCGTACTCTGACGTCATCTTAAAAAGAAAACGATTTCCATTCAGCATTCAGATATTTTTGGAATAAATAAAGTAATATCGCTTTTATCTTCGACGTCGTTACACACAGTATTCGCAAAGAGTCTCTGACTGCTACAATATGTTAGTTATCAGTATGTAGTAGTGAGTGGTATGAATCTGTGATTTCATTGAATTTCGTAAAATCATGCGACCCTTGGATATGCTCAAATACTTAATGGTAGGAGTACTTTAATGGCCGCATAACTAATATAAAACAAAGTGAGAAAGCTGCGCTAGTTTGCCCTCATCGAGGTTTCGAAATCCTAAAAAATCTCTCTAAAGACATATTTTGCTGTTAAAGTTATTTAAGCTATACAAGCACAGCTGTTCACCCCCTGACTATGCGTATGTTGCCGACTGGTATAAAAAGATAGAAACCCATGTTTGAAATCTTTGAGTGTTCCAATTTTGCCGTGTGTAATAGAAAACATATCAAATTCATTTTCAGACGAAGGAGATTACATCATTGAAAAGGTTGAAGGTAGGTCGATATATTTTCATGTAAAGTAGTGGTTCCCAAACTGAGGGTAATTGCCCCTAAAGAGAGACGATTTTTATAGGGTAATTCAGACGGTCAGTTTCAACAAATTCTTTCGTAATTCCCGTGCATTTGACTAGGCTGTGTACAAGCTGGACATTCAATGCTTGCATCTAGTTAATGGGCCTAGTCATAGAGTCACACAGTTTATTGCATCATGATAAAAATATTTCGAAATACCGATAGTATGTTGAAATGCTGAGTTAGCATCTCATATAAGTATCAGGGTATGCAGTTTTTGGTCAAACCAAAAGTACTACCGATATGGACACTGTATTTGCATGAAATGGGTAATTGAGCTTTTGGTAGTTGATTTTAGGGGATCGATAATAAAAATTTTGGGGACCATTTATGTTATATTTTATTACTGGGTGTTTTTTGTTTCAGAGTTGGAAGGTGGTATTGCAACTGGCTGGGACAGTGAGTGTATTGAAATAAATAAAAAATATGCGAGATGGCGCTAGCGAGCAATTCTAGGGTTAGCCTCTTTGTAGAAATTACATAATAGAAAAATTTCATAATCATAATGCCACCATTTTCTAATCTAATCGAAAACTGTATGTAACATATGAAAATACTTCGCGACTCATCTTGCATAGCTTTGCGACCCACTGGTTGAAAAGCACCGATCTGAATGTGATTCGTCACCTACTAGCCGTCAGTGATCTTTTAGCTCAGTGACTGACTCCATTTCAGAATCAAACTTGACTCAAAATTTGAATAACTTCTAATCCGATTCAATGCGGAACTCTTGGTTTAGACTAGAGACTTCTACCTAGCACTCGATATATTTGATAAATTCATTGTGTTGGATCCCATGTTCTCAATCTTTTTAAACTCACGACGTCTTTATTAGAGACAAAGTGTTGTGAAATAGACTCGTCTTATCTGAATGAATCGTCACTAATCAGTAGTCTATTTTTACACAATACTAAAAGCCCACTAGACATAGAAATTGCAATAAATAATGAAAAAGCATTTAAGGAGCCAATATTGGGTATTGAGATTGGCCAGTAAGACATAGTTCATGAAATTGACTCGTATTTAGACTTTAGACTCGCATATGACTCGACTTGATGTGTGACTTGGACTTGGGATAAGAAACTTTTATCCAAAACTGAATGATTTGCGTCTCTCTAATGAAGACTTTAGGCAAGCAGTGTTAGTGTACAAAATATCAGATTGAAATAAATGCTTTCTGTCAATGTCAAGTCCATGCATCTGAAAACAAATAACTGACTAACTAATCCCATACCCGACATGGACTGGTAACCAGTCGAGAGACCGTGGTTTGCCATATGATTGAGCCGTCTTATCGGCTTTCTTCTCCCCCCCTTTATAACTACGTAAAATCCCATCCTACCAAATACCAAAACAATATATAAAATTTTATTTTTGCTTCAGCTGAAAGAGATCTTGTAGAAGCAAAGCTTAAAGGTAAAATTCGATTAGTTGTCAATTGCAGACAATGGCTTAAATATATGAATGCATATTTTGCGTAAAGATTTCTAACTTAACTCGGAACATATCTACGAGCGCCATGCTTCAAATCGTCTTTTGTCAGATACGTCGTTAAAATAGTTTACAAACGTATTTTACTTTGTGTCCATCAACTTTATTTTGCTTTTTTCCAGAACAAGATATGACAATTCAGGAATTCTTAGACAGTAAGTATAAATAAACTGTACTGCATTAGTAGTTACTCATATTTTACAAACTATAAAGTACGGCAGCCAGTATATTGCTTAAACAAGACGTAGCCAGGAAGGCCCACCCGATACTTTAGTTAGGCGAACTGGATTATTGTGCAAACAATCGATTTTTAGGTGTTTCCAAATTTAAGGGGTCGTAGAAGTGTTTCTATTAACATTAAAGCCATTTGTAACTTAGAATTTGTGTTCTGATTTTGATTGACCATCTGCACTGGTATATATACACTATTTTCTGAATATTCAACAACAGGTATTTTTGAGGTAGAATTCAAGGTGTGGTGTCGCATCTTAAAATTAAAGGGGATATTTGAAATTATAGCGAGAAGGGGTGCGCCGTTATTCTGGTTGAAAGGAATCACTGGTCCACATATCATATCATTTGACTTTGCATTTTAGTGGTTAGCACACAATGAAGTGTCTGCAGCAGTGGCGTATCTACGTAAAATGGCGTTGTTTGAATGTGCGCCCCCTTGATCGTTAGTTAACAATATTCAATATTGGTTTTTGTTGAAATATGATCAGTTTACCTCATCATTTAAGAAAAAATACGAGTTTCATTTATTTCCAATTTCAATTTAGTTTTTTAAAACTTTTATAATTAAAACTTTTTTGCTCATTTTGTGCCCATATCCAAACGTCGCCCACGGCACGAGCCATCGATGCCACATATACCTTAGATACCTCACCAGTCCGCGGGCCCTAATTTTGTGAGAAGAGACCAAATAGTTCGCTTTCTTCTAGAAATCAAAATATTGTTCTAGAACCAATTCTGTAACTCATTTTGTGAGGAGAGACCAATTAGTTCGCTTTCTTCTAGAAATCATAATATTGTTCTAGAACCAATTCTGTAAAACTTTTCACTTCATTTTATGATTATTTCACCCCAGTCTCATAATCTTATTTTTTTTTCATTATAGACGCCATCTATGATATCAACAGCTATACAAAAGGTACAACAGTGAACAGGAAATATCATTCATAAAATTTTACTACAAAAATTGTAAATATAAATAACATGACAATCAAATATTAAAGTTTCTTTGCGTTGAATTTTGTCTGGGTAATTGCCCTATGAGTATTTCTTTTTGCCTGATGTTTGTGTGTGTGTGTGTGTGTGTGTGTGTGTGTGTCCGGGGGTGGGGTGATAGGAAAAGCGATTATTAAAAAGTTGTTTATGCAGTCCCATTTCAGTTTTGTGATGAATTAGTTTTTCAATATATCTTGACCAGGTTTGTTTTAATTTGAATCTGTGTTTATTCAATGTTTTGGCAAAAGCCACTAAACAATATATGTTGTCAAGAATTTCTCTTTGCAATTCAAGAAATTTTAAGATTTTTGTAATATTAGAAAGATGAGATTTTAAAGTTAGAAATTGGATAATATTCACATATTTAAATATTGAATCAGCCACTAGGCTTCTTTAAATGATATGGGAGCCGCTGCTCGATAACCAGTATTGCTCTTACGCGTCTTCCTTCACCCTGAACTTCGATCTTTTTGTAATTTGTATGTCAAGTGTGTATGTTCAGCATGGCGATAAAATAAACTACTGATTACTGATCAAGATAACACATTTTGTTATCACCTTTCAGTAAATATTTATATGGTCATTTTCATTGAAGGTAATATTTAAAATAAATTGTTTTTGTTTCCAGAAATAGAAACAAATGTTCTGGAACACATCAGCAGTAAGAAACTCGATTGATTTCTGTTTTATTAAGCCAGTAGAAATATTTATTCGTTATTAACGTAATTTACTGATATAACATTTGTCTTGTTTTTTAGCAAAGGTAAAGGGCAAAAATATGTCCCTAATATACCCTGATCATTTTTTTTTGTCACGAGGACTGACTTTTTTTCTAAATTATTGTTGTTGAGGTTATTGTCATGAATAAGTCGCTTAAAGACCTACATTTTTTTCGATTTTTATCTTCAGTCTTGTGAGACCAGATATTTACCTAAAAATACGCTGCTCTGCGATCTTCTCTCTTATGTGTGACTTTCGTGTCGATAAATTTGAGCATTGATCCCTTGTTTGGGAGTATTGTAGGGCAGGGGTACTCAACTATTTTAACCGAAGGTCCGTTTAGAAAACTTCAAAATTACTGGGGTCCGGACATTACATAATATTTTTCCATTAAATAAACGAAACGTCAAATAATGGCTCGCAAATATAAACACAAATGTCGCATATTGGTACCAGTACGACAAACTGTATAGCTGTGTATTTAAATTGTATCAAAATCATCTGAAAGTACCTAACGATGCTTATGCTCCCAAAACAAACAAGCAGACGCGGTCCAAATTAAATGGTCGAAAGGTCCGGATTCGGACCACCGTCCGCCAGTTGAGTAGCCCTGTTGTAGGGTATTGGGTAAAGATGTCGATTTCACAACCCCTCTCCCTTACGCGGGGAGGGAATATTGGGGAAATAACTGAATTGACAGGCTTTGAACCTACAGTCTATATTCTATTGTTCTCTCAAATCAGATTTATTTAAAGTTTCTGATACTGGTTTGATTGCCCTTTTCAGCTAAAAGTAGAGACTACGAAGAACAGGTTATCTGTGAGTATGCTAAAATAATATTGTGAATCGAGGAAAATTTGATAACTGCATTCATCAGGGTAATATTTTAATCGACCTCGATTCATGAAACTTGGTTGAAAAAATAGATTGGTTCTGACTCTGATTATCGAGACTGGTTAGGATAATTTTAAAATCGAATCCAACTTCGTTTGAAAAATAATAAATATATATCCTTGCGTAGAAGCTAACTTAACGGCACTAAAACGTTGACTTCATGAAAATTCGCATATAAGCCGATCTTACAAATCGTATTACGCCGTACACACCTATCACAGCTAATGAAAATGATAGTTATGTGCATATAAGCAAAATTTTAGTTTGTTTGAGTGCGACCAGAGTCATGTGCATATAAACCGACCACTTAGTTTAGTAAATTTTTATTTGAGTTCCAAACTTGTCTTATATGTGAGAATATACAGTAAATGATGAAATTTTGTTATTTGCAAGTCTACTTTGATAGACCGTCAGGAACGCTCGGTCGACTTTTATTCAGTTTTTGCGGAAGATTTTGACTCCTATTATCATAATCATCATAATCTGGGTCATCTGTGCCTCAAGTCAATAACTGAGTAAAGCCTCACTGGCAATTACTTGAGTAAAAATCCGAGTTGCTCAATTTATATGACTTCAGTCATTTCGAGTCAATAATTTCGTTAAGTCTCACTGGCAATTACTTGAGTAAAAATCCAAGTTGTTCAATTTATATGACTTCAGTCATTTCGAGTCAATAACTGAGTAAAGTCTCACTGGCAATTACTTGAGTAAAAATCCGAGTTGTTCAATTTATATCACTTCAGTCATTTCGAGTCAATAACTGAGTAAAGTCTCACTGGCAATTACTTGAATAAAAATCCGAGTTGTTCAATTTATATGACTTCAGTCATTTCGAGTCAATAACTGAGTGAAGTCTCACTGGCAATTACTTGAGTAAAAATCCGAGTTGTTCAATTTATATGACTTCAGTCATTTCGAGTCAATAACTGAGTAAAGTCTCACTGGCAATTACTTGAGTAAAAATCCGAGTTGTTCAATTTATATGACTTCAGTCATTTCGAGTCAATAACTGAGTAAAGTCTCACTGGCAATTACTTGAGTAAAAATCCGAGTTGTTCAATTTATATGACTTCAGTCATTTCGAGTCACCGAATAACATGACTCGAATCGAGTCAATTATTTTGAACCTCACCAACACTGCATTTTATTTTTAGCCAAGCTCGATGAGACCTCTACCAAACTCCAAGGTAAAACATCAATAACTCAATTAAAATGAATAGCATTAAATATAGATCTGTATACATCTAAAAGTGCCAGCAAATAGGAAGAAAGGAAACCCTCTCTACTTTCTATTGTGTACTCAACTTTCAATTTAATAGGCATCCGCTATTTATGAGTTAAATATTATGTCAGAATGTCTCTCCAAGTACGCTTTTTCAAGGGAATACATTACTGTATAGAAATTCTGGGCCTTGTTCACAACCTGCCGCTGCATTTCGTGCCAACCATCGTTAGTTCATTGATTATAATTAATGTAATTATGGTTAACAGATAAGATAAATTGAGTAGTGTTTTCTAGTGTTTCCCGATTTTAACTGGTCCTGGCGCTGGTCGTTCGCATAATTGCACATTCCGTTCAGCTTATCTGTTACCCGCCATATTATTTTAAACGAGAACGGTGTTTAGTTTACTCGTATTGAAATTTTTCATGTAATTCTAATATTTATTTTTTATTTTTTACAGAAGTATCGAACAATCTTACGACGGCGTTAGACGGTAAGTTGATATAGAGCTGCTGATTTATTAGTCAAATTACTGAAAGGGTAAATTGTTATGCAAAATACCACCATTCGTATATATGTATATGACTATGCGATTTAAGAGTCTTGCTGCACACTACACTAATGTATTTCTGTAACGTTCCGTCTGACTGGAACCAGACTTCCTCATACAAGCAGTTTACAGCAATGACTAGAAAGTTGTCTGATTTTAGTTAGACAAAACGTTACAGAAATACATTTGTGTTAGTGTGTAGCATGACTCAATTGCATATAGAATGGTAATGTTTATTCTTGCTACAGCATCCTTGCAATATACGTATACGGATCCGCCAAGCAAAAGCAAGAATTGAGAGTTAGTCTCGCTTAACTTCTACTGATAATTGGTATTTGAACCGTTGTACCAAAAATATTCTGATTATGCTGACTGATCACGCTTCGTTAAATTCTGCAATCTAAATCCTCATGATAAAGTCAATTGGCGCTTCATACTAAGCAATAGGGATAAGCTCGCTATCGCACGTCTGATTACGCTACGTGGAACTCATGAGAATATTTTTAATTAATCATTGCAAAGAACTGAATATATCCTGTGTAAATATTATCAAATTGCCAACAAATCCCAGAATTATATATTTTGTTATAGAATACGTCCTCTTAACGAGGAGAAGCATTCGAATACCCAGCGCGAAATATCATAGTCCTGATGCATAAACTACGCCAGTTATGAGCACCATTAAAAAAATGATAGTAATAATCTATCCTAAAGTTGACCAAATTCTGTGTTAATTGCAACAAACACTCCATAACCATCTTTGTTACGGCCAACATTCGAATGCAAATAACAATAAACTGATGAGCATTTTTTGTTGCTATGAATCAAAAAGTGAAAAACAAGGTGATCGAAGACCACAAAAAAATTTGATCGTCGGCAAGAGAAAGATAATGATACATTTCCTTATATATATCAATAAAGAACACATTGCAGTAAAAATGATAAACAATAGTCATAAAATGTAATCGGAAGGGCGGGCAAGACTACATGATCAACGAGGTCGACCGACCCTATGCCACAGTTTTCCAGCACTGCTTCAAATTCAGCAATGTGAATTTTTTTTTCAGCGGCGGTTTTAAACACTGATGAAATGTATGCCAGTAAGTAGCATTTATTTATCATTAAGATTTCATGTTTGTGTCTTGCAGTTGACGTTGTAAGTGAACGATTACGGTTCCAAACCCTGTGCTTTCCATCTGGCTCACCAAGAGGGTAATAACTTGAAAGCATTTTCCTAATTTTTATGCCTTGCAGTAGGTCAGGGTGCGGCGGGGGTTGGATTTGAAGGTAGAAAACCCTTTTTGAAAAGCAGAAAGAAAAAAAAAAGTTTTTCTGCAACGTACAAAGCATTTTTTCGCAGCTTTAAACCTCTTTTTGATCTTCATGACGTTTTCCGATTTTCGGGATAGGTCGTTAGCTGTAATTTTCTAACTCGGCATTTAGAAATTTAATAACCGTTCCCTTTTAAAATGCCCCGCAACTCCCCTGGCCTGGCAGTTTGCTAATGATATTGGCACCTCTATGTTAAATACTCTATTTGCATAGTTTATAATAAATGAATATCAGAACACTTTAACCATTTTACTTAGGATCAGTCGCGGCGGTGTGGCGCATCGTGCTAAGCGTTAGGAATACGCTCGCGGATTGCGAGGAGACATAAATTGGGTTGTAAGATTGAAATTTGAAATGTGAGAATTCTTAAAAGCAAATGAATTCTTTCGTTAAGTCTTATTTCCCTTTCATTTGGAAAGTGAAAAACCTGGTTGACACATTCAAAATAACTGCAATTCAATTCCGACGTGTCCGGAAAGATCGCCGCAGAAAAAATTCGCTGTCGGAAAATTCGCCGCATGAAAATCGCCGCAAGTGAATTTTGCTGTAAAACAAGTATTTGTGATAAAAACAGTCAGGTTGATAGGGTTAGGGTATGATTTTATGAATAATGAATCTCTTTTAAATGAAAAGGTACTTCAAAAACCTGACTGTTTTATCACAGATACATGTTTTACAACAAAATGCTCTTGCGGTCACTTTTCATGAGCGATTTTTCTATGCGGCAAATTTTCTTGCGGCGAATTTTTTTAGAACCCAATTACGGATTTCTCGGGTTTTTGACTATTTTTGTTTTTCAGTTGCAAATACAAATTTCAGTGAAGTGGATAAAGCAATCTCAGGTAAGAAAATTTTGAATACTCATTGTGGTTCTTGAGATATGAGATTATAAAGTTGATGCCTTCTGACACGAAAAACAAGCCGGAAAACCGGGGCACAGAGCGTACTCGAACGAGCCGGAAAACCGGCTTGCCATGTTCAAGCGTGAAAATAAATTGAAAAGCTCAAAGCTGTTTTAAAACACCATGGTACCAAGAATCATCAATCAAATGCTTCATCCGGAGCCCCAGGGCTCCGTGAGAGAAACCTAGAGGGCGTCGCGAGCCATTCGTTCACTTTTCAAAATACTGATTTGGCGAAGTTGCGATATAAACCGTTCAAGCTATTTATGAAAAAAAACCTGTATATCACGTTGAATATTAAATTTTAATTAAACTTGTTTACTTAATTTAGTATAGCGCGATGGCCTTGCGCAGGGGTATGTAACCTTTAATGGAGGGCCAAATACAAATAAATGAGTGAAAACAGGGGCAGCACAAACCGCTCTTTAAACAAGCTAGCTAGCACTGTAAAACAAGTAGGTAATTGTGATAAAAACGGTTAGGTTTTTTAAAATACCTTTTCATTTAAAAAAGATATTGCGGCAATTTCCCATGCTGTCACAAGTACTTGTTTTACAGCAAATTGCTCTTGCGGCGATTTTTTATGCGGCGAATTTTCTTATACGACGAAAGTCCCTGCGGCGAAATTTCCAGGCTCGGCTCCTTGCATATCGTTATACATCAGTGGCTTCTTGTATAGGACTTGTTCGGAGCTATGAGCGTGATTGGGCTTTGCGTGAAAAATTTTTACGTATTTACCTTATAAATGTTATTTGTATTGCAGAGAAGAAAAATGCATTGGTGCTTAAAATAACAAGTATGTATTTTTGACGATTCGCTACTGTATATATCTCACTTCAATGCGACCGCAGTCGAACATTTGCTATAACAATCTTCTTCAAACTTCCCCTGTCCTCCATTTCACTGGCAAGATTCTTCCGTGGTATCCCCGTGTCCTGTTTAAGTTGATCAAAGTATGTACGTCGCTGTCTATCCACGCTTCTTTTCCCATGTTTTGGTTCCCATAGAATCAGTTCATGTACGATTTCTTTCATGTTTCTGTAGCAGTGGCCACTGAATGTAAGGCATTTCTCCTTTATTATGGTTGTGATGCTTGGTAATTTCCCGTATAGTGTTTTGTTTGGAATTTTGTCCTGCCATGTTACTTTTTAAGTACTCTAAGCATTTTTGTGTATGCGCCGTCCAGCTTCTTGCTTGCTGCCTTTGTGAGAGTCCACGTTTCTGATCCATATAAGAGAACATTTTCTACTGCAGCTCTGAAAAATTTTATCTTTAGTTCTAGTTTGTTTCACTGTATATATAATTTATATCAGATTTCTCAAACCTGGTTCTTGCACCCATTCCTCCACTCTCTCTTCTTTCCTTTGGTCACAGGCGGAGATTAATCATTGGTGCTCCCGTAGTATGTGCATCAAGATGACGCACAACCTGAACATAATATGTGTACCAGGTTTAGGTTATCAGGTTATGCGCCATCTTGGTGCATATACTCCGGCAGTGCCGAATTCTTTGCAATGTTCAAGCTTGGAGGTGAAGCTAAACCAGGAGCTGTGTTATTCTATCATTGACCTATCACCTATCCTTTGATCTATTTTGTATTTTATTCAGTTTGGCAGAGGCGTAGCCAGGGTGTGTTTATGGGTCAAAATTCCCTCATCTTTTAAAATGAAAAAAAAGCATTTTTTGTATCATACATATCAATTTCTTCGTAGCTTGAAATGTACTTTTGACTCACAAGGCTCATAGAAACCCTCGTTTGAACCTGCTGGCTGTTACGATCAAATTTGGCAATTAGCATTTCAGAACCCTTCCCTCCCTCCTTTGAAAACATCTGGCAACAATTCTGCATTTCGACATCGCAAATCTAGGGTTCAAATTCCATGAACCCCAGCCGAGGTTTGATAAAGTATGCAGACAATGGCGCACCGGGAAGATTCCGAGCCCCGGCCCATAGGTTTCAGTCCCTTTACACAACTTGATGTAAAGTAAGCGAACAAAATTAGTTCCCTCTAAATTGGTACACACACTTCTGGAGTGCCATAATAATACCTCCTTACATTTTGTTTGATACCAGTAACTGCTTTTTTAAAGCGTAGTTCGGAGCAAAAGCAAAGGAGCAAAAGGAATAAGCATCTCAGAACGAAAAAACTGTCACGTCCCATGACACACCCCCGTTCTCACAACAAACATCTGTCACGCCCCCTGACACACCCCCGTTTTCACAACAAACACCTGACACACCCCCGTTTTTACAACAAACATCTGTCACGCCCCCTGACACACCCCCGTTCTCACAACAAACACCTGTCACGCCCCATGACACACCCCCGTTCTCACAACAAACACCTGCCACGCACCATGACACACTCCCGTTCTCCCAACAAACACCTGTCACGCCCCATGACACACCCCCGTTCTCACAACAAACACCTGTCACGCCCCTTGACACACCCCCGTTCTTACAACAAACCTCTGCCACGCCCCATGACACACCCCCGTTCTCACAACAAACACCTGTCACGCCCCATGACACCCCCCCCCCCCCCGTTCTCACAACAAACACCTGCCACGCACCATGACACACTCCCGTTCTCCCAACAAACACCTGTCACGCCCCATGACACACCCCCGTTCTCACAACAAACCCCTGTCACGCCCCTTGACACACACCCGTTTTTACAACAAACCCCTGTCACGCGCCATGACACACCCCCGTTCTCACAACAAACACCTGTCACGCCCCATGCAACACCCCCGTTCTCACAACAAACACCTGTCACGGTCATTGACAAATCCCCGTTCTCTCTGTCACACCTGTCACACCCCATTCTCACAACAAACACCCCTGTCACGCCCCATGACACATCCCCATTCTCACAACAAACACCTGTCACGCCCCATGCAACACCCCCGTTCTCACAACAAACACCTGTCACGGCCATTGACACACCTCCGTTCTCTCTGTCACACCTGTCACACCCCATTCTCACAACAAACACCCCTGTCACGCCCCATGACACACCCCCGTTCTCACAACAAACACCTGCCACGCCCCTTGACACACCCCCGTTCGTACAACAAACACCTGTCACGCCCCATGACACACCCCCGTTCTCACAACAAACACCTGCCACGCACTATGACACACTCCCGTTCTTACAACAAACCCCTGTCACGCCCCTTGACACACCCCCGTTCTTACAACAAACACCTGTCACGCCCCATGACACACCCCCGTTCTCACAACAAACACCTGTCACGCCCCATGACACACTCCCGTCCTCACATTCTTTATTTACATTTTACAGGTGCGCTGAATAAAACCTTCTCCGGTAAGCAGATTTTTTTATTTATATTGGGTAGGGAGTTTCATATTTATTTTGCGAGAGGAAAGCCGATAAGAAGGTGTAATCACATGGCGAATATAGCCCATTGTCTGGTCACCAGTTTATGTCATGAATGAGGTTTACTAAATTGTTAGTTGTTCTAGATAGATCTGATCAGTGGTCGGATTCAAATGCTTTGTCAGCCGGTTCCATCACAAAAATCATATTTATCGGCCGGTTCTGTTACATGTAATGCTAAGCGGTTCGCTGATCTCATAAAATTTCGTGAGACGGTTCTATAGAACCGGTGCCTGGATCTGACAGGAGGAGGAGCTGTCACCTCATAAAAAAAAATTCTTACAGCCTTGTTGTCTTATTGCTCAACATTCAAAAACCATTTTTTGGCTTCATTATAGCACCTTAAACAGCTTATTCGAATTATTCGATCCGGTTTAACAACATGGCAAAAATTCTCCCATATGGCTCCATTGGTCCACCAAATTTGCCACAAAATGGCGTCCATTAGCATGTTTAACATTGAGTAAGTTGATTGCTTCGTTGTCTAGCCACAAAATGGCGTCCATTAGCATGTTCAAGATTGAGAAAGTTGATTGCTTCGTTGTCTAGCCACAAAATGGCGTCCATTAGCATGTTCAACATTAAGAAAGTTGATTGCTTCGTTGTCTAGCCACAAAATGGCGTCTATTAGCATGTTCAACATTGAGAAAGTTGATTGCCACTCGTGGACTATCTCCAGAGGCGTAGCCTGGCAGGTGGTTTTAGGGGTCGAACCAGTGATAAGCTAGAACAATCGTAACAACCGGAGCGCACCTAATTTGCAAAAATGTAATGTATTTACAACACGACGCGGACGTTTACAGATTTGTCTGTCCTACGATAAAGCCAAATAACTACAATTAAATACGAAGAAATTATCTGAAAGAAGTCGGTGTAAAATTACAAGAATATTCATAACAATTCAATACAAATGTTATTATTAGAAACGTATAGGATAAATTTCCATTGGATCAAAGGTCAGGAAACATCTATTCCACGTCATTTCTCTACTAATTATTTGCGTAATGTGATGTAAAAAAGAATTACGAATTATGATGTAACAAAACATAAATCAATAACTAAGTTTACCAGAGAAACTAGACTTTTTGTACCTTAATTCTATTTCAACAACAGAAACGCAAATGCAATAAAATATCAAACAACCGGAACGCCGTTTCAGTGCGTTCCGGCTACAGTTCACCACTGGGTCGAACCCCTCTCCATTTTGAAATGTAATAAATAAAAGCATCTATCTGTATCATACATATCAATTTTTCGTAGCTTGAAGCGCTTTTTAGACCCCAAGATTCATGAAAACACATCTTTTTCGGCGTTCGGCCGGACCCACTCGCTGTTTCGATCAAACTTGGCAAATAGAAATTTCAGAACCAACCCCCCCGTTTAAAAATTTCTGGCTACGACCCTGACTGTCCCCATCCCCGAACTCACAAGAAAATCAATAATAATGAGGCCTACTGCTGTTACTTTAGATTCAGTCAAATACGAAGCGGCTCAGACGTGCGAAGAAACCCGTTTCGCAACTGCAGTGACAGATAATCCAGATTCCGATGGTGCTGTATATTCAATGTATTTCCCGAGTTCCCCAAAGACTCCGATTCCGGTATTTTGCAGCCTTAAACATGAAGGATGGATGGTAAGTCAGACGCATAAAGTCAAAATTTATTTTTGTGAGGTTACGGGCTTTGATGTGATTTGTGGCGTTATAGAAAAAGGGAAAACTGATAAAAACAAAAAGATAATGATAGGATAGGATTTACATATTTATCCAGGGGAGAGGAAAGCCGATAAGACGGCTTAACCACATGGCAGATCAAGGCATCTAGTCCCGTCACCAGTCCATGCCGGGTATGGGATTAGTTAGTTATTTGTTTCGGAAGCACGGACTTGATATGTTGTTCTCTTTTCACCAAAGTAACCTTCTCAAGTTCTGATCATTCGAGCTAAAGTGTGTTGCTAGAAATTTCAAAAAAAAAATTTGACTGGGTAAGAATGCTATTGTGATAAAGGGGAACCGAGTAGATAAAAATATTTGTACTCTATTATTTTATTTACTTGAAGATGAAGACACCCTTGAAAGTTTAAGAACCTAACTCATTTGAGAAACATTTGTATATAATTTCATTTACAAGCTTTATCACTCAGGTTATAATGCGACTTGAGAACTCCGACACATCGATATTCAATGCTCCTTACGAAGATTATCTGAAGCCAATGGGAAGCATAGATCACGGGAACTATTGGATGGGTAATTTATATTTAAATGATAAATTTAGAACATTAGTTTGCATAATAAATTGACCAAAATAAAACATTCACATTGGTGGATAAGAAATCCTGTTGCATTAGTGACTGAACTTTCTGTGATTTCTCTCTCATTCTCTCGGAGCAAGTAACTATGCAGTCAATTACTGATATGAAGAAGGATGTTATTTTGCTTGATTTAAATCTTCCCAATTTTATCCAACTCCAAATCTTACCCGAGATCTTAACTCTTGATTATGAATATTTATCCAGCATTCATTCTGTTACAGCTTGCTAAACTTAAATTAATTGTTCCTGAATAAGAATACTCCAAGGATTCAAAATGAGTGTCTGGCTTAGTCAGGATATTAATTTTCCAAAGACTGGAATTTTCAGGTTTCAGTGAATCCAAGATCTTAAAGTTTTAATATTTTGGACCTCCTAAAGCAGGGGTGTGCAACAGAAGGGCCAGATACGAATAACTGGGTAAAACCGCGGTCAGCAGCATTATTTAACATAGGCTTTCTAGTAGTTACAGGCACACAAATTTTGCTTATTGATCTTATGACATGTGTTGTTCGTTCGGCACGAGTTCAGGTATCGGCTTTGCAACGCAGAGGAAATGGAATTACTTGCACGTACTAGATTAAATTAAAAACTAAATTAAAATTAAAAACTCGCTTCGCGGGCCGCACACCATTAAAAATTGTGGGCTGCATTTGGCCCGCGGGCCACAGGTTGCACACCCCTGCCCTAAAGTATGCGCGCCAAGATGGCGCACAACCTGAACTCAGGTTTCTACCTGGTTAGAGTTCAGGTTATGCGACATCTTGGTGCGCATACTTCAGGAGTACCTTTTTTATCTAATGAAAAAAAAAAACTGTTTCCCGGCTATTAAGACGCTTTCTTGGACCCAATTTTTGAGCATGAGTTAGGGGAGACCGACTTATTTGGCGGCTATGCCTATTTTGTTTTTGCTTGGGTCACTTTATTTTTCACATGAGTCTTCTCAAACATGATTTGTGAAAACTTTATATTTGGATCGATATATTTTATAATGTATTGAACGTCGAAGCGTCTGCCAATCACTTTATTTAATTTACTTTGTACTGTCAGCTGTTTTGTCTTACTCTTTATAAAAATGTAGTCAGTGCCATCTTTTTAAAATATGCAGGAAATAAAATATTATATTGTTATCAACTCATTGTACGATCATTATATTAATTGTTATATAAAATCATAGAAGAATTTGTCACTAACATCATCCAGATTTTTCGATATTCTCATAATCACAATAAATATTACAATTATTACGGTAATTTTATATTTATCCCGGTGATAAGAAATACGATTAAATAGGGTGTCCATAAAGTTTTAAAAAAAATTTCAATTTCAAAATGAAATTTATCGATATCATATATTGTTTTGGCCCTCACAGATGTAAAAAATGAAGTGAAAATAGGCTATTTGCATAGGAAACCAAGGTGGCAAGAAGTGTTTAAAACTTATATGAGCTGCCCATGCTGTCATAACCGAATTTCAATCAATTTACTTAAGGGATAATTTAATAAAAATTATTCAAGGAATTTGTTGAGGTTGCGATAAAATTTAGCCTGTGCGCGAGGTCTATTGTTTCCCACTTTTGCTTTTGTAAGATTGTAAATATTGTTCATGAAATGTAGCTTTTTACCTCAAACTTACATGGCCCGCCAGTCTAAAAGTGGGCAAAATTTCTGGTCTCTGGTCCAAATACCTTGCCCACCTCAGGTTTAGAATTATCTGAACAGGGGAACGGATAATTTAAGTTGAGATAAATTTTCTTCTTCTTTTCTACAGGTCTTGAAAACATGCACAGCATCACGCAGTCACAAACATATAAGCTCAGAGTTGAGTTAGTATTGGAAAATGGAGACATTAATATACAAGTATTTGAGTAAGTACATTTGTATAGATAGGGTACAAATAGAGATTTTCACATTTGTTTCAATGCGAGATCAGTCTTCTTTACTCCTGAGTGAGTGCATTTTTATTTGTGATTGATTGTTCAAAACTCCTTTACTTTTCAGTGAGGCCGCTAACTTTGCTCAGAGATGAATCTCTTTTACTTATGAGTGTGCTCCTGTAACTTTGTTCAGAGATGAGTCTTCTTTACTTTTAAGTGTGTTCCTGTAACTTTGCTCAGAGATGAGTCTCTTACTTCTGTGTGAGTGTCCGTGACTTTTCTCATAGCTGAGTTTTTTTCAATTTTTCAGTGAGTGCTCATAACTTTGCTCAAAGACGAGTCTCCTATACTTCTGACTGAGTGTGCGTAACTTTGTTCAGAGATGAATCTCTTACTTCTGTGTGAGTGTCCGTGACTATGTCCATAGCTGAGTTTTTTCCTACTTCTGAGTGAATGCTCATAACTTTGCTCAAAGACGAGTCTTCTTTACTTCTGAGTGAGTGTGCGTAACGTTGCTCAAAGATGAGTCTCTTACTTTTGTGTGGATGTTCGTGACTTTGCTCAGAGATGATTCTCCTTTACTTCTGAGTGAGTGTGCGTAACTTTGCTCAAAGATGAGTCTCTTACTTTTGTGTGGGTGTTCGTGACTTTGCTCAGAGATGATTCTCCTTTACTTCTGAGTGAGTGACTGTAACTTTGCTCAGAGATGAGTCTTCTTTAATTCTGAGTGAGGAACCATAACTTTGCTCAGAGATGAATCTCTTTTACTCCTGGGTGAGTTTCTGTAATTTTGCTCAGAGATGAGTCTTCTTTACTTAAGAGTGAGTGGCCATAACTTTGCTCAGAGATGAGCCTTCTTTACTTCTGAGTGAGTGACTGTAACTTTGCTCAGAGATGAGTCTTCTTCACTGCTGAGTGAGTGCTTGTAACTTTGCTCAGAGATGATTCTCTTTTACTCCTGAGTGAGTGCCCGTAACTTTGCTCAGAGATGAGTCTTCTTTACTTCTGAGTGAGTGGCCATAACTTTGCTCGGAGATGAATCTCTTTTACTTCTGAGTGTGTTCCTGTAACTTTGCTCCGATATGAGTCTTTTTTACTTCTGAGTGAGTGGCCATAACTTTGCTCAGAGACGAATCTTTTTTACTTATGAGTGTGTTCCTGTTACTTTGCTCAGATTTGAGTCTTCTTTACTTTTGAGTGAGTCGCCATAACTTTGCTCAGAGATGAACATCTTTTACTTCTGAGTGTGTTCCTGTAACTTTGCTCAGAGATGAGTCTTCTTTACTTCTGAGTAAGTGGCCATAACTTTGCTCAGAGATGAATCTCTTTTATATCTGAGTGTGTTCCTGTAACTTTGCTCAGAGATGAGTCTTCTTTACTTCTGAGTGAAGGGCCATAACTTTGCTCATAGATGAGTCTTCTTTACTTCGGAGTGTGTTCCTGTAACTTTGCTCAGAGATGAGTCTTCTTTACTCCTGAGTGAGTGGCCATAACTTTGGTGAGAGATGAGTGTTTTTTACTTCGGAGTGAGTGTCTGTAACTTTGCTCAGAGATGAGTCTTCTCCAACCTTTGCCTGTGAGCGGTTGGCTAATTCAACTCCGATATTAGTTTTATTTATGTATGAGTGAGTGCAACCAACGTTGTTTTGAGCAAATTTGATTTATCAAATAAAAATAAAACATATTTTTTCTTAAGTCTATTCCGAGTTGGATCGGCATCTACAGATTTCAAAGCAAAAGTTGGGCCAAGAAATGCTGGGGAATCAAATGCCGAGGTACTTGTTTACTATATCCTTGCTCATTGGTTTAAGCCGCGCCCAATTTTTGGAAATTTTCTCTCGTCCAGCCTCAAAAATAAGTAGCTAACAGTAAGCTACAAGTAACTAATAGTAGGGCGAAAGTATTTTTTTCTTCAAAAAACACGTTGAAAATACGTGAATGGAACGTAAATAATGAAATAAAAGAGTTTTAAAAACAAATAAGCCAAGCAAGATGGAATCTAACAAATATTTTTATTTCTAGTTAACTCGACGCCCTCTTAAAAAATGTCTACGTCCCCGTGTAGGGCACGCCCCTCGGTTTGAGAACCACTGGTTTCAAGTGACACCCGAATCATTGACTTGACTTGACTCAAATGAATGTTATGACTCGTCATCAGCTTTTGACACTTGCTCACAACATAGAGTCCGGTAAATCTGAACTTAACTTTTAGTCCGGGGGCTTCTATCTAGCAGTGTGGCTGAGACCCTGTGCTCATCACTCGTTATAGAACAACGCTTGCTTGCGCGGTCGTAGCGTATCTACCTATAACGGCGCCCGTGGCAAAGTTTAAAAATGCGCTCCCTTGATCGCTGAGCGACTATTTTTAACGACAGTTGGTAAATTGAGATACTTATACATTATTATTTAGGTGAAAATACGAGTTTTCTTTATTTACAATCAGAAATTATTTTAATGAAATATTCTACGATTAAACGTTTTTGTGCCCCCATGCAAACAGCGCCCGTTGCATGAGCCATTGCTGCCATACAATAAGTAGGCCTCGGTCCAGAGTCAGATAAGCCATGACTGGCCCTACTCTCGATTCAGGGGCTTCTGCCCAACAGTGTGTGTTGTTCAGAATCAGTGTTCATCAAACAGGATAATGCTGTGGTGAGAATTGTGAAATTTTTTTATTTCCCTCTTGTACATGAAAAAAATAATTTTGTGTGGCACAGCTAGAAGTCTGAAGTTGGTTATATAAAAAAAATGTTGCACACTCCTGGACTAAGTTGTCTGATAGGCAATCATTTCCCTGAGATAAATATAAAAATTCAAACTTACTGCGTATATAAGTTATTTATGAAACTAGCTCTAAAGCTTTGAAGATTTAAACTTCAAAGTATTTTTCAACATCGGGATATGGGCCGGGTGTGGCTCAACTCTTAGAGGTGGAAGGTCAACACTTTATTTATACTTTCAAACAAACTGGAATGAACCCAATTTCAACTTTTTAAATGGAGCGAAGCCCAATGTAACATCCTAGAGCAGGGGTCGGCAACCTACGGCCCGCGGAGCACTATAATCTGGCCCGCGACGTTTCACTAAATTATAGTAACAAAACATCCGTTGTGACGAATATATTCTTTAGACCAAATTATATTATAACCTAACAATTATATATTTCCCAATTACTCGTTTAATGAGCATATAATTTAATTAAAATTAAGCAAATGGCAACAAAACGCAGAAAAGTTGATGCTAAGTGCAAAGGGTTCAATGGCGCTGAAAATATTCAAATGGAATTTTATGAGATGCAATGAGGAAATAAATCTATATTCTATTTGTGAGATGTATCACTGCTTGATTTTTGTTTTGAAAAGTACCATCCGTTCGGTTTTTCAAGTTTCTAAAAATATGTGCGGCCCGTCAATGACTTGCAACCTTAATTTTGGCCCGCGGGCGACAAAAGGTTGCCGACCCCTGTTCTAGAGGCTCGAGGAATATTTTTAACCGTTGAATTGTATAAACTATAAAAATATAGAGTGTCTAGAACAGGGTGGTCCAAACTCAGGCCCGCGGGCCACATGTGGCCCGCCGCTTCATCATCTGTGGCCCGCGTCGCATTCGGAAAGGAATCAAAAAATCGCATTTTGCGTTGTTTCGTCATAAAATCAATCAAAAAATCTTTTGACATTCTGTTGCATCACTAATTTCACTGAATTGACTAGTGTTATGGCTAGCTGAGGCAACTTGGCACTATTGTGGCCCGCGAACAATGCAAAAGTAATTTTGTGGCCCGCGGAGCTGCCAATCTTGGACCACCCTGGTCTAGAATCAAAGAGAGTTATATAGAGCTAGCTATATTATATAGAGAGAGAGTTGAAATATATTGAGAACTGACTTCATAACAAAATTGAAGTTGTAAAGGAACTTTATACCCTATATATATACCCTATACATATAACACCCTATATATCAGGGATTCCCAAACCGCGGCCCGCGGGCCAAATACGGCCCGCGTAACGATTTAAAATGGCCCGCCGAGCTTACGTGAAATAGTGTTCAACAGATTTTATTTCTACCTTTTTGCGATCTAGTTACCGCTAATTTATGTCATTATCAGTGTTCAAGCACGTGTTTCAATTATACCAGTATATCAATTATAGGTACCGGTGTTAGGATAACATAGGCCTAATATTTAGTTATATGCAGCCATATAGGAAAGCTTAAAGATGTCAGAAATCAAACAAAAACTAGATTTAGAAAACTAACGTTTCCTGGATTAATGGCAGTGTTCGTATTTCTCCATTGAAAAGTATCAAACTTTAGAGATTTGTCTTCTTTGCCAACGAACTTTTCCAGTTCTGAAGGAATACAACATTAAGCGCCATTATGAGTCAAACAAACATGTTTCAAAAAAATGTCAAATGAAAGTGAATCCTCTTTTGGGCGCTACATTCTTCCGGTCCGCGAACATCTTTCCGATTCTAATAAAGTTTGGTAACCCCTGCTATATATATAGAAGCAAACTCGATACTGACATAACAAAATCATTTTTAAATTGTAGCAAGTATCGGCAAACCTAATTGATTCGATTTTATTAATAAAAACTCTCGGATATGAATGTGGTACCCTAGGACAGGGCTACTCAACTGGCGGACCGCGGTCCGAATCCGGACCTTTTGAGTGCGAGATTCGGACCGCACCCAATTCTTTATTTTAGATCATAAGCCCCACTTTTGAAATTTCCTTTTATAAGATGACTTTTATAGTTTTGAATATATATGAAAAGAACTATAACACCATAATAAGCAATTTCGATTAGCTAATAATCATTAGCCGGTCGAGTTAAGGATGCCTAAATATATATTCTGAAAAGACCGGACCCAAATAATTTTTGAAGTTTTGTATGCGGATCTTCGGTAAATATAGTTGAGTAGCCCTGCCCTAGGACGTCGCAGAACGTTGGTTAAAAACCACTGGGATAATTATTATATTTGTCTAGCCAGTGATTCTCAAACGGTGGCGCGTGTCCCACAAGGGGGCATATTTGAGGGGCCGTGACGCTAATAAAAATATTTGTTAAATTTGTTCTTTCCCGCCCTGTTTGGGATATTTACATTTCTATATTTTGAATTTTCACGTTCCATCAACGTATTTTCAATGGGTTTACTGAATAAAACATACTACTTACTTGATATCCGGTATTTGTAGCGTATTGTTAGTTAGTTATATAAGGAAAGATTAGTAATTTGGACGTACATTTATATATATATACATAGAAAAAGGCTGATTATTAGTATTGACGAAATTAAAGATGATCCGTTAACTAATTCGGACGATGACAAACCTAAATTTAGTTTAATTGCGGTTCGTATTCCCAGTAATACTAAGCTTAACTTTTGGTACCAGTCATGATTATCCGAGCATTGCCATATAAGAGAAGCTTTCAATTGCCTAATTGGACGTTCGGCAGTCGCGTTGCTACAGTTATTTCTGAGATGGGGAGCGAGACTTGACGACAAATTCTACAAAGAAGGCGTGTCTTAAAAAGTTTCAGAGCCATTGAAATAGATTAAGTTTGAAACATTTTTTAAACATTATCACATCTCACTCTTATTTTTTTCTTCATATTTTAGATTGAAATGTATAAACGCATTACGGACATCAATGGAAAAACTTTCTCTACTTACGACAGAGGAACACACCAAGCTTGTGCCGTAATTGGGGGTGCTGGATGGTGGTAAGCAATTATCGTTGTTGATATTAAGTTTTTACAGTGTTGGATCAAAATGCCTACTCTAAAAAACGAAGGTGCATGTATTTGTACGTTTTGGACGTTTTTATTTTCGTTTTTAGTAGATTTTTGCACGTCTTAGTGATTTTTCAACAATATTATTCGTATTTAGTAAATTTTGCTTGTTTTAGGGAGTCTTTTTCATAGTTTTTAGACGGTTTTAGTGCTTTGTAACCATATAACAAATATACATATTTTCTGTGACCCTGTGTATGACAACCCCAGTAAATGTCAACTGACAAGAATCACTTTTAATTTTCATTTCAACACAGGTATCACACCAGAGGTAGAGCATACTGCCAGGAGGTCAAACTTACCGGGGTATACTACGACTCAGCGGCCGCACATTCAGGAAATAAGGATGGGATAATTGTAGGCGACAGTAAGTAAAAGATTTTTATCATAATCACTAGGACAGCGGTTCCAGAACTATGGGTCGCGACCCACTGGTGGGTCGCAAGAGGAATCTCAGTGGGTCGTGAAAAGCTTTGAATAATTATATTGGTTATTAGGATCGGTGGCAAAGCAAATTTATAAGCAAATTTCGAAATAAAATGCAACTTTTCAATTTTTTACCTCTAAAACTATCAGAAATTGAAGTTAATGTCAAGTCTATTATGGAAAATAGCAAGAAACAATCTCATCTTTCTCACTAGCTTCACTGAGAAAATTAATTTGTTTCCTCCATCAATGTGTTATTAATTTATTAAAGTTAAATGGGTCGCCATAAGCTGTGGTAAAAAATAGTGGGTCCCAACTCTAAAAAGTTTGGGAACCACTGCACTAGGGGATTAGCGCATCTTGCTAAGCCAGGGTGTGCAACGAACCAATTGCGGTCCTCGAAGAAATGTTGTGTGGCCTGCGAAGAAGTGCCATATTTGAATCATGTGCGGCTCGCAAAACAAGTTTTTAATTTCATTTGGTGCGTGTGAGTAATTCCAACCCCTCTGCGTTGAGAAGCCTATAGCTGGGTCTAATTTTTTATCTATGCCAATGACTTTACAATGCTTACAACTATCATGTGCAAACAACGCATGTCACAAGATCAACAACCAAAATTTTTGTGCCTGCGACTACTAGATAGCCTATGTTATATAATGGTGCATCCCGCGGGTTCACTAGCCTAGGAAACAACTTGTTTTTACCACCGTTCTTATTACTTATCGATTTTAATCGGTAAATATGTTGATAGGTATTTGTCTGTTTGTCTGTTAGATGCACGCGATATCTCACGAAAGCAAAATTGAATCTGCTCCAGATTTTGCATGTGCATTCATCATATGTCGGACCAGAAGCCTATCGATTTTGGATGAATTATGTCGTTCAATTAGCGAGTTATTTTTTAATTAGTGATTGGACACAAGGTGTCACTATAGAGTAAGAACGCTGTTTTGGGGAATCTCCTAACTTCCGATCGATAAGTCTTCGGTCTCTGACCGATATTCTCGTTTTCATTTTGTGGCAATATGAGAGCATTGGTTATAGCGCGTGAACAAATTACGCTCTGTAAGTCGGATCCGACCCACCAGAGTGTTTCGTGTCTGCTGAAATCACGACTATAATTTTTTATAAATATATATTTCTGTTAAAAATATCGACGAAAATAACGTTGTAATAACCTAGATTGTTACATTGTGCTTCTTATTATTATATAAACGTTAGCCTAGCTGTTGTAAATAAACTGTTTCATATTCATAGTTTTTTATATCGAGCTTTGAGCCTCTGGCCCAATAACCAAGTTTATTATCTGTAACTGGCCCACACAGAAAAATAATTGTCCACTCTTACTATAGCGGAATATCAATATAAAACGTTTTTGAGAAGGTAAATTTTATTTTTATTCTTACAGTTGCAAACTATTATAAGCGTGCTGAGATGGCGATCAAGTATGCATGTGAGTATTGGCGTTTCTTTTCCCGTTTCTTGTGAGATATCTTTTATTTTTGCTTCGAAAAAGGCTTTAGGCAAGAAGACTCTTATACCTATTATGCTAATACTTGTGGAAAATACTGAGGCTACCTGCAAGCGTACCAATTTTTATTTTTTTTTTCAGATAAAAGTGCAAAAAAAAAAAATAGGTTAGATATGCGTCTTTCAGTGGTCTACTTCATAATAGCTCAGAGATGAGTAAACTATTCGAATTGTTTTAGACGGAAATTCCGAATCGCCACCATCTTTTGTTTTTTTCGTCATGACCAGAGGTCGATGGGAATCCCCCCAAGTTTTTTTTTTCATTCTAATCAAAAAAAAGCAATTCTGACGTATGACTCACTTCTTCCGAGTGAGTTTACTCATGGCTTTTTGAAAGCGTATTCTAGAGTTCTTTTCCGCAAGTTACATACGATGCGACCTTATGTCCAAAAATTGGTACTCCCGAAGTATGGGAACCAAGATGGCGGACACCGGAACGTAGTATGTGTACCAGGTTAGACCATAACCCTATCCCAATTTTCCTTATTTTAGTTCCATTACGAGTTCGGAGACTAGCCAGGTGACTCCAGTTGTATTTGTATCTGTAATTATGGCCTAGCCCTAACCTGGTACATATATACGTTCCGGTGTCGCCCATCTTGGTTCCCATACTTCGGGAGTACCCAAAATGTCTAAAAAATTTGAACTTGAGTGATGTGTCTGGTAGAGGGTAAGCACTAATTATAGGTAATTTATTCAATCAATATTTTATTTATTTTTAAGATTCCGAAAAGGCCTAGGATGATTAACACAACTTTTAGCTGGAATATTGGATGTCAACGAAGACGACTGAAACTTGAAATATTGAAACTCTTTAATTTATTTTTTCTCTCACCAGAAGACATATTAACAATTAGGTTACTTTATTTGCAACTAATTTTTGGAAACACAACAATTCAAATTATATTGGGAGGTAACAGGCTCTAGCAGGCCTTTCTTTACCTGATACTTTGTTTCTTTCTAGTCCAATGGTTCAAAACTTTTAAAGCAGGGCCCTTCTTTAGAATTTGTCAAGACAGATAATAGGCGAAAGGGTGCTCCCGAAGTATGCGAACCAAGATGGCGGACATCGGAACGTAACATGGGTAATAGGTTAGGGTTAGGCGATAATTTTTTTCCAATTTCCCTCATTTTAGTCCTATTATCAGTTCGAAGACTAGCCAAAAGCCACCCGTAGTATTTATACCTAAAATTAAGGCCTAACCCTAACCTAGTACACATATTACATTCATATGTCCGCCATCTTGGTTCGCATACTTTGGGAGCCCCGGCGAAAGTATGTTTATTCGAAAAACACGTTGAATATACGTGGATGAAAATTAAATATCCAAAACAGGGCGAGCGAGTTCAAATCTAACAAATATTTTTATTTTTATGAGCTTCACGCTTCCTCAAAACATCGTCTACCCCTTTACCCCTTGTGGGGAGCGTTCATTAAAGTTATTTTTGTGTTTTGTGTATCTATGGTAACTTAGTGCAATGTCAGTAAAATAAATGTCTATGTATTGTATATATAAACTGTTTCTTATGTTTACACTCGAGACGAAATTTGGCATTACGTAGAAACGGTAGTCTTGGCGGCGTGGCGCATCGTTCTAAGCGTTAGGAATACACTCGCCACCGCACCTCTGATCACCCCGCGTGGGTTCGCAGGTTCGAAACCTATGCAATTCTAACATATAACTCACTTCTTCCAAGTGAGTTATTAATAAAACATGTCACTTACTGAGTGTGGACGCTCAGCGAACTGTCTGAGTGATGGATTGCGTGTTTCCACTAATTTATGTGTCTTGAGGACTACTTACTGCTTACAACAATCAATACTATGACATATCTTCCAAGTATTCGAGATCCGATTTGATTCGAAGATTAAATTCTGAAAAAACAGATATCTAAAAATGCCCAGCCTTGCATGTAGCTTTGCTTAGAGATGAGTCTCTTTTCTCTATGAGTGATTCCAACACCATAAACCTACATAGTTTTAGTAAATTCCATAAACTTGACGCTGTCTTACTGAGTTTTAACTCTAACAGGCCTTTTCCTGATGTTTTGTTACTTCTTGTCCAATGGTTCTCGAACTTTTCAAACAGTGCTCCTCTTTAGGATTTGTCAAACTCCTCACCCGGCGTTAAAACAACAGATAGTAAGAAGTATGTTTTATTCAAAAAACACGTTGAATATAAGCTACGTGAATGGGAATTAATATCCAAAACAAGGCGGGCAAGATCAAATCTAACAAATATTTTCCTTTTTAAATAGCTCCCCCCCCCCTTAAAATATTGTCTACGCCCTCTTGTGGGGCGCATCCCCCCGTTTGAGAAACACTGCTCTAGTCATTTACAGAGAAGGTTGGTTTACATATATTGTATTTCCCTAATTTGGCAAATCCAATTAATAAGTCTCCATGTTCAATGAAAAAGCTATTATTTTTGTTTTTGTGTATGTGTAATTTAGTGCAATGTCGGTAAAATAAATGTCCATGTATTATGTATATATAAACTGCTATTTACGGTGAACGTACATTTGAACCCATGTGTGTACCCGCGGGTTCAATCTATATGCGGGTGCTAAAACCCATGGGTTAGGATTAGTATGGGTTCAAATATCCGTAAAACAAAAAAAATCCCATAGGTGCAATAGTATGCAGGTGCAATTGTCGTGGGTTCAAATGTACACGGGTTCAAATGTAATAGAAATGTTTTTTACGTTTGCACTGAAGACGAGAGAAAAGATAGCATCGTAGGAACGTTTAGAATGTGTTTTTGTTGGGGTTACTTTACGTCGATTACCAGCACGCCTGGGCAATGGGGGAAACAAGTTTTTTCAAAGAGTTTGGTATTGACTTTGGACTGTCTTGGCTAACAGGTTATGCCAGACCTTATTACTTATCGATTTTAATCGGTAAGTATGTTGATAGGTATTTGTCTGTCTGTTAGATGCACGCGATATCTCACGAAAGCGAGATTGGATCTGCTGCAGATTTTACATGTGTATTCATCATATCTCGTACCAGAAGCCTACTGATTTTGGGCGAATTATCAATTAATTAGTGATAGGACACAAGGTGTCACTATGGAGTAAGAGCGCTGTTTTGGGGGATCCCCTAACTTCCGATCGATATGTCTTCGGCCTCTGACCGATATTCTCGTTTAAAGTTATTGAGAATTTAGCAAATGGAAATCGAGCTTTTAAGTGGAAGATAGCATCGTAGGAACGTAAATAACAATAGACTCTAGGCCTGACCAAAATTTTGGCGGACCACCTTTATACAAACGAACTAATCTAATGTAATAAATTATATGCGCTAGAAAACAAAGGTGATACTATTCACGTAACGTATTTCTTACGTTAAACCCACTTCGATCTTTCGTTTTTGTAATTGCTATTTTAAAAACCAAACCTCACATAAAGATAACAATGGCATTGTACGTTTCCATGTCACCTTTCTGCGGACCGGTAGTGACCTTTACCACTGGTTGCCCACCACTGCTCTAGGCTTGGAAGTCTGAACCCCAGCTTTTAAACTTACATATAATTGCCAAAATCCAATTTCAATATGCTACCGATCCCACTTTTCAAATATCGATTCAAATCCGCATGTAATGATATGATTGGTCAGATTTTAATAAAGAAAACAACCTCAATAAGCAACAGTGTTTGTTGTAACATGGTGCACAGTGAACCACAAAAATAACACAGGAAAAACATAACACAAACCAAGAAGCATTTTGCATGAGGCAACTAAAGGAATCATCAAGAAACACGAATCACTAAAATGACGATAAAAAAAAATTATAAACCGGAAAATATGGTTTTGTGAATTGTAATACTTTTCAATGAGCCATGTTTACAACAAATCAAGTTTTAGAAGATTGGAAAAATATGAACATGATTGGAAATGATAGAAAAGAACAGAATGAATGAAATCATTTCAATGAAACAATGAAATCAAAAAACTTCCGATTTACAGCTATAACGTCGCAGGGTAAAAAAACTGAAGAATTCGGAACAAAAAATCTGAAGCAGACTAAAATAAGATTCTCAGTCTTTCAATGCGACACAGCTTTTCCAGCTTAAAGTCCCAGATAACAGATCCGTAGAAAAAGTAAAGCATAATTGTAAATCGCACAGCACCCTAACAACAACACGATGAAACGAAACAAAATAAATTTGGAATAGGGTTTGCAAACTGTCATACGATATAGCTACTTCAGCATAAGTCTCACCGTTCCATAACAGATTCACAGTACAAGGAGCATGGAATAGCAATAAAAAACGGAAACAAAATCAATTGAATTGAATTGCAGCAATAACATGGAAAGATGTAATAAAACAAGCAAAATTCAAAACAAAATATTACCATGGGAGCAGAATAGAAGTCTGCAACCTGTTTTATGACATATCTTCTCGAGTCCAAGTCCCTGTCTCTCTCATTACACTCAAATTTACGGCACAAGAAACATGCAACATAGGATGAGCAGAAAAAGTGGAACATGGTTTGCAATGGAATGAATAATAAAATGACTGAATTCAACATAATGTGTTGCAACCTGTCGTATGACGTAAAAAAAAAGAAGAAAATAGAGAACACGATTGGTAATGGAACCATAGGCATAATAAACAAAAAATATGAGATATTTGATGCGTAGATAAAAAAAAACATGATTGGAAATTTAATTTATCATATTTTCATTCGTCACTAAATCAGTAAATCAGTCTCCCTGAAAATGCAGTGAATAGCTGAGCCTGCCATCAAAGCAAAGTAGTACTTATAGCAATGAAAGCCCATCAAGCCGTAATATTATGAAATTATGAATATAATCTCCCTTGGAAATGCAGTGAATAGTTGAACTATCATTGTATTATAGCAATTATCACAGCCTCGAGATCACAAGCTTAGTACTTGCGAAATTAAACTTATGTTTTACACAGGAAATATAATGGAAATTGCTTATTTCATTTTGATTCTGATTTAATGCTTTTTGTCATTGTCGACTGGTTTCCATTCTCATCATAGACTCTGATTGGTGAAGTTCCGATTGATGTTACAGCAGGGCCTGCTCTAATTGGTGGAGAAGGAGGCGGAGAATTGAAAGGGGTGGGGCAAGTAAGAGTGGATACATCGTAAACTGTAGGTTTGAACATTGATTCTTTCAATTGTTGACGCTTCTTTTTGCTGGATTTCCCAAATAAGTGGTGATCTGTAATGAAGATTAATGTGTAATTGGTGAGACGACCTAACCCAGTTGTAAAAGCTTTGGACTGCGGCAGCATCTATTCTGCTCAAATGAAGCCACGATTCCAAAAACTCACTAATGGCAAACATGCACAGTTTTCTCATTTTGAAGTAAATTTTTGGGAAAATAAATGTTACGGTACATAAAAATGATTTTTTTTTATATTAGTCATTTAATTTTGCGGTCATATGTATTTGAGCATGTCCAAGGGTCGTGATATTTTACAAAATTTACTTGAACTTGAAAAAAGGTTTGGAACACTGTTCTATAATAAATGATGAATAGTGTCTAACTTGAGTCTCCCCAATGCTGCATTAGGACAATTAATTGGTTGCTATCTTCACAGCTGACCTGGAATGGTGACCATATGAATACACAACCGATGATGTGTCCATGTTGAAGAAGCAGAAAGCAAAACTGGTCACATACATTTCAACCAGTGTACTTTTAGGACCACGAGGTGGCACAAAACGTTTTGAGTTATGAGTTTGAATGTTGTTTACAAATATTAATAATGTATGAATAAATGGGGATTTATAGGCATATCGGAAGAGCTGAAGTCGCGTCGATGCTGGGAGTTTATCGTTGTATGTCGCTACTGGTGGTGATGAAATATCCATAAGGTTAAAACAATTTGTTACTTACTTTTTCCTTTGATATCTTTCATGAACTGGCAATTCTTATCTTGACAAAACGAATGCGTAGCGTGAAATTTTTTCTTCTCTGTAACGCTTCCTTTACCACTAGGTGTCTTGTTGAGTTCAGTAGGGGGTGAGAATAACACATGCCCCAATGTTTCCTCAAAAAGCCCATCACGATCATGTTTTTGTCGTTTAGCACGTCTTCGAATCGCGACAGAGCGTGCGAGAGCGTACGACAGCAACCCGAGTAATGTTAGAAGAGATATATTTGCAGCTATCAGCATTATAGGCAGTATCAAACGTTTGGTCGAATTGGATCGGTCTGATTTTTTGTCTGTAAAAATGGGGGACATAATGAGTCATCAGAATGCCGGGAGTTTAATAGAATAATGCAGCCTTTCACAAAATGGGCACTCGGACCCTCTGGAGGGCCACGGAGAAGTTCTCCGCAGGCCACAAGCAAAGACCTACAATAAATACCGTATATGATTGGAGTGTGAAATTAATTTCAAAATCTAGTGATTACACACAATAACAATGCGCTTTCCCAGAAAAGATGAAAGGATATAAACGGTGTTCAAAAAGTCTTATAATAAATGAGAAAAAAAATACAACTAATGGTGGCATATCGAGCTAAGCGCTAGGAATACGCTCACCACCGACTGCACCACCATAGGGTGATTTACAAAACCACTGTTCGGTTACGGCTATCTTCACAACCAAGTCCATGCATCTGAAAAACAGATAACTGGTTAACTAATCCCATACCCTACTGGTAACCTGCCTTATCAGCTTTCCTCTCCCCGGGATAAATATGTAAATTCTATCCTATGACTTAGTCCAATGAATTGAGCCTTCACAACACTGGTAACTTAAGTCATACATATAATCCAAGCTCACCCTGTGTTTTCCTAGTCTTTGGTTGATCAGGGTTGTCAACATTAGTTTCTAGAAAAGATTTATGATGAATGAGTTGGAATGCTGTATGGAATAATTAGGTACAAGAGAATTGCTGATTTCTGCATAATCAAATCCGATTACAGTCGTTTGTGGCTTCCTCGACACTCCACAGTCTAGTAAACTGCTTGACATCTTTTCATACCTAGTTTAGAAAATGGCCGAATGAGAAGCCATACGACTGGGCCATTTTTTAGGTTTTCCTTTCTTGCAATATGAATATGGAAAACATTATTCTCATTCATTAAGCTGAATCAGCGTCGTAGGTGTCGCTGCTCGAAGACCTTTAAGGTCCCTCGCGATTCCTGTCACACATTTAAAATTCGTCACTTTTTTTGTTTGCTTTATATTCTGCTATATTTTCGTGATATAATTAAATTGTGTTGACAAATAAATGATGATTGGTTGAATGATTCTGAACCTCAAATATAACATCAATACTTACCATCCGTTTTTCTCACAACTTGTACTTCGGACTTGATAATTTTGACTTCTAAAAAAATTTAAAAATGACGTTGAAGTTCGAAAAGTGTTACAAATATTATAAACCATTAAAGAAATGTTAAAAGGCAAGCTCACCGATTGAAATGTTTGTATTTGCGCACCTTAACTCCAAACGAGGCTATTTTTGGTAATATCCATAAGAAATATTGTATGTCGCTTTTCTTGCAGTCTTACCAAAAATAGTAAGTTTGCATATTCAGTGGATGTTTGGCTAGAGTAGTGGTTTCCAATCTTTTATGGATCGTGGCCACCTTTTGAAGGCGTTTAGCACTCATAAAGCCCATGTTTATCATTTCAGTGGTATTTATAGTGTTATTTTGATTTGTAGATTCCAAATCCCATTATGTCCAAACAATTCATGCTCAGCAAAGTAAAATAACCTTATCAAGCAATGAAACCAGGAAGAATGGAAAGTTTTCTTGTCAAGGTAAAATTAAAATCACTTTGTGCCTGGCAATATGGCCCTCTGTGGCCCTTTTGAATGGTCCTGGGCCCCCATTTTGGACCACTGGTCTAGAGCCTTTCTCTACATTACCTTAAACATAGAATATAACCAACTATGAGTTGAAAATTAAATTAGTGTAAATTAGCCTGTCTAAAGTCTTGTTCTGACCTTTCTCCACTTTATTCTTCTTAATCGTCACAGGTTGGATGGCAGTGATAGGTCCACTACTCATTCTTGTTACTTGAACGTTCCCCGGACGAAAAAAGATTTGATTTTCCCCAAGAGATTCTGTTTCATTGAGTGAAGCACGCTTCTTACGATTTGTTGGACACTGAAAATTAAATGTAAAAAATTGAGAAGATCAGCATGTGAGACCTGGGACCAATTAGATGTGACATTTTGGTGGATTTGTAGGTTTGAATCCCACGTGGGGATAACTACCGTATGTCTGAGAGAATTGCTGGATTCCTCACCACCGGAGGGTGGTTCATGTAACTGCTAGACCAGGGGTTCCCAAGCTTTTTTCAGGACGACCCCAAAGACAACTTTCAAGTGTCCAGTGCGACCCTCAGGAAATATATATATTTTTCATGAAACTTTATAGCTTCTTTCACAGGACTTTCAAGTTTGTTCATGTGGTGGTATTAAGTAAAATAAGCTAAAACCAAACAGTGATGTCACACTAAGCGCCTACATTTTCGATAGTATAAGCATAGAGCGATGCCTATGGACCTGTTTTACAGTAAGCCATGGCACAAACTGCGACCTTATCTACGTATCACTCCGACCCAATTGGGGGTCGCGACCCCTGGTTTGGGAACACCTGTGCTAGACGCTTACTGCTTTCTCCACCATAATGCATCACCCATGCTTCCGAAACCAAATAGCAGGCTAGCTAATCCCATACCCGACATGGAATGGTAACTGGACGAGACGCCGTGGTTCACCATATGGAGGATCCAAGACTCATCTAACATGGTAAGCTTGCCTCAAGATACGACTACAGCTCCAAAGATCTTTTGGACAATCGTTTCGGACTGCTGATACAGCATATCAGATAAAACATCCTTGCAATATGTGTATACGGATTTAACGGCACAAAAGCATAGGAGAAGGATAAGTAGTTAGTCTCATAAAAACCTAATCGATAGCACAAATACAGTGATACCTCGGTAATCTAACATAATTCGTTTGGGATCGCTGTTCGACTACCGATTTGTTTGAGTAACGAAACTTTTTTTGCAATAAGAAGCAATAGTAATTATTTTGTTTACCTATCGAGTCATTGAGTATCAAGTCGTTTGACTAGGGTAGGATTTACATATTTATCTCGGGGAAAAGGAAAGCCGATAAGACGGCTTAATTATATGGCAAACCACGGCCTCTCGTTTGGTTACCAGTCCATGTCAAGTATGATATTAGTTGGACATTCTTTGTTTGCATAAGCATGGACTTGATGAATGAGGAAGTCGTAATCGACCAGCGATTACAAAGAATCCAGCAATCCTCTTGTACATAACTTTCCCCCACAGGGATTCAAACCTGCGAACCCAGGCAGACTACCTAGGTATCAATATGAATTGGACACTAAAAATAAAACTTACATTTGGTTCGCAGATTCTCTCACAAACGACAATATCACAATCAATGAACAATGAAGCCCCCAATCCATGAAAGTGCACCATTTGGAAATAAAAAGTGCTAACGCGAGATACTCCATTACTTAGGATTCCATGTTTGAGATTGATTATGGAAGGACATCTGAAATGTGGAATTTCAATAATATCATTCAAGGAATTAGATTAAAAGCTTCGTTCATTTTTTATTAAACAGAACTTACTCAACGCACTCACTTAGGAGTGAAAGGGACTCCTATCTCTCCAAGTACAGTTGACATTGGTGAGTAATGTAAAAGTTTTGTAATATCATTTAGGAATGAGCTAGAAATCTTCATTTTTATTTGGGTTTTTATTAAATAGATTTGCTCAAAGCAATGTCACACTCATACACTGAGAGATTTATCCATTAGCAAAACTTCGAGTGGTACTGAAGCTATACACAGGGTGTCCATAACGTCCCTTAACAATTTCAATTTTGTTATGAAATCAGTTCTCAATATATCTTAACCAGGTTTGTTGTTTTTTAATCAGTAACTGTTCAAGTATTTTTATTTCACTTACAGTAATACATCTGAGGGGGCCAAAACAATATATGATATCGATAAATCTCCTTTTCAATCTAAAAAAATTTATGGAAACCCTAAATAAACGTGGTGGTCATCAAATGGCCGTGAATACTATTTATGCGAGCCTTCAAGCAGTTCACCACATCAAGGAAGTAATAAATTGGACAAATTGGGAAAATTTATGGTTCTTTCAAAATATAGCAGTCGCTTACTTAGCAGTGGATGCTATTACAGAACCCTGTTCCAAATAAAAAACATATAAAGCAGGGGTCGGCAACCTTTTGTTGCTCGCGGGTAGGGCTGGGCATTTTCGAATACCTGATGATTTCAGAATCGAATCGAATATTTTTTTCGAATCGAATCGAATCTCGAATACTTGGGAGATATATAATTGTATGTAACTGTCTTCTTGTATTTGGTCCTCCAGACACATAAATTACTAGAAACGTAAAATATATCACTCAGACAGATTGCTGAGCGTTCACACACAATAAAAAATACGTTTTCATCAATAACTCACCACAGAAATGAGTCATATGTCAGAATTGCGTTGAAAAATATGACTTCCATAAAAAAAAATTAGAAATTTACCTCGACAATTGGCGGAAAGGAAAAAAACAAGATGGCGGCGATTCGAAATTTCGCTTTGAACCGATTCGAATAATTTACTATTCGATTCGATTCGAATATTCGATTCGAAATGCCCAGCCCTACTCGCGGGCCAAAATTAAGGGTTGCACATATTTTAGAAAGTAGAAAACCAAACGGATGATACTTTTATAATAAAAATCAAGCAGTGATACATCTCTCAAATAGAATATAAATTCATTTCCTCATTGAATTTCATTTCAAAAAATTCAATTTTAATATTTTCGGCGCCATTGAACCATTTGCACTTAGCAGTTGCCATTTTTCTTATTAAAATTAAATTATGGCTCAAAAAAAAAGAAAACATATGTTGCCAACCCCTGATATAAAGCAACGAATAAACGAGAATATTGGTCAGAGACTGAAGACTTATCGATTGAAAGTTAGGGGATCCCACAAAACAGCGCTTTACTCCATAGTGACACCTTGTGTCCCATCAGTAATTAATTAATAACTTGCTAATTATACGACATAATTCATCCAAAATCAGTAGGCTTCTGGTCTGACATATGATGAATGCACATGCAAAATCTGGAGCAGATTCAATCTCGCTTCCGTGAGGTATCGCGTGCACCTAACAGACAGACAGACAGACAGACAGACAAACAGACAAATACCTATCAACTTACTTACCGATTAAAATCGATAAGTAAAAAGCCTGTAAAGCCTGCCATTCAGGTCAATGAGGAAAGAGTATGTTCCTACTCACCCATTTACTACAATATCAGTTCTTATCTTTGTTATCTGAGGTGTTGGAGACAGATAACAATGATCAAGATAAATGAATGATTTATCTGGCAACACTCCATCTTTTTCCAGTTCCACTGTCACATATAGGACCTGTGATGAATATTAATTGCATTGTTGAAAAAAAGACTAAACAGGAGATTCCCAAACTTTTTGGGGTGCGCCCCCTTTTTAGAATTTGTCCCGCGCCCCACCTAAAAAATAACTAGGTAACAATAAGCTACAAATAAACAGATGTTATGGCAAAAGTATGTTTTTTTTCGAAAAACATGTAAAAAATATGTGGGTTGAACATAAACATTCAATGTGGAGAAATGAAAAAAATATCTAAAATTAAGTGGGTAAGATCAAATCTAACAATCATTTCCATTTTTATTTTAAATTAGCTCCAAGCCTCCTCAAAAAGCTAACGACTGCCCAATGCCCCTGTACTGCCGAGCGATCTTTTTTATCTATATTCAAGTTCTACGGGAAGTCGTATTTAACCTGAACTTGCAGCCAAGTGAAAGGCAAAGGGCTGTAGCTGCCGTATGATTAGGTCATTTTACCGCTTTTATCCTCTCCTGAAGTAAATACGAAATTCTCATACTTCCCCAATCTCAAATTCCATAGGAACGGACAATGCAGGTTGGGAGTAGGATTTGCTCGGTGGAATTCGCCAAAACTTCATTGAGATCTTAGATTGACCATCTTTCTTGTAGGTTCGATTTTGGAAAGACTGGACACTAAATAAGAAATAGTAATGCATGAAAACGAAAGTAAATAATAAATACAGTTTAGGGTACTACCGTAGTATGTAAACAGAGATGCAAGACACCGGAATGTAGTGTGTGTACCAGGTTAGGGTTAGGCCATAATTTTATTCCAATTTTCCTTATTTTAGTTTTATTAGGAGTTCGCGGACTGTTTGTGTTAGCCGAGTGAATATACCCCCTGCCCATAGGTTTCAGTCCTGTTACACAACTTGATGAAAAGTAAGTGAACGAAATTAGTTACCTGCATATTAGTACATACATTTTTGGAGCGCGGATACGAACAATATAGTTTATCAAGTGTTATGAATGTTTTTACCAGGGCTACTCGAAGTGTGTTATGAATGTCTATAATGAAGAGGCACCAGTACCACAATTACTTTTGTCGCCAATACCAATCGGATAATATCAAAAAATCTCTGATACCGATATTTCGATATCCAAAAAATTGATATAAAACATTCTGAATCAGATTGAAATGCTAAATATAACGGAAATATTGGTCAAACATTTAGCCGATACCAATACAAATACCAAGAAATTGACCGATATTGCGATGCCGATACATCTCTAGTCTATGCCCGGGTTACTTAAGCAAAAGCCTTCACTAGGTATCGTATAAAGTACAGTATATTGACTGTTCTTTGTTAAATTCTTCGACTGTAATGTACAGGGTGTCCATAAAGACACTTAACAATTTTAATTTCGTTATGAAGTCAGTTCTCAATATATCTTAACCAGGTTTGTTGTTTTTTAATCAGTAATTGTTAACGTATTTTTACACGATAAATTTCTTTTGCAATTTTAAAATTTTTTCAAGACTTCATGGACACCCTATATTTATTCTTTGGCTTGGGTTTATTTACTTTTTTACTATTTAAACATGACGTATCTAAACTTGCCAAAATTAACTTACACAACCGTAGCATTCTTTTCGAATTGATTAACTTTGAGCGGAAACTTGCATTCAATTTCGTACATCTTGTAAGGAATTATCACAAACGGTAGCTTAGGTAATAACACACTCCACCAGAGAGTGTTCCTATAGATAACAGAAGGTGTCTTTGTGTTGCTGTGGTCGATGGTTTGCACTGTTGAACATGCATTGAAAGGTGGGAGAATAGAGAACCTGAAAAATATGTGGATGAAGGTGCTGATTACTGTATTTTAAGCGATAAGATTAGATTGAAGAGATGGTGCACCGTACTAAGCATCAATACCAATAGGTCTATTTCATCGTTTTATGTTATGCATTATGTATCTGTATATAAATTGTATACACCATTTTTATCTTTACCCATTTTTTGATGTTTTTTCTTCTTTTTAATTCTATATAGAAGTTTTAAATGCTTGGAAAAAATAAATGAGGATCCTCTCGTGGATTATTAACTTTAACAAGATTCAAACTTCCTGAAAAATAATCAGCAGTGCAATGAAAAGCATATTCCAAAACTTAGGATAAGATTTACATATTTATCCTGGGGAAGGAAAGTCGATAAGGCGGTTAAAATATACGACGAATCACGGCCTCTTGTCCGGTTACCAGTCAATTTCGGATATGGGATTAATTAGCCAGTCAGTTTGATTCAAATGCATGGACTTGATGGAGGAAGCCTCAATTGATCACTGGTTATGTGAACTAGCGCGGCGGTGTGGCTCAACGAGCTAAGCGTTAGGAATACGCTCGCCACCGCACCTCTAATTACTCTGCGTGGGATTGCTGGACTCCTCGCCGTCGTTGAGTGGTTCACGTAACCGCTGGTCGGTTACGGCTTCCTCCACCACCAAGTCCATGCTTCCGAAAACAAACAATACAGTAAATCTAATCCCATACCCGACTTGGAATGGTAACCGGACGAGAGGCCGTGGTTCGCCATATGGATAAGCCATCTTATCGGCTTTCCTCTCCCCCGGGATAAATATGTAAATCCTATCCTATCTTAACTACCCTACGTCGACAAGAAGTCCAGCTATACTATTTATTGCACATAATTATTTGTCACAAAATTGGAACCTGCAAACCCACACAGAGTAATAAGAGATGTTGTGGCGAGCATATTCCTAATGCTTAGCACGGTGCGCCGACCATTAAGCATGCATACATTGCATGGATTTATTACATAGTAACTTAAAAATACTTACTTGTATGACAAAGAACTCTTGTTGGTGAGCTTTAATGTGCAGTTATCTGACATGTCCATGGTCTGGAATAATTAATGTGCGGTTATATAAACAAAAGAAGAAAGGATGTATACCCCGACGCATAGGCATAGCCTGACTGCCTGATATTTCCAAAAAGAACGTTTCTAAAATTTCGAATTGCCAAGTTATACAATAAAAGCTAGCTAAACGTTTCAAACTGCGAAAAAATGCTTTGTATGAAAAAAACAGATAAATGCTTTATATTACATATCAAGAGGGAGGGGTTCAACCATGCACAAAGTTGAGTACTCAGGACCGGGGATGAAAAAAATCCAAATTCATGTATCTGAAACAATTTCTGGAAATGCCCTTTAAATCTGACCAGAAAAGGATGCAAGAGATCATGGTTCGCCACATAATTATATCATCTTATAGGCTTTCCTCTCTAGGATTGATTCATCATATGACTGAGCTGTCTTACTAGATTTGATCCCTCCAATATAGGTGTATATCAACGGTGGAAAGAACCGCGGCTCACCGGAGTTTGTATGCGGCTCTTCTCGCTGGCAATAATTATATATTATCCAAATTCAACAAAGAGAAACTGTAGCCTAACAGTTTTTTAAATTCTTCAAGCGGTTGAATGATATATACTTTGCAACATTGTTATCATACGTTTGTGTAAATTTCTTTTCAATTCACTGTAATCCAATATTATTAATTTCAAAAACTATGCAGCTCTCGCATATTTCTTACTTGCTGCATGCGGCTTTTATACTAAAAAAAACCTGGAGTATAATAATTATGAATTAATCATAACAATTCCATTTACTGCTATTCAAGCCAACTAGCATCTCAAGTTTATTTACCTCATTAGGTTGCAGAAACATCAAAAACTTCACAGCAGGATTTTTCTTCAGAGCATTCTTTGCTGGAACGAACTTTTTAAAGTGAACTTTGGTGATTGTGATCTCTATCTTGTTTGGTTTGCAATCGAGAATGGAAGCTGCATGCATAAAAAATAGTTTATCAAAGGAATTTGCTTAGAGCTAGGTCACACACGAGGCAGAGCACTGAACAAAGACACACACACTAAATCAAAGAAAAGGGGGACTAAATCAGAGATAAAAAGGGCCAATCTCTGAACATGGCCATATACACACTCACATAAAAGTGAATAAGATTTAATTCTAAGTGCTAAGTTACAGATGACCCAAGAAATGCTAAGTTATTGATTAGGGATCTAAGGGGCTGCTTAATGATTCTTCTTATGTCACCCCACTGCTCTGGTGGATCGAGATGCAAATATATTGTAACAAGAATGATAATGATTATTCCAATTATTATGAGCGTCCTTCTGCAAACTAACACAAATGTATTTCTATATTTAGTGGCATATGGGTTGCACAAGTTGCCTGTCATGACATCATAGTGACCTTACCAGGCAATTGCAGAACCTACTTTTTTAAAAAATTTTCACCTTATATAATGCAAATCAAAAGAAATTTGGGTGCTCCCGAAGTATGCGAACCAAGATGGCGGACATCGGAACGTAACATGGGTAACAGGTTAGGGTTAGGCGATAATTTCTTTCCAATTTTCCTCATTTTAGTCCTATTATCAGTTCGAAGACTAGCCAAGAGCCTCCCGTAGTATTTATACCTAAAATTATGGCCTAACCCTAACCTAGTACACATATTACATTCCGATGTCCGCCATCTTGGTTCGCATACTTCGGGAGCCCCGAAATTTGTAACCAACAACCAACACCGCTTCAAGAGTCACGCCAAATTTTCAGCATGTGGCCGTGTTTAATCATGCCACACGTTAGGAATACTTTCACCTCTGATTACCCTGTGTGGGTTTGAAGGTTCGAATTTCATGTGGGGATATTTATGTGAATTCTCTGTGCGTGGTTCATTTTTACTCTCTGTGTTCGCAGGCTCAATTATATTTGAAAGGATTGGTAAACACCTCATCACCGTAGGCTGGTTCACGTATCCGTGGTTACAGTGAACGCGGTCAGTTACAACTTTCTCCACCATCACGCCCATACATATGAAAACAAATAACTGGCTAACTAATCCCATACCCGACATGGACTGGTAACCGGACGAGAGGCAGTGGTCCATCATATGATTAATCCATCTTATCGGCTTTCCTCTCCCACGGAAGAAATATGTTAATCCTAATAAACCACTATAATTGTATATACCGTAGTACTGGTAGATCTTGGCATTCCAGTGACACCCATGACTTTGCTCAAAGATTAGTTCATTTCTTAGTAAATGCACAAGACCTTGATTTAAGAATACTCTTATTAAAAAGAGGAACGTACCTGGTTTAGGGCATTTCTTCTGAGGTTTGATATCGATGCTTTGCAATTCACATAAGCATTTGTAAGAGCCTGTGAATAATAAATATAGAAATTGAACTCAAATTTAAAATATAAAAAATTAAACGGGTATTCAACTTGGAATTTTTTCCATTTACTAATACAAGGCTGAAACTTCTAATGATTTGGTTTCTGCGAGACTAACTTCTTATCTTTCTTCGATGCTTTTGTGCCAGAGGATCCGTATGCTTATAATGCAAGGATGCTGTAGCAGGAGTGAAGATAACTATTCTAAGTGATTCAAGAGTCTTGCTGCACACTAACACAAATATATTTCTGTAACGTTTCGTCTGACCAAGGTCAGACTTCTTCAGACATACATGGTTTAACAATCTAATTTCTAATGGCCAAATTAGGATGTGACTTGAATGGGAGGCCAGAAACAGTTTCCAGTAGTCTTGAGGGGCTAAAACGTGTTTCAAGCTACAAATAATGCTATGTATGATAAAAGAAAAATGATTATTATTATTCTTTACATTTTAAAAGGGGGAGGGTTCCGACACGCAAAATCAACCCCTTGGGTACGCCCGTGTTCTAATATCTCAGAATGAACCTGTAGCTTTCGTTCGATGTTGGAAGTTGCATGTAACTATCGGTACTCTTCACACATTTAGTTGAGGGCTCAGGCCTTTCTTCAAGAAATATATAAATAAATCTGCTAACCCTATGTCATGAGGAAAAGTAAGTCGATTTTCTGGGCCCAGAATTTTGGCCTCAGCCTTTTTTTCAATATTTCATTAAATGGTGCTCCCGAAGTATGCGAACCAAGATGGCGGACATCGGAACGTAACATGGGTAACAGGTTAGGGTTAGGCGATAATTTTTTTCTAATTTTCCTTATTTTAGTCCTATTATCAGTTCGAAGACTAGCCAAGAGCCTCCCGTAGTATTTATACCTAAAATTATGGCCTAACCCTAAACTAGTACACATATTACATTCCGATGTCCGTCATCTTGGTTCGCATAATTCGGGAGCCCCCATTAAATAACTATTCCCGTGAGACCTTTATTCCTCATACTATTAAAACCCCTATCGATTTTCCTTCGCTCGAGATAAACATGAAAAACTATTTTAGAAATGAAAGGAGTACTCCCGTAGTGTGTGTATCAGGTTAAGGTTAGGCTATAATTTAATTCAGATTTTTCTTATTTTAGTTCTATTACGAGTTCGGGGACTGTTTGTGTTAGCAAGTGAACATACCCCCTGCACATACGTTTCAGTTCCTTTAAGCAACTTGATGTAAAATAGGCGAACAAAATTAGTTACCTCCATATTGGTACACATACTTCTGGAATGCCATAAAAGAAGATACTAACTAACCCTCAGTGTTAATACATTTAGCTTCGGGATCACATTGATGTATACCTTCCCTGCATTCATCCAAATCTGTAAATACAAGAGAACAATAGATAAATGGGTAGATTAATTTCCGAATATCAATTAGTACAAATTGCAGTGATGAGAAAAACAATGATTATTTATAATAAATAAACGAAAAGGGAGGTACAAGACTTGAAGGTTCAACAAGGGTGACCAGTTATAAAACCGAAAAGTTTGCTGAGAAATTTTTTGGGTTAGAACATCTCGGGGCTACACCCTTAAAAGCTTTGTTTGTCGACAAGATGGCCAATTGCAACAGTGTCGACCTAAATATCTTGGTCGAACCCCCCCCCCCCCCCCTTTTACTAAAGTGTAAACGAGAATATCGGTCGGAGACCGAAGACTTAACGATCGAAACTGCGGTTTCGATTCATGACTCTATAGTGACACCGCGTGTCCTATCACTAGTTAATTAATAACTTGCTAATTATACGACATAATCCATCCAAAATCAATAGGCTTCTGGTCCGAGATATGATGAATGCACATGCAAAATCTGGAGCAGATTCAATATCGCCTTCGTGAGATATCGCGTGCATCTAACAGACAAACAGACAAATACCTATCAACATACTTACCGATCTAAAGATCGATAAGTAAAAAGCATTTTCTGTATTATTCATGGCACTTCTTGCAGCTTGAAATGCATCTTAGATCTTAAAGACTCTTAAAAACACTAGTTTTCTGACATCTAGTCAAACCAGCTAATTGTTTCCGTATAATTTGGCAATAAAAATTTTTGAACCCCCTGGCTATGCCCATACGCTAGGCCATGGTGGTCCAAAACCAGACCCGCGGGCCACATGTGGCCCGCCACTTCATTATCTGTGGCCCGCGTCGCATTCGGAGAGGAATCAAAAAATCGCATTTCGTGTTGTTTCGTAATAAAAATTAACCAAAAAATCTTTTGACATATTGTTGCATCTCTAATGTCACTGTTTTGACTATTGTAATGGCTTGCTGAAGCAACTAGCGAAGTTAAACGAGCGAAGTTCTTGGCATTATTGTGGCCCGCGAATAATGCAAAAGTAATTTTGTGGCCCGCGGAGCTGCCAATTTTGGACCACCCCACGTCTGGCCATCTTGTCGCCAAAAATATCAATAACTTACCAATGCACTTCAAATCCTTTGAATTCTTATCAGCTAAGAAACCAGTTTTACATTGACATTTATAGGAACCGAAAAGATTCAAACATTCCTGATTCTTCCCACAAATGTTGGGAGTTAGACACTCATTCTTGTCTGCAAAATGAAGTCATTGTTAGTGGGTCATTACTTATCGATTTTGATCGGTAAGTATGTTGATAGGTATTTGTCTGTCTGTGTGTTGTATGTCTGTTAGATGCACACGATATCTCACGAAAGCGAGATTGAATCTGCTTCAGATTTTGCATGTGCATTCATCATATCTCGGACCAAAAGCCTATTGATTTTGGGCCAATTAGGTCGTATAATTAGCAAGTTATTAATTAATTAGTGATGGGACACAAGGTGTCACTATGAAGTAACAGCGCTGTTTTGGGGGATCCCCTGACTTTCGATCGAAAAGTCTTCGGTCTCTGACCGATATTCTCGTTATAAGTGTTAGAGATATACTGCACATTGCCAATTATTACTCTGTATGGTGTCAAACAGTGATAATTATGTGCAAAAGGAAAGCTGAACTCCTCGCTTTCGAGGATGGTTAACTTAGGTAACCGCTAGTTGTTATGGTGACTAAAAGTTGGCCATATAAGGTCATGATTAGCTATATGACAAGGCGGTCTTATCAGCATTCCTCTTACTCAGATCAAATATTAAAAATCCTAAGAGTGATTACTGATTAATAAAATACAGTTTTATATTGATTCAAAAAAGACTTAGCCCAATAAGAAGATTGTTTAACCCAGTGATTTCAAAACTCTGTCTCTGTGACTTAAAATTAGTCATTTAATATCAATCCGTTTCCTAAAAAATTACTTCGGATACACCAAGCTTTGAACTTGCATCACATGATCGTGTCAGGTTAAATTTATATTGATAGAGAAATACAACAATTAATGGGAATTATTGCAACTATCAATGTTAATTTAACTGACTTGATCATTTTGTGTTAAATTCAAAGCATGGCATTTCAGAAGTAATTTTTTAGGAAATGAATTGATATTTTTGCCGCTATTACTGCTTATATGCATTGAACTAAAGTAATTGATTGAATGTGTAAATATAATAGTATTAAAGTATATATATATTATATATGTTATGTCAGACTTGAACGTTAATAGAGCAGCACTCGAGATTTTTTATGAAGTTATAATAAATGGCTCAGCGGTGTGGTACATCGCGCTAATCGTTAGGAATACTGTCGCCACCGCACCTCTGATTACCCTGCGTGGGTTTAAGAGTTCGAATCTCGTGGGGGGATAATTATGCGTAACAGGACTCCTTGCCGTCGTAGGGTGGTTCGTGTGGGTTACAGCTTCTTCCACCATCAAGATCATGCATCTGGAACAAGTAACTGACTAACTAATCCAATACCGTACTCGACCTGGTAACCGGACGGGAGTCCTTGGTTGGTCATATGATTGGGCCGCCTCGTTGTCTTTCCTTACCCCGGGATAAATATGTAACCCTATCTCAAATACCAGAAGATATTAGAAGTCAATTTCAAAAAGTAAAATAAGTATAATATTGATACCTTCACAATCCTCATTCTGGTTCTTATAGAATCCTTTCTCACATTGACATGTTCCACTTATGCATGAAGCATATGGATGACAAGGATTTGAGCAGGCTGGAAAACAGACATGTACAATGGTAACAACTACCAAGCTAGAGATGTTGCTTTTAAACCGAATATCAAAGCGGGTGCCCTCTATTCGGATCAACAAAGCTAGGGCTGCTGCATACTAAAGCTTCCCCGCTTTGAGTGAAACTTACCGGTAGTTTACCCTAGATTCTGGGTTGTGAACTAAATATTCAATATTAACTGGGCAATAAATGTGGGCGACTACTAAACAAAAGGTACGACTAACTGATAGAAATTTATCCTATTTTTTGAAAAATTGTGACAATGCCATACCCTGAAACAGAGGTCGGCAACCTTTTTGACCAAGAGAGCCATAAAAGGTACATATTTTCAATTGCATTTCCGTGCGCGCATTTTTTCACTTAATCAGGCCTGAAATTTTTACTCAAAAGTCAACAAATACAATCTCATCACCCTTCTTTCGTTTAGGCATTCCCATAGTATTTCAAATACTAGCTTTTAGGCTTGCACGTAATTGACAAAAATCAATTCCGTAATTACGGCCAAATCGATTACGTAATGACCCCGTAATTGCGATATTTTTTTTCACACTTTTAAACCTATCATAACAACCAATTTAATCCACTTCTATTCCGAATGGGACATCGACAGTTGAGACAGTTTGGTTTTCATATTTCCGCCAGTACTACACGCCGGCGACAGATGCTAAATACAAATATCAAGGAGTGAATTCAAATTAATTTTATTGTGATTTTTATCTTTTGTGTTAACTTTGATATTCCTTTATCAACCTTATCACCCAATTTTATGCGATCAATTTCATCATTACCAACACTGGTAAGTGGTAATATATTTATGAAACGATAGTTCACTTTTTTAAAATCGTATTAACGTATTAATACGAGTTTCGTATTAAATAAAAATTCCGGGTTTCTAATTTATAAATCAACGACGAGCGTATTCTCTCGTTTGATTATACTTGCGCTTGCCTCGCGACGAAGACTTGTTATTGTACCGTTTTTTTACATTATCCGACTTTACTACCTAGTTAGCATTTTATAATAATTATTGATGCCGACTTATTGACGATATTCCGATTACCATGCTTCATTTTACATTAAATCATTTCGCGGCCTAAATGTTATAACATTATTTGCGATAAATTTAGATCAAATATTAATTATTTGCACATAATTTAAATACCGTACTTATATGACATGCCCTCTCCGAAAATACAAAGTTATATCGCAAAACAATGCATTTTGTGACATTTATCTTGCACTCGCGCAAATATTAATTTACTTTTCTAACTCAAGTCGACAATCCTATCGGCTAAGATTGACACAAGTTTGGTCGAGTGCCGGTGGTATTTGAGTCGACGATAAATCAAAATAAGTTGCCGCATTTGGTAAAGACTTAAAGATTTTGTAAAGACATATTTGGCCGAAATAGTGCGAGGCATTGTGCAAACAAGGCCAAGTCCGGACAGATATATAACGATAAAACCGGTAACAGAGTATCAAGATTTTGTAATAGAAAATGGATCTCGCGCAGAATAAACATGGGAAATCCCGTCTTTTTGTTGTTTCTCTGCCGTCTGAATCGCTTTACCGATGCCGAAAAGACTAAGTTGCGTTGGTTCATTACGCAATTTCTCTTCCGTCGTCATATTGCTGTTTGATAAGCGCGACATTAATTATCACGGCATTTACAAATAGACCATGTTTGGTAAGTTGATCTCTTACATTCTTTAGTCATTTCACCCGAAGAAGTTGAAACCAGGTGTGTTGGCGTCCATCGGTCTCAACACAATTCTATCCCATATCTACGCTTAATATGTACATTTGCCATGCTAGATAAATTGATAATAGGTTAGTAAATGGCAACGCGTTATGCCTTCTCCATCTGCGTAACAAGAGAGAGAAAAACGGCTGCGAATACCGGAACTCTAACTTCTTCTACTTATTAAACTTCAATTTTTTACAATCGACGGAATTGACTGCTCTGAAGAGAGCTCGTTTCAATCGCGAAAGCGCTCCACCAATAATTACGAATTTACGTAATTCGTAACTTCGCTTCCGTAACTCGAAATAATTCCGTAATTCCGTAAATCCGTAAATTACGTGCAAGCCTACTAGCTTTGCTAGTCGGATTTAAGTATGACAAATACTGTAACTTGTACGCACAAACGTACGAAAAGCTTTTGTCTATTGCTCCGCGACTCTATCGCTTTGTGGTGTCACAAAATATGTTCCAGAACCCCCTAGTTTTGTCACAATGCTGGTAATTCTCTTAGATAACGTAGACATGCGCTGGGCGCGCTCCCAAACGTATTGGCAAACTTTCTGCCAAATTTAGCTATAAAAGAATTTGAAAGCTCGTAACAATAGTAAGCTTAGCCTCAGAATATTAGATTTTTCTGGGAGCCATATGCCGTCACTAAAAGAGCCATATATGGCTCGCGAGCCATAGGTTCCCGACCCCTGCTATAAAAGGTCTTGTTTGTTGGAGTAGTGCTTCGATCTCAAAATCCACACAGGATTGTGCATACAATTCAAAATTACCCCCGTCCACCTCTGCGCTAGGCCATCATGTCATACAGTAGAAACTACTTGCATAGATGTAACTAGTAAGAAAGAGTATTTTTATAAACTATTCAAACTGTGCAAAAAAAACAGAGTTGTATAAATCACTAGCCAATGCTCTATCAAATATTAGAAACAAAAAGGATACAAAGTTTTAAAACATACCAAGGGAGGAATGAAGACCTTCAAAATAGGGATGGAAACAGTGTAGCAAAAAAGGGTTGGCAAGGTTACAGTTCCACTCCACTTACCTTTGTTAGCACTCCTCTCTTGTAATTCAAGCTGGTCGCCATAACCATCAAGATGATCTCTTGAATAGACCAGTTTGTTCCAAGTGTTAATGAGAGCTCTAACTGATAGTTTTTCTTGCTCTGGGAGATCTAGGAAAAGCAGGAAAGGTTCAACAAGTTATCCCAGAGATTTCGTCCTCAAGACACCCACTGCCTCACCCATAGCGTGTGTGAGGTCCCGGACATCTGAGGGCATCACAGATAATGCTTAATCTCTTGCGACAAACACCACTAGTCCTTCCAAGGAGTTAGATGCTGACTGAGAAAACCCTGTAACTATTTAGCATTCCATAGTTTCGCGCGTTATTGGAGTCAGGCAAAGACTTGCATTCACATGCAATGCTCATATCCACACCCTGAAAAAGTAAAGTCGATTACATGGCTAAATCATATGACAAACTATGGCCTCTCGTCCGGTACCAGTCCGTGTCAGATATGAGATTAGTAAGCCAGTTATATCATTTCAGATGCATGAAATTGAAGGTGAATAAAGTCATAACTGAACAGCAGTTACTATATGTGAACAACCCTACGACAGTTTGGAGTCCAGCAATATCGACCAAAGAACTTTAACTTGCAAACCAGTGGCAAGCATTGTACAATCAGCTAATACGTATACGACTTCCTCCACTATAAAGTCCATGCATCTGAAACAAAATAACTGGCTAACAAATCCCATACCCGACATGACTGGTAACCGGACGCGAGAGTCGTGGCTCGTGGTCTGCCATATAATTAGGCCATGTTATCGGCTTCACTTCCTCGAGATAAATATGTTAATCCTATTATAATTGAACCATGATCATTGGCAGAGATGCAGAGTCAGCGTTTGGCACGTTTTCAAATTTCCATTGAGTCTAATCATATTTTCGAATTCCCCAATGTGAGTCAGGACCAAAAAAGTTTTGAATTTTAGAGTCGGAATTTGACAGTAATCATAATTCCAAACAAAAACAAAGCATACTCAACACACAATTTAAAAAGTCTTGCACGCTCTTTTGAGGGCGAAATCTGGAAGATGGAGTTAAAACTTCTTTCGTTTTTTTTTTGTACAAAGCCCCTGTAACTATGTGTGAGATTTGAGAAAAACACAATCGCTAAAAAATATAAAATTAGTAAATTAGTAATTATTAGTTTGGGTTAGAATTAGGGTTAAGAATGAAATTTTTATTGAAATTTCCAGCGCAATTTGAATTACTAACCCTAACTGGATAATCACTATTTTTTATTTGGAGCAGTGGCGGGAGTGTTTTTTTTTTGGCAGGGGCATTGTATAAAAGATACCTTCTTTTAACCTGGAGTAATAGGGCAGTCGGATTCTAAGAACTTATAACCATATTTTATAACCACCAATGAGATCTTAAACCAAAAATTCTTTTTTTAAGTTTTAGAGTCGAAATTCCAAGCTTCTGGTGGTGGTAATCAAAAACTGCCAAAGCACTGTAAAATATAGGGTGTCCATAAATTTTTTTAAGTTGCGAAAGGAATTTATCAATACCATATTTTGTTTTGGTCAAATGCACACTGTGATAAATTGAGATATTAAATATCACAGTATTATAGAAAATTTGATATGTTCGATAGTGCCTTTAAATATTAAATCTCCCATATTGAAACCTACTGGAATAACGAAAGCTACTGACACTTATCTACGGTTGCATGATGAGTTCAAAATCTTATGCAAAATCCCAGAGTGGATGTAATATAGGATGTCCCTACAGTCTTCAAATTCTTTAAAATTGCAAAGGGAATTTATCGATCCCATACGATATATTGTTTTGGCATTCACAGATGTATTAAATGGAATAAAAATACAGATTAAAAAACAACAAACCTGGTTAAGATATATTGATAACTGGCTTCAAAGAATAGGATAGGATTTACATAATTATCCCGGGGGAGAGGAAAGTCGATAAGACGGCTTAACCATATGGCGAACCACGGCCTCTCGTCCGGTTACCAGTCCATGTCGGGTATGTGATTAGTTTTATTTATTTATTTTTTGGAAGCATGGACTTGATGGTGGAGGAAGGCGTAACCGACCAGCGGTTACGTGAACCACCCTACGACGGCGAGGGCAATCCTCTCGCATATAACTACCCCACATGGGATTCAAACCTGCAAACCCACGCAGGGTAATCAGAGATGCGGTGGCGAGCAAATTCGTAACGCTTAGCACGATGAGACACTTTATAAACACCCTGTATATTTCAATAAGGCTTGTATGCACCGTATTCTGGTTTCTCAAAGCTAGGAGCCAAAATGAGAAATGTTTTTCTAAGTCAAATTTTTGTAAAATCAAAAGTCAAGAATCAAGCTATAGTTGTTTTCAGATGACTCCGAGTTGAAATTTCCTCAAACGCGACACAGGCCATTTTGCTAATAAGCGAGTTCCCTCCATTATTGAGTGAAATCTGAGACATTTCCTTCCACCCAGTATGTTTCCCAGCTTTTCATTTTGAGGGGGGGGGGGGGGGGGTATACATATTCAGGGGTTGGTAGATATTTTGTTATAAGTGATAAAACTAATTGTAACTTAAAAAAAAAGTGTTATATATTTGATTATCTTCACAGGCATATGAGCCACTTTCTGAATATTCAAATACATTTTTATTTACATTAGGAATTGAAGTATGGTGGAATTTCAGGAGTAGTGTAGGGAAATCACTGTTTCCGCCAAATATTCAAATAATCAATAAACAACTCCAGTTCTCACCATCATGGAGTTGAAGGTCATAAACAAATGGATCATCATTCATGAGTTCATTATCAAAATGTGCTGATTCAGCCACTTTTTCATACTCTGTCAATCCATCCACAATTTCTGCAATTTTGTTTTTCACGTTCTCTAGTTCCTCGGGACCAAGAGAGTCTATATCGGCTTCAAACACTCTACCAGGGGGTGCAATGGGGCCAACTTGTTCTATATTGTTGGTGCTGGTAGTAAATTTTATTGAGAACAGTAGCAGAGGGATGAAGAGAAACATTGATGTGAACCTGTTATTAATATTAGATATAGTTTAGAACAGTGGTCTTCAAACTTTTTGAGACACGACCCCATCTACAATATTATTACGTATGATAAGCACTCGCGACCCCAAGTTATATATATGTATGTTCACCTACAGACACGAAAAAAATATTTATCAAATTAGGAAATTTATTAAAAGAACCCAACAACAACCATATTTAATCAGTGTGAGGAATGCGACTGCTTCCTTCCAACAGGATCTTGCATTCGTGGCTTAATGTTGTTTAAGCTCAAACGCAAATCGTGTTCTACGTTTAATCGATTTCGGTGCTTTGATTTTAGCAGACTCATAGCACTAAAAGTCAAGTTTTCAAAAAGATTGATCATACGATATATTTCTTTTATGTTTATCAGCCATTTAATAAATTGTAATTATCAATATGACAGTAGCCTGGAAAATGAGGATTTGCAGTAAAAGCAACGGCCACTGTACAGAGTACATTTAAGACACAATAACGATTTACTTCAAAATATAAATTACAGTCGTTACGCAATAGCCTTATTATAAAAGAAGTCACTCCAATTCGAAATGTCGAAACTTGCTAGCCTATGTAGCGTTATTCAACTTAACAGTGCAGACTGCACACTGTTGTGTATTTGTGTCACAGAACGCTGATTTCCACACGGACTAAATTTGTGATTATGATGTCATAATTGATTTATCGTAATTGCTCTTGATATTACCTGTCTGCGTGCTTGTTATTCATTCTTTTGTTTGAAGTATCTAGCGTTAAGCCGAGAAGTCACACACATAATAAAAATAATAAAAGAAAAGACAACGATGGGCACTTTGCGACCCCAGAAATATTTAAGGCGACCCCACTTGGGGTCGCGACCCACACTTTGGTGACCACAAAAATCATGTCACTGTGACTTGATAAGGCCTGTTAAAATATACGACAGTCGCACCAAAACACGCAAATGATCACCCGAAATCAAGCAAGCTATTTCTCTCATTTTCCGCCGTACTGATCCCAACACAAGAGAGAGATCGCTGGGGTTGATGAGTTCGTTATCCTCGGCACAGATGCCATTTCAGGTGATCGCAGCTACACGTCAGCGAGCTCTATGACGTGGTTGTGACGTCGCAGTGGCGTAAACTTTTAATGACGCAGACAGGTGGGGTTTAGAAATAACATATGCAAAAATGGTTATAGACTACTACACCCACTAGAAGAACTTGTGGTACTACAAGACCCTCATTGGCTGCATATACAGGACATTGTGCAGGATGAGTAGGCTTACCATACGTCCCGGTTTAGCGGGGGCAGTCCAGGTTTTGACAAGCTGTCCAGGCGTCCCGCCCGGTAGACTTAAATCTCCTGGTTATTTAGCGTGGCAGTCAAAAACAATTTTGTTATCACAAATTTATTTTCTTAACGCAAGCATCCAATTTATCTCTGATTCACTAGTTAACAGAGGGAGAGAGGACTGCTGTTTTGTTGTGTCATAGGTATTATAGTTATGTTAATTGCTATAATTTGACACACAATGTTAACTGACCTGTCAATAAATTATCAAAATGCCAAATGGACGCGTAGAAAGACGAAGGGCAATAATGTTTTTTTCAAACTCAAAAATAAAACTGAAATGAGCCTTTACGAGACCGGCATAGGATTTGCGGCTCATTTACCTTAAAACTGAATTCAACATCATTCCGTGTCTCTCTTATGTCGATTATTGAAATGTTCAAATAATTGACTGCGTTTATAAATAATGTTTGGCGACTGCGTGTATGAATTAATTTATAGGTAATTTAATGCCCGGTATCTACTCGCAGAGATATGATAGAAGTTTCATATATTACTTAGCCTCAGAATCGAACCAAAGTTAGTCCGATCCGCACTGTCCCGGTTTTTTGTTCCAGATATAAGGTAAGCCTAAGCCAGACTGGATTCCATGGCAGATGCACGCCCGAGGGCGCTAGCGCTCCACAAAAATGCACGCGAGCGAATTCATTTTTGCACACCGAAAATTTGCAATTGCTCATTAATGTAAATCGGTTCAAATAGTTTGTAAATCAATTATCTAGTAATATAAAGATGCCAAAAAATTATAACTTCACAATTGTCGACTAATACTATATTGCAAGTTTGGCCTGATCGAAAAATGCAAAGCAAAAAACACCATATCGTGTTGAATGATAGGAATCCCGTGAGAAAGATCGCCTCGCCACCGACGCTGGTCAGTTATGGCTTTGATTCAGCGTATTTTTCATACAATAATTTTACACGGATGTACTGAACAGTACCGGTAACCAAAGTCGCACAACCACTCTCCAAATTAGCAACAAACTGTAGAAATAATGTTTGGGGGTCAAAGGTCAAACGTCTATTTTTGCTATGATTCAACATATTTTTTATCCAATACCGGTAATTTTACGCGGATGTATTGAGAGATATCTTAGGTCGAAGTCAGTTTCACGCGGGCGCAGTTGTTTTGCACGCCGTGAGCTATAATTGCACGCCGGGAATTCTGATTTGCACGCGGGAATTTCTGATTGCACGCCCGATTTCTCGTTCAAAAAGGCCATGAAATCCAGACTGGAGCCTAAGGATGAGGGTGTGAAAAATCATAAAAACAAGTGACTTTACCAACTTTCAGGCTCAGCCAGAAATAGTGAAATAAATGAAGTGTGAATTGGCATATTTTTCCAGTACTTAACTACCGGTACCGTATTACAGTAAATGAACACAAGTAACAACCAGAAAATAATGGTATGCTATGGTCAGATAGTGGTTATCTTTTTAATTTCATTCAATCAATCAATCATTACCAGAACAGGTGCTCGATGCTGAATACCGGTACAAGAAAGCCAGGAAACCAGAAACCCAAATACCAGAAAGTCATTAAATAGCATATTGAATCACTTACGCACCTTCCAAAGAGCTTGGCCATGGTGGTTCCCTCCTCGCTCCACCAAAAGACTGAAGAAACACACAAACGCTCGAGTAGACGTAATCCTAGGTCACGTAAGATCCTGGTAGACAGAAAAGCGGAAGCAACAATTCATAACTCCCGCTTCCCCAATGCACTGCCGCGAGATGGCACTATAGATTCCGCAAGATGGCAGTATATATTCCGCGGGAATCTGTATAGATTCCGCGAGATGGCAGTATAGATTTCGCGAGAAGCTATATAGATTCCGCGAGATGGCGGGTCTGTGTTAATATTCGAAATTGTATTATGAGACTCCGGTCACGCCAAACCATATGAGGAAAAATTTCTCTCCCGTTCTCTTATTCTCCCGTTGTTAGTTGGCTATTTTTGTCTATCTGTGCAGCTTCGGTTATTTTAAGTGTCGAGTCGCTGTTTTAAATAATATTCAATCCGGAATCTTGGGTATTCTGTTCTAACAACCACAGAAAAAAGGCCAAATTGTGACAATAGTTATAATACTAGTATTTTGGGATCAAGATTTACATATTTATCCCGAAGGGGAGGAAAGTTGATAAGACGGCTTAATCATATGGCAAATCACAACCTCTCGTCCGATTGCCAGTCCATGTCGGGTATGGGATTAGTTTTCCAGTTATTTGTTTACAGGTCCATGGATTTTATGGTTGAGGAAGCCATAACCGACCAGCAGTCAATATCATTCACGGGAATCGAACCTGCGAACCCACGCATGGTAATCAGAGGTGTGTTGACAAGCGTATTCTTAACGCTTAGCACTATGAGCCACTTTGTACAGCCAATAAATAATCAATCCAGAATCCTGGATCTTCTGATCTAACAACCACAGTAAAAATAGTAGACTTTACAATAACAAGAGAGCTATGCTCAAATATATGTACACGTAAAGTCACATAATTTTGATGACGTCATAGCGAAAAAAAAAGTAATACCCTTCTGGAGAAAATTTTTATCTTTAACCACTGAAAATTTCAAAGCAATTGGTCCAGTATTCGAAGAGAAAAGGACTTTTTAAAAACGTGTCAAAGAACAACAACAACAACAACAACAACAACATAATATTGAAACGATCGTTATGTCCACTACGTGTTCAATTATAATACCAGTACAGTTACGTGCCTGCACTAACCGCAGTCTCGTTATTTTAAAACCTTTTCAAAAGTAATAAATAAATAACATACCAACGCCGTGATTTTTCATTCCACACGCATTAATTGGATAATTAGTAATAAATTCATATTATCGCCTTAGATACAAAATAGGTGTTGTCAAGTCCAACCAAGCGTGAAGTAATTTCGATTTTACCATTGTTACTTAATAAGTGCGGTTTCCTAAGTAGTTTGTTTTGATGAAATATTCCGTGCTTAAACGCCTCATGTGTGTTTTAAAAATATTAAGTTAATTTAACCTGAATTTAACAGTTATTGTCGGAGTGACAAATAGCAGTGCCTAGACATGTTGAAACGACACGGTAACATGTACGTGTTAATGTTATCTCAAGAACTTTTATTCCCTAGCTCATAGCTGTTTACCTGAATGTATCGGCTTGAATCGTCTCAAGTATTGCGTAAAACGGTATTCTATATTTTAATGTGTCAACAAAATTCAATATACGGTGGATACGGTGGTGAGTCTCATCTACTCGTCGAGCCCTATCAAGCTTTAAATTCTAATCCAACAGTTATGTTTAAAAAGGCGCACATATGGGTAATAATACATAATGTTTTTTTTGCTTTTGTTGCTGCGTTATATATCATGCCATTTGCACAGTGTCTTCGTTACTGTTATGCTAAGCGATATCCACATTGTCTTCTCTTTCCCGCTGAATTCTTTGTGCGGCCCTGCTAGATTTCTGAATTGGTTCATACAAGAGAGCAATGCATGAATAGCTTCATACAAAAGAGCAATGCTTAAATAAACGGACATGGTGTTCAATCACTATAATATGGCCATCGCAGTATAAGCAAAATTTTCATCCAGCGAATTTTCAAAAAATTCAGAATACAGAAATTTTTAAAATATCGAACGAAAATGGCCGGCGATTTTTTCCATATTTAAATGACAAAAATTGAAGTAGATCGGTCGATTAGTTAGAAAAAGTAATTTTTTCACAACGTCAACGCCAATAATTAACAAAAACGATTCAACAAAATGTTGTCCACGAGTTCCCCTCGTTCATAAAAACGTAATATTATTACTTATCGATTTCAATCGGTAAGTATGTTAATAGGTATTTGTCTGTCTGTATGTCTGTCTGTCTGATTGAATCTGCTCCAGATTTTGCATGTGCATTCATCATATCCCGGACCAGAAGCCTATTGATTTTGGGCGAAATATTTCGTATAGTTAGCGAGTTATTAATTAATTAGTGATGGGCCACAAGGTGTGACTAAGGAGTAAGAGCGCTGTTTTGAGGATCCCCTAACTTTCAATCGATAAGTCTTTGGTCTCTGACCGATATTCTCGTTTATTCTTTACTGCTCTCGTTGTCCATAAAACCATATTGCAACACAAAAACGAAATTTCGAAATGAAATATTCAAAGTAATGAGAATTTAACTAGTACGTGCTAATTGCTGTGAGAACCTTCAGTGTCTGGCTTTCAATGAATTTATAAAAGTTGTCTATTGGAACTTATAAATAATGTGATATTTGAGTTACCGCCTTGTTTCCACATTTCAACGCTCCCGTTGTCAAATTTTATTAAATGGCGTTCTTGCTTCTTAGGAGAGTTACAAAATTAGCCAAGTCAGTATTTTGATAAGTAAACGAATAGCTCGCGGAGCCTCTAAGTTTCTCTTACGAAGCCCCGGGTCTCTGTATAAAGCATTTTAAGAACCTATGGGGCCAAATAATCTTGCAACACCAAAACGAAATTTTGATTGAAATATTCACAGTAATGAGAATTGAACCAGTACGTGCTAATTTGTGTGAGAACTTTCGAAGTTTGGTTTTCTCAATTGACAATCTAATCACGAGACGTCTTTGTAATACATGACTCGTAACGTGGTTGCCTTGGAAGTTATAGAAATCATACGCCTACACTCCGAATATGGCACTGAACAAGCAGAACATTAAAAATACACAATGATTTGGCAAATAACATTAGAGTTAAATTGATCGTCAAACCGCGGCCTTAGAAGCCAGACGGTATAGAAATTATATGACCACAAATTGAATATACATTCTCGTAGAATGGTTCTACGCTCTGAACATTGCGTTGGGCAAGAAACTGTATGAGTTATAGCACTGGGCCCAACTATTCAGGTTCAAACTCCATTCTCATCACCCTACTCGGAGTGTAATACTTTAGGATTCAAAATCGGAAACATCCTAGTCTCCTGAAAAACGTGCGAAACCCGTGAAAAAACCTGCAAAAAACTCGCAAAACAGTGAAAAACCGTCAGAAACCACCAAAATCCACGCAACAACCGTTAACAACAGTAAAAAAAAGACAAAAAATATCTTACAAAAACCGTCAAAAAACACCAAAAATCTTGCAGAAACGTTCAACGATTATCTTTTTGTATTATCTTCCTTGTGCGAGGCCCTGCTCGGGTTGAAGGCGTGAACGTACCTCTTGAAACGCAACAACGTTGTCTTAGAAGCCAGACGATATAGAAATCATACGCCTGCACTCCGAACATTGCACTGGACAAGCAAAGCATTGAAAATACACCATAACTTTGCAAATACCATTGGCGTTAAATTGATCGTCACACCACAGCCTTAGAAGCCATACGATATAGAAATTATAAAACCACAAATTAAATATATACATTTTGTGAATGAATTTCGCATGTTTTCGCCAACAAATCTCTGACCAAGCGGTTACTATAAGCTAAGGGTACTCAAACTTCTGATGTTCCAGAGCTCGTGAAGAGATTGATTGATATTCACGGAGCGCCACAATAAATTATCAAAAATAAACAAAAAAAATGTATTGGTATTTACCGACTAACGTTTCTGAGTAAATTAAAATTATTCCATTTAATGACTCGGAGGTATTTGCTGCTTTGTGTTTTTAAAATAGTTGAATTGCGAATGTCAAACTATTTTGAAATGCCGCAATCGCTTCTTTTACCAGTTACAAAATTAGCCAAGTCAGTATTTGAATAAGGAAACGAATAGCTCGCAAGCACAGATTACTTTTTGAGAACCTATGCTATGAGCCAGGTGTCGGCAACCCTTTGTCGCTCGCGGGCCAAAATTAAGGTTGCAAGTCATTGGCGGGCCGCACATATTTTTAGAAAGTTGAAAAACTGAACGGATGGTACTTTTTATAATAAAAATCAAGCAGTGATACATCTCTTGAATAGAATATAGATTAATTTCCTCATTGCATCTCATAAAATTCCATTTGAATATTTTCAGCGCCATTGAACCCTTTTCACTTAGCATCAACTTTTCTGCGTTTTGTTGCCATTTGCTTAATTATAATTATATTATATGCTCATTAAACGAGTAATTGTGAATTATCTATTTGTTAGGTTACAATATAATTTAGTCTAAAGAATATATTCGTCAATACGGATGTTTTATAAGTTAGTGAAGCGTCGCGGGCCCAATTATAGTGCCCCGCGCGCCAGATCTGGCCCGCGGCCCGTAGGTTGCCGACCCCTGCTATAAGCTGTGACCTACCAGGTATAGCTTTGGGCCCAACTACGTTGGTGAAGTATGAAAAATCTTATTTTGACATTAATTTATATTATTTTGATGGGGCTCCCGAAGTATGCGAACCAAGATGGCGGACATCGGAATGTAATATGTATACTAGGTTAGGGTTAGGCCATAATTCTAGGTATAAATACTACGGGAGGCTCTTGGCTAGTCTTCGAATTGATAATAGGACAAAAATAAGGAAAATTGGAAAAAAATTATGGTCTAACCCTAACCTGTTACCCATTCTACGTTCCGATGTCCGCCACCTTGGTTCGCATACTTCGGGAGCACCATTTTGATTATATATTAGAATGTCTCTGCTTGATAATCATTACTTGTTTCCCGTGGCTTTTCTTTCCCGGTAAAACTGTGTGCCTTTTTTCGCAATTTTTGTTGGTTGTAAAATAGAAATTTGATTACGAATATTGACGTATCAACAACAGATAATATTTTGCAATAAGACACTCCCATGTATTAGATGTATTTTGATAAAAACGTTTCATCCCTAAATGTCATCCGTACATGTTCTCCCATGTATGAGAACGAAATCAAAACTTTTGCGGTTTGCAATAAAAACTTATTTCACGCATCGTTTAGAGATAGTTTTCAGCAAGTAGGAGCGCTCTACAACCATTAGCTCTTTAAATAAACGGATTTGTTTTAATACCTTTCACTCAGTTGAATGTTTTTTCAGATCAATATTCGTTTATTTTAGCCAAAAGGATAGGATTTCGGTTGGGGCAATAACAACTTTTTGCGAAGATTATAATACTTTCTCCTAAGCAATTAAAAAAATGTCTTTGCCTCATTTAATGTAATAAAAAGAGGTCGCTATGACACCAATTTTTTTGTCTTCATAGCAGCGTCTGCATGGCGTAAAAACTATTTGTGAAGATGCTTTTCTCAAATTTAATTCCAGGTGGTCAATGACAATAATCAAATCGACAAAAAAATACCACGAAATTAGTGACAGGGCAAATACCAGTGTGACACACCAAATAGGAGGGGTTTCGGTTCATGTTAAAATAATAATAGGTGTTCCTAAGCGTTATCAAAACTACTGTAGTTCATCAAAACAACTAAAAAAGTCTAGATTTGCTCTGTCACAAGCTGCGTGCTTCAAAATATTGTTAGAAAAAACACTGTTTTGAAATTAGTTGTTTTCAAAATTAGGCAATTTAGGAAAGCAGAGGTAAAAGGGCAAGCCAATGAATGAATTGGCACGATCATTGTAAACTATTGCGTCATAAACACTGTTGAGCAACTCGTAAATTCAGTTGCATTTAAAATTATACAAGAGATTCTTATAAAGCAGAGGCGGGACGATGAGCTGGATTTAACAGGATCGACGAACACAAACTTGATATATCCAGTCAGAAAATGAATGTATCTGTTCTTGGAATGTCGTTGTAGTCAGCGAACCCTCGATTCGACAAATACATTCATTTACTGACATTAGAGAACATGCTGTTAGTGTGTTAGAACTTGAATTATTGAATCTCGTCGCTTGATAGAACCCCACACAAGAAAGCTTTTGATCATCCTAAATAATACCGGGTGTTCCCTAAGATTAATCAAAACTACTGCGGTTAATTATAACACCCAATCACCTCGCGTTGCGTGCGTCTGTCACAAGTCGCGTGATTATAAATACTGTTCGAAAACACGTGAAATTAGTTGCTTTCAAAATTATGCTATACAGCGGTTAACAATAAAAACTACTCACATCTCGTGCGTCTGTCACAAGTCACAAGCCAATGAGGCCGTTTATTCACATTATTAGGAATAAAAACAAAAAGAGTTAAATGAATTTTTGATTTTATCCTGAACAAACCACACAACATCACTGCCTCATTTAACTCGATAAAAAAGACGTCGTTATGGCAACAGTGAATTTGTCCAGTGGAAACAGTGAATTTGTCCTTACGGCACAGCCAACGTAACTTGTGAAATTGTTTCTTAAAAATAAGAAAAGATCCCCCTTAGGAGTTACGTAACGTCTTCACGACATATAACCTTGAAATATGGATTATATTCGCCCAAAGTAGTTGGTCCATGAGAGTTGTAGTGAGCGATTGGGTCCCTATAAATAACCCAGGATATATCAAACAGTGTAATCCTGGGTAACAAACTGGGTAATTTGAAATTAGTGGTAGGGAAAATAACAGTGTGGCACTCCAAAAAGAAGGGGTTTCGATTTAGATAATTTAAGGTGTTCCCTAAGCTTTATCAAAACTACTGCGGTAAACCATGGAAACTACTCGTGTCGTTATTGCGTGCGTCTGACACAAGTTACATGATTCTAAATACTGTAAGAAATCACGTGGAATTAGCTCATTTCAAAATTAAGCAATACAGGTGTTTAACAATAAAAACAAGTCAGGTCGCTTTGCGTGCGTCTGACACAAGTTGCGTGGTCATATATACGGTTAGAAAACACGTGAGATTAGCTGCTTCCAAGATTATGCAACCAGGCAAAACCCAGAAAAACGTTAAATCGGCCATGTCTTTTCTGACCCAGTCACCATATCAGATATGGAATACTTAAACAGTCAGGTATTAGCTTCGAATGAATATACATGGCGTGTTGGAATCCCAGACTGAAAGTCTGATATCTGTGACATTAGTATCGTTTCATCCGAAGTGCAATAGATCGAACCCACAAATCCGAACTGGAAGGATGGCGGCCATTATGCACCAAAACGATAAATATTACCTGGCCCGAGAAATACATTCATTCTCTGACATTGAGGAATCGGATAAACTGAAGAATCCCCCTGACACAAGTTGCGTGAATATAAATACTATTAGTAAACACGTAAAATTAGCTTCTTTCAAAGTTATGCAATACAGGTGGGTAACAATAAAAACTAATCCCGTGGCCTTGTGTACGTCTGTTGCTTGATCATAAATACTGTTAGTAAACACGTGAAATTAGCTGCTGTCAAATTATGTAATACATGTGGCTAACAAAAAAAACTTAATCAGGTCTCGTTACGTGCCCCTGTCACAAGTTGCGTGATTATAAATACTGTTAGAAAACTCGTGAAATTAGTGATTTTCAAAATCAACCAACACAGGTGGTTGACATTAAAAACAAAACAGGTCGCTTTGCGTGCCTCTGTCACAAGTTGCGTGATTATAAATACTGTTAGAAAACTCGTCAAATTAGTTTCTTTTAAAAGTATACAAGAGATTCATAAAATACGCTTGAATAGATAACCATGTGTACACGGAAATTAGCATTTGCAGCGTTTCTCTTTTAAGTCGCAATTTCCATCCCTGAACACCACGTTTGAAACACAGTTTGAAAAACGCTGGCGAGATATCTGAGCTCTGGAACAGAAATGCTCAACTGTTATGGCCTTTGAACATCAAATGAATACATATCATTCTGAACATTTGGGTAACGCGGTACAATAAACACTACTTGGCATGCTTCTGACACATGTTGCGTGATTATCGATACTGTTAAAAAACTCGTGAAATTTGTTGTTTTCAAAATTTTACAATATAGGAAAACAGAGGTAAAAAGCGAGCCAATGAATAAAAGGGCACGATCATTGTAAACTATCATATTTTCTTTTTGTATAGCTCCATATAAAGACCTAATGAGCAAAATTGCACAACCTCGTGACATTTTCATTGGAATATTTTCGTAGTTATGGTAATATTTTTTTTATAATAAATTTATACAAATTCGATGTACAAGCAAGCACTTTTTGACTAATGTAAAGATGTGAGATTTGTGAAAACATGCCCGCCGCTTTTCAAAATAACAAATTGGTTATTACTAGTTGGGGTTAAGATTAGGATTGGCATTACATACCATTTCGCGGTAGCGCTCCTTTATTTTTTCAGCGACTACTTTTTCTACGCTTATTAGACACGGTACGGAACTGAAACAAATCCGTGCACTAAATATAGCCCTTTTGTTCCTCGTTCAAATCGAAAGCTCAATAAAAGGTGACTGGCACGGAAGGGTCTCGCATTGTCGCGATTAGAATTACTACGGACTGAGCGAGTTTCTATAATTAGGAATAGCGATTCTATATGATTCGAGGGCGATCCAGAAGTGATTGTATCAATATGAAGATAACTTTTTGTTTGTCTATTTTACATCAAGTTGTGTAAAGGGACGGAAGCCTATGGGCATGGAGTATATTCACTTGGGTAACACAGACAGTCCCTGAACTCGTAATAGGACTAAATTCAAGAAAATCGGATTCAAATTTTGGCCTAACCCTAACCTGATACACACACTCCGTGAGTACCGATTCAACAGTCTTGCTGCATACTGACACAACAAATATTTCTGTAAAGTTTCGTTCGACAATGTCAGACCTCCTCAGACATACATACGTTTACATAATGTTACAAACGTTACAGAAATATATTCGTGTTAGTGTACATCTTGAATATTGAAAAACCAAATTATTGCGATTGACAGTGCTATGAGCTGCAACGAATTCAACAGTTAAGAAATAGTGCTGAGTATGTGGTTCTAAGCTCTATTTGAATGGGCCCCATTTGAACAAGATCACAACTGCTATTTGAATACCATCCTCCTATCGCTATTATAGAATGACTTCTCTAGAGAGCTATCGGGCAATTACAGAAATTACATGACGCTAATAACAAAAACAGGTAGGGGGGAAGGGGTTATTGGAGAAGGATGTTCTGTGCGTCTTTCCAACCCTTCAGTCAGTACTGAAGCGATTTCAGTCGCCTTATCATGAATTAGGCCACGACCTCTTGTTGGACTCCCCGCCGTCGTAGGGTGCTTCGTATGACCGCGTAAAGAAGTGACAAAAGAATAACATTTCGAATAGCGAACAAGCACTGTGCGAGGATGTACTTCTGTACTGAGTGCCGATACGATTACTAAGCATTGTGCTAAATGTTTTAAAAATAGAAGGGTAAAAATGCGCCATCCTCCATTTTATAGTCGCGTGAGTCTCTTTTTGGTAATTTGCAGTACTTTATCAGTTTATGAGAACAACAGACACAAGACAAGATCTTTAAAATATTTTTGTATGTCTTCCACACAGAATTAATTCTTCACTACAAATAATATTAGTTCAAGGTGCCGATTACAGTCAAATCGAGACAATGAAATTCTTCCTGGTCCTATTTGTTCTTCAAGTAATATGGACATTTCCTGTATTGGCTACGGACGAAATTAGTAAGTAGATCTTTATTTTATATGCCGTCCAGTATATGCTTATTTTGTTTGTAAAAGCTGAAGAAACACTATAACTGGTCGGGGGGTATATTCACTTAGCTAACAAAGACAGTCCCCGAACTCGTAATAGAAAAAAAAAATGGGAATAAAATTATGACCCAACCATAATCTGGTACACGCAATACGGGAGTACCCTATTCAGTATCTTAAATCATCCAACACGATTTCTAATTTATTCGATGATTTGGGAACCTGCTTTGAACAAACTTTCGACTCTTTTATCAGTTATCTGTCAACATTTAGTTGAGGGCGCTCTTCAATCTCTTATCAGTTATTTATCCATTATAAGCACTCTCCTATCAATACTCTTTCAAATTTCAATTGATAAACTCGCAACTCTGAGGGTTAGGCCATAATTTCAGGTACAAATACTACGGGAGTCACTTGTCTAGTCCTCAATCTTGCAATAGAAATATGGCCTAACACTAATCTGGTACACATACTGAGTTCCGGTGTCCGGCATCTTGGTTCACATAATTCACAAAACCCAAATTTGTCCAATTTGGGCATGGGATTTTAATCGGAAATGGGTTTTCCTGAAGTATTCGCACCAAGATGTCGCACAACCTGAACCCAAACCGGGTACACATCCCGAGTTCAGGCTGTGCGTCATCTTGGTGCGAATACTCCAGGTGGCCCCGGAAATGTATAATCTGCAATGGGTGCTCTCAAAGTATGTACACCAAGATGGCGCACAACCTGAAAATAGTATGTTTACCAGGAAAGGGATCAGGTTGTGCGCCATATTGGTCCACATACTTCTGTAGCGCCCTGCAATGCCAACACAATTAAGGCCAATATGAAACAAATTTTAATTTTTTTTTCAGCATTTTGCACTTGGTTTGATGTTGATGGTAACGAACTCGAAACCATAATTGACTCGCCAAACGTATTCAGGTAAGTACATATATCACGGGTAGGCAATTTGCTACCTTTCTGGTCGCTCCCGAAGTATGTGCACCAAGATAGCGTACAACCAGGTACACATGCTAAGTTAGGTACACCCTAACTTGGTACACATACTATGTTCCGGTTGTGCGCCATCTTGGTGCACATACTTCGGGAGCTTCCCTTTTCTGTGTCGGCCAGATACAGATAATAGACTTAGTTACTTTTTATCGATATTTTCAACGTAAATTTAATTTCATAAAATGTATGGTCGTAATAGCAACAGGCGAAAGTTGGCCTGAAGAAACACTTCGGTTGGCCGTTAGGGTTAGTTATTGATAAAACGCGTTTCTCATTGTCTGAACGCCAGCAATCTATCTGAGCGATGAATTCTATGTATTCAGTAATTCATTCGTTGACAGGATCAATTACAATAAAAAAAAGTCTCAGCCAATTACATAAAAATATATTTGATTCGATCCTGAAATCATCGGGTAATTCGAAATTTCCCAGCCATACTTACGATAAGTAAAAACCTACTGTTATTTGGAAGCACCGAATCTTTTAAATCCAGCATTGCCTACCCCAGGGCTGCCTAACCCTTTTAGTTTGGGGGCTTAGTTAGGGGCTTAAGCTTTTGGCTTGGACCCAAGGTGTGTAACCTAAGAACTTGCTATAATTATATTAACTCAGATATTTTTGTAATCCAGACAAGATTCGTCAGATCCAGTCAATCGACCCGTGTATTGTGAATGTGAACCAGAAGCTGACGGAACTTCAAACGGGGACATGTCGTGCTTTAACCCGGTGAGATAAATTTAAAATCTTGAAAGTATAAAGAAAAATGGCGGATCACGTAGTTTTTTTTATCGCAAATATTTCTTATGAGTCTGCAGCGATATGTTGGCAATAAAGTTGGGTGGTTCACGTAACCAATGGTCAATCACGGCGACCCAGAAGTGTGTGTACCAATATGGAGGTAACTAATTTTGTTTGCCTACTTTACATCAAGTTGTGTAAATGGACTGAAACCTATTAGATGGGGTATATTCACTTGGCTAATACAGACAGTCCTCGAACTCGTAATAGAACTAAAATAAGGAAAATCGGAATAAAACTATGGCCTAACCTCAACCTGGTACACATACTACAGGAGTACTCTTCTTCCATCATCAAGACTACACATCTGAAAACAAATAACTCGCTCACTGATCTCATATCCGACATTGACTTTTAAGCGGACGAGAGTCCGTGTTTCGCCATTTTATTAAACCGTTTTATCGGCTTTCCTATCCCCGGATAAATATGTAATTCATATTCTAAGTCAGGGTTCACCAACGCGTTGCCCGCGGGTACCAAGTCGCCCGCGAAGACCATATTAGTCGCCCGCAGGTATGTTCCAAATTAAGCCTAATAATGGCTCTTATAAGTAAGCTACATCAATTATATTTTGTCCTGCTATTTAAGTATAAATCACACTTATATGGGAACTAGAAATGACACTATATTAATTATTGTAACCATCAACCTTATTTTCATTTGACCTCAGTAATGTGACGGGTCAATTAACACTCTTCCAATTATGAGATCACTTTCCACGAACCCGCGCTTTTTCTTGTCCGTTGGTTAGCGGAGCACTAATAATACAAATATTGATTCCAAAGAAAACCCCATCATTTTCACGATGAATGGGAGGTGGATATATTTATACCACCATGAAAACAGGCTACGTGTGTCTCATTAGTGGGGCGATTTTAGAGACGGCAAAGCGGAGAGATATTTCACATCTTGTCACGTAATCTTCCGCGCTAACGGACGCGAACGGACAGAAAAAGCTCGCGATTCAAATCATACAGCAATCCTATTTTACGAGACCATCTTTTGTTTCAACCTATCCTTTCGAAACAACATTTTTGACATAAATTCAGGATAGGAGGAGATTTACATATTTATCCCGGAGGAGAAGATAGCCGATAGGACGGCTTAACCATATGATAAACCACGGCTTCTCGCCGGTTACCATTCGATGTCGGGTATGGAATTAGTTAGTTATTTGTTTCCGGAAGCCTGGACTTGATGGCGAAGGAAGCCTTAACCGACCAGCGGTTACGTGAACCACCCTACGGCGGCGAGGAGTCCAGCTATCCATTTGCACATAACAATCCCCGCATGGGATTCTAACCTACGAACCTAACGCTTAACACGATGGGTCATAGCGCTGCGACTCACTCCACCAGGAACAAACATGGAACACGCCTCACTGATGAAAATCTGCAAATCCTAAAGTTTATTAGTGTCTATACTTCACTAAATACCAGTAATTATATCAATAATTGAAGCTTAATCGAGCTGGTAGCCCGCAGCTTAATCTGTACCCAGAAAGTAGCCCTCGGCTTCGAAAAGGTTGGTGACCCCTGTTCTAAGTCGAGCCGTCGTTGCATTTTTAAATTACGCATCGGAGATGGTCAAGTAAAAATGTTAGAATTTATTTTTAATATGAATCATGATATATATATTTATATATATTTATATATGATTTATATACTTAGCCCGAGGGAGAGGGAAGCCGATAAGACAGCTTAATCATATGGCGAACCGCGGCCTATCGTCTGGTTGGTTACTAGTCCATGTTGCGTATTGGATTAGTTAGCCACGCAGGGTAATCAGAGGTGCGATGGTGAGCGTCATCTCAACGCTTCGAAGTGAAGTATTATATGTGGACCAGAGGTTTTAAACTCGCGACCGGGCGTCAATTGCGCCCGCGAGTAGATAGTTTATAGCCCCGGCCTTAGTATGAGAGTTTAATGTTAGATTGTCACTTAGCTCAGTTTGCATGCTTGAAAACATTTAATATAAGTGATAAGTTTTCGAATTTTGACGGTCAACTGGCTAGCCTCCGAACTCGTAATAAAACTAAAATAATGAAAATTGAAATAAAATTCTGGCATAAACCTAATCTGGTACACATACTACGCCCAGCGACCGGAGAAGAGAGAAAAAAGTTTTTTCTGTCACACCGCATGGGTGATCGGAGTCCAAACCTGGTCAAAAATGTCTAAATCAAGGGCCTGCAAAATATTCATATATAGAAAAAAATAGGCGCTCCGAGAGTATATGTACCGAGATGACGTACAACCTAAACCCTAACCTGGTACACGTACTATGTTCAGGTTGTGGTACATATACTTCGGGAGCACCGAAAACTATATCAAAAATAGGAACCTAATTAAAACACGGTCATTGGAGTCCGTGACACTATCTACTCATATATCCTCCGCGTTCTTCGCCGGTCGACCCGTACACATAGCCCTTGTACTGTTTGTCCGCCGATATTTTCAGAAAACTCGGTGTTACGAGATGTTACTGCTACTAGTTATCCATATATTTCAACATTATTGTTTCGTTTCAGAGGACAGCTGCATCAGCGGATACAACTAACATCTCTCCGGGAGTCAGTTACAAATCACTCATAAAGTCTGTCAATAAACAGGTGAGAAAACAGCATATTTTCTTGTGTGCCTCATATAAAAAAAGTTTTCCACAATTGGAGACTGGTGCGATTCAGACGGCTCGTACCAATCATTTATTAGAACAGTGGTTGCCATCCGGGGTACCGTGGCTCCCCATATGGGGGCCGAGAAGGAAAGGGATCACAATGCTACCCGCAAAACTGTTTTAACGTTTTTGTTGACACTCCAGAAATGTTTGTACCAATATGGAGGTAACTAGTTTTGTTCGCCTATCTTTCAACAAGTTGTGTAACGGGACTGAAACCTGTGGGCAGGGAGTTAATTCACTTGTATAACACAGACAGTTTCCGAAATCGTAATGGAACTAAAATGAGAAAAATCTGAATCAAATTATGGCCTAACCCTAATCTGTTACACGCACTACGGGAGTACCATATTTTCACCCCATTAGAGGCTTCAACTGAAATCATAGTAACTACCGAGTCTACTTTCGATGTTCACGTGACTGATTTTATTTTTAAATCAGGCGTTTTGGCCGTGTTTTGGCCACGAAATACCGTGGTCTGCATAAAAAAAAACAGAAGTTACCTCATAAACACGACACATACTGTACTAAACTCTTGCAATGACAATTCAATGAACTCCTGAATAAAATATGAAATTTCAGTTTGCTTCGGGCTCAGGCCTGCAAATCCAGTTAATTAGTTGGACTCGGTCTGATTCAATACCCACAGGCCTGGGTCTGGCCGGGCTGGAATTTTTGGGCCCAATCTTACCTATATTCTAATTCACAGGTCTGGATACGATGCCAACTTTATGATTGCAATCCTGCTACTGAAATCTGCAAAGCAAATAGACAAAAGATTTTGGACATCGCCAAAGATTTGGGATTCCCTGGCCTCGACACTGACGATATAGAACGTATTTGCTATGCATAGTAGAGAACTGATGGAGTCAAATACCATGTTTTCCCGGAAATAAGACAGTGTCTTATTTCAATTTTTTTTAAAAAAATATCACTAGGGCTTATTTATAAAGAGTTATGTATTTTATTTTCATTCTCAAAACAAAATCACAAAGTGGATGATAACGAACTTCTTCCAATCGACTAGGTCAAAATAAATTTGCGCTATCGACTGAGTTATATTTTAAAGGAGGAAGTTTATATGCCACGTTTCCCCGAAAATAAGACATCGTCTTATTTCAATTTTCTTTAAAAAAAACCACTAGGGCTTATTTGGCTAGGTCAAAAAAATTTGCGCTATCGACTGAGTTATATTTTAAAGGAGAGGGTTTATATTAAAATCATTTTGTAAATTCAAGCTAGATCTTATTCTTGTAAAAACACAATTAAAATGAACCCAATTCGACATTTCAATTCCAGACTTTTTTAATTTTTTACTATATTTTTGCTGTCCATATTAAATTTGTTGAGCAGTGGTTCACAACCTTTCATGGCTCGTGGACCCCTTACTGAGGCTTTCAGCACTCACAGCCCCAGTTTATCATTCCAGTGGCACTTGTAGCGTTATTTTGATCAGTAAATTCAAAATCCTATTATGTTCATACAATTCATGCTCGATAAAGAGAAAACACCCTGTAAAATAACCTTATTGAGCAATGAAACTAGGAAAAACGGAAGGTTTTCTGGTAAAAGTAAAATTAGTTTTGCGCCTGGTGGCCACTTTCAACTACTCTGTAGTCCCCTCGATGGCCACGGGTCCCCAGTTGGAAACATTTGTTGTTGGGATTGAGAAAATAATCAAGTTTTTTCCACAATCAATATATATATCGATTGATATCAAGTTTTCAGCACTTAAAAATGTAAGACACTACTGTTACTCTTGTTTTGATTATTTTCATATGAAATCCTGATTATTCATAAATTTTTCTGTATGTTTTAAACTTTGGAACACTTTTTATCTCCTATCGGAACACTATATTCTGTCACAATAAACCTGAGTCATTCGAAACCTATTCCACGCGGATGAATATAAAAGTGGCACAGACAAAACAATTTTAACATTGGCTCGTATGGGAACTGTGGCCACCCGAGCAGAAATTTGCAATTTGTTCCGTTTATAACACTTTATTTTATCCGCGTGGGATTCGATTTGAATGACTAAGGTCTATTGGCCGGCCCCCTATCTTCTCAACAAACTTGGTGGTCAGCTTAAAAACGAGGCGCGGCCTTCGTGTTCATATTTGGGCATTGAGCTGACATGCTCAACCATGTTTTATGATTTCATTTCTAACTCCGTGAAATTTGCTGCGCTGTAATTACCCTTCTGTAGATTGTACAATATATTATAATAAATATATGCCCACTTGTGTAGCCTTCTTCTTCATGAATGCAGAATCGGACTGAATTGGCACACATACACACATACTGGAGCGCCAAGTCAGGTTTATTTTTCCAACCAGTAAAATCAGTTGTATTACAAATTTCGAGTTTCGTGATCAGAGTGATGGGGGAGGCTACTTTAGACTACCTAGCCGGCACGCCATAAAAGAATGGGTCCAAACCAGGGGCCCGCGGGCCAGATCCGTCAGCTTTTCATCTGGCCCGCAATAACACGATAAATTGGAAAAAAAAAAATTCATGGAATGTTTCCCCGAGCATCGAATTCCTCGTTTATTTCGTAACATTGGCCAAGCAGCAAGATGGAAAAAGTGACGTAACAATAGGCCTTTTCGCACCCGCTCGGACACTTTTGTTACTCAGACAGATTTTCAGTCGTTGTTAATATAATGCAACGGTACGACTTAACCGGAATACCAGTATGTGCTCGCCACTGATACAGTCTAGTAATACTGTAATAATTAGTTCAGAAGATCCAATGTGCTGCAAAGACACACAAATAGGTTCGAAGTTCACGATGCAAACGAAGAGACTTTATTAAAATAGTTTAAAATCCACGCTTAAAGCAGATAAAATAAGAGCGACAAAATACGGTCCTTACTCAGCGACAGCAAAAGCAAAGAAGAAAGATACTGCGAATCGGAAGCAGTTCACATATGCAGTGGTGGTTGGAGTCGAGTAACTGAATACAACTATTGGGCGAATTAGGGCTCAGACTCCACACACCAATGCATATGCAATGACCAGACAAGAAATATAAATAAAATAATAAACAATAAAAAATAGTACAACTCCAGTCCCGCCACAATAACAATACCTCTTTTTCGCTATTTTGAATACTATTCGTTAGTTTTTGGCTGTGTTCAGAAAATTCAAGTATGAATCAAAAAAGTCAATCATCATTTTGCTTTCTTAGGAGTTGGAGTTTAATTGCTGTAATCAAAAACTAGTCTATAAATAGATGGGATTAAATAGGCTAAAATTCTCTACCGGTACGCAACGTTTTCTGTGAAGTATGCATTCGTGGCGCGTGCTTTTGGCAAAACTGTTGCTGTGTACGTTTCTTGTGCTAAAATGAACGTTAGTGCGCTAATAGTACTGCAATCTCTCGCCTAATGCTCCAATTTCACAAGTCACACTAACTTTTGTACTGCTTGCATGCGGATATTCATGGCAGCAGTTTTGCTAACCTCAGGATAGTTGTCTTGAAATCTTGTATATTTGTTTTGCTATGATGCTATTGATCTATATTCTACGATATAGAATTTATTATTCAAATCTTCAGAAATGTAGAATTTATATTGTGGAATAAATTGGATACCTTCCCTAACTTTTGTGAATTTCTTGTATTGCATTGACAAAAATATTTGTGACCCCTGATCCAAACCATCCCTTATACCGGTACGATAATCTTCTTGTCTTCGACTGGCCATCAGATCACAATGAATGCGGAACCGACACACGGTGCGCAATTGTAAATTTTTATGAAGTCATTAAAAAAATTGAAAGTGTGAAACGAATTCCATAGAGCCTACAGTATTTTTTTTTTTTCAGGATTTTTTTGACCAACTTTATGTCTGTTGTACAGAGCCGTATTCGGAATGGATGGTGTGATGAAATGCCATATAACAAGTCTTTTCTAGTTACTTTACCAATAGGATAGGATTTACATATTTATTCCGGAGGAGAGGAAAGCCAATAAGTCGGCTTAACCATATGTCGAACCACGGCCTCTCGTTTGTTACCATTCCATGTCGGGTATGGAATTAGCTAGGTATTTGTTTTCGGGACTTGATGGTGGATGAAGCCGCAACCGACCAGAGGTTACGTGAACCATCCTACAAAGGTACTTTCCCCACTTTAACTATTAAAAAGTTTTTTTTAACAAATTTATTCCTTCTCACAGAGGTAATACAATTTAGCATCGCATCTATGATCGTTGAGTTGCCATTTCAAATGTTCATTCAGCATCCCACACTTTTCCCAACTATCACTAGGTTCGCCTGGTGCCCATGCGATATTCTGTGTCGTCCCTTGTACGCCGTCATTCCAGATCCATTTATTCCTGTCCAAATCATCCAAACCAATCCACAATCCGTATACCGGGAACACCGTAATGGGTTTGAGTAGTTTGTTTATGATAGCACTGGAAAAATAATAAAGTACATGAATATAATCTCTTATCTCTCTCACACATCCACACATACTCTCTCCTCTTATATTCTTTTTATACACAGTCAAAAACGCTCTCTCTTTTATATCTCATAATCTCTTAAACGGTGACCGTACATTTGAACCCATGTACATTTGAACCCATGCGTATATCCACGGGTTCAATCTATATGCGGGTGCTAAAACCCATGGGTTAGGGTTAGTATGGGTTTAACTATCTGTGAAACAAAAAAATTCCATAGGTGCAATAGCATACAGGTGCAATTGTCATGGGTTCAAATGTACGTGGGTTCAAATGTAATGGAACCCTCTTAAACGCATATATACCCACTCTTCTTTATCTCTCTCACACATCATGTCAATTTTCTCACATGTACACTCACTCTCTCTTTCATATCCTTTTTATGAACACTCACACGCGTTCTCTCCTTCATATTCTCTCAAACGCACATTTACCCACTCTTCTTTATCTCTCTCACACATACCCTCAGTATTCTCATATGTACACTCATTCTCTTCTCTTATATACTTTTTGTACGCAATCACGCTCGCTTTCTCTTCCGTATCTTATTCTCTCAAACGCACGTTTACCCACTCTTCCATATCTCTCATGATATTCACAGTCACTTTATCGCACTCACACGTCTATCTTTTCCTCAGACGTACATCACTCTCTCATAACTCCAAATATCTTCTTACCACACTCACTCACTCTCACACATTCACTCACTCCTATTATCTTCTTATCATACTCACTCACTCTAACACATTCACCCACTCCAAATATCTTCTTATCATACTCACTCACTCCTATTATCTTCTTATCATACTCACTCACTCTAACACATTCACCTACTCCAAATATCTTCTTACCCCACTCATTCACTCTCACACATTCACCCACTCCAAATATCTTCTTACCACACTCACTCACTCTCACACATTCACTCACTCCTATTATCTTCTTATCATACTCACTCACTCTAACACATTCACCCACTCCTATTATCTTTATATCATACACACTCACTCTCACACATTCACCCACTCCAAATATCTTCTTACCACACTCACTCACTCCCACACATTCACTCACTCCTATTATCTTCTTATCATACTCACTCACTCTAACACATTCACCCACTCCAAATATCTTCTTACCACACTCACTCACTCTCACACATTCACCCACTCCAAATATCTTCTTACCACACTCACTCACTCTCACACATTCACTCACTCCTATTATCTTCTTATCATACTCACTCACTCTAACACATTCACCCACTCTAAATATCTTCTTACCACACTCACTCACTCTCACACATTCACCCACTCCAAATATCTTCTTACCACACTTACTCACTCTCACACATTCACTCAATCCTATTATCTTCTTATCCCACTCACTCACTCTCACACATTCACTCACTCCTATTATCTTCTTACCACATTCACTCTCACACATTCACTCACTCCTAATATCTTCTTATCATACTCACTCGCTCTAACACATTCACCCACTCCTATTATTTTTATATCATACACACTCACTCTCACACATTCATCCACTCCAAATATCTTCTCACCACACTCACTCACTCTCATACATTCACTCACTCCTACTATCTTCTTATCATACTCACTCACTCTCACACATTCACCCACTCCAAATATCTTCTTATTACACATTCACCCACTTATCACACATTCACCCACTCCAAATATCTTCTTACCACACTCACTCACTCTCACACATTCACTCACTCCGATTATCTTCTTACCACACTCACACATTCACTCACTCCAATTATCTTCTTACCACACTCACTCACTCTCACACATTCACACACTTCAATTATCTTCTTACCACACTCACTCATTCTAACACATTCACCCACTCCTATTATCTTTTATCATACACACTCACTCTCAAACATTCATCCACTCCAAATATCTTCTTATTACACATTCACCCACTTATCACACATTCACCCACTCCAAATATCTTCTTACCACACTCACTCACTCTCACACATTCACTCACTCCAATTATTTTCTTACCACACTCACTCACTCTCACACATTCACTCACTCCAATTATCTTCTCACCACACTCACTCACTCTCACACATTCACTCACTCCTACTATCTTCTTATCATACTCACTCACTCTCACACATTCATCCACTCCAAATATCTTCTTATTACACATTCACCCACTTATCACACATTCACCCACTCCAAATATCTTCTTACACTCACTCTCACACATTCGCTCACTCCAATTATCTTCTTACCACACTCACTCACTCTCACACATTCACTCACTCCAATTATCTTCTTACCACACTCACTCACTCTCACACATTCACTCACTTCAATTATCTTCTTACCACACTCACTCATTCTAACACATTCACCCACTCCTATTATCTTTATATCATACACACTCACTCTCAAACATTCATCCACTCCAAATATCTTCTTACCACACTCACTCACTCTCACACATTCACTCACTCCTATTATCTTCTTATAATACACACTCACTCTCTCTCACACACGCTCTCGTTCCTCTTCATTATCACTCCATCATAAATAACTCACTTTCTAATTCCGTTATTTCTTATTCCCGTTGTAGCCAGCGTTGCACCACGTTTCTTGCAATCTTTTTGAGCTTCTTCGTAATTAAACTTTATTCTGAAGAACTTGTACTTGTGAGTGGATATATTAAACCAACCCTCAGAATCTGAAAAATAAGAGATTGATATACCTAATACAAGAAAGAAATGCTCAAATTTATGAACACGTAACAACAGATACCCCAGTCTACAAATATATTGACACCAAGCAAAGCATTACTGCAGTAGATTACCTTACCTTTAGCATTACCGATACCGGTAACGGCAAAAAACTTTCGAGTAGCGAGAATTTTTGGTATCAGCCGGCACGCTTGGCGGAATAAAATCCGTATTCCCATAATTAAAAAGTGATACAGCGAAATTTTGAATAAAATTTTTAAATTTCATAGGATTCATAGAAATTTTAGGAATAAATAAAAGTCATAGCCTTCTGGAAAAAAAATCAAGTTTAAACACTGAAAACTTCAAAGCAATAGGTCCAGTATTCGAAGAAAAAGTCTGACCCTAAGATCACTGAGATGTGATCATGGAACCACGATCATTGTCCGTTAAAGCTTCCTCCACCATCAAGTTCGCCATATGATTAAGCCGCATTCGGAAATCGAAAATTTCATAGTAATTTGTCCAGAAGTTGAAGAGATAAGCGATTTTTTAAGAACAACAACATAATATCAAAACGATACATAGGTCTGTCTACTTTATGTCCAATCAATAAATTCTATTTATGGGCATATCCACCAAAATATCACCACAATTCAAGCCAACTGTTAAGAATACTGTGCCGAATGTCCTATGAAGGTGCTCCTTTACCTTACCGTCAGGTCACAGTCTACAAATATATTCACACCAAGCGAAGCAGTACAGTAGGACGCAAAATGGCGTCCGATGTCATCAGAACGTTTAATGACGTCATAGCAAACAAAAACAAATCTCACAGAGCTAACAGATATATTTGAAATAAATAAAAGTAATAACCTTCTGGAGAAAAATTTCATCTTTGACCACTAAAAATTTCAAAGCAATTGGTCCAGTGATCAAAGAGAAAAGCGGTTTTTTAATACTTCTACTAGGTGTCCAAAAAGGGTCAAAGAACAACAAGAACAAGAACAACATAACAACAAAACAATCGTTACGTCCACTAAACGTGTCCAATAAAAATATCGTCTTCTTCAAATTATGTCAGTTATGCCCAACAGCAGCCCAACCACCTTCAGGAAATTTCTAGCACTCATGGTCTCCGTTTATCATTCCAGTATTATTTATAGCGATATTTTGATTGCTAGATTCCAAATCCCATTATATTCAAACAATTCATGCAGAAAAAGTGAAAAACCCTCATGTGAAATAACCACAGCAAGCAATAAAAGGAAGTTTTTTTCCATCTCGACTGGCGGACAATGTGAGGGTGACGTAAAACTTAATTTTATGAACAATATTTAAAGTGTTACAAAAGCAAATGAAGAAAACAATAGGCTTCGAGTAGAAACTAAATTTAATCGAAATTTCAACAAATACATCGGGATATTTTTAACTGAAAAAAACAACATTTGGTTTTAGTATGGTTGTGGCAACATCAGGCGGGCCAAATTGAATTACCCAACGAGCCGGATTTGGCCCGCGGGCAGTAGTTTGCCCATGTCAGAGCTAGGCCATCGCGGCCGCAAACAACGGTTACCTGAATATATTTCTGTAATATTTATTGTGGTGAAAGCAGCAGTTGTCTGGTCTTTCTCCTCCTCAGGAGTTTGTTTTTTTCGCGTCACGATCACAGCCACAGAGATTGCCATAAGCATTGCGAGAATTATCGCTCCAAGTAACATCATTGGTCCTTTACGATCCATTATTTTATGAAATAATTCAAGTGAAATCAAGCTGCTTTATTTTCTATTGTTAACGGTACATTATTTTTAAATCTTGAATAGTGAAGTATAAACTTAATTGAGCTCGAAATGGACCTATGGATCGTTTTGTCATTATGTTGTTGTTCGTGGTATTTTTCTTCTTATCACTATGAATAAAATCGATTTTCTCATCAACTACTGACCAATTGCTTCGAAATGTTCAGTGGGTAAAGATTGTATTTTTTGCTAGAAGACTAATATTTTATTTATTTCAAAATTTGTTGTGGCTACCAGAGATTTTTTTTTTGTGCCTTTACGTCATCAAAAAAAAAAAAAATTCCTGGTGGCGGTTCTACTTTCGCGTAAGTAAAATCAGCTTCTCAGCTGCGATACAGTACCGGCTACTGTAGCAGATTGCATACCCGCACCATTTTGTGTCGATATATTCGAGCATAGCTCTCTTGTCCCATCTATATATCGCAGGTTTTGTCTGCTCACTCAATTCTGTAACCAACTCAAATTTACTATAAGTTCTACCAACGTTTCTAATTTTTATACAGACAGGGCAATGAACATAAAATGCGGAATATGTTATCACCACTAAAGTGAGACTAATATAGTTTGCTTCGTAAAGGTTGGGCATGTCCTTACTATCAATTTGTGCATTAGTCTGTGTAATGAGGCAAGATGAGATCGATTTCCGCAGTTTTCACATTAATTAACGTCCTTGTGAATAACGCGCCTATTTTCGACTTGGTTTATTTATTTGTTTCATATTATTAAATCTTTGTAGAATTCTTGTTTCTCCTATAGTATGCCAACCAGAATAGCGGACATCGGAACGTAGTATGTTCACCAGGATAAGGTTAGGTCATAATTTTATTCCAATTTTTCATATTTTAGTTCTATGGACTAGCCAACTGATTATAGTATTTGTACCGGAATTATGGCCAAACGCTAACCTGGTACACATACTACGTTCCGGTGTTCCCCATCTTGAATCGCATACTACAGAATACCGAATTTGTATTATGTTAAATGAAATTTTGCTCATTTCTTGCTATTAACTCTTGACTTTGTCTCATTCAAGCATCATTGCCACACAACAAACAGATAATGTACTGAGATTGAACGAAGGATAGGCAGTTTGTCAACCGACTGAACCTATCTCCGATTTTTGTTTTTGTACTTTGTACCATGTGACAAAGCAAGGCTGAAATGCAAACGAAGTTGTTTCTAATTTCATATAAATATAAAAAGGATCTGATGAACTCGGATTTGAACCAGGAACCTCTCGCACCCTAAGCGAGAATCATACCCCTAGACCAGGAAGCGGCAAACTGCGACCCGCGAAAGGTATTTTTTGCGGCTTTAGAATGACTTTCAATTCCTAAAACAAAAATGGATTAAATGCATTGTATCTACATGAATTTATGCGGTGACAAGTGCCACTGTACGTCGCTTGTTTCATAGCAAGTAGTGTCATTCGTAGGTCGTTTACTCAATGAACGTCCCATCGTTGGTTGTAGTTATAAGTCAGGTTTAATATGATTTTTGAAATTTGAAAATTTCTGGGAAACGAAGGAAAGTTTGCGACGAGGGTCAAACATCCCAAAGTGCTTGAAAGGAAAAATATTTTTTATTCTCGCACATTTCAAAACCAGTCAGATGATATTTCAGGCAAGCATCGCAGTTATTAAGGTATTTAATATTAAACGAGTCATTGGAAAACCGCGGGCTGCGCCGCTGCTCATCTGTGCGACAGTGTAAAACGTGGAGTGTGCACGTTCGAAAGCACATATTGCTGTGAGCAGCTCTATCTAAAAGGTATTACACTATGAATACATTTCGTAATCGCTTGTCAGATCGTCAATTGGACGACGTACTGCGGGTGCCGATTTGGCCAGGACACCGAAACAACATCATCCTTCACACTGGTATTATGTAAATAAAAGCATGTATTGTTTGATAAAATATATAGAAAAAGCAATATACACGTCTCATTGTGGCAGCCTTTTAACACAGCATTAGAAGGTGCGAGTTCGCCATAATTTGAAGTTAATTGTAGCGATCGGCGGAAATTAATGCGGCCCGCACGCCACCGAGAAAGTGGATATGTGGCCCGCAAGAACATAAAGTTTGCCGACCACTGCCCTGGACCAACAAGCCACACACGGCGTTTCTGGATCACCTCGAGTACAAAGGGCTTTTTCTGTAATCTATGTTGACCAGCTCGTCCTGTATTTCAACCAGGAAACTCGCGCCCCAAAGCAATAATTAATGTACACCTGCAAAAAAACACCCGGGTGGGACTCAAACCCACAATCCTAGACTCGGGAGGCTAATGCGAAAGAACTGGTCAGTAACAGCGAGGCAACTCCCTTATAACAGCAATGCCACTGTTACGCACGGACTCAACTCGTTAACTAATGTATATATATGTCGCCCTACTACTGGTTTTTATACGACCAAGTCACCCTAATAACGTCTTTGCATACATATATAAATTCGCCCCCTATTACTGCTTTTTATACTACTATGTCTCGCTGATAACGTTGTTGCATACATATATAAAAGCATATATACGACCCTGTACTAATGGTTTTGGTACGGCGCGGCGGTGTGGCTCAACGGGCTAAGCGTTAGGAATACGCTCGCCACCGCATCTCTAACTACTCTGCGTGGGTTCGCAGGTTCGAATCCCATGCAGGGATGGTTATGTGCGAGAGGATTGCTGGACTCCTCGCCGTCGTTGGGTGGTTCACGTAACCGCTGGTCGGTTACGGCTTCCTCCACCACCAAGTCCATGCTTCCGAAAACAAACAATACAGTAAAACTAATCCCATACCCGACTTGGAATGGTAACCGGACGAGAGGCCGTGGTTCGCCATATGGATAAGCCGTCTTATCGGCTTTCCTCTCCCCCGGGATAAATATGTAAATCCTATCCTATCCTACTCCTGTAGTACGTAAACCAAGATGGCGAACACCGGAACAGGATCGCCCTGGTTTTTATACTACTAAGTCTCCAAAATAATATGGTCTCAAACATATAAAAATGTATATATACGTCACCTTATTACTGGTTTTATACTATTAATTCTACCTAATAACGTCTATACTTACCACTCCGCATGTACGATTCCATTCTACCAACCCCAACTATCCACACAAATCACAAATTATAAAATTTTTCATATTTTTTTTTGTATTTTCTCTAAAACCTTCACCGGAGTCTTTTTCACAGGCAGTATGTGTCCCTACGTGGTGATGTACCGAATATGACGTAATAACTTTTGTCTTTGCGTCTCTGTCTCCAGATGACGTCATAGCTTCACCTCCTTTTAAATAAAAATATTTATTAGATTCGATCTTGTCCGCCTCATTTCGGATATTTACATTTCTTTATTTATTTTATTACTTTCGCCTTACTATCTGTTATTTGTAATTTATCGTCAGCTAGTTATTTTTGTGGTGAGGCGAGAGACAAATTATAAAAATCGGGCGCGTCATAAAAAGTTTGAGAACCAC